GAAGGTTCACTTTGACGGCCACGGAAAGGGCACCTACAAGGGCGATGCTGCAGCCAACAACCCGATTGACTTGGGACAGTACTACTACCTTCTCAAGCAGCGCAAGGAGAACTTTCTCAGTGACCTCGGTGGACCGGCCAGCATCCGCGCTCAATGAGCGAGGATTGTTCCCTTATCTTCGAGAAGAAGTTAGGTTAGATTGACAAAGGCATCGTCATGGGTCTACGATTTGATGTTACTTGCGATGGGTACATGTCTTTCGAGCCAGAATTAAACAAAGTTTCCCACAGGCTTCATTTTGGTGATTGTGCAAATCCACCAATTAACTGGGTCCCCCACACTTCCGGAAGCCGAGCAGAAACGATGCTCTTCTCTCATTGTTGGTGACAGTTGGAGCTCGGTCCATGACGATTGTGGTGCAATTGAGTTCAAGCACCACACAGCGTGTCAGTCGAGCAGTTCGTCGCAAGAATGAGCCAAGAACAAGTTTTTCGACTTTGAGGCTGAAAGGGGGCACCGAATGCTTGCCTTCATCCGAATGCGGCAAGGGGAAGACGAGAACCCCCAAGACGGGAGTTCAGGGGGAAAGTAGCGTAGATCGACCTTGGCCGCTTGGCCAACGCCCATTCTCCGTGAATCGTGGGGATTTCTTCCGGGAGACAACCATGTAATAATCATTCCGAGTACCGAGTATCCGTACTGTACAGTATTACCGCATACCCATACGGATACAGGAACCACTACCGATGAGACTGGGACATGTAGGGATTCTCTTATAGCCCCCTCGTTGACTGGTTTTTCATCGTTTCGGACGACTCCTGATATGCTGCCAGTTCGTCCTGTGTCATCATCGTCCATCCACTTTGTCAGCTTAGATCAATTTCGCTTGCAACCGAACAGGGAGTTGGGGTGTTGTGTGTGTGTGTGCCGTCACCCCCGTGTGGTGGTGCCCAGTGGAGACGATGGGGGCAACTTTTCGCCGTAGTGATGGGCACAGATGGCGCCTATTTCTGTTAGTTTCCGCGGCAAGTTGATTAAACTCGCGCGTCACTTAACTTGGCGTTGGGTTGCTGTCGGCCTCTTCGACGGCAACACGGCCCCCAACATGGCCAGCGCATGCCTGTTTCCGAGGAGTATCATCCGTAGAGAATAAAAGGTTTTTGCATTGTCCAGCAGTATCATAGCAGTAAATCTGCTGCACGTGGTCCTTGGATGGCAGCCAAGAAAGTCAAAAATATCGTAAAGCATACGAAAACAAAACTTATACGCGGCTTTTATAGGGTAGACACGCGACACCTTCAATCTAGACGACCGTCGATTAGTAACCTGCGCCGACTTTTACTGAATCATTGCAACGACCCAGTGTCATCTCATAGTAATTACTTTCCGTCCCACAAGGTGCATACGGAGTACGGATACTGTACTGTGGAAGCAATACGGGTTACTCCGTTGAACCCATACACAGGGAATCCCTGATCTAAAAACAAAAGGGTCTAGAGGTGTTACACCAGGCGCCGGCAACGTCCTCCGGGTCCCTCAACCGTAGTCTGTAGATCTCGCCACAAAGGGAAATAGGCACTTGACTCCTGGCCCACGAGTTTAGTGATCTCTCAAAGAGGAGCGAAAGCAAGCAAAATTGAGCTGCTGTAACCCTGCCTTTGCCCTGCGTTACCCGCGCCTGCCCAGCCCATCCGTACCATCAACCCACTAAAAAGCTGTGTCTTTGAAACATTGCTGGATCCAGAGGCGAGAGAATCCATTTCGAGATGATATGAACGATTATGGCAACCGCCAGTCTGGATGGTTCCACCAATAAGGCAGCGTGGGTACATCATCATTCAAGCTTGTATATAAAGAAAGAAGATCAACCTCCTCGGCATTCGATATCCTCATTCAGACAGTCGCAGCCCATTTTCCATTCGCAAACAGTCATTCTTTTCACGTCCCAACTACCAACATTCACTTCTAACTCCAACCCACTCTTACCGCCAAGATGCCTTCCACCACCCAGATGCTCTCCGCCCTGGCCGTCACGGCCGTCGCCGGCGTCCAGGCCGCCATGGGCCCGGCCTTCAGCACCGGTCCCGTCGCCTCCGACTCCTTCATCCGCGAGGCCACCTCCACCCTCGTTCTCCCCGCCGCCCCCTCCAACAACAAGGGCGACGCCTCCCTCTGGGTCGGCATGGGCACCTCCAACGGTGACCTGATCCAGTCCATTGCCGACAGCTCCAACTACGACAAGACCGGCACCGGCAAGTGGTCCATCTTCGCCTACACCCTTCTCAGCACCGGCGCCAACTCCCAGATGCCTGTTCAGACTGAGGGCACTGATGCTTCTGAGGGTGACAAGATCACCATGCACTGTAAGTTGCCCCTTTGAAGTTCAAAATCTTGCGGTGTGTTGCTAACGGAGAACCTGTAGACAAGTTCGATGATGCTTCCCAGAACTACACCCAGACCGTCTCCATCAACGACAAGGTAGTCGCCACTCTGTCCACCAAGGACGGTGAGGCCCAGGGCTGGGGCAGCGCCGTTGAGTGCGCGGCAGAGGACTGCGGCACCGTCGGTGCTCACTGTAAGTTCCCACCCCCTACCTATCCCCTAGCTCCCATCACCAAAACAGTTTCCTAACAACTTCTTCCCACAGCCTGGATCAACACCAAGATCATCCTCGACAAGGCCGACGCCAACTACATCAACACCATGGGCAAAGGCTCCGGCGTCACCGGCGACATGTCCACCAGCGACGGCGGCAAGACCTGGACTGTCACCACCATTGATATCCCCGAGTTCACTTTCGGCCAGTAAATGTGCTGCTGCCGCTTCGAGAGCTGAGCTCCATGTGCCTCTGGAAGGGAAAAGCTTTTTCTTGTATTTTATACCATGTCTGGACATACCTTACATTGCTGTACATAACCTGCTAGCCAAGATACCAAGTTGCGACTGTAAAATAGCAAAATCTTCAATGATCAATCATGCAATCTGCACATGTATGATGTTGGATGCTTTACGTCCGTATTCTACGCGAGCACGTTCAGTTCGGAGGTAATCACTCAATCACAGCATCTGTGTATAGGTAGGGGCTTGCAGTGAATCTGAATTTGTTGATGTCTGTTGATGCTGCTTCCAATCCAAGGTTGCTATTTCAGCCTTTTGAAACCAGATTCGGCCACTGATTGTGTTCAATCACTTCCGAGAAGCCATCGCCAAGCTGTGATCCTCAAATCGTTATTCCAAAGCTGTGAATAGGTCCAGCTAATTCTCCTCCACGTAGCTCATAGTTCCATTCGAACATGCTTCTTTCCTTCAGCCTTGACAATGTGTTCAAACAGCAGGGCATTTGCAGTGCTTGCGGCCGAGTCCCGTGTATGGACCGTAGTCCTTGTCTGAAAAGGCCTTCGAAGGCGGTCTCACTCCAACCCGCAAAAGCCCGACGCCCTTGAACTTGAGGTCCGTCAGGTCATCGAAGTCGTCTTCGGAATCATCGGACTGGCTCTGGTGAACACAAGGTCTTATATCCCAGAGAGATCTCGTGGGTTCGTGGATTGATGTAAACACAATCGACGTGATGGAGAAAGAAGACCGCCTTGCCACGGGGGACGCAGTCCTTGGTATCTTTGGTGCGAGTTTCCTCCATTATGCTGTCCGCAAAAGGTGAGTAACAAAAAGTTACCGACTTGTAGCTTGGTTGTACTTATATAACCAAGAAGTAGGGGGGGGGGGGTCCTGTAAGAGCGAGACAAGTCAGCCTTCGGTGCCATTTGAAGAGAGGGAGGCCTGTGGGCGAGAGATTGACATACCTGGGTCATCCGGCTGGCAGAGTCCTTGCCGCCCTTCTTCGAACACTTCTTTTTGTAAGAGAAGCTATCCTTGGCCTGAGACAAGCCGAGACTTGGGACTGCTGGTTGAGGAGCGCCATTGATCTGAATGTTGATGCTGTCGTGGATTTAGATGATGATATTTGGAGCAAAGGATGAATCCACAGCAACACATGTGAGGGTCTTCTCACCACAACATGTGCATGCTGTTCTTGAAGGAAGCAAGTGCCTTCAGACTGGTATGAAAGGTTTCGAGCTTCTTTTTCTGGGTGAAACAAATCGCCTGGCACACCTCGGAGGTCACCATGGAGCACACATGGTGATGTTCGCAACATAAAAAGCAGCTGATAAAACATGCGATTGTCGTTGGGTTTTGAAGCAAAATATCCTGATCCAGTCGTCCAGGGACTGGACCAGGCTGAGCATCTTCTTCGTGTATGCAGTCTCCTGACATCCTTCAAGAAAAAATGCTAAAATTCAAATTGAATGCTTGGATACTTGGAGCAAGCCTTGTTGAATGACTGGCCATGTTGGCGTTCTGGTGGTGATTGGAAGGGCTAGCGGTGCCGACAGTGTTGGGTATTTGATGCTGAGTAGGGACACTCTGGTAATACCCTTGGACGGGAGCCTGGGCCGAGAACTGCCGACTACTGTTGAACAGACTCCGCCCGAATCAAGGTGAACTTGTGGTAGACACCGCTGCGATTGTTCTCGCCTTTCTTGTGTCCGCCTCCTGATCACGTAGTAGAGTCCGTCGGTGTCTAGGGAGAACCCCGTTTCCCATGAGGGTAAAGGGGTAATTCGAACTGCATTGTGAATATAGGTTAGATATTCTTCATGTCTTCCAGATCAGAGGGCGGATACATACCAAATATAGAAAAGTAACTTCTCACAAATGATGGTAATAACCCGTGTGATGGGTAGTAAAGCCATGGGCTTCAAATCCGCTATCCTCAGGGTCGACGATAGGGATGTTTGGTGATTCTGACTTTGCCGGGTATGACACACTGCCCGAACCTGTGGGAGACTGCTGTTCTTCAAGACGCAACAAAATCGAGGGATCAGGCTATAGAGAACGGCCAGGTTGTTCAACTTGCCACCCTAGATGAAGCTTGGAGTGAGGACCCGCACAGTCTCCCAACGCCCAACTCTCTTACTCCTCGTCCCAAAGTCCTCCTCATCTCAAATTTGCAGACTAAGGGACATTGGCCGAGTCGAGTCTGTCATGTCCAGAATAGACAGAAGCCAAGCCGCCTCCTCTTTGTGTACGTTGTATCGGATTGTGCGTATGCTGCCGTTGATGGGAGCCCCCAATACCTCAGTCTTGGACGCCTCCCTTTGCCATCTTATGGCTTCTTCTAGGCTGCAGGCTGTCCATGAGGTGAGTGTAGAGGAATCTGACCAGGCTGAAATAACCCCACAGACAGCCCGCCCCGTAGAAGCACTTGTTGGTTGGTTTGGTACTGAAACACCTACATAGAGTTAGCCTGATGCCATCTCGGGTAAGTAGCACCAGTGACTACGTACCATACTGCTGGTCATCGCCGTGCTGTTGCTCTCTGCCAAACGGTTGACTGTCGCCGAAGCCAAAGTCGACAGAATTTGTCGAAATCGCGCCGCAGCGCCGGCGCTGCAACGATTGACGTTGCCGTTGCCCTATTGAAGCAAGCTTTGGCTTTCGGCGCCCCTTGTAAGTAGGCGAAAAATGCTCGGAGCCAGCTCCAAGCCTCAAAGCAGATATTAGAGCAAGCAACTTGGAATCATCGAGCTCTGCAGACCGACAGCAAGACTTGCGATGGTGTTAGCAATTGCTCGGACGAAGATGGGAAGGTGCGGATGATCAGGCACAGCACTTACAGACTGCTCAGTATTGTCCAGCAGGGCTGAATGAAGCAGTCGAACAATGCAAGAGAAGGAAACGGCTCTTTCATGAGAAGGTAGAAAAGGTGCCAGGTGCCAAGCGCCAAGTGATTTCGTCTGACGGCAAGACTTGCGATGGCATTAGCATTTGCTCTGACGAAGGAAGGAATGTGGAGGTGAGTGCGTACAAAATTCTTGGTGCTGAACCGCACGAAGCATTCAAAAATAACTCAGAATGAGTGTGAAAAAAAAACTTAAGACGGGACCGGAGGTACCCAATCTTTTCGTCCAAAAACAAGACCTGCGATGGCATTAGTGACAGCTCAGACGAAGGAGGAGACCGTGGATGAGACTTACCATCCTGCTTTGAGTTAGACTGGACGAAGGATTGGAACAAGGATTATAAGAATGAAAGCAATTAGAAAGAGCCACTACCTTGGCGATCGTAGAAGGGTGAACCACTTTGAGCTCAAGGTCAAGGACCTGAGTCGGGGTGGGGAGAAAGAAAAGAAAAGAAGGTGAAGTCGAGGAGAAAGGGTGGGATTTTATATTGGTCCTGGAGGGCCGGAAAATCTCAAAGGGTCGTTCAACCGCCCTCACATGATGAACTTCCGTCTTAAAGATCCGATGGAAGGAGCAGAACGGACAAAGTGAAGGAAGGGATGACAGTAGAGCGCGATGGAATTTCGTCCAAGGGAGCGGGTGGAGTGGTGCATAAGAGGAAGGAGGGCCTTCTACTTGAGCCGGAAGGAGCGATTCAGCTACCTCATCGGAATATGTAGGAAAGAGGTACGCACAAAGTTACAGCATCAGTGAAAAAGCATAGAGTGAATTAAGCATGATAATTCGGGCAGAAATCACCCTAGGAAGTGAAACTGTGAGGCTATGAGGCTGATGATCATCTGTTGAATTTCACATCAGTGCAGTGGCCATGCACAACCTCACTCATTCACTTACTTGAGGATGAAGGTATTCACATGGTGCTCTTGAGATTATACAATCTGACGGCCTCAAAGGGGATTTTCTTCTCCTAAGGCTGCTGTTCAAAGGAATTGAACTTGATGATGGATATGACTTCTTTCCACCATTTCATTCTTCTAACCAAAACGCATAGATACTTGCAAGCAACAAATGTTGAAACAACAACCGTATCTACTGGGACCAATAGGTCAGGCATCTATTACGAATTGATGGAACCAATCAAGCATGCTGTTATTTAATTAAACTGAGCTGAGATCCCACGTTGTGCCTCATGGCTGACGCTGGAAAAAGAGACAATGATTGGTCAATTGGGGAATGACATTGATGACGTAGGTCACTGGTCAACCACCTCCGAGCCCCAAATTGACTCCCTTCTCTTTGTCTCTCTACTCCCAAACACCATCACCGTCCTCAATACACTCCTCTAGATGCCACCTCGACCTCGGCTGCTCGACCAAGCCCTCCGACTCTGCAGCCGAGCTCCCGCCATTTCCACGCGCCACCTCGCCCTCATCCCTCATACCCTCACACACCGCACCGCCCTCCACACCACAACAATGAGCTGGATGGACTCCTGGTCCCGACCAGGCAAATCCCAAGCCACGCCCGCACCCTTCTACCTCCTCCCCAACGGCGACCAAACGCCCTACTGCCGCACCTGCGGCCGCGTCATCTCCAGTCGCAAAACCACAGCAGCCGCGTCGTCCTCAAAGTCAAACTCCAAATCAGAGACCTCCAAGCCCGCCGTCGAAGCAAAATACTGCTCCTCCCGCTGTCGCGCAAAGAAACCAAGCCGTCTAGACAAGGAAATCGAACACCTCTTCGTCCGCTTCCTCCAAGGCGAGGAGGAACTCCAAGGTGACGCAAAAGCCAAAGCAAAAGCCAAAAAAACGAAGGGCGACACCCGGATCCTCGTCCCCTGCGACGTCGTCGAAGAATCCTTCTTTGGCGAGAGAAAAGCACCAGACAGAGTCTACGGCCGCGGCAAAAACCGCGCCTCGCGAGTCATCCCCGGAAAAGAAGGATCCTCCTCCTCCGAAGACATCTCCATCCAGGACCGACGATCCTACGACGAGGACGCAGGTGAGGATATAATCGACGAGATGCTCGGTCTTGACCGGAGTAAATCCGCAGAGCTGGATCCCAGCGTACAGGCTAGTCTTTCCGTGCGCAGCGGGACGAGGGTGAGGCCGCCGCAGACGCAGAGCCAGGTGAATGGGAGCGTTGGCGGGGAGAAGGGGCGGGCGGAGAGGATTGAGGAGACGGAGGAGATGAGGGAGAAGAGGGCGGAGGGGCAGAGGAGGGCGCATGAGAGGGAGATGGTGCGGTGTGCTGCTAGGAGGGGTGTTGTTTTTGGGTTTCTTGTAGGTGATGGCGAGGAGAGGAGGAAGTGTGAGGCTGTGAGGCAAGGCAAGGTGGTTGAGCCTAGCTTTGCAAAGGGGGAATGGTCTGTTCGATGGCGGGAGGATTAGAGCATTTTCATGGAAGGCATCACATATCGCATCTGGTAGACACAGGTGAATGAACATGAATTCTACGCTGTATTAATTTTGTTTTCCGGTCGTAAACATGCACATATACAAGCTCAAACGCTCCGGCACCATCCGCCTTTTACTTTAACAAGTCTTTTCAAGTCTTTCAAGTCTGTCTCAAATGACTCTGGACTCTACGCTTTTCTACGCTTCTACAGGAAGCTGGTGGCCAAGGTGATGACGGTGGTATACACCATACCGACAAGACCGAGGGTCATGAGGGCGTAATCGCAAATCTTTTGGTTTCTCGTCTCGGCGATACCCTTGAGATGCAGGTAGGGCGGATAAATGTAGACCAAGGGCACGCACGCAAATGATCCAATGAGCGCGACAAAACGGTCGAGGTTGGCGGAGCCGGCAATGGAGATTGCGATGCAGAGGCCGACGAGGGAGGTGCGGAAGGCGTTCTTCTTCCACTTTGTCAAGAGATCCTTCTTCCCGGAGCGGTAGCCAAAGATCTTGGTCTCGATGATACGCATGGCGGGGAAGAGCTGGACGGGGTTGCCGACGAGGACAGCGAGTGCGTACATAAACTGCACGGCGTTGACGAGGCGGCTGTCTTGTGGGTAGTTGTCGATAATCTCAATCTTTGTGCTGTCTCCGAAAGTCGCGTAGCAGAGGGCGCCGACCGAGGTGAAGACACAGGTGATGAGGAGCATGACGCCCGCCAACAGGGGTTCAAAGTGCTCCGGCTTCTTCATGCTGGCCTGTATGGGAATGATGAGGCCGATGCCCTCAAACGTGAAGATGGAGGCGCCAATGGTGAGGGTGTAGGAGCTCGGGTTGAAGAGCTTGACCGATGGATCCATGCCACGGGTGGCGAGGGCCGAAATATCATACCACCAGATGTAGCCTACGCCGATGATGATGAAGACATCGGCGAGGAGGGCGGCGGGGCCGAGCTTGGAGATGTTGCGGATGAAGGCCAGGGGTACGATGACGGCGGCCTGCAGGGCGATAAGGGCGGTTGAGTCGAGGGGGTTCGCGCCGCCTGTGACTGCCTTTAGGAAGGAGAACCAGTTGTCGGCAACAAACACAAGACCAGTGCAGACGAAGCCAATCTGGGAGAGGGTGATGGACGCCAAGATGAGGGAGCGCATGCGCGGGCCAGAAATCTCCTTGCCGAGATCACCGTAACCACCGCCGTAGCGGGTGCGGCACTGGAGGAGAAGATGGAAGGCGGCCATGGAAATTGCAGCGACGACGAGCATGGTCAGGGAGGAGAAGAGGATACCGCCGTTCTTAAAGGCCTTGGGCAAGAACATGATACCCGTGCCGATGAAGGCCTTGAGGGTGGTGAAGAAGGTCTTTGTGGTGCTGGCGTCGCCGGCCTTTTTGGCGAAGCGCGAGGACCGCCGTCTTCCCAGTAGCGGACGAGTCTCGGTGGGTGCACCGCGGGGTCTGTCATGTGCCTCCTCTTCGTCCTCGTCGTCCGATACAATGGCCTCCTCGTCTGAATCCGCGAGATCCTCACCGGCAAAGGAACCGTAGAAGTCGAGGAACTCGACAAAGTTGCGGGTAATGGGCAACGTGGCGGCAGTGTAGTTGTGTTTTTGCATGACAAACTGGCGACGGAAGCCCTGGGGCAGAAGCATCTCGGCCGCGGGAAGGTCGGATTCGTGGCCGGACTCGGTGCGGCGCGGGTGGGAGAATGTCTGGGCGCGCTTCAAGGTTTGTTCTCTCGCCGAAATCTTGAAAAGATCGCGATGCATATCGCCACCGGGGAGGAGGAGGGAGGATGCCTCTTCGACGTCATTTCCGTTGAGATCGTCATTCTCGGTAGCAGGGAGGTTCGGGGCCGAGTTGGAGGTTACGTGGGCAAGGTCACCGTTGGAGAGGTTTCGTGTGCCGTCGAAGCTAGTGCCGTAACCTGAAGGGAGGTGGTTTGCGATTACGGCGGTGCGCAACCGCTCCTCCGTAGATGAGGGTGTGTCGGACATGGCGATGTTTTGTGGGATGCTGATCAAGTGTGGTGGTGATAGTGATGATGTGGTGACGATGCTGTTGGGTGGAAAGATTTGGGGTAAATGACAACGACGGATGCTGGGGGGCTAGAAGAAATTGGAGCTGAAGTCTATGCTTGTGAGCATCCCCGGGCTATGCAAAGATTAAATTGAAACGATGAGGAAGGATGTAGAAGAGGTCGGGTGGAGAGGAGAGCGAGAGACAGAGGAAGGGAATTGCCTCGGTTCAAGTTTGGGGGGTTTGGGGCTCGCGGACTACGAGGATGCGGTCGCAGGTGTAGTCATGGGATCGTGGGGAATGGAATTGGAGAGATGAGGTTGGGTTGGGTGTGGTGTGGAAGAAAGTGTGAAAAGCTTCAACGTTGTTTTCCAAGGTCGGTCAATGTTTGGTGGGCAATGACTTGGTTGAAGCTCGAGCCGCTTGCGGACCCCACTGCGGATTCATGCATGGGTGGGTAGCCGAATACAATGCAGAGCGAAAGAAAGATAGAGGAATACTTGTGATGGATGGGATGAATGGGCAAGAAGAGACGATGTTGTGGTGAAGAGAGGAAGATGAGAGAAGTCGTCGTCTATCGCGGGGGTGGGGAAGGGGGAAGACGAAGAGACAAGGACGAAAAGAAAAGGAACCAACGGGAGAAGAGCGGGAACACAAGAGAGACACCCCAGTCTGCAGAGAGGAGGAAGCAGCTATGCCCCATGGAGTTTAAGGGCGTCTCTCCTTCACACTTTCTCTGATCTTGCTCGCCACAGTCTCTCGCCCAAAGACCAAGGATCGTGAGAAGACGATACGTCAGTCCGCAGGAACAAGCGCGACTTCTGGGGCCGCGAGAACAGCACCAATGGCCACCAGAAGGGGGGCGCCTAGCTTGACCAACTGTTCACCCGGCCACACACCACCCTCGCAGTGGATATGCTCAAGTTAGACTGCCACTGAGTGGTGGTTGAGATGATGCCCCCCCCCCCCGGACAAGAGGAAATGCTGCATTGCCGCCAGATTTGTGGCGGTGAGAAAGTTGCCAGTGAGTGATGACAGGACTCGACAACTCGACACTTGGACTTTTCTCACGGTCCTTGACCTTGTGGGGTGAGACACCCAGCTCAGACAGGGGAGAGACACGGAATCACGTTACCCTCCACAGACCTGTCTCGGTCTGCAGTAGATTGCTCGTCATCATGGATCTGTCCCAGACATGTCTTTTACGTGACACTTGCGAATCTGGGCGTTGGAATCGCATTCCTCTGGATCGCATTCTGCTTTTGGTTCCAATGGTGTCTGTCAATGTCACTCTTATTCTTCACGATGAGACTCACTCACTCACTCACTCACTCACTCATAGGCTTACCTACACACTCACTCACCCTCACGTCCAGGTTCTCACACGAAATCTCACAGCGGGGCCGCTCATGACGCCACCCCGACGGACCCTTGAAAAAGAGACTAAAAAAATGAGAAAACTCGAGGCCTTGCAGGCTTGCAGAAGCGAAATTCAAAAAAAGATCCCAACCCAACCCAATGCCCGAGCAACGATCCGGTCTTGTCCGATGCTAACCAGCGGTCAGTATCACGTGGCCCATGCCATCCAGGTGATGACCAAACCGTCGCCTCTCAATGACCCACGTGTGTCTGTTTTGATGGGGCATCGCGGTTCGACGGGAATAGCCTCATACACTCACTCACTCACTCAAACACGCTTTTCACTCAGAAATGAAGCCCAAATGGTGTCTTTCACAACACTTCTTCACTCATCGGCCAATGTCTCAATCTGCGTATGTCTCAAGTGAGACCAAGACCTCGTCGCGGTCTCTTCTGCCGAGACATGTTTGCTTTTTTGGCCGCTGGAATGTTCATGTTTCGCGGAAAGGGTTTCTCTCTCAAATCCAAGACCTAGACTGGACCCTCAATCGCCCCCTTTCAAAGAAAAATCCATCATAAGATGGCCGACCCCGCTGCTGCACGGCCGCTTGCAGACCTCATCGCATTCCATCTTCGCAGCCTCACCGTCAAGCCAAGCAAGCACCTTTACCACGCATCTGCGAGCAGTATCATGAGAAAAGGCCAAGGCCAGCTGAATACTTCTTTTTCCTCATCTCGCCTGTGTTCTAGAAGTCTAGACCTAGACCTCGAGGCTGAAAACAGAGGGTTCTTTGTTTTCCACAGCATTCCTCCACCTCGTTAATCTGAATCTCGACCCGGCTTTCATGACCCTGCCTGACGATGCTGGACACAATCATTGTTGACGGTCTTACTCACTGGCACTGGGAATACCCTTCACCACTTCGTCAGCACACTCACACATACCCAAAAGCATCATCAACACTTACAGTCGTTGACCTTGACACACGTGAACGAACTCGCGCACTACCCAAATGTCAGCACTCAGCTCAGCCCAAGACTCCTCAGACCGGCAACTCACAGCAGTTGGTCCCGTCCAGTTGAGCCCGCCGCACTGGCCCCACTGAGGCGCCGTTCCGGATCCCCCGGCTGCCGTGGTCGTCGTCGCTGCTGCCGTGGAGGTTCGCAGCGTAGTGGAAGCGCGGCTCGTCGTCGCAGGAACCGTCGCAGCAGCTGAAGAGCTCACCGGTGTCTAGCAGTAGTCAGATCCATCGGCCATTGGTTACCACGAAGCTTCATTCTCATCAAATCTTACCACAAAACCGAACCACTTGAGGTCTTCCTCCGGAAACACATCAATCGAATGGGTCACGCCCGTACCCAGGAAAGTCTACACATCAAAGCATTAATAATCTGCCTCTCCCAGTGTTCATCGCTTCAAAAACTCACCTGCAACTTCTCCCCAAACACATACTTGGTATACGGGCTCCTAGGAAAGTCCGCCGTCGTCGACTGCGGCGTCGCAGAGTACCCAAACACACCCGTCCACTGCTTGATCGTCTCGTAGTAGTTCTGCACGTTGAGCGCCTCGTCCGCCGTGCCGTGGTAGATTTGCATCTTGGGCCGCGCGCCCGTGTACCCCGGATACATGTTGTACACGACGTTGGCCCACTGCTGCTGCGTCCAGATGGATTGGCCCGTCGAGCACGTCGAGTTCCAAAAGTCGGGAATGTCGTCCGCAGACATGAAGCAGCCGGCCGGGACGCCTGCGTAGGCGATACCGGCTGCGAAGACGTCTGGGTACGTTGCCGCCAGGACGTTCTTCACGTCACGGAGGTCACATGTCAGAAGGCTTCATATGGCTGAAAAGGTCACGACATACCGTCATCATGGCACCCGACGAAATACCAGTCGCATACACCTTACTCTTATCCGCCCCATACTGCGCAATCACAAAGCTCACCATATTCGCAATCGAATTACTCGCGCCGCCCCCGCCATGCGTCAGCGTCATCTTGCTCGCCACATCCCAGCAGTTGTCGCGCGTGTACGGCGTCTGCGGGTAGATGACGATATACCCGTACGTCTCGGCGTACCGCGCCCACTGGCTGCCCTGGTAGTATGCCGACGCGCTGCCGCTGCACCAGTGGATGCCCACGACGACGGCGGGCTTAGCGGCGAGGTTCTGCGGCACGTAGAGCCACATGCGCGTGCCCGTCGGGTTCGAGCCGTAGTCTGTTACCTCGGTGAAGGTTGCGCGCGGGACGACTTCGGCGCCGAGGGCCGAGGTGATGAGGGTTAGTGCCCAGAGGGCCATGCCTAGGATGGACTTCATCTTGGCGACGGCTTTGGTGTGAAGTGAGCGATTGAGGGACGAGCAATCAGCACCTTTGCAAGTGTACGTGATGAGACTTCTTTTTGGTGATTTATCTATTCATCGCCAAGTCCTGTCTTGCAGGTTGCCTGCAGACATGGCCTGCTTCAATGGGTGCCCCGGATCGTAAGCCTCCGTATTCATGAGCCAAGTGACATCGCGTCGATCCGGTTCGCCCCTCCCCCGCTGCTTTTCGGCCGCATCCGTACCGCTCTTTTCCTCTCAAGGGCTTCATTGATGTACGGTTACCGCTATCAAGCTTTTGTCTCTGTTCCTGGCCTACTGACGTTGATCATCCACGCATGTAGTACACGCTGGTGTGGGCGGGCTGGGATGCGGGTGCCCCTCCATCGCGGGGTACGGGCCTTGGTTTCCACACGCAGTCAACCTCATGTAATCGTGTCAGCCGGAGTCATTTGCGGATTGACGGCCACGATGCTCGGTTCAGGTAGTGAAAGAGCTTGAGGAGAAGAGTGTGATGGCCGCCTTCAAGCATACTGGGTGGTTGAGCATCTCGAGCCAACCCCTCCATGCACCCCGAAGCGCGGAAACATCTTCCGCCAATCGCTTGGGCGGAGATTCCCGTTCTTGGGAATTCGACTGCTCAGAGGCTCCGCGATCAATTTGGGAATCAATATAGCTGGCTTGGCTGCGTGGTATTCGTGCTACCCAAAATGAAGCTTATTGACGAGAAGTTCCTCGGTTTCGCTTCGCTGCTCGTCGAGCCGAAGTCCCGGTATTCTCGATATTGCACGCAGTCTTCATGCAGAGCAACAGTGAGATTGGTCTTGATATCTCAGTGACACATCATTTCTGTTTGTCTCCTTCACCTAAAGTATTGAACGACTTTGTGGCATTTTGCTAGACCCAGCTTCTCTTTACGCCTCTACCAGAAAGCAGCTCCAAGAGACTCGCCATCTAGCTTCATACCTTTCCCACCGGATGTACCACGCAAGCATCAGCATAGTCTTCGTCTTCTGAACTTCAAACAACATCCTTCCTACGTCTGATCATAACCTTGGCTCTGGGATTTGCCAGAGTCGAGAATCCGAAACGCATAGGCTCAACGGTATTCATGTCAACATCATCAGCCAGCTTGAACTCATACCCGAGCAAGATGTGCGACATGACCAGCTTCGCAGAGCTCGCGCCAAAGAATCGGCCAGGGCACGCGTGCGAGCCGAGCCCGAAGCCCATGTGCTCCGGCGATACACTCGCGAGCTGCGCGCAATGCTCGTTGTTGCCGCCTTCGCGCATTCGGAGGAAGCGTCCGCCGTCAAAGGTCTCTGGGTTTGGGTAGATCTCCTGCGTTTCGAGAAAGTTAGCCATCGGATTGTGGTGAATGGCCGGCAAGAGATGGAAAGTCTTACGGGATCCCACATGTTCACCGATGATACGGCGACGCCGGTTGTCTTTGGGAGTACAGTGCCGTCGCTCAATTTCACGTCATCTTCCATCACGCGCCTCCCAAGAGCCACTGTCGAGATGTTAGCAACAGAACAATGGCGCAGGAGATAACACATACCCGAAGCAATGGGCTTGAGACGCAGCGTCTCCTTCAACACGCTATCCAAGAGCCTCAAGTTATACAACGTAGAAGTCTTCCACCCACCCCTCGTCTCCCTTACAATCTCCTCCCTCAACGCCTCCGTCACCTCCGGATTCACACACAAATCCAGCAAATTCTGCGAGACCATATCCGTACTCGACGCGTTTGCAAGAATCGACAACCCAAGCTGCTGAAACGCCGCATTCTGCGCCGTCCGATCCTGCTGCTTCCTCGCCAGCTCTTCAATCCACGCCAAGGCGTTATCAAACACCACGCCGCCCTTTTCAGCCTCCTGCTCCCTTCGCCTCTGCTGGATCGGCTCGATGGCCTGCCGCGCGGTGCGGAGCATCTGGCGCAGCTCGCAGCAGCAGGGGAGGAACCAGTGTACGAAGCGGCGGATCGGAGCCGGGTAGGATCGGAGGACTTTGGCGGCGGCCATGGCTTTCTGGGGGTAGTTTATGGTGATGTTGAGCCAGGTTGAGTCGCGGCAGAGTTCGGGACCGAGGAAGACTAGGGCGGAGACGCGAGCGACGATTTGGGCGACTGTTGGGGCGAGGGTGATTTCGTGCCATTCTGGGGCGGCGTTAGAGAGAGCTTGAGTGGGTTAGGGTCGTGAGATGTACCTTCGTTGTCGGTGAAGACGTCTTTCAGGGCGTTTGCTGCCTCGTCTGCGAGTGGTTGCGATAACTTGGCTGCACGGTCAAGGTGAGCAAAGTGTGAGAGACTTTTCGAGCTCTGCAGACTTACCGACATCACTCTGAGTGAGATGAGTCCGGATCATCTCACGGATGAGCTCACTTCCTGAGCTAAAGTACGGTTCGAACCCCGGTGTTCCGGCTTGCCAGTAAGCCAGGAGGAACTCCGTCGAGCTTAAACGATTATCGTTCTTCACATCGTGACAAAATTTGGGCGCCAGGACCGTGAGAGTACTGCCTTGACCTGTGAAGACCCTGAAAGGCTTGCCGCCGTACTCATTGGCCCCCTTCGCGAGGAGGGCTCTTCCGCCGGTTAGGTATTCCTCCTTGGTTTTGTTGATGACTGGGTAGATCTCGACATCTTGGAACTTGTGCCGGAGTGGTGCCGCGATGACTGAAGCTATCACGAGTAATGCTAGCCAATAAAGGCTAGAATTTGACGCTGGAAATGATGAGGACAGCTTGAGGGTTGCAAACTCGGTCCAGCTGGGTGATGTGGTTGAAGCATTCATGTCCATGATGTGTTGATCAAGGCTGGAATTGACGATGTTTTCGTGGGTGGCTTGTAGGAAGCTATTCGCAGCATATGCAATTGTTCCCGATTAAAGGCCCTGGCTTCAAGCTTGGGATTCATAGAGTTCTCTCAAATTTAATCCATCCACTCTGGGATTTGAATAAACCTTTTGTTTCAATCCGACTACTACTCACGGTTTATGAGTTGATTCGTTACAATGTATTTGCTAAACCAGAATCTTGTCTGCCTTCACCATAACTCTCCTTTGCTTGGTTTGCGAAGATTACAAGGTGTTAGGGAGTACATCTCGTTGACAAGGAACTGTTGAACTTGACGAAGAAAGCTACTGCGGAGAGGTGGCTCGGTCCGAAACCTTCGCGTAGATCGTCTTTCGGACCGCTGAATTGACTTGTAGAAGGGATCATAGAAAAGACGCTCTGAGTTTATTAAAACCCTTTCGCTGGTTGGTAAAAGATGCTTCCCGGGCTCACTTTACTGGGAGGAACAGCCACTACGACCGCCACAGTCGATTGCCCGAATCAAATGCTTGTTTGTGTACACAATTGGATGGCGGAAACCCGGCGTCATGGCCGCCAGCCGGGGCTACGAATGGCACTAACCTAAGCTTTAGCTCCGTGTCGTCGGGTCCGAGATTCAGTCGGAGGTTATCCGTACGGACATAACACAGCGGATTTGTAGGCGGCTTTATTACGGATTATCTCTTGGCTGTCGTTGTAGCGCAATGGATATCAATGACTACTCTACTCCAGTCGTGTCTCCATACGGAGCGTTACGGTGGTGCCCGAGGCGGTGACCGCGGTGATCAAAGCGTCAATTTCTTTTCCTCGATCGGACGACTGACAAGCAGGCGGAATGCTCCGCGGGCAAAAGACTGCGATAGCCCTTGTACCAACGGACCGAAAGAGACAAAGTGCCTCAATATGTCTTTGAAGTGATGATCGACGGCTGCGCCGACTTGGCTTCGGGCGGCGGGTCCCCGGATGGGAGAGATTTTTGAAGGGCCATGACGAGGAAACCGGATTTCCCGAGTCAGTCGGACTTTGCGTTCCTCACGGCTCAAACCCCCTCTTGGGGGCGCAAAACATCATGCAGCTAAGTCACGCAGCGCATCGAAACCCCAATACCCACCCCTCTGCACTAAATCTTCGGTAAGCCAGCACAGCACGGTTTATGTCTAAAACCTCATGTTCCGTGGTTGAAAGAAATTCAAAAGTATCCATTTGGGGCATGCCAAGGTGTCATGTGTGCAACGTCGTAGATGGAAAAAGATTGGATGACGCCGAGGATAATGCCGCAGGTATAGCCCTCACACACATCTCGTTTTGGCAGGCCAGTAAGCGTCATTCGTTTCTCGATATTAAGGGGAATAGAGGCCGCCGTCTGTACGCGTATGCGGGTAGGATCCATAACCAAGAAATCAGCAAAAGGAGACAAACTGATTCCGTAGAGAACTGTCAAGGAGTTCGAGAGGGCGGATCTACAGAGACTCCCGCAAACGGTTGCAACGAAAGAGGCGCCGTTAGGTTCATGGGTGTTGCTTGTCGGGCCGCCGCGACTCGAACGATCTGAGGGCCTCTGTCAGCGGCTTTTTGCGTGTTTTGTTCAATGTTCTGACTCTTTGAAACGTCAAACCTTTTTCCAAGAGGCAATGTGAATGGACCTGCTGGAGAAACAACGAGGAAACACCCGTACAGTGATCTTTGAAGCTCTCGACACACATCAGACTTTCCTCGAGTTGTGTATCCGTATGATAACCTACCTACTCAACAAGAGCCTTCCATTCTCTTGGGAGGACGATTTCCAGCTCATCTCACACGAACGCTACCGACGCTACCAACGTTGGGTTTCCGAGGCCCAGACTACCCAGCCCCCCGGGTAAACCGGCGTCTCCCCGCACGTGGAGAAGCGTCTCCGGGGAAATGCACTTCTCCATTTCTTCCCCATCACGCAGGCTACGCTAATTCCAAACTCCGCTCTTCTCGCCAGCAAAGGCCTCCACTATCCAAACAAGCCTCATCACAGTTTTAGAGTTGAACTGGCTCGAGATTCGTGTTCTCTTCCTTGCTCTGCCGCGTGCGCGCGCGGCCCAACTTCCACTTGAGAGAAAGTGACACGACTCTTGCTCACATGGGCAAAAGCCACAGAGTGAACATGTTCCCGTATGCCTGCCGGCCGGTAGAAGACTCTTCCGCAACGATGAACCCCCGGAGAGCATACCCCAACCTGGTCGCCTTCTCCGCACTCGCCATTGCCGATGCATGGTTATCCCCTCAAGCTAACACGTGTAGTCTACCAGTGTGGGGAGAAACAGGCAGGTCACTATGCCTCGTTCTATTGCTGTAAGACAGAGCTCCTCAGATGCTCGCCTTGAATCAGGCATAGACCGCCCAGTGTTTGCTTTTGTCTGGAAGGTCACCTTGTCCAGTCATGCCGTGGCTAACTGCCGTCACTCCACGCCGGCCGGCACGCCACCCGATGGGATCGCCGAGAGTGGGCATCGATTTGCTGCTAGTCTTCTTTCCATGGTTGTGTTGAGATGAACGGCCTGGCATCGTCACATTGAAAACTGCTTTTGGACACCAGGTCAACTACAGTAGGCACTCCATTATTAATATAAAAGAAGCCATTGAGCCCCGACACCTCGATCAAGAGGAAGGTCAGCCTCGAATGGACTTGGGAATTTGTCCTATTCAACGCCCATTCGCCGACATGAAGTCCCTCGACCTTTCTGCGATGCTGCTGGTGCCCGCGGCCCAGTACGTCATGGGCGCTTTCGCCGACGACTGCAGCGCCCTTGCCAACAACTTGAAGCTGCCAAACACCACCGTCTGGTTCTCTACGCCTGTCTCTGCCGGCACCAACATTACCTTCCCTGAGAACCACCCGACTTGCACCCGCCCTGGACAGGTCGTCGAGGTCGACATTTGCCGTGTGTCCATGTTGACCACCACTGGCCCCATCAGCAACGTTAGTATCGAGACATGGCTCCCGTCCAACTGGACCGGTCGATTCCTGAGCACCGGTAACGGAGGCACTGGCGGTTGCATCCAATATGAGGATATCGCCTACGCCGTCTCCCGAGGCTTCGCTGCAGTCGGCGCCAACAACGGACACAACGGCACCATTGGCTCGCCTTTCCTCAACAACCCCGGCACCATTGAGGACTTTGCCTACCGATCCCTCCACACTGGCGTCGTCATTGGCAAGGAGACAACCAAGGCCCTTTATGGCAAGGAGCACACCAAGTCATACTACCTTGGATGCTCGACCGGCGGCAGGCAAGGCTTCAAGGAAGCCCAGGACTTCCCTGACGACTTTGACGGTATCGTGGCTGGCGCGCCCGCCTTGGCCTTCAACAACCTGACATCCTGGAGCGGTCACTTCTTCACCGCCACCGGCACCTCTGACAAGCCGACTTTCCTGTCGGCAGACCTCTGGACTGTTGTCTACAAGGACCTCCTCAACCAATGCGACGGTCTCGACGGCCACGTCGACGGCATCATCGAGGACCCGGATCTGTGCCAGTACCGCCCAGAGTCTCTCATCTGCGGCGCCGGCCAGACGGCAAACTGCTTGACCGGCGTCCAGGCCCAGACGGTCCGCACCGTTTTCTCCGACCTGTACGGACAGGACGGAACCCTCGTCTACCCCCGCCTCCAGCCCGGCGCCCAGCCCACCCAGATCCTTCTCGCCGGCCGCGCATTCCCCTACACGACGGATTGGTTCCAAAACGTCATCTACAATGGCACGACCTGGGACCCTGCCACCATCGGCCCCAAGGACTTCGCCGCCGCCGCCGCCCAGAACCCCGGTGGCATCGAGACCTGGAAGGGCGATCTCTCCGGCGTCAAGGACCGCGGCACCAAGGTGCTGCACTACCACGGCCTCCAGGACCCCATCATCAGCAGCGACAATAGCGCGCGCTACTACAACCACGTCTCGCGCACCATGGGCCTCACGTCCGCGCAGCTCGACGAGTTCTACCGGTACTTCCGCATTTCGGGCATGAACCACTGCAGCGGTGGTCCTGGCGCCAGCTTCATCGGCAACAAGGAGTCTGCCGTTGCCGGCTTCGAGCCTGAGCGCAATGTTCTGTCGGCCATTGTGAAGTGGGTTGAGGAAGGCGTCGCGCCGGACTCGATCCTCGGCACTGCGTTTGTTAATGGTACACAGGGTGGCCAGGTTGCTTTCACGAGGAAGCACTGCAAGTACCCCACGCGTAATGTGTACAAGACTGGAGACCCCAACTCTCCTGATAGCTGGACTTGTGTATAATGTCTCTTTCTTGGGTTTAGTTTGCTTCTGATGTACATATTGCTCACTGCACATTACCATAATATGAATGACAAGATTACATGTATACCATCTCATGACAGCTGTGTTCAATAAATAAGGAACGTATCAGGATTATCTCAGCATATGGCATCCCGAAGTCACAGCCACAGACGTGAACATAGCTATTCCAGTGCCGTTGCCGATGTTTTTGTTAGACAGAATTTCACGAGAGTCACATAGACTTTTCTCTGAAAGACGGGAAATAGGGAAAGGCAAAATTGACTCGAACTGACGACCTTCTGAATCCATCGTCGTATTCTGTTAAAAAAATGTACTCAAGTGAATACGCCGATTCACGTGATTGCATCGACCGCCACCTGAATTACTATGACAAAACATACCAAAAAAAGAAGCTATCCATGGCATTATGTAGGACCGTGAGCCAACATACGCTTCTACTTTTGAAGGCTAGAATCGTACCGCTCGGCCATCGACTACAACGGACGATGCTTCTTGAAAAGAGAGTCATACTCCTGACTCTATGAAGGCATCAACGTCAACCCCCTGCCTCCTCCCGTAGGCAAGCCAGCTCAATTACCCTGCTCAAGTTCTTTTCAACCAAGAAAGTGCAGGCTTCCTCGTCGTAGTTGGGCCGAATGGAGATGTTTTGAATAGAACCCAAAAAGTTGAATGAGTCGCAACTTAGTATGCGATAATTTTAAGATGCCTACGTCAATCCAGGTCATTAGCAGGGAGGCAACAACTACGCGATGCGTCTGACTCAACCTCTACTTCCACCCCGTGCTATGCAGTCCTTTCCACGAATCAGAAAAATTTCCGGTTTGAAGTTTGAATAGGCTGTTATAGCCAACTCTAAAAGGTTCCTAGCAAGCTCCTGCTACCACTATTCGCTGAACTTTGCCGCATATAGTTCAAGGTTTCCTCACCTTCAAAGTTTCTTTCACCGACTCGCGTTCGCTTCCCTGACTGAACGACTACGATAGTTGCCGTCGGTAGATCAACGCACACAGACCATGCTTGATTTTCCTGGACCTTTTCTACTGGTCGTCTCGATCTTGGCAATCTCCTTTGAACACTCCTCGTAATGACCTACGATGGGCAGATATGAACAACACGAACGGAACGGCCCCCGCGCCTCTAGATCCGGCATGGGCCGCTGAGAGCAACACCGCGCGTATCATCGCCGTCGTGACTGTTTTTCATCTTCTGGCGCAGATGAGTGTTGCGCTACGGATATACGCAAGAATATGGGTCATTAAAGCATCTGGGTGGGACGATGCGGTCATGGTCTTGTCGGCGGCAAGTACATGCACAACTTCAGATCCCCTTTTTGCTGCCCGCGGACACTGACTTGGTCGAGCTTATAGCTCTGTGCCTGGGGAGGATGGGTCTCATTCGTGATTCAGGCGTATTACGGTCTAGGCAAGCACTTCTTGACCATCGACAAGAAATATGACTACGTCGTGTTCAATCATGTTGCTTTTTGGCAGTCCATCATCTCCGCCACCGGCGCCCTCATGTTTCTCAAGGTTTCCATCGCTCTTAGTCTCTTACGCTTGAGTAAGACTCGATGGTACAAGTGGGCATTGTGGTCAACAATTGGTAGGCTCACCGCAGTCGCGGACCTCTTCCATCGATTACTAACAGTCCAACTAAGCTCTTGTCTTCTTCTACTCCATTGGCGGCATGTTTCCGTTTTTCCTTCATTGCAAACCCATATCGGGCTTTTGGGATAGGAACACGACACCGCCTCCAAAGTGTAAGGATAGCAACAACATTAACCTCTTTGGTATCATCAACACAGGTATGTCAGGGCCTCACTTCAGTATCTGCATTAATCACTGTAATATCATACTCGACGCCGCCGCTAAGCTGCTTCTACATGTAGGCTTCAACATCTTCACCGACGTAGTTCTAGCCACCTTGCCTGTGCCAGTCATATGGAATTTGCAGATGAAGCGCAGACTGCGTCTCTACGCAATTGGAATCTTAAGCTTAGGTTACTTGTGAGTATCAGACGATTCAGAATCATACTTCATTAGCTCCGGATACTAATGAAGCCACAAGTGCTGTCGCAATGGGCATAGTCAAGGCAGTCTACCAGCTCGCTAATGATAGCGAGCCTGACAAAACGTTCAACAGAAGCATTCAGTTCTGGGGCTTGTAGGTACAACTTACAAATGCTCTGTTTCTTACAGCTAATCAGGCATTCTCATACTTAGCCTACAGCTGCAGGTCGGTATCATAGCAGCGTGTGCACCGGCCTTGAAACCTCTCGTCAACAAGTTACTCAACCTATCAGCATACAATCAGCACATGCCTGACCTATACGGCAAGCAGTCAAAACAAACTGGCCCTGGACCAAGGACACTCGAGTATAATACCTTCCGCAGTCGTAGTGACATAACGACGAGAAGCGACCAGTACGAGCTCGACCAATGGGCTCTGGATCCACGGTGCGGCTCTCAACAGGGCGGGAGCAGACTCCAGACAGGGCAAGCTCCAGCAGGTATCATGCTCAGCGACGATGATCGAAGTAAAGCTATACGAATAGAGGAAGAGACCGCGATTCAAGTCCAGTCAAGCAACTTGCAAGGGATCATCAAGACTACGGAGTTCGCTAGAAGATCGGAACACATTGCGTAGCGTTTTCAAGGTCATTCCAAAATAGCATGCAGGCAAGACAGATAATTCTTTCGCAGCGGAATAACATATCAACATGTACGAACATCTTAGACTGAATGGAACCTCATCGCATTGGTCTTTGGAAGCTTCGCCGAGCACTCATGACGATGCATTTTCTCAGTCCAGGTCTCTTTCTTAGGGCCTGTAAAGACCAGTATGGATTCCTCCAAACGTGAGGCGCATGAGACACGCATGTCACCTGATTATATCCGAGTGCGGTCCGACGGGTAGCACAAAAGCCCGCGCCATTTAGTCACTCTTACGATCGGCTTCCGATGGGATGATACTCTAACACTCTGTTGCTCTTGGGCCGAAATTTGCGCTTTTCTTTACAAGGTCCTGGATCAAGGGCCCTGGTGAGCCGGTGGAGTGAGGCCCTGGCCCGATGCAATGCATCTGGGGCTCGTTCCTTGCAGTAACATTGAAGAGTCCCGGCATGCGATCCTGTTGTAGCTTCGTCTCCGCCCTTGGAAATTGATTGAGAGTCCACATCGGATGATAGGTGGGCCGTGGAAAGAGGCAAGCTTCCGGGCGTTGCGGACCTCTTCTATGGACATACTATGTAGTGCAGCTTGGAGGAAGAGGTTCACAAGCAGTGTGTAGGAGAAAGTCGCGATTCAGTTCAGTCTACTATGGAAATCGCCAGCATCAGAAAAACTCTACCAAGCCTTGAGGTTCTTGACATTCAATACGAGGGAACTTATTGGCTTTAGTCTTGCCTCCTTGCTTTCAAATCTGATTCATCATTATCCATTATCGCTGGGTGTAAATGGTTTAGGTGCCTTTACCTCACGTCTCGCCCCTTGCAGCAGCATCCCACTCTCCTAGAACTCCGCCAGCAGCTTTGGCAGGAGGTATTGATTGTTATACTCCCATAAAATGGTGGTGAACTGCGCAGACCACGCACCTCCCGTGTAGTATGTACTCCTCTGGCCCTGAAGAGCATATTGCTCAGTGATGTGACCAGCTGCCAGCTCAGCGCCAGATACTCGCAGATGTATGGCGCCATGATCGGACCAGGCCTTCAAATTGAGCTCCTCGGTGCCGAGGCTCGGGATCGTGCCAGCATCAGCTAGCAACTTGAGAGACTTCCTGACCAACGCTTGCGCCTGAGTGCTATCGTAGTCGGAAGAGCCAGTGATGAGCACGCGAAAGTTGTCGTCGCCGAGGTAGTCAAAGCGGCCGACGAAGGGGGTCTCGGGGAGGGAGATCCAGTTGGTGGCGACATTGTTCGTGAGTGAGTAGCTGATGGGCAGAGAAGGGTGAGAGACGACGCCGAAATAAACGGTAGTCCAATCCCATCTTGAGAAGACGGCTGTCTCCTCGTCGCTGATATCGATGCCGTTGAAGTTGGCAATCGTAGGTTCGAAGGAGATGAGAAGTTTCTTAGCTCGAATCAGCGTCTGCTTGTTATCTGCACCCCGGACAAGAATCTCGACGCCTTCTTCGGTACGGGAAGTCTTGATAGCTGTAGATGAGTACAGGACATCGTCGCCGAGAAGGTCTGCAATAGCATCGTAGATCTCTTGGTTTCGCCTGGATACAGGCACGAAGGAGCCAACTGTCCCCAAGAACGACCGAGTGATGGGTGCGCCGAAAGCCTGCATCACATCTTTTAGTAGTAGTAGTAGTAGTAGTAGTAGTAGTAGTATTTAACATCATCAGGGGCAGGAGCCTAGCTATCTAACTAACTAAGCCCCATCAACCAGAGCGCCCTTTGGGCATATAATATGCCATGCCGCTATCTAAACAGCATACGATAAGTTAGATAATCTTGTTACGACCCGACATGCACGACCAAGTCCAGGGCCTGCCCCGCAGGACCACGGCGACTAGGGCACACCATAAGTGCACGAACTATGGGAACACATGCGTCACCCTACGGAACGGAAGAACTATGGACCAAGTCACGTGATGATAAGATAAGGAAAGCTGTATGCCAAGAATACGGAGTCCGTCCCTTTGAGGTACGGACCCCGTATGTTCAGAATACGGAATCCGTATGGTAAACATACGGATAAAGGATATGTTCAGAATCAAGACTTGTATATAGGATGGACTCGAGCCGGACTCTAGGACAGACTTTCCATAGCTCTTCAGCAATTAACTTCGTATCAGGATTAACATCCGCTTTCAGCTACTACCTTGACAAGACTACGATTGATCACCGAAGCCTTACCTACCCTTGCGATTGACAGACATAGCTTCCCTGAAGCTATCCCCGACTACGATTACTGTTACCAGTTCCGCAGCCTCAACTTCTGCAAACATACCTCACTACGACTAGCTGGCCGTAACAAATCTATAATATATACTTTTCTTCTTATATCTAGAGTAGTAGAGATTATTAGCTAATCCTTAGGGTCCGTTCAGTTCTAAAAAGCACGCCAGTAGGGGTTTCCTAAATCGGTAGAAGTAAATGGGCCTTAAATAGCCCTATATCGTTTATAAATAACGGTGTTACGGCCAGCTAGTCGTAGGGGTAGTTTGCAGAAGTTGAGGCTGCGGAACTGGTAACAGTAATCGTAGTCGGGGATAGCTTCAGGGAAGCTATGTCTGTCAATCGTAAGGGTAGGTAAGGCTTCGGTGATCAATCGTAGTCTTGTCAAGGTAGTAGCTGAAAGCGGATGTTAATCCTGATACGAAGTTAATTGCTGAAGAGCTATGGAAAGTCTGTCCTAGAGTCCGGCTCGAGTCCATCCTATATACAAGTCCTGGTCCTGAACATATCCCTTGTCAATGATCAGTCCCTCTGATCGGGTGAGCGCTCATTTGATGATGATGATGATGATGTATTTAACGTCTGGTAACAAAAGGACGTGCCGGGCGCAATGCCGACATGGTCTATACTAATCTAAACTATATTACAGGCTACCGTCTTCACCTAACGTTCCTGTTCAATGACTCGGGCAAATTTCGGAAAAGAAATTGGTCTCCTCTATCCATTCGCATAGAAGAGAGGCTCCCTTAGCAGAACCTAACAAGAAATCAATACTTGCTTTAGCCATACGTTGGCGGAGGTAGCGCGGTGTAGCCTTGCGTCCACGCTTGCAGAAGTAGAAATGGACTGGTGTCTTGGGTTTCCCACAGCTGCAGTTGAGCAACGCATCTTGATGAGCGAATCTCTCGTGGTATGCTGCAAAGTCTCCATGATGGGATCTTGCTGCGTATAGCCTTCCTAGTAAGTGCCGAGGGAGGCGGAGTTCGGGCGGCTTGGGGTGAAGAATTATCTCGAGGTCGGCATATTGCCGAGGGCAGGGTGAGCGCTCATTGTTTGGCATGAGCGCTCATGGCCCCACCATGGTCGCTCATGTCTTATCTTATCATCACGTGACTTGTACCATAGTTCTTCCGTTCCGTGAGAGGGTGCCTAGTGTGTCCCTTGCCTCCTGCATATGTGGTGTGTTGTAACCGCCGCGAGCCTGCGGGGCAGGCCCTGTTCTTGGTCATGCATGTTGGGTCGTAACATGAAGCTCTAGATAATAGACCGTATATATAGCTTTAGTTCCTTATTATAAGAGGAAATAAAGTTATTTAGGATATTAGTAAGGAGGCGGTAGTTATATTATATCGTATTTAAATTAGGCCGTATTAACATATTGAAGCGCCGTAGCGGCGGTGGAGGGTATTTTACTTCCCTATGGTATATAAGGACGGGATAAGAGTGGCGTTAATAGGCGCAGCGGTAGCGCGCACAGGCGCGATAAGGTTAAAAGGGGGTCCGGTAGCAAGCTATCGGTATACGAAGAGCTTACGAGGCCTCCCTGAGGCCTCGCAGGTGGCGCGCCCGCGTCTAGCTACGAGGCCATTACGGGCGATAATTCGTAACTTGGGTGCAGGGAGTGGTGTTAGTGGGTGGGTGTAGGCCCGGGCAAGACACTAACAGTAGGTGTCTCACGCGGGTGATGCGTGTGTGAAGTGCCTGCATCACATCAAGGGTTATCTGATCGGCGATATTGCCTATTCCAAGACCGGTGGCCTGAAAGATGCGAGGGACAGCAGCCTGCAGATTGTACTTCTCGACAAAGTCGGAGAATTTGAGAGTCAGATCTTCAAGAACCCGACAGTTGTGTTTGGGAAGCTTGCGTAGGAGGGGATAATGTATGATTCGTACTTCTCACACTGCTCTATATAGGCCTTGAGAGCAGCTGTAGCGTCCGCAGAAGCCGGCAAAGAGTAGTTGGAGGTCTTCCCCGTGCTGAAGTCGGCGTATGTGGTCGTCAATGCCTGTCTGACTGGAGTTTGTACTGAAACGTTGAAGCGGGCGAAGAAGTCACGGGCTCCGCCGTAGTCTGTGTATGAGTTGACACCAAAGTCATATGGGTTTCCTGTCTCGGGATCCGTGAAGGTTGCGACATGGCCACCCTGGTGACAGTGAGCTTTATATTTCTTAATAGGTCCGGTGGATGTGGACTTACTATGCGGTTCTGTTGCTCTACGATGACAATTGTCTTATTGTAGTCTTCGCGGAGCCTTACGGCTGCATGAGCTCCGGAAGCATCTCCACCTAGAATTACAACACCTCTCTCGATGATGGTTGTCTTGTTGCCCGTCGGTATGATTGCTGCTGACGCCAGTGATAGAGTGCCTAGAAAGGCTGCGATGAGAGATGACATTTTGACCTGTGATATCGGCAGTGTTGACGGTTACGTAGAACAACCAAAATGCAATGCCTTCGCCAATCGTACGGTAAGTTGGCAATGCGAGGTGAATAGATAATTACGACGGAAGTTCTCAGGAGACCTTACTAGTTAGTTCTTATGGCAAAGTGCCGTTTTACTGTGCCGCATCATCGCATCAGACGTTCGGAAGTGATACCGTTAGGAGCACGAGATCTGGAGACTCGAGATGCAGAACACGGAGGTGATCCTGGCTTAGCGTAGAAGATTAATTCCACGTGCAGCAAGTTCGCCGCAAACTATTTGCTGGGTATCTCAAATGGGGAGACCAGATGCATGTTGCCCAACAAGATAACAGGGTCTCGTTGGAAAGTGATGCTCTCCAACTGAGACTACGCATGCATTGCGGCGAACCCAAGGCTCAACCCCTCATAGCCTGCTTAATTGCTGATTGGCATAATGGCGTAGTTAGTGACACCCCAGTTGTGGACGTGGGTAAGAGCCTGTTGCAGCATGAAATATGATCTGACAGGCATTGCAGAAGAGAGAGAACAGAAAAGGCTAAGCAAAGGCGGCGCAGAGAGACAACCAAGTGCTCCTCCTAAGCAGCACGAGCTTCCGGGCTGTGAAGATAGATGTCAGGCGTCTATCAATCAATCATTGGTAATCAAGATCACCGGAATGGTGCAGTTTTTGACATGACAGAGCCATTGCGCAAGATTCCGACATCAACCCACATGAACGGCAACAAGAGTCCACATATGTCAGTTGGTCGGACGACGCGATCACGCCAGTGGGTTTCTGCGATTCGGCAAAACTGGCCGAAATACATCCACCCATTGACTCGGAGGCAAGGGAGGGCGGTCCCGCGACTTGAGCTTGCCGTTCTATTCCGTTCCTACAGATCATAGAGCTTTATCTATTCTGTGCAATGCACCATGTCCCGTACATCGGAAAAATCAATGGGACGAGTTTGAAGAGATTGAGGGCTTTGAGTAGCTGACCGACGTGCTCACTAGAATGGTGACGTTTACAGGGGATGATTATAAGACTTTAAAGGCCTTCGCCTTCAATCAAACTTAATTACTAAAGAACGTCTATTACATTAAAGTGTTCAGTGACACTGGGTGGTATGTTCCAAAAGACATCATCTCATCTATATGCAAGCCCCTCGACTCCTATTCCTGATCGCAACTTGACTCGATATTTAGTAGCCAGCCAGAATCTGGGCAGAGATCTTCTCGGCCAAGACGTAGACAGTGCTCTGAGGGTGACCAGGAGGCAGAAGAGCAAAGCTGCTAGCATCAACAACTCTCAGACCGCTGACGCCAATGACCTTAGCGTCCTTGTCAACGACAGCCATGGGGTCGTCAGACTTGCCCATGCGGCACGTGCAGCTGGCGTGCCAAATGGTCATGACGGTGTTGCGAATGTTCTGGAGGATCTGAGCATCGGTCTCGACCTTGGCACCGGGAAAGTACTCCTTGTTGTCGGCCAGAACGGGCTTCATGGCATTGCTGGCAAAGGCCTGGCGGAGACGCTTGAAGGTGGCGACGGCAACGGCAACGTCGGTGGGATCGGTGAGCCACTTGGGGTCGATGAGAGGCAGGTCCTTGGTATCGGCGGAGGCGAGGGTGACGGTGCCTCTGGACATGGGCGCAACGAGACCTCCAAGAATGGTGGCATACTGGTAGCCGTCCTTGGGCTGGGTGAGGAGGAGGTTGGAGAAGTCGCCGACGTAGCCGGGTGCAGTGAGGTACTCAATCTCGGGCCAGTCAGCAGGGAAGTTGCTGTCAAGGACGGCAGCAGCATCAGAGGAGATGAGGTCACGAGGAGTCTTCTCCCAGCCGAGGAAGTCGCAGACGGGGTTAGTAAGGGGGCCGATCTTGCGGATTGAGTAGTCGAAGGCGAACTGGGCAGCGGTGTAGATGAGGTCGTTGGCCAGACGGGTCAAAGTCTGGACCTTGACGCGCCACGTGGGACCGAAGAAGACGTGATCCTCCATGTTCTGGCCGACACCAGGGCGCTCAGCGACGATAGGAATCTTGAACTTGTTGAGCTGGTCCTTGGGACCGACACCGGAAACCATGAGCAACTGGGGGCTCTGGAAGGCACCGGCGGACAGAATGACTTCCTTGTTGGCCTTAAGGGTGTAGGTAGCGATGCCGGCATTGGAGGTGAGAACAACACCGGTCGCCTTCTTGTTGCTGTCAAAGAGAATCTTCTTGGCCAAAGACAGCTGGTAGACCTTGAGGTTCTTGCGGCCAATGGCTGCGTTGAGGAACGAGGTCTGACTGGACTCGCGCTGCTGGTTGCTGGGCTGGATGGTATCGGAGCAGTACTGAGCGCCCATGAGCTCACCGCTGTTGAAGTCCTGAGCCTGGGGAATGCCAATCTCGTTCAGGGAGGGTTCGAGGTAAGTGCTGAAAGGCTGGGCATAGTTGGCATAGGAGACGTCAAGAGGTCCTCCGGCAGCATCGAAAGCGTCAAGGTTGTACTCTGCGCTGGCGTTGGGGAAGCGAGTAGGGCCGGGAGGGGTGAACTTGACGCTCTTCTTGAAGTAGGGAAGAAGAGAGTCCCAGGTGTAGCTATCATCGCCAATAGCATCTGCCCACTTCTGGTAGGACTGCTTGGTACCGCGCTGGTAGATCATGAAGTTGCGAGCGGAACTGGTATTACATTAAGATTTGTCCTCACAACGAATGAAACCGCAGAGGATTCTAAGACTCACCTTCCACCAAGACACTTGCCACGAGCGTAGTGGATCTTGCGGTTGTTGGCACCGCTTTGCGGCTGCGTGATGAAGTTCCAGTCCACTAGAGGGTTCGTGTCAAGAGGACTGGCACCGGCGAAAAGAGTATCTCCAGCGGGTGTCTGGCCGATGAGAAGGTTGGTAACCTCGTAGAACGTGCCGGCCTCAATCACGGCTACCGTAACATCGGGATTGGCGCTCAGTCTGTTAGCCATCACAAGACCGGCAGTACCACCGCCGACAATGACATAGTCGAAGGTCGCATCCTTTCCAAGACTTCCTGCGCTGGTGCCAAGCTGGCGCTTATGCTCGGCATGGAATCGTGCCTCCTCGTCGGCCGGGGCGGCATGGGTCAAGCCCAGTATAGTAACGAACGTGGAAACGGCGTAAGTGACACGCATTTTGAAAAGAGAGTATAGGGAATATTAGATGTGAAAGAGAGTGAACTGTCGAACCTTGAGACTTGGAGGTTGGTAGAGACCAATGGGAAGTCAATAGGATTGAAAAGAGACCTATAGCTGAATGACATGATTCCTCCGTCCGATCTCCATCCCACCGGAACCCTATGAGCTTTGCCCGGAATAGATCCTGTCGCGAGTGTTTACGAGAGCTAAACTCCATGTTCAGCTAGACTGGAGGCGGGCGCTAGAAGATCGTGACTATTCTTGCTCGTTTTTGCCCGCGCTAGACATAGTCTATTGCGTTCCTGGCTAAGTTTTTGCATTAGCGCGTGAACAGAGCGCACCACCGCATGAATCTGGGCCTACACCGATGACCACCGTTCTTAGGTTGTTCTGGTCAGACAGCGGCTTGCTGCTTGGACCCTTTCGTGGACAATCAAGTTTGGTCGGATTGGTCAAGAAATATGTTTTCCCATGATCTCCAGGCACGGAAACGTGGGCAACGGCAGCTTGCGGGGGTGAAAACGTGACGCTAGCCAGAATTTGACTTTTGACTGCCCGCTCAGGGGAGACTTGGATCAAGTTCAAAGGGTCGCTCGTCTGAACCTTGACGGCCTAGACGCAGGCGGTAGCTCAACGACAGACTTCAGGACGACGACCTGCAGGCCCAATCTGGCATTTGAGAGTCTGTTGCCGACGAGCCGTTGTGAATTTAGCCCAGATTAGGAAGCCCAATGATGTCAACGATTCGTTCCTAGCTTACTTTGGTGAGCAGGCTGCAGACAGAAAGCCGCCTACCTGGACTCAATCGAGTAGAGGCATCAAGTTGGTTTGTTTCATGATCTGCCCAACCTGTAAAGTTCAGTTGCTAGATGTGTATGTGGACCAAGATCTCAAATCAGTGATCATCTTGTCTAGCGTCGATTCCGCTCAACGTCGAAAGAACACCCAAATGGTCAGTTGCTAGAACCTGCCCAGTGGTAGACTCAAGCGCGTGAGCTAATATCATGGGAAAGTAGTGACAGAAAGCTTGGCCTATTATTTACTCATGGATACATAGTCTCGTTGCATCGAGTCACCAATGCTGCTTTGCTCAGGATCACGCCCCACGCATACATTGGTCGGCGTGAGCAAGGCGTTGCCTCATTGATGGTGGGTGAAGGAAAACCCGAGTTGAGCGTTGGCGCTGCTCTTTTTTTCTTCTTCTTTTGTTTTTCCGGTGCTCATGGAATTAGTAGAGTCGCGAAAGTTGTGGAACCAAACAGTTCGAATGTCGCGTGGGAACGTCATGCAATGGCCTACGACAACGCCGACCTCGGTTCTTCAAAATGCCTAAGTAGAGTCAGAGTCTACGAATGATCTCCTAAAGTATAAAGACGTCGCGACCTACCTACCGGGATAATTCTCGGAATAGCTGACCAGCACTAAAGATCGTCACCTTAGTACATGTAAGTAAGTACGTTGAAAGTCTCGGTTGGTCCGCAATTGGGAGACGCAAGTAGTCGCTGTAAGCTGTTGATTAAGATTTGAGCTAATGACGCATTCTAGCATCCATATGGGGTCTGGTGCGCTGGGGCTGACCAAACTGTGGGTTCTCGCTGCTGCTCGATCACGTACGGACTAGACCTCTTAGAATTCGCGGCCGCAATGATCACGAGAGTCTAAATGTTGCAAGTTGATACGATGTTTGATCCGAATCATCGAAAGACTGGTCAATGGTCTCTGACTTCGGATGTAGTCTAGCTATTGAGGTCTGTCAACCTCACAACTGTAAGAGGCTACTGTCCCATCTTGGCAACTCGGCTACGCTCTACCATCATAGTAGTTAGACCAGTTCAGTCTTTGCCTTCGCAAAAGTCCCTCACTCTTGAGTTGGCATGCAAAGTGAACTTTTGTAGAAAATCTGCTCAAGTTTCGAGCTTCGCCTCAAAAGGCACAGGGATACAGCTCGCTAACATCTGAGAACCGATGAGCTGGGTTCGTCCCATCGACCCCTTAATAAAAGGTACCAAGGAACTCCAGCTCAACTTGACACACTAGCACAGCGTAAACATTGCACAATGGGCTAAGATTTTCAACCCTTTTCAACCTCCGGGATAGCATGGCCTCACGTGTTATAGGCTAATTGCCTCACTTTACCTTATTCTGCGCCAAACTGAGCAGTCACTGGTGGATTATTGGGTTGCTGATGGGGTCGACAACCATGTCATCTTGCTGTAACCGCCTACTTCTGATTGCTGGGTGAATCGGGCGGGCCGCGTTAATCACCTCGGTTTCGGCATTCTGCCCACAACTTTCTTGCGTTTAAAATTTCGTGGAGATGCCTTCAATCTATTCCAGAAGCTTTGCCCCTGGTAGTGCATCACGAAGAAGGAAGTTTGCGCCTGTTCGGCTCGTGTATCCTGTTTACTAACCAAGTATGGCTGTCTTGACCGAGCCGAAGGGGGCAAACTGGTAGTGATGTAAATAGTTGAAGCTCCCCTCAATGGAGCATTCTCGTACCTTTGGCCTGCCTGTCTATCTTTTGATTCAGTTACTCTCTTTTTCTCACCACGTTCGCTTTTCGCGACATTCACTCTTTTCCTAACAATCAAACGTTCTTTTAACCTGGCTGGTCCATCTACGATTCACCATTCTTTCAAGTTTCGAGTGACCTAGCCCACATCATCCAATCATGAGAAGCGCCGGCCTTCTTTTGGCGGCCGCGGCGTCCGTCCGCGCCGCTTGCTCGTGGAAGAACGTCCACACCGGAGGCGGCGGCGGCTTCGTGCCGTCTATCGTTTTCCACCCGACCGAGAAGGGAGTCGCATACGCACGCACCGACATTGGAGGTCTCTACAGACTGAACGCCGACGACTCGTGGACCCCCATTACCGATGCCAACGGATTTGCCGACAACGACAACTGGAACAGATGGGGCATCGACGCTCTCGCGGTTGACGCACATGATGCTAACAAGGTCTACATTGCCACTGGCATGTACACCAACGACTGGTAAGCACTGCTGGTGTATGAGTCTGCACCCCGACGCAGCTGAACCACGATAGGGACCCCAAGAACGGAACTTTCGCGCGTAGCTCCGACAAGGGCGAGACCTGGGAGACCACCACACTTCCCTTCAAGGTCGGCGGCAACATGCCCGGCCGCGGAACCGGTGAGCGGTTGGCCGTCGACCCCAAGAACTCGGAGATTATCTTCTTTGGTGCCCGTAGCGGCAACGGTTTGTGGAAGAGCACAGACGCCGGTGAGCAGAATTCCAACCACGAGCAGCACCGCCCCTCTCCCACGCGATTCAGATTTCTGACAGAGTGTAATTGATTAGGTGCGACCTTCTCCAAGGTCTCTACTTTCGAGGCCGTCGGTACCTTCCGCCCCGGCGCCGAGAGCGATGCATACAACGGTGACCTTCAAGGTCTGACTTTCGTCACCTTTGACGAGACCTCCGATGTTGTTAACGGCGCGACCTCGAGAATCTTTGTTGGTACGGCCGACAACACCACTGCGTCCGTCTACGTCAGCACTGACGCCGGTGCCACCTGGGGCCCTGTCGATGGCCAGCCCAAGAAGTTCTTCCCCCACAAGGCTATTGTTCAGCCCGCCGAGAAGGTTGTTTACTTCACCTACTCCGACGGAACTGGCCCCTACGATGGCACCCAGGGTGGTGTCTGGAAGTACGACCTGACCTCCAGCAAATGGACCGACATCACCCCTACCACTGGTAGCGATCTCTACTATGGCTTCGGTGGACTCGGCGTCGATATGAAGAAGCCCGGAACGATCGTTGTCGCTACTCTGAACAGCTGGTACCCCGATGCGATCCTCTTCCGCTCCACCGACTCTGGCGCAACCTGGAAGAGAATCTGGAGCTGGGGAGCCGATGGCAAGGTCGTGCCGCAGTACACCATCAGCGCGCCCAACGCCCCTTGGATCGAGACCAACTTCCTGGACACCGACACCAAGAAGCTTGGCTGGATGATCGAGTCCCTCTCCATTGACCCCACCAACAGCGACAAGTTCTTCTATGGCACTGGCCTTACCCTGTACGGTAGCAACGACCTGACCAACTGGGACAAGAACAAGACCATCACTATCGAGAGTCTTGCTTCCGGTATTGAGGAGATGGCCGTCGGTGCCTTGGCCAGTGCCGCTGATGGCCCCGAACTCTTCTTCGCCACTCTTGACAACAATGGCTTTACCTACAAGACCGCCGCCGATGTCGACAAGGCCCCTCAATCCGCCTGGACAAACCCATGGTGGGCCAGCAGTGTCGATGTTGACTTTGCCGGAAACAGCCCGAACAAGGTTGCTCGCATCGGCAAGGCTACCGACTCACCCCAGCTCGCCCTCAGCAGCGACGGTGGTGAGACCTGGTCCGTCGTGAACTCCACCGGCAACACCATCACCGACGGCTCCGTCGCCTACTCCGCCGATGCCGACGTCATTCTCTGGTCCTCCAAGAGCGTTGGCGTCCAGGTCATCCGCAACGCAGGCAAGCCCGGGAACAGCACTCTCCCCGCGAGCAGCGTCATCGCCAGCGACAAGAAGAAGAACGACGTCTTCTACGCCGGCTACAAGTCGACCTTCTACGTATCCACCGACGGCGCCGCCACCTTCACCGAGGCGCCTCTCGGCAACGTCACCGAGATCCGCTTCGTCGCCGTCCACCCCACCACGGCCGGTGAACTCTTCGTCTCCACCGACTCGGGCATCTTCCACAGCACCGACTTCGGCAAGACATTCTCCTCTATCCCCGGCCCTACCAACGCCCACGCCGTCTCCGTCGGCAAGGGTGAAGGCAGCGCCTGGAACCTGTACGTCTTTGGCGAGGGCGCCGACGGCAAGAAGCTCTACGCCAGCGCCGATCTCGGTGCTTCGTGGGTCGACCTCCAGGGCACCTACAGCTTCGGCGCTCTTGACGGCGCTGCTCTTGTTGGTTCTGCCAACGAGGCCAACGTCGTTTATGTTGGTACCAACGGCCGCGGTGTAATGCACACCTCGTGCCCTGTCTCAAACTCTACTGCGGCACCGGCTGCTGCGCATGCTAGAAGACATGCTCGCAGCAAGCCCATGCGTCTTGGAAGAGCTCCCCGCCGCCACTGAGCGCGGGGAGTTTGTGTGTGAAAAGCCCGAGAATCGATTCATCTGTAGAACTAGTTTAGAAGTCAGTCCCTGTAAATAGACTGGTAAATTTCAAAACATTTCAAATTCCCAACCGCCTTGTCGACAACAAGTGATACGCCAGAAACCCCTACATGTCTGCTCGCACTGATGTGACATGCTTGCCGGTTGAATGCCGCGCTGTGCGCAGCTAACGGGGTGTTGACAACCACTACAGTATTTCTTCACGAAACAGAGTACCTATGCAATATACAGGGACACTAGATTATATAGGGTTTTAGCCGCTGTGGCGTTGGGGACACTCCAGTTTAGAGCACTAAATATCGCTTCCAACGACATCAATCAAATTGCCTCGGATCGAACGTCAATCCGCCGCAAAGTTTCTTAGGACAAGCAATGTCTTTCTCAAGAGGTGCATGTACGGACTCAAAGGTCGCAACTTCTAGCTCCTCCTGTGGTTCTCAACTCGACCATTCTACACCAGAAGAATGCCTTCAGATTTGGGTAAACACGGCAGACTCATGGAAAGATTCTCTGACCACGCCCTTGTATATCCTCGAGTCCGCGTACCTCATGACAGTTCCACTTGCAAGGGATGGAGGCATGACTGCCTGGGTTCTCGTTGAAAAGAGTCGGCTGCCAAACGAGCGAGATGTTCTTTGCTCCTGCGAAACTTCCCGCAAACGATCTCTCTTGAGCGATAACATGGGAAACGTGACAGAGGGTATCGTTCATGGGATCGCCAGTATCTTCTGTCCAGGAAACATTCGCGGCCGCGGCTACGCAGCTCGTCACATGAAGGAGATAGCCAAAGTCCTGCGCGGGCAGTCCGAGAACGGCCAGATCTTTGAGAGTGTCCTATACTCGGACATTGGGAAGGAGTATTACTATACCAGGTTAGGCTGGACACCGAACTCAGTCAACGAGCATCTGGTGTTGCCGCCTGCAAAGATGGAGAACCCAGCGACTTCGCAGCCGGTCTTCGAGTCAAACCTGGAAGGTCTATGTTCCAGAGACGAGGTTATGATACGAGGCGACATGGCTACGCCCAGTGTGTCACGGAAGCGAGTGATCATTCTGCCAGACTTGGATCACATGTTATGGCACATTCGCAAGGAAGACTTCGCCACCAAGCACATCTTCGGCAACGAGGCAGCGGCAAAGGGAGCAATAGCTGGGGTGCCTGGGAAACAGGTTTGGGCTATTTGGGTTCGTCGCTACTATGGGCACCCAGATCACCATAGCGGCGAGGATGCAGACGACCCGAATGTACTTTATATTCTCCGCCTTGTGGTAGAAGGCGATGAGACTGCGAATAACACACGCGAGGGAAACTTCACAGCTCCGATGGAAGATTACGCAGACCAGGCAGTGGCGCTGAAGGCTGTCATGCAAGCGGCTCAGGCAGAGGCGGCGGATTGGCGTCTGGATCAAGTGCAACTATGGGATCCGTCTCCCATGGCAAGGTGCCTTCTTGGCCAAAGCGACCTGAATGCTGTCGTTGTTGAGAGGCAGACTCATAGCATTACGAGTGTACTATGGTTCGAGGACGGCGAAGGTCTGGGACTAGAGAAGGCTCCGGTTCTGACCAACAATGAGCATTATGCCTGGTGTAAGAAGAGTAGCGAAATTCATTCTTCAACTACACAATCTTCATCGTCAAACTCCGACAGAGTGAAGACTCTATTTCTCACCAAACGACTGCGATAAGGCACGACTCGTCCAAGTAACAGCATGTCCGCGAGGAACGTAAAAGCTTCACACTTTGTACAGATGGAGTTTGAGTTCCTCAGATAATATGTACATGAACATGATTCCCATCCTGCCCAATACGGTTTGATAAAGAGTTCATCTATATCGCAGACAATGCTAACGCACCATATCCACTAATAAGAGCACGTATTTGGACTTAGCAAGCGAACTTGGCCGGTCCTGGAATCGTGTAGTTTGTGACTACGGGGTAGTAGATGTTGATGGTGATACCGGGATCAGATCCCTATCACGAAGGTCAGTAAGACTCCACGAGTCTAGTTTTATCATTTAACAACATACCTTGTAAGCACCAGGGAAGCTGACAGTCGACGGACTCTTGGCCGCAGTCCCACCAACGACATTGATCTGAGCACACTCCATGTACAACTGCGCTCCCGGGTAGGAACTGGCGCCGTGCAAGGCAATCATCTCAGCTCTGAGAAGGTACTGTCCGTTCGCAATGCACTTGGGGATGGTAATAGCCTGCTTCCCAGCATTACCAATGACGCGCTCCGTTCCCCAGACACCACTGCTCAGACCGTCCTCTTGGATCTTGAACCAACCCGCGCCAGTGCCGGCATCAGTCTTGGCATCGGTGACCTTCTTCATGTAAGCAAGAGTCGGTCCCTTGTGGCTGGCGTCCATGACATCCTCGGGTCCGCTGGTCAGGGTGTGGCGCCAGACAGCCGTCACCGTAGATCCGGCCGTGACGGTGATGACCTTGTCGGTTGACTTTGTCGGGTTCGGGTCACCGTTGCAGGCGATGTACTGGGATGTGACATCGGTCTGAGGGCCATCGTACTCGGGAGTACGGATGCCTTGGGAGACGCCGCTGTTCACGCCATCGGCCTCGAGGGAGACGAAAATGGTGTGGGCCTGGCAGAGGCCGGCGGCAGCGAGGAGACTGAGAAGCTTCATGTTGTGGGGTTGTTATTGCGTTTATTACAGCGTCGACTACCCGAACGATCTCAACACAAATCCTGAGCAAGGCAGGTCACCGGTCATTTTATGTCGGATTTGCGGTGACCGCAGTGGTCTTGTCAACCACTCAACCATGACGACGTTCCAGGCCGTCGAGCACGGGGCAAGCCCTTCCGGTATCCCACGAGGGGAAGGTCAGGAGGCAAGTACGGATTGCGTCGCTGAGTGAGACTGACAATGGAATAAAGGTGCCAATGCTAGCTTGGCGGGGCCAGTTCATCCGGCATTTAGATTAAGCTCATTTATCCTCCGCGAATCGCTTGGGGATTATGTTGTATCGAGCCGCCCTTGGTACCAAATAAGTGATGTTCTAGCCAATGATGTAGCCACCCACCGGCAGGAGTTAAATGGGAGGGCCTCTTGTTGGTCTTCCCGACATGGATAGCATGCTGGCTAGTTGCGGAGTATCAAGATTGTGAGCTGGGAATTCGGGACACGATCCGAAGGCGGGATGAAGAACATCTGTCGCAGAAAGAACCCTCAACTTGATACGGTCTAAGAATGCTTGAACAAGTGCTGCAACTTGCATTTACATAATGTTATACAAATTGTTGCCAGTGGAAATTTATCACAGTCCGACATAAACGCTATCTCGGGATCCCTAGCGGTGAACTTCATGCCGACGTCCCGATCCATGAGCCATACGATCAACAACCAAGCCGCCCACTGTGCTTCCAACAACATTCTCCCAAGTCCTGTGTGGCTTCTCTCCATGCTTTCCAGCGACGGCATCAATCGCCCCGGCTCCCGCCGCCGCCGTCATGACTCTCGCAGTCCGGTCCCTATCATGCCGCGCCAGTCCAGCCTCGATGATACCGGCACTAGCAGCTGCAACGGCGGCCTGGCCCCAATTGGGCCCGGAGGTGGAATGCCTCCGCTTGCTTCTGCTGTGTGTGTGGCTATGGTGGCGATGGTGTCCATGTCCATGTCTGTGGCTGTGGTGGCTGCGGTCGGAGTCGTAGACCTCTGATCTTGGTCGCGACCGCGGGCGCCTTTCTTCGTAGTAGTAGTCTCGATTCCTGGGTCTGTATCGGTCTTCTTCGTACACTTCGACGCGGCCTCTGCGGTCGGGAGATTCGTAGTGTTTATGTGCGACGCGAACGGCGCCGGCGTCTCTTGTTGGGCTGTACTCTGGAGTTCCCACGCTTAGGTCGGAGTACGTTGGTGACTGGTGCCGGCGGCGTGTTGGGTATTCATCCCGGAGATCGTATTTGTTGTACGACATTCTTAATGCCCAAGGTACTCAATGAGGAAAATGTGATACCGCAGGCTTCAAGGGTTTGTGAATGAAAGCTCCATAGGTGTTCAAGGGGTTCTCGTCAGGGAGCGAGCTTAAATAACGTGTCGCAATCCAGCAACTCAACAGGCCAAGGGCACTACGTGCCCGTTCATTTTGCCGGTCACCGGAAATCTTGCGGGGAATGGGGAACTTGCTCCTCAATACTACATATGAAGGGACTCTGATGTAAGGTTCTTGGCTGGATGCACGACACTACCAATCAGCCTGCTAGAAGGTGTAATGGTGTGGTGATAAAGTGGAGCGAATCCTCCCCGATGTGATGAACTTGCCTGTGTTTACTGCCGGCGACGTTGAGCTGAAGCAGGTTTTCGGCTTACTTGGGGTTACAGGCGCAACGGAGACTTCAGCTTAGGTGCGCTTTGCCAGAATCTGATCCTGATAAACCATGGATCAAACAGGTTGCGGCACCCGTTATGTTTTGGTGGATTTGGTGTTTTTGACGGAGTTGATTCCGGTGAGCACAAATTTGCGGTTGCTGGTGCCGTACAACCCACTATGACTAGTACGCAAGCAGAAATACTTGTTCAACAAGGTAACGAAGATAGGCTGCGAGTTGTAAGGGAAAAGAGGAATGGTTGGGACCTTGGAATATTTTGCTGCAAGTCTTGGGTTTATGACGTGAAAGTGACAGCAAAATGTCGGGGCAAACTCGCCGTGGTGGACACTGCTCGGCCCCACCCGGAGATATTCGGCCCCGGGCCGGTCGGGTTCAGGCTCATCTCATTGTGTGTTTTTGTGATAGAGAGAGCATGTACTCAGAGTATGAGAATGCAAGCCGTTATATTGAGTGCGACTTTCAAACTGGGAGAACCGTAATGCTTCATATCTACCGTAAACACTAAGGTCTTCCTTCGTCATAAAGTCGTATATCATCAGACGTCTCATCCATGCTTCCCCAGAATTCCCTCCTCATCAACTCCACAATTTCAGGTCATCCGCATTCAAGGCCCAGTTTTGGTGGCAAGGAAGTCCGTGATCTGCTGAGAAGGGGGTCCACGGTCAGGCGAGGGGTTACTCCGCGTCGGCGCCATGGACATCGTGAGCCGGAACTGCCTCGCTAGTTCCTCAGATTCGGTCATGGTAAGGCACTCTTCCAGCCGGGCCACGTCCTGGGTATCGGTATCGCGAACGTGGGCTTGCATGTCGACCCAGAGTGCCTTCAACTCGGTTTCGAAGCTGTCGTGGTCGACTGGAATCGCTTGGAGACGGCAAATCTTTTCCTTCAACTAAGATAGCTGGTCAGTATGTTGTTCGACCTCTGCGTGGATGTGAACTGGATTGAAGACTTACGCATTCGCGGTCCGTGTGATTCCTGGCGCTACGGGACTCGCCATCAAACAACCGCTCTGTGAGGATGGGAAGAAGGACCTTTTCCTCGCTGATGCAATGTCGTGCGAGCTCGAGACTGAGCTCGTTCCTCCATCGGATTTTATCTTCTAATGTGGTTGATGTGAGGATATATCGATAGGCCTGCTCGATTTTCCGATGGTCATCCTTGATCGCGTCGCTGAGCTTCGTCATGTTGGTTTTTGGTCGGTCTGGAGGTTAAAGATGAAGAGAATTGTAGCTGATTACTTCGAAGCATGAAAGGAAACTTGTCGAAAGAATATGGGGTGGTTGTTCAATTTCATGTGCTGGTGGACTGCGATCGGAGATAGGTGCGGTTGTTTCCTCGCGAGCTTTGATAGACATGGTTTTGAATAGGATCGTAAGGGTGACTGGCGAGCGGACAGTTCCATGCCTAAGTAAGTAAGTAAGCAAACCCACATTATGACGTTTCGGAGACTCGCGGCCGTGGCACCTCACCAGGGCTGATCCCAATGTGATACCTAACAGACACCGCCATGTCTGAAGCTTGCCAAGCGGTCTCCGATAAGCTGTCACTCCAGGCACAGCAAGAGAGGGGTCCTGTCAAAGCACCTTGGTGGCTTAGCATTGAGGCTTGCAGACTGCAGCATCCCGAGAAGCAAAGGGGATCAGTGGGACGCATAAAGCGAGCCCCCGAGCTCCCGGCGCGAAGTGGAGCAGCCGCTCCGGGAGACGTGGATTCATGGAGTGAGTGGTCTGGCGGTTGGGTTGGGTTGAGGATTCCGCCCCCAAGGATGGCTGACCAGCATTCAGAACTGCCTATTCCGGCATGGTGGACCACCCATCCGGTAGTGAATCCTCGGACTGTGATTTGTTTGGCAATCTTGAGAGTGTTCCTTGGGCCTCAGCCCTGTTTTTCTGGTCCGCCACTCTATCATCATCGCGTCACCCCAAGCCGGTTCCGAATGCTAAAATTTAGGATCCTCGCGCGCCGCGTCCGCCGTCAGATTGTGCCACGTGGGCTTTCAACCTAAGCTCTAGGTTCATGTCAATAGGAAAAGAGGAAATGGACTAAGAATGGATGAGCAAACGGATCAAGGTAAAACCGGTATTTCTGACAATTGTTGTGGCCATTGGGCATACGTCGGCTTTGTCGCAACAGGGAAGACAGTGATGGACGCGCCGCCAGCCTTCCTTATCTAAACCAACCATCATGCGAGGAACGCGACTTTAGCTATATCCCTGCGCGAGTTATCCCGACTCTGTGAAGGGACATCCAAAGTCCCGTTTGATCAAAGTGACTGGGCTTCAGTTTACTGGGGAAATGTCTGAGACAAGAGGCACCTTTTGCAAGCTAGCACGACCCCGGCATTCAAACGGCGAAGAGGGTACGCGTCAACCAAAGCCATCTATCTTGTTAGGCTTTTTTCGCGGGGTAAGCCATTCCTGAGCTGTTTTCTCTCCTTACATGATTCGCTTTACGACAACTTTCTCTCCTGTGGTGTACCAACTCGTCACCCAGCCACATCATCTGAGGCTTGTCATACTTCGGTCAAAAATTGGCCCGCGATACCACCGCTGACGCCGCAGATCCTCGGTGTAACCATTCGTGGATTATCAAAGTACCCAAGAGTATCTCTTCCGGCGTATTTGCCTCTCAAGGGTACATCAATGTCTACCCTCAAATCCTACCGCGAGCCAAGAACCTTTCCGGGATGTCGATCTGCTTGCATCTTAGATACTCTGCCAAGTTCTTGCTCAGGAAATCGTAAGAAGAGCTAGCAGACACCCCGCGGTCGAGGTGATCCTTCAAGAGGAAATGCACAGCTATCGCCATGTCAGTCCAACACAACACCAGCGACCAATTGCCACACAAGACAGGACAGAAGGACTCACCATGGAGATGTGGAAGCTCAAATCGGAAAACCGGCTTTCCTTTGTCATCTTCTCCTAGCAAATCACGAACCTTGCCGACCGTCAAGACCGACCGCAGCCAATCCCACTCGTCGGCATTCCGCACAAAGAACCCAACGTTGCTGTCGGATCCCTTGTCACCCGACCGCGCATGTACGACATACCCAAGCGGTGCCCTTGTCGTTGGCCCCAATGTTGTGACATTGATCGGACTCTTGGTCTCGTACGTTGGCTGGTCGTACAAAAAGTCCACCGTATCTTGCGGGGGTTCAATGTCGACCTTTTGACTTTTCCACGGCAAATGGCACACATGCTTTGCTGCGCTCTGGGGTAAAATACTAACCCAGTACTCATGATACTCCTTTGGGATTGCCTGTCGCGTGTCTAGGTGGAATGTTGCACCTGGGTAACTTTGCATGATGTTATCTACAATTGGTTTCAGGAACTTCAATGGCGATAACGTTGCTTGTTCGCGCGCTTGTGCAAAGATGCGAAGGTCGACTGTTGCTGCATCCTGGGTTGTGGGGTTCTCTGGACAAGAGCCATTCGTGCTAAAATTGAGACACGAGAATGACTTTTCGTCAAGAACATGGCGAAGCTGACGCTCAAATAGCGCCGCCTTCTCTTTGATGTCGAGGCCGCATAGGAAGTAATGTGCTTCGGCTTGATATCCGCCTTTGGCTGTAATACCAACCTTTGTAGTCGGAGGAGGCTTCATACTGCCGACGTTAAAGACTCGTCTGCTTCAATGTCAGTAGGAGTTCTCACCAGTAACGAGATGTGGGCATACACTTGATTCTCTCCCACTTGCGTCATCTTGATGTTGTCTAGGATGGCCACAACATCTGAGTTGTAGTAGTAGGGGCCCTGTATCTCATACAGGAGCTGAGCTTTGCACGTCTCCAAGGTGACCATGCCTCCCGTTCTAGCTTGCTTGTAGACGGTAAACTCTCCAGTTGCCTCAACTTTGGCAATTGGAAATCCAATTTCGACAGATGTACCAGGCAAATCTTTGAACCCAGAGAAGTTTCCGCCCGTCACATACGTGGTGCATTCGATGAAGTGACCTGCAACGAGCGCGTGTGCTAGCTGCGAGTAGTCATCGCGCTTCCAACCATGGTGGTATGCTGCGCAGGCAATTGTTGGCGAAGCATCAGCGACACGACCGCACAAGACGATGTGAGCGCCTTGCTTGAAGGCTTCAGCAATACCCCAGCAGCCCAAATACGCCTGAGCATAGATGGGCTCATAGGGCCAGTCCTTGATATTTTCACCTGGACGGGTCAGCACTGATCTAGCAAGCCACGGCATTGGTAGCTTTGTTACCTGTAGTCAGATTCTTAAATCCTTCTCCGGACGTAAGCCCTTTTCGAACTACATCAATCACCTCATCGCCCTCAATCCACGCAACTTTGAGCTTCAAGCCCTTTTCGCTAATCATGTGAACCAGGACGTCGTGTAACTTCTTCGTGTCGCTTGCGCCGGCATTGACAGCAAGCTTGATCCGCTTGGCATCTAGGTATTGCAGCGCAGGCTCGATCGCCTCGAGGAACGACAGTTCAAACTCGGATGAGTTTGTTGGGTCAGTCGCTTTCGCGACGCCCCTTGATGTCATGTTGTACTCTGACATCCAGTCGCCGACAATGTACTGGATGTCTTCATCTCGAGCGAGTTCAGCAAGCCCATGGCGTCTATCCGCTGCAGATCCGGACGCCGACGCTATGCGCGCTGTTTCATTGGCGCGAGATGTGAGATGGCCTGGAAGGTTAGTCCTGAGAGGCATAATGGAGTTTGTTTGAATTGCAAACAAGGGAGATCGGGGTTCAAAGAGAATTCAATTCATAGATCACACAGTTACTTCAGTTGGAGATGATACTAGTATTAATTATGAGACTCTCAAGGTTCCAGCTGGAGTCCTTTAGCCGTCCTCCCCGCACCGTCCAGCCGTGTCACCTCCGCATGAAATGCGACAAACCTCGGCTTGTCCGGCTTTTCAGATGTTTTAATGTGCCCCGAGCGCCAATCGACTGTTGTTTACATGATTTCTTAGTCAATCAGGCCAGACTTCGAGGTGGTCTGGTTAAACGTGATACATGATGTATGTACTGTGCTTGGATCAATACAAGCTTGCAACCAGCTGGCGTTGCCCATGGGCCTGTCAGGAATTGCACAATATAGTAAATTTACCTGTTTGCCAATAACAACACATTGATGAGATGCTATTATTCTAAATACTACACTGGTTGCAATTTTACGTGATCTATGTGATTCTCCGGGGAACATGGCGGCTGCTACTCCAAAGTGTATGCCTTGTCAAATTACGTACTATGGCTGCCTCATAAGGCAGTTTTCTTTTCATCTCCTGTAATGAGGCCTTCGTTGGTAGGCGACTCCTTTCGACCAACGCCTTCTTCCGAATGCGAGTGAGTCTGCGAGTTTCCTTGCTCCATAGTCCCAGCCGCGATAGCTTGAGCCTCGTCTGCACCGATGGTAACATTTGGTGCATAGGCCATCTTTCCTTCGTTTCGACGATGCGCTGGGATGAAGACGTTGAACCAGCGCGGCACTATGAAGCCGGCCAAGATCAAGACTAGGGCGACGTGGCCTACAGCAAAGCCGAGGATATGCAAGGGATCGTATCGTAGTTTGTAGAATGACGGGTAAGAGAAGCCGTAGACGATGGCCAAGATTGGTCCCGAGATGTAGCGTAGTAACACAGGCCAGAAAGTCGGAATATTCCAGTTCTTTCCGCTTCCTATGACCACGTTGAGGTCTCTGCGAAGTTGGTTTCCCTGGACGGCATTGTTAGACTGAATTCCATTCCATCAGGAAGCGTGAGTAAGGACTTACAGAGTAGAAGGCCAAATACCAGAACTTGCTGATGAAAGCATTCTTGCCCCAGAACCGTGGCGGCAGAGAGTCAGGGTTCTTGCCGACGACAACTGAGGCGATACTTCCACCGATGAAAATACCAAATCCAACGCCAGCTCCAGCACCGGGGTGTACAGCATGGGCGATAGCCACTCCTACAACCATGGCTAGGATGTAGCATGTGTTGTAGATGACGAAAGCTGGCTTGCCGACTTGCCCAATGACATCCCTGCAACGGTAAACGCTCGTTGAAGAAATGCATTCGGCGAAGACGACGAAAACCAATGCGACATCGTTTGTCCACCGGTCAATGCCAGTCAGGAGGTAGTAGCCGAACTCTGTGCAGTATGGAAGACACATAAGGAAAGACATGATGGTGAGAGACGTGACCACTATAGGTCGGCTGGCTTTGATGCCCGTGTCCATGACCAGTGTGACGATGGCGTCCAACATGGCGAATGCTGAACTGTACCCAAGAACCATGAGTGTGAAAAACAGTGCTACAGCCCAGAAGTTGGCACCAGGCATTTCAGCCACTGCTTGAGGTAAGGTGAGGAAGCCGACGCTGAAGCCTCCAATGGGGTTCTCTGGGTCGGGACGCATGCCGAGGTACCCGACGACGCCGAAGACAGCAAATGCAGCGATGTTTTCGAATAGTACGTTGCTGCAGACAATCAAGATGGAATCCATGACTGCGTTTGAGTACTGGCGGTTGTAAGAGGCGTAGGACGTGAAGTAGCCGAAACCCACTCCAGTACTGAAGAAGACCTTCAGATATTCAAGTCAGTCGCTAAGTTCCTAGCAAATATGGGAGGGAGATCATACCTGGCCACAAGCTGTTTGCCAGACCTGGCCTCGTGCTAGTTGATCACCTCTCCATGTCGCGAAGTAAAGCTTCACACCTTCGCCAGCGTTCTCGAGAGACACGGACCTGCCAATCAAGACGATAGTGACGACGATAGGCAAGCCCATCGTGAAATATACGACGCGACCAGTAAGTCCAACACCGCGGAAAATGGAGATGTACATGAGAAAAAAGGTGAAAGCTGCCCATCCGGTCGTCTCTCCCAACAGGGCGGTACCGGGGTACTCGGTGTAGTTCAAAACGCTGGTACCATCTGCTGTCAAATTACCCTCAATCGGGTCAACGTTAGCAACAACCTTTCGGTTGAAGAAGTAGTCGGGCTCGTTGGTCCATGGTAGCGGACTTGTGAATGAGTGGCGGAAGTAACTCATAATCCACGCCAAGTTGACGACGAAATAGGGCGTGACAACGAATCCAACGTAGATCAACGACAGTCCCAATCCTTTCAGTCTCTGATTGACATTTGCGTATGCCACAACACTACCGCCGCGATAGGCCTGTCCAATCGCAATCTCAAGTACGAGAACCGGGATGGCCACAATGAACACCGCCATCAGGTATGGGATGTACCACTGCAGACCGTGGTTGTTGTACACCTGAGATGGGTACCGTAGGAGGTTGCCCATTCCGGCACAGCCACCCATCGAGGCTAGAAGAAAGGAGGCCCTTGAAGGCCATGCATCACGACCGTCTTCCGCTTTGTTCGGCGGAGGAGCAAACCAGCCCCCGATTTTCTTGAGCACGTCCATCACCACGTGTCGATGCTTGCGGCCCGAAACTGGCCCAGGTCCGGTCCGGTCCGACGACAGGAGCCGGAGATCGTTCGGCGAGAGTGTGGTATTATCGAGGTTGCAGATTGGGCCTTCCACATGTGAGCCTCAAACAAAGTATGAGGTGCGAATGGCTCTGGGTGATGAAACCTTGAGAGACGAGAGGTCGCCTCGGGTTTTCTAAGGTGGAGAAGACGCGAGCAAGTGGAAAGCAGGAGAGAGGAAGAAAGCTTTCTCGCTGCGTTGGTACGTACCAGACTATCGTCGATGCTCTTCTTCTTATTGAGTTCGAGAAATATTGGGCGAGACCCGGCTGGACTGCAGAACTTTTCACTTTTTGCGCCGGCCGCAAGAGGCGTTCCGAACAAGCACGCAATCTTGCTTTTGTGTCCACGCCTCGTGGAGTTCACGAGACACCACTCACACGCGCTGCGCGCCGTGGTAAGTGGATAATGGCCAAAAGGTCTTGGGATGACATAGGACAAGAGATTTAGCGAATCCTCCATCAGCCGTTTGTCGTGGCATCGCGGGTGGGAGCTGGGGGCGGAGACGCGACTTCATCCCGGTCTCCCAAGGCTCGGCGGACTTGGCGACAAGGCCCTAGGGGGCGCGAGAGGCACCGGTATCCGTCCGGCCAAGACCGAGGACGGAGACAAGGGCGTCGTTCCGTCGAATCACCGGAGCGGGATGACACAAGCGCCCCCACTATGCGGCGTCCCGGTCTGACATACAGATTGGCAAGGGAAAATATGCTGTTGGTTTGTGGTACGGCTGACCGTGTCGCGAGACCTTTACGTGGGATGATAGACGACCGAATCTAGGGGCAAATGAGAGGCTTGAAGAAGCCGTAATGCGGAGAATGATGTCTCACTCACTCACTCATATTCTAAGGTACTTAAAGTAGTCATTGAAAGCTGCCGTTTGGCTGTCACTACTGTCCAGAGACCACTCGGAGTGAGCCCAGCTCGGCGACGTCACTTACTTGTGACCGGGAGTTCAAAGTGAGCCATCAATGATTCTGGCCAGAGATGGCTACATCGATATAAGTTTGAGGGACTGCGCTGCACAAGCCAGTGACCAGTGTTGATCCTGGCCATGATCCATCCTGGCATCCTCCGCTTGAAGTGGCTTTAGAGTTATTCACGCTTGTGTCAAACTGTCAAGCAGGCATTGCTGCAGTGCAGCGGTCTTAGCTTCAATGCACTTCTTCACAAACCCCGCCACGAATGTCCCACCCATGCTGAAGTTCGCGGACTCACAATTGCGGATGAATTTGATGTCCTCAGGTGTTGGACCACGTGGGATGACGGGACCCTCCAACTTGAGTGGACCACCGATTTCAACGTTGCTGCTCGGAATCTCTCCGACTTCGCATCCGCCAAGCAGGTCAAAATTTTCTGCTTGTACGAACCAAGAACAGCAGTTCACTTCGTGACGGTCGGATTGCGAAGTTGTCTTTATCCGGGTGGCCAAGATATAGTTTTGCAAGCTCAAAATGCAGAGCAGTTCACTTTGTGAGAATTTTCAGACCTGAGAGTACTGCCATCGTCTTAGAGGCAATTATGAAAGCTTTCATCTGAAAAGAACACTGTATATCATGAGAGCAGTTACTTTTCGGCTGAGGTGGTATGGAAGACAAGGAGTCTTCTTGAAAACTTCAAGTTATTTACATATGCAAGATCTGTCTAGATATATACAAGGATCGCAAGAGTTGGATAGTGATACAAAGTCCCCTTTAGGCATGGTCAATCAAAGACGGACCAGCTTCGATGGGGAAGGTCAAGATGTTGTGAGGTCCATCGGCCATCAGCCCGTTCGCTCCGGGCCGCATCTGCGAGCCGGGAAGCCAAAGGGTCTTGTTCGCATCGACCCACATCAGATCAGTCCAGACCAGCGCATCGTCTTGAACAAGAATGGACGAAAACCCATCCGGCTGGACCTTCCGGATAGCGGGAAGATTGGTGTCGCTAACATAGATGTTTCCATCTCCGTCAATAGTGGTGCCTCCAGTAGAAGGGGTAAGCGCGAAAGGCTCGACGTAGTCTCCCAGGCTGGCGGCAAGAGTGCTGTTCGTCAAGGCCCCATTGACGTATTCGGTCTTGACGCGGTACATGCCACCGTTGCAGGGCTGATAGTACAGGTAGACCTCATCTGGGGACACCTCGATTTGGTCAAGGCCGACGGAGAGGGTGCTAGTTCCACCCTGGTAACCCGGGACGAGACTACCGTTGTAGGCCATGGGGAACCACGCCAGAGCCGAGCTGTGGCCCACGAGAACACGCTGACCTTCCCCAGTAGTAAGATCCATCACCACCAATGCGCCGATTGTGTCGCTGAGGTAGGCGTAGTTACCATTTATCACAAAACGAGGTAGCAAGTAGAAGACATGTATAGTAGAAAGTGGCTTGATTCCTCTAAGTGGAAGATCCGTATGAGGGTCATATCTATATACCGTACAAGACGGGTAATCGGCTTGTGGAAAGCGGTATCGTACGGCAGTAACCGGCAGCGCCACGTGTGGCGCTGCGACACCATTGAATCGGACATCGTCGATGACGCTACCGGTTTCCGTAAGGTTGTCGAGGTAGTATGCCTTGTCGACAAGGTTGGTCTCGAGGTTGACGCCAACGAGCTTGCTAGATCCGTTGACAAGGTTACGATCACTATCGGTGGTACCGCCGTCGACAATCCAGAATCGTCCATCAGGGCCGATGCGAGTACCGTAGATGCTGACAAACGCCTTCTTGGGATCCAAGGTGGAGTTCGAGGTCCAGGAGTTCCACGTCGCGTCAGGGTAGAGAATAGTCGTGCCGTTGCTGAGAAGCTCCACAGCTTGAGGTGCATCCGTCGTGGAATACCTCTGCGTCAAGAACTTGCGTCCATCGGTTGAGATACTGATGCCTTGAGTTGCGCGTTCTAAGGTCAAGGCGATTTCAAGACCAGGTGCAAGTGCTGAAACGAGCGGTGCTGTCGATGCCAATGTGGCGAGAGTAAGAGAATGGACATTCATGGTGAATTTTCCAGCTGTAAACAAGGGAGGAGTGTTGGATAGATGCTAAACTCCTAGCCAAGGAAGATCCTACGGCGCCCGAGAGAACATTATATAGAAAGCACCGCAACAAGCCGGTGTACTCGTAGATGACGCTTGGATGTATCTTTAGCCCCTCTTCCTTTCCCATGGCCTGTTGCCTGCGTACGACGCGCTGCGCTATTCTTGAGCTGATTATCAATCAGAGCTTTCGAGTACAGATGAGCTAGGGCAAGAATTGTGGCTCGAATCGAACAAGATATTTATTGAAGCCATATCGTGAAGGTGAGACGGAGTAGCCTGCGAGGCTCGGATGAGCCCCACGTTCGCGGGGCGGAGCCAGTCGGGCCTCTAGCCGTACGTTTACCGGGCACATGAATAAGGGGATCAGCAGAGCTAACCAAATCATGGAATTCCGTTGCGTAGTAGTAGCGCAGAACCAGTTCATCTTTCTTTTGTAAATGGTAGCATTGAGTTAAAAGGGGTCAACAGCCGAGGCATTCGGCCGAAGGCAGGAGGCAAGCCATGTTCATGCAGTAAGAGATTGCACTATCGTAACCTTCCTTTCACGGCGCCATTCCTCCGATGCCTTGTTCGTCCCTGCGGGGGAGTTGCGATTATGATGAAGAGGCAGAGCAGTCCGATTATTGACGCGTATTTGCTGAATTAATTGGAGACGTAGAGGCCGAGTCTACTAGTCTAGCTATAAAGGTTCTCGACCATACAGATGTCAAGTGAGGAGTGTTATTGTTCTCGACGAAAATATCTGACTTGGAACTCCAAAGTAGGGGAAATGGACGCTGACGACTTTGGCTCCTCCAACAGCGAAGTACAACTATCTCGGTACATGCGCAATCCGCGTGCTTCACGGTGTGCTAGCATCACGAGATTTCGCTTTGTGTTCAGTGTTGTAGACTTAGAGTATGCCCACTATGATGTGGTAGTTCTAATAGGGTTCCGTGTAGACTACCTTAAGTTACTTAAAGTAAAGAGTGTAAGTTTGCGATCGCAGGCAGGCCTCAAGTGATAGGTCAAATAGGAAATGTGAGAGTTGACGACTCCTGCCCATCGAGATGTTCTCCGACCGTGTCACCGACCCCCCTCCCCCAGCTAACGTCCATAAGGTCGGGAAACTGAGTAAAAGATGGACGGATTCGTGTGTTTACCGGCCTTCTTGCAATGCATGAAAACCATGGACTCTTCATTGTCTGGTTGACCACCTTAGCATTGGGCCCACTGATACCGGACACTCCAATCATCACTGGTGTAAGCTCCACCAGAAGAAAACCAAAAGAATAGTTCAGTGTCAGTGCAATCTTTGTAGATCGCTGCTACACCGTCAGCAATTTCACCAAATGAACTAAGCTCCTTTGGTTTCGTATCCTAAAGTTCGTCAGCAAGCTGCTACCTTCATCACACAGAAGAGAGTCAGATGTTTGATGTAGAACTCACGTCATTGCACCAAAAAGTCGCGCTTTGCCAAGAGCAGCTAACACGGCCACATTCTCTCGGGCCAGCAGAATTCCTTGGCTTTCCTTTCACACCTCTGAGATAATCTATAGTCTCATTATATGCATCGGTCTGGCCTTCCTCCAAGGTCTGGCAATCAACCCTGGGAAATGTGGCACGCTTCTCCACGCCACTACGGGCATCATCCGAGGTGGCTCCAAGATCGAATCCATTCATTTGGGCTATCTGGAGATTGAGACTACCGAGAGCAGCATAGACCTCTTGAACTGTTCCCTTGATGGTGATGTTCTCTCCTTCTAGAGTCTGAAACTCCCATTCGGGGATGAACAGCCCGTAGCCCTTTGGAATATCTCCGGGAAGGACAGCCTAAATCACTTAGATGTTGCTCCAAAAGACTGAGTTTGGTTCAAGCTTACAGCAATAGGTGGCCAATGAAACCAAGTAAAGAAGGCTGGCGCGCATGTTGAACGTTGTTGTGCTGACTTGGTTTGGATACAGTATGGAGTTGATCGACCTAGGCTGGTCAAATTTGGTGGCTTGAACTCTTGTGATGATATCAAAAGGTCTCGTGTGACAGGAAGAATTCCTCATACTTATAGCTCTCAAAAACCATTGAAGCTGGGGATCAAGTCTTGGCTGTTAAAACTCGTGTCGATTATCGATTGACCCCTTTGAAGGACGCAATCACATCCACCCATGCATGATTGCCTATTAGCTCCAACATACCGCATGGATCCAATCTCTCATCGAGACCAGGCTCCTCGAATGAGTAGAGCTAGTCGGTTGATCAGCAAGGCGAGATGGTCTCGTATTCTGACGCCAAGAGAAGTTCAGCAAACCACGGAACAATCAGCAGACTGTACAGCACTGAGAATTGATCTCATAACTGGCATTCATATAAGAATTTTCGCATTATCAATCATAGTCTTGTTGTCAAGCATAAGAAGATTTTGAATCTGATCCTTTTGGGCTCCCCTACACGTAACTACCTAGGGATTCATGATGTCTCAAGGATTGCTCTCAAAGGCCCTATCTACAGCTATAGCGAGGCTTCTTTGCGCCAAGTTGCCCAAGATAGCAGGTTAGAGATAGAGAGAGAATGGAAAGTTGCACTCACCAGAAGGATCCGAAATGTCAAGGTCATGCAAATGGTGCCAGCCCGCGCGGCTAACTCAACCAACCAATATAACATAAGCTATGAAGGCGCTCCAGTATCTCAACCTCTCAGGTGTTACTACTTCATTAATGAAGCTGCGGAATGTCGTAAGAGGCAAGCAGACTATTTTGTTTGTTCATTTGCCGATGCTAGCAAACGCTGTCAGTCATATTGAGAAGCACGGTGGCTTGAAGTTCACCTACCTTAGTCGTGTTGGTATTCCTTTCACAGGGAATTTGGTTCGAACCGTAGGGTCCTGGGGGTGACGAAGTATCAATATCTCTGTATTGATTGATTCTGCGTAAGGAGTAGAAGGGAGATTCCAACCGGAGGTTGGGTGGGTAGTCGAGGTCTAATTGTACTCCCTCGAGGTGGCCCATGCTCTGCCCTTACTCGCGGTCGAATTGGACTTCCAATCCGACAGTCGAGACAAACGCCATGTTACACCAGACCGTTCCGCTGCTATAATTATCTCGAACTTCGGGCATCGACATCCTTTTCTGACAGACATTCACGACGTGCTGACTCCAACCTTGTGAAGCAAGGTTGAAGGTTGAATGCGACTTTCGGCTGAAACATTCAATACACCACATTAGGGAACCTGCACAGGGCTCCAATGTGATGGCTGAAAGCTGGACTGAAGTACTGCAAGTGGTAACAAGCGTACTCTCGATAACGGCGTGGTAATAGCTTCACTTCCTTTTTTCTGATGTTGAATAGCTTCTTTCTTTTCGCCAGCTCTCTTTCTTTGATATCTACTTTGTGTTTTGTATCTCTGCTTTGCCTTTCGTCATATATTAAATAACTCAGTCAGACTGGCTCGTCGCTCGGATCGTCGTCACTGGGCATGTCGGCTCAAATGCTGCCTTTCATGTGGTAAAGCTCAGCAATACGCCACAGAAGCTGCCTTTCCCGGCGTCAGTGTTGATACCTCAATGCGTGAAGAGCAGTGATGTTTGCTCAACTTTGGACAAAGGGCCTCTTCGTCGACCAGCTTTTAATGGTTTCACAAGACCTTGACCATGCGTTTGTTCAACTCCATACATCCCATAGACGTGATGACATTGAGATTTTGTCCTTGCTCTTCATCTAAAGTACAGGTTTGCAGCGACGCATACCAACTATGGTGATATTACAGCAAAGCCGCTCCAACCTTGTAGGGCCAACCAACAAGATAGCACAGTGCACATACTGAGTCAAATATGTCCGACTTTCTTCGTGATAAGTCTACGACGGCCATCAAAGCAAGGTAACGTTGGTAACAAACTGTTCATTGGAGCGCTACCCAGCTTTTTCTTTTGCTTCATTTCTCCCTCGTTGCCCGTCGGGCCGGTGACAATGACTAGGATACCAATTCAACAGGGCGACTATCTGCCTCGATCTCGGCAGCTCTACTCTGCGACGAGAGCTCTACTGGAGATGGCCTTATCGTATACATTTCTTGAGCCTCTCGGCCATGATCTGGAAGCTCCATTTTTGAGTCATAGTTTTCCCCTCCTTGAGATGGAGCTCCCCTCCCAAGGGCAGTCTCTCCCTGCAATAGCTGGGCTCCCCTTTTTTGCTTTCTCTTCTTAAGACACATGAACCAACTACAACCGAAGAGAGCCAGGAGCAATACCAGAACTCCAAAAACAATACCAGCGATTGCTCCTGCAGATAGTTCTGTTCTGCCAGCGCCTTCAACTTGACGAGACGGAATTTTGCCGCAGAGTGGAAACACAGGATGGTTGACAATGATTGGGCCCCCGCTGGAGAGGCTTGAAAGGAAAACTTTTGTCCAAGATGTTTCGATGGTGCTCTCACTTTCTCTTGTAGTGACAATGTTGTTGATCCAGACCTCAGTTGGAGTATTCAGGAGGCTTGTGCATTCCCGGTGAGGGATGCCGCCATTCGAAGCCCTAAGGCAGTCCCAGCTAGAGGGACAGCACCAAGTCTGTGCATACGTGTTTCCACTCGTCTCCGTAACATCCGTGGAGCACGCAGTTGTCCAGCCGCTGATGCATGCAGTGCCTGGGTAAGCCAAACTTGGGACATCACCTTAGTTCAATATTTGTCAGCACGCTTTGCCAACGCTAAATTTCAGCCTGGGGTATTTCATTTGACATAGCTCAAGGGGCTCCTATTGAAATCTTGGGCGGCGAATGGTCTCCAGATGTTTTTGTAACTCTCCGGAAAGCATTGTGTTGGAACCGATGTCGTTGTCTCCCCTTCGAATTGCAGTGCATAGCAAGTGAACCCCGAAGTAGAAATGGGTTTCCACCAATGGCGTATAAAGTGTGGATGTGACTGCCATGTCTTTCTTAGGTATTCAGAAGCCGGAAACTCAGCAATTTGAACTTCGTTCGATTACCTGTAGTACAATGAGACGAGGAAACGGAAACATGAACTATATCATGCCGTTGTTATTATCACCGGGCTCCCGCTTCGGGGTTATGTGGGCTTTTGAGTGCGGTTTTTCAGAAGAAGACAGTAACCCGGATGTCGCACCACTTTGAGGCCTGCGAAGAAACTATACGTTGTTGGCTATGTCTGATTCGCAATGGTCTCGTATCGATCGTACGAAAATGAGGTTATCTAGTTGCATCAGGTGGTGGCAGGTAACGCCGAGGCGGTCATCACGGGTCCCCGCACGCAAGAATGGGATAATTGTCAGGGGTCGAAATAGCGGGAAGTGTCATGAATAGACTTGTGAAAAAAGATGTACATTTTGAGTATTAAACAGGCTCAATAGCTTCGGGCTTTGAGGTCAAATCGTGAAAGCCTGGGAAACCTCATCATTGTGATGTAGCGCCGATGAGCTAAGCCTTGTACCGAAAGCTTCGCCCAGTAAGCCTCTTAGTCCCAGCTGTCGCAGACGGATGCAGTCTCTCCCCCCTGTCAAGCCTTCTATTATGCATCTCTATGTATAGCCAAGTAACAGAAAGAATGGCGAATGCGATGATAACTAAGATCATGCTGATTGTCATTCCATTCTTGTAATACGGGCCGTCACTTGTCTTGAAGATCCAAGCTGAGATGTAGCTTGATGTGCTGCCAACTCCGACTACAAAGCCGCTTCCGATGGCTCGCTGGAAAGGAGTCTGCAAGTTTTGCATGGTCAAAATCCATATCATAGGAAGGGTGATGAATGTGCCGAAGGCGATGAAGTACAGCGCCATCATGGTGACATTTGTGCTTTCGTGTTCGTCCTGCCTCAAGATAGCGTAGCCAATGATTGTGAAAATAAAGCCGCCAAGTCCGAAGGCTGCGCGGTGGTTGAGGCGGTCGGCGGCGTATGCAGTTGTCAAACATGCCACGGCAGCGACCACGAAGATAGGGACAATTTGCGCCTGTACATCTGCAGCGCTGAGCTCCGGATGGAATGATTTGACGAAGGATGGGGAGAAGATGGAGACTGAGTAAGCGGTTGTCGTCGTAAAGCAGTAGAGGGCAGCCCAGCAGTAGTTCAAGGGGTTTGTGAAGAACATTTTCCACTCGGCGACAATGCCAATCTCTGTGTTGCGAATTTCAACCGAGTTCTTGATAATTTGTTTTTCTTCTTCTGTCAGGAACTTGGCCTTCTCAGGAGGTCCAACATTGGCAGGAAGGCAGGCGAGGGATGCTGCCACCGTGAATATGCCTTCGATGATAAAGATCCTGTAAATGTCAGAACTGTTTCGTAACGTCACCCAATGGCTAAACTCATACCATCTCCATCCTTTGAAGTTCTCAGTAGTCTGAATGTTGGCGATAGCGTATGCGAGAAAGTTCCCGGCGATGCTTGAGCAGATATTGGCGACGGTGATTAGGCCCAGTCTCCATTGGAGATGTCTCGGAGGGTAGTATAGTGAACAGAGAAATACGCAGCCAGGGATGAGACCTGCATCAAAGACACCAACGAAGAATCGCGTGGCAATCATCTGATCGAAGGTCTTGACGAAGCCTTGGGCTATTGTGATGATACCTATACTTTTCATCAGCATGCGCAACCAAATGTGCCAACCACGTCAGTCAGCCGTGGCTTCCTAAGTAGATGCTGCTTTCCATTCCCACCCGACTGGATGAAAGACATAGACTCACCCAGTAATACATCAAGGATGCACATGTACCACAAGTATGGGAAGTTGAACTTGCGGTTCAGAAAGCGCATCAGCAGGTTACTTGGCACCTCAAAGAGGATCAGCGGCGCTGCTGGCATTGTAAGGACGATGAACACCTTCATCGCGTCGAGATGGAGGTCCTGTGGAAGTTGACGGATCAGGGCGGCTCCAATGTTTGTCCGGCCCATCAATGACAGGAAGTTAAGAAAAAACATGGCGATCATGAGACGCATATCCAGTTTGTACAACAGCTTCTTGTCAAAGGTCTTGGCCCCAGCAGAGGATCCGTATGACCCGCTCTGGACCGAATCGGTCCTCGAGATGACTGGCTGCTCGACCACACCCACATCCGCGACCTTGATCTCATCGTTGAACTTCTCGATCACTCTAGAGTTTCGTTTCGGGCGATCTTGCTCCAGCTCAAGAGGGTCTGACATTGTCGTGCCGATGATCCGCAAGTAACTTGCGGAGGGGATTTATGCAGCAGGAAGATGTAGAAGGAGCAATTCCTCGAGGCCTGGGAGAACAATACCGATGGGATTTGACCAAGCGAACACTTTAAAAACCATTCATTATTCTCATTCGGCAAAGAAACCCCCCGTTTCGGCCGACAGACTTTGCGCATATCTTGCCTTGTCCGTCCGTGAGTTCATTATCTACGGAAGGCTATCTGCAGCGGAGGGATCATGCCGAGCACAGACTGGTGCTGGTGAGCGGGAGGCAGATGTCAGACGTCTCGGAGTCGGAGTCGAAAAATTGTTAGACTCTGGTAGCCGGAAGTCCCTCAAGTTCGTCCGTGCTTGAGTTTAAATGCCAAACGCGAGAATGAAACTAAGTTCCCGCGTCCTCTGGCTCAGGGAGATTGTGAAATGCCCGATGGGATGAGCAAAAAGCCCGTCCTTCACTTTTGCAGATGGGCAATTTGTTCTTGTTTATCAGAACGATGAGCACTCTTTTCCTCGGGATATTCCATCTGCATTCGTTGATTCAATAACAATAGCTAGACCTGATGCTGTCTCTTTACACGACCGACCTCAATTCGCAAGCTCACTCGAATTTCGGTCTTGGCTCTCGGCGCTCAGTCATCATGGCGGCCTTCCAAGGCTAACCCAGGGGCAAAGTGAACAAAACCTTCGTTGACTTTTAGAACTTCGGATCGTTATACGAATGATATTCCTCTCCAATTGGACACCTTGCCGATGTGTCTGTGGGCGACTCTGGTGCGGGCTAGTATTACGTGGGGGGTCTTCATGGGGGCGCCTTTCATAGATGTTCATTCGATATCAACTGTCGATGCGAAGTCTTTTCTGGCCGGTGACAGCTTCACCTATCTGAAGCAAGTGCTTGTTATGATCTTTCAACTGCAAACTTCCCTACATAGAAAGGACCGTAACTCAACATAGATCTCTGCAGGTGTTGTCTCGAACCCGAAGTGACTCAGTCAGTCTCATCGCCTGATATTCTCATAGTCCGCGTTCGGCAATGAGATCCTTGACGTATTTGATCAGCAACGGGCCAACCTGTCGGGCTATGACCTGGTCTCCCTGCTCATTGGGGTGTACACCATCTCGCAACATTGAGGTAGTGAACCCAGCAGAACTCGAACAGTCTGCAACTATGATTGGAGAGTCGGTCGAGTTCTGTTCTATGGCCCATCCCGGGATGCGCTGGTTGAGGGTGTCAACTCCTCCACCATTGAAGGACAGCGGGATCAAGCGATCAATCTGCAAGGTACATTGTAGATTAGTGTCAATAGCCGCATCGACGTTTTGGAAGAAGTTGCAGGAGTTCAAACCAGAATCTTCATCCGCTGGTTGGACGCTCTCATCAACCCTGTCATCTTTGTGTACGAAGCGACAATATCGTTGGTCGTTCGCCCTTGCGCCACATCGTTGGTGCCAAGCATGAACTGCACAATATCAGGCTTAGTGTTTGCCAGCCACCCCTGGAGGTACTGGTTGGCGATGTTGATTGAGAGCCAACCCGAGTGGCCCTCATGATGGAGATCAAAAGAGCCCGACTGCGCTCGGCAGTTTTGGGGGTTGTTAGTCATGGAGCCTACAAACTGCACCTTGTCGGCAAGGTTCTCTTTCACAATCTGGTCCCAGACCAGGGCTCTCCAGCACGTTATCTCCGTGATAGAATCGCCCAGAGGCACTTGGCAATTATTAGCAAGTTCCTGTCAACTTTGACATTTGAGGGCTTGGACTGACTGATCTTGATTTTGGACTGCGCAAAAATGGCAGTGGATAAGCCGAAGGCAAGAAAGATTTTGGACAGCTGCATGCTTCCGGCTTTGGGGATCACTCAACTTGCTTCGCAGTAATTCACTTTGGAAGGAACGAAGGAGAATGCAAGAAAATAGCACAGATACTCTCAATCAATGATACAATGCGACAACGAGAACCTTTTAAGTAATACTTGACGGTATCAGTGATACTATCTTTGATTTTGCCCCTCAAAATACAGAGCGTCGACCATTGGCATATTTGGTGCTCGTGGAGAGAGTCATCCGTCCACCCGAGACGGAGTGAAGTCGTGATGGAATGCCGGGAATCATATTGATACTTTAGATTGATTATGTGAACAGAACCGGCCAAATCCCAAATTTCTCGGCAGGGCGCCGATGGCTAAATCGATTTTCTTACTCAAAAAAACCACGTTGCGACATCAGCCAGGAGTTCGTATTGGAGCAATGTGACCTTCTGAATAGCCGAAAGTTTTGGCAAAGTGGCGGCTGGATTATCCAAATGATGTCTGAATGGAGGGGTCAGTCTTTGATTTTCTGAATGGACCAGCTTTACCGAAACTTCGCGGCTCTCAAAGCCTTTGAGCTTGGCGGTGTGGATACATAGAAAATGCCACAGTCGTGCAGCAAGATGCATACAGAACAAAGAATATGTGGTCACCGTGGCGCGGATTGTCACTGAGGTTTATAATGGACCCAGACTGCTGTGCAACCAACATGAACGTCTCTCGGTCTGGGCTCCGCTAGTCCCGGGCTGGAGTGCGAGGACGCGGGGCTAAAAGTCGACGATCCTCGCCATAGTCAGCCTTGCATGGTGAACAAGGCCTTTCATCTTGTACTCTGGTCTGAAACGAGGCAAAGTGACTAGCTCTTGTGTCTTGCTCCAGCTTTCGAGATGTCGTTATTAAGAGGAAAGTGGGCGGTTCCCTGGCGAAGGCACTTCGCCGTTTCGCTACGGATGACCCATGTCTGTTGGATACCTGCCGATTGACCGAGTAACCGCCTGGGAGCTTGGACACAAAGAGACTGTTCTGTTCACTACCGCCGATGAAATGATGGATTTGCCTGGCAGTGGAGAATGCTATCAAATTGACCTTGCCTGGTGTGGCTCATTCTAGCCCAAAGGCCCCAAACATCACCTTCACTGTTCAAACTTCAGTCCATGACGATAGGGGATCGCCGATCGACGGAGCTCCAGGCATGACAAGGTAAGACTTCGTTTCTTTCATTCTCCTCCATATTGGTGACAGGAAATCCGCACATTGACGAAAGCTCCAAGACCATACCCTCCATTGGCCCATGCCTCCAGACTCGGCCCCGGGGACGGAGACCTACATCACTGTTGGTTGAAACGTTGACTGTAATAGTCCACTACCAACAAAGAGATGAACCTGGCCCCCGAGTGCCAGACTGAGAGACTCACACCATGAGCCCACAAGAAGAAGCAATAAGCGCTTTACTTAGACGATGGATAGCGCGCTTGCCGCGCCATCCTAGTATGGCAGGTCGTCCTTGTTAATCACTCAACTGCTGCGACATTCTCGTCCCAACTTCATCGACCCCTGTCGAATACTTATGGACCCAGTTGGAAGCTCTTTGAGCAGCCATCGCCGCTGTTCAGTGAACAGGTCCTTGACCAGACGCCATCCTCACAGCCACGGTGAGCAAGACAAAAGGGAGGGTAACCCCAGGTTATGTTCGCGGTCAATCGTCAATCATTAACCACTTGACGAACTTCTGCCCTGTTCTTTATCGTGTCATCTAATCTCCTGTCACCATGTTCAGCGAGTACAACCAGCTGGCGTCTAGGAACACCGCCCAGATGCCAATCACCCGCTTCACCATGCCCCGTGTTCCCAAGATGATTGAAGCCATCTGCCCTGGCTGCTTCAAAGGGTTCACCAAGATAGGCAGCATGCACCGCGTGAGTCTACGAACTTGTTTCCCTCATCTCTCTTCAAGACAAACTTCATAAACACTGGACTGACAAAGTTGTCATTCATCAGCACGTTTATGAGGACCGATGCCCCCACCCGATACCACAATTCGTCGCCAAGGTTAAGGCCGAGCACAGAGCACGGGTTGCCGCCGCCGCTGCCCGGTCCAAGGCTCGCGAGGCAGCCCGTGCTTCACGGGCTGACCCGCTTCCCGCCGCCACGACCCCGGCCGTGAGGGATTGCCCTAGTTGGGCAAGGGAAGACAGCATGGGTCGAAGCCCGGGCTTTTTGCAGGATGATTGCGGCTCGCACTTTGCTCAGCAGAGAGACTTGGGGATGGTATGTTTGCTGTGAAAGATCCACATCGACGGGTCGATTCGGGATAGGACAAGACTGACGTTGAGAAGCTGCCACTGCAACAACAGAATGACTCCTGTCCTGTGATGATCAAGACTGAACCAGATCTTTCGGGCTTCGACTTCAAGAGTCTCATCACCAGCTGGGATTTGGGCATCGACATCAAAACCGAGTCTCAGTGGCTTTGAATGCATGTATAAAGTTGAGCGATTGAGGGCCGTTAGAGGGGGGGGAGGCAGTATGTTTTGATCTTGTTTTTATTCTGTTTCTTGTATTTATCATCGTCGCTCTCGAGGAACCGCGAGAGCCAGATTACCTTGTATTCACCCAAGTAGGACCTCCCCTCAGATCATGAGACGGTATCTATCACACCAATCTTATTATATGTTGTACCACCAATCCACTCCCACTCGACAATCTCAACCTTGGTAGCGTTTCGCTGGACGAGACCATAGACTCTCCCAGCTGAATTGGCAGCAATTTTGAAAGGCCTATCCTCGCCGGACATGGTGGAAACTTCACCAACGTTTGTCCATTCCCCTTCGGCGTAAGTTGTTAACACAGGCGCTTTGTCTGTCTGTGATGCTAGTACGTGCATGACTAGGTTGTTGTTGCTTTCGTACCCGCTGGAAAAGGCCGCGATAGTGGCGTTTGTTTCGAGCGTCGTTGGTAAGGTGCTGTTGGTCCAGTCGTTTTCGTTGACGAGGGTGAGGTAAATGAGTGAGCCCGTCTCAGAGGTATAAAACATGGCCATTCTCTTCGTGGTCGCGTTGGTATAGATGGGAATCAAAGACATCCCGGTGCCCTCTGCAGGCTTTCCAAAGTCGGTCGAAATCCCCACGGCGGCCCAATCGGTCGCTCCATTGCCTGTTCGGCGAAGAACGCGGATGGTATTCCCGGTGTCCTGGTATAAAACAAGGTTCGATAGGTATGAGTCAGGTGTGTAAATGCCGTTGGACAGCAGGTTTGACTTCGCATTTGCGGTAAAGGTGTTTGAGACGCCGGATTTATCCCAAGTCGAGCCGTAAACGGGGTTCGCGTTGATTATGCCTGCGACCTGGTTCGCATCGTTGAGGTAGTAGATACGGACATCGCGGACCTGATAAATGGTATTAGCATTGGTCGCGAACATTTGTCTAGCCGATGAAGTGACAGCAGCTTACCTTATCGCTATGCCAGAATAAGCTGTTGGAGATGGGAGTGCCCTCCTTGATCGTGCTCTCCCTGTTGCTAATTGTTGAGCTCCACACTTTTGTGGAAGAATTGTAGGACGACATCATGAGGTTCTTGGACCGCAGCTGGTAAAAAACGAGGTGATTCACATAGCCATAGTAGTCTGTGAAGTTGAGCGCGCCGATGCTGGTGGTGGGCAAGATGTCCAGCTCATTCGTCGACGTCGTGTTGTTGGAATCGCCGCTGCTATCACCACTGCTGTCGCCGCTTCCGCTCCCGCTGCCCGAGCCGGTACCACTGCTGCCACTTCCGCTATCGCTTGATCCTCCCGAGCTGCTGCTCGATTGTTGTGAGCTGTTGCTTGCCGACAATGCGCCACCGACGCCTCCTCCTACCGCAGCGCCAATAACAATAATGAGCGCCACGGCTAGAACAATCCAGAATGTCTTGCGTCGCATGCCGCATAATGTGCCTGCTCTCTTCTTCTGCTGCTTCTCGTCGATCTCTGCTGTTACGACTTCTGGCGGGTTGTCTTCTTTTGGAGCGTAGTAACCGCTTGAATCGTATGAACCGTTCTGATATTCGACTGGGGAGACACCGCCCTCTACCGGATGAACGGCCTGAAGCATTGAGTAATCATGGCCGTACGGGTGCACGGCTTGTGGAAGATCGCCGTCTTGATTGTGGACTTCAGGCAAGTTATTCTGGTCCGAGACGCGGAACTTGCTCAAGTCTTGATCGCCCCATCCTCCTGGCGATCGGCCCGGTCGGCTGTCGACCTCTAGACCACTGTAATACTCCGGCGGAGACGCGTTGTTGTTCGGAGTCGTCATAATGCCGCGCTCATAGCTCAATCGCGGAGCAAAACGGGACCAAAGTCATCACCTGCAGTAAGACGAGTGGAAAGATGAAAGATTTAAAGCATTGGAGACAAGACCCAGAAACCCGGAGAGGAAAACCACATCGCTGTGATTGTATGGAGCCCCATATTGACAGGCCGCAACGTTGAGCGCCAGAGGTTGTGGATTCTCGTCGGGACTTTGGCTCTTCTCGAGGAACTCACTGCGGTTGACTGGCGTCAAGCGGCAGTAAGGGGTCTGAAGGATTGGAATCCCTGCTCTCGATGGAGCCCTTCAAGGCAGCTATTTTCTACGTTGGGATAAGCGCTGACGGGGGACCCATTTCCGATGGATCGGGATCCCGCGAATGGCTTCCGCGTTGGGTGCCGCTAGCTTCGGTTGTGGGATTACCATAATCAAAAGAGAGGGCCATTGGATGGTGTTCGTGGGGTCGCGAGTTGGCAACGGCGGGCCAAAGGGGCTGGACTCTGGTGTTGATTCCTTCTTCCCGGAAACAGATCCATGCCATCGCGTGGTTCTGGTCCTTCGCAGATCCTTCAGGACTTCATCGGGCTCGAATTGGCGAAAGCTGAAGAAAGACGGCGGCTGTCAGTCGCGGGTGTGGCAAGGCGCAGAATTTTGGACGATCGAACCCATACACACAATCTGACAACACAGCCAAGATCGATAATGTTGAGCTGAAACTCGGGTGCCTGAAAAGCCAAGGAGGGCGAAATGACAGATGCGAACATGGTGATTGTAAGCCCCAAAGGAGCGTCTGCCTCGACTGGAAAACGGGCATTCGTATCTCGAGGATTTTGTGTCCCGTAGGTACGTGAGATAGATACAGTTGATTGAAGATGATTGAAGTCCGCATCAATATCATTCCTCACTCTCCTTGTAGGAATAGTGCTGCGTCGGATCACATGTCACAGGTGGAGTCGTCCAACTCGCAAGCGAATACGTTATTTCCGAGCCCCGTCGTTCTCGCAACACATCAAATCCCGAATCCCTTCAATCTTATGGTACGATAATTCGTTGACATCAAAACCATTGACCTCGTTGCGTCCGCGCCGACCTTGTTGCGCGGTGGCAGAGCAGCGTTGGGTTTCTCAGTCTTTGAAATGCATGCAGACTACGATGATTTGTTTCTGAGTGCCCTACCTGGGTATGACGCTCTTGGCAGTCGGTGCGTGGGGATTCAAAGGCAAACCCAATCGGCGCTCTAAAGAACCTTTCAACAGGGGACAAGATTTTGATTTAATTCGCTTCTTCAACGGGAAGTGCTAATGTTGCAGTTGTTCAACCTCGGCTTAAGCTTGTGCTCAACATGATACTGTATGTCTCCTCCTTCCTTTGAACTTTTGGTCACTTCGGATACATGTATCCTGCTCGACTTCTTGGGTGCAAGGTACCTATTATTGCCTATCATCTATGAATCATCGGAAAAGCCACCCGGGGCTGATCTCGTCTTCTAGTCTATGACCTCTACGCGCTGCATTGATACACGCGATAATGTCTCCAAAGTGAAACTTCTTGCCGACAATTCCAGGACCGTAGTGAGCATATTTAGCTGAGTTCGTCATAGTATTTCTTGCCTTCAGAGGAACTACCGGCTCTTCTATCATGCACCAACACGTATCCGTTATCAACCGGGCACCGAAGCTCTCGATGACGTCCAAATACCCGAGATCCAGGGCCTCTTTGTAGGTGCCGCGACCGGTGGTGATCATCACTTCGACATCGGGTGCTTTCTTTCTGCCGCGACACTCTTCGGCAAGTTGAGAGAATTCTTCTAGGGAAAAGTGCGGACTTCCTAGAGAGACGATATCGACGGAGGAGTCCGTGGCTGTGTTGAGCTGTCTCCAACCCAGTCGAAGATCAGAGGCTGTCACCTCGACGATTTCCAAACCCTCGAGTGTGTTTTCGAAACTCGCAGCCTCTGGCGTGATGCTGCTGATGTGAAACATGGGAGCAGATGAAGTTGTTGCAAAGCCTGCCCCAAAGGCTTTCAGGTCTGATGCGGTAGGATGTGTTGTCTTCATACCAATGATGAAGGGAATCTTGGCGGCAACTACATGTCCAATGCTGTAGCCAACAAGAGCAAAGAGCGACACATCAAATGTGTCAAATTGGGGGACCTTAACTATGATCTCTGGCTTCCTACCCTCTGGTACATGACATCCGCCATACGGTGCCCTGCCAGTCAATGCAATGAAAACATCCATGTAGTCAGGATATTTCTGCGTGTGTGCTCCTAGCACACTGTTTGCGAACACTACAGCGTTAGATTCGGACCATCCTATTTGCTCTCCAGCTCCAGGCTTAGTCTCGAGCAAGTAAGGGGCGCACGTAAAGCTCATCTTGGCGCCCAGCTTGAGGTAAGTCTCTCCAATCTTGTCAGATATCTGGGAAATATCGGACTTGGCTCCTAGTTCTCTCCACCTTTGTCGGTCGACATTGAGAGAGTTGCAGGTCGACGGCACGACAAACTTCCCACCTAGGGAAAGCAGGCGTTCAGGAACGAGGAGACTGCTTTCACCAACGTATGCGCAAGCGTCGACGTGAACCTGCGAGACATCTATCAGGCAATGTGCCCCCTGTATCGTGGCGTACTTTACGATAATCTCCATCGCAATACGAGAAGCTTCGCCGCTCTCCCCAGACAACAAGTCTTTGTCGGTTGGATTCAACTCGATCGCCTTTGTGCTCTGCGGCACCAAGTCAATCCTGTGGCCGCTCGGTGAAACCAACAAGCTCGTCTCATTTATTTGCACCGTCAAAGCCTGGCGAAAAACTTCAAACAGTGACCCGTCCGAAAGAAAGACAATTGGTATGCGCTTGTCGAACATTTTCTCGGCCACCAAGACGCCCAGAGTGAGTATCATTTCCACGTCCCGGAAGATGAGAGCCGCGGGCGCGTTGCCGGATAGTATCAGCTCTGCGATTGCGCTGCTGCCGGAACAGGATCCGCGACCAGCAGTGATGACGAGAACAGAGTCTTTGAGGGATGTGCCAAGGAGGGGGTGGTGAGCATCTGCGACAATGCCAGTCTTTGAGTCGACGCCCATCATGAAGCTTAGTGGAACATCGGAGAAGATGACCTTGCCCTGGGCAGGGCCCGGAACGACGGCGAGTGCCTGGCTCTGTGTCCGCGACATGTGGTCTGCGATGTGATAGATAGCGGCTGAGGGGCTGTTCTACCTTCCGGCAGATGAGAGGAAAAGTGATATGTTAATCCTTGGAACACGCGTTAAGAATTGGGAGTTTTCAATATTCATGCAACGCAGCTTCGCACAATGAGCCAAGTCCGGCGACCTGTGTCGTTTCGGCTACTTACTTTAACATGTGTATGTTCCTACTTCCGTTGCCCCACGACGGCCGATAAGCGGCTCGGCAAGGTTTCCGCGGCCAGCACTCCGCGGCGACCCCTCACCGGCTGTCCGGGAATGATGCCGGCCGGTGGCTGCAACGGCTTGGGTGAAACCTTGATATCAAGAGTGCAAACATTTGATATATGCCATTCACATAAAGCAATGCCAGAACATCAATTGCTCTCCTCACCACATGTTTATCGCGATGTGACGTTGACTCTGAAGCTACTATCGATGTGTGACACATGCTCCACCACGCTCTGCCCGCCGCTATCGGATGCCATCACTCTTAGATACCACTTTACCATTGAGCTCTTCCTCAACTCACTGTTTAGCCGTCAGGAACGAGACTTGGGGGTCTGGGGGGGGGGGGTAGTTTGGTCCCACGCTTGACGAATCGTATTGTTTGGCGCTCGAGTATGGCTGGCTCCAAGGGTTGGCAGTTTAGAGTGAACTTCCCCATGATTGTATCAAGGCTTCACTGTTCGGTGTGCATCCGCTTTGGTAGCTCAAATAATTCTCGTCAGACTCGCAGACAAGAATGCTGCGAAAGTCCCATCAATCGATGGGCAGGACTAGATCAGCTCTGAGACGGGTCACGCTCAGACATGAAGACTGGAAGGAAACCAGAGCTACTTTCCAAACTTTTGCTCGCTAATTATTGTTGGGCAGCGATTATCAGGTAGGGGGTCAATGGGATGTATTGATGAGTATGAAGAACGAGTGGCTATGGGAATATCCCGACTATCTATATAGTGAGTGGAAGACCCTTTATACTGGCATATCCTTGGCAAACTTAGTCATGCTTGTGTAAGACCATATTGTTTCATAGGCATGGTGTGACAATCGTTGTAACGAGTGTACTGGGATGGGCCTGACACACCCCCCTAGGTTCAAGTCTTTGCTTGAAGCTATTCACACTTCTTCCTGGCCCAGCAGGTGTGTGATGTTAACAAGACGAAGTTGACGAACGAATTCTCGGTGTTTTTGTGCGTTCAGTGGTTTGGTTAGACCATCAGCGATAGTGCTATTGGTATCCATCCACTTGAAAGTGATGTCTCCTTTCCGACAGACTTGGCGAGCCCACAAATTCTGTATATCGATATGTTTCAGCCTGGAGGTTCTGTGAGGCTTTTCATCTGTCAGAAGACGAAGAGTTTGACTGTTGTCGCAGTAAATAGTAGGGAAACCGTCTGGTTGAATCTGGAGATTCTCCATTAACCTTATGGTTGCCATCACCTCATCTAGCCAGGCGTTTGTGAACGCATTGACTGCATCTTTTTGCCAGAAACGAAGTCCAAACCTGGCTCCAAGGGCCATCATGGTTCTGAAGGTTCTGGCAGCAAGAGTTGATGCTGAAGTGTCGAGATCGTTCGGCGGTTGAAGATTGCCTTGGACACAAATCCTTGCTTTGAACTTGTGAAGATAGCCGTGCTTGTCGAACTTATAAGTGAACACCCATAATAAGGGGATAATAAAGTGTTTTTCCTTATCGACGTTGCAGATCTGAACTCTCTTCCATGTGGCGATATCCCAATGGTGTTTTAGCTCAGATTCACAAGCAGCTTTCCATTCCTTGAAGAAGGGGTGCTTTTGAGCCTCTCTCCAGTTTCTGGGAGTTGGAGGAAGATCTCTCTTGTGCATCTTTCTTGTCGCATCCATCGTTGCGCTATGGAGTGCGCTTGTGTTGGCGGATATGTAGGCGATATACTGCTTCTGATAGAGACCTCTCGATTCAGAGCCTGCTGCCTCTTTACTTGGTTTCCGTCGCCTCGGGGATTTCAGGATGTTGGAAGAGTCAACCCCTTCACTTTTGTCGTATTTCTGGCGTCTTTTGATAACGTTGCTGAGGGGCTGTTGACCTACACCTTCCAAAGTGTTATTGTTGGAAGTATTGCTACCATCTCCACTCGTTGGAGTTGGTGAAGTCGCTGATTGGGTTGGTGATGAATCTTCTGGTCGAGGGGAGCCTTCCACCCACCCAGGTTCGATCTGATGGTCCCTATGTAAGGGTTGATTTTCTTCTTGTTGAGACACTGTCTCTTCTGTGTTGACATAGATGGTGTCATGGATTACTTCGTCTGAAGTAATGGCTGACGATGAAGATGGAAGTGGAGGGCTACTAGACATCACCCCCCCAGCCGAAGAGATATCGAGGCTGGTTTCTGTTCCTCTTACAGAACTGCCAGGCTGGCTGGATAGGCGGTTACCTAGCGTCACTTCTTCCCTAAGACAAGGTAGAGTTGGAAGACTATTATCTGGAGCGAAAATAGAACTTTGGCGGTCTGACGGATGAGTTGCATAGGTATCTGGGGCCGCGAAATCCTCTAGAATGGATTCGATATCGTGATCAATATCGTCATGGAGTTCCAACAGGTCTAGATGCCCTGTCTGCTCTCTTATCTGTACGGCATCAAGTTGCTGGACTTCTGAAGGATTGTAGACAACTGATTCGTCAAATGACACGTCTCTGGATCTGAAAACCTGATTCAGAGTAGGGACCCATATGCGATAGATGTTCGAGCTATCATATCCACAGAGATAGCCAATATGAGCTCTAGGTGCCATCTTGGCTGACTTTTGGCGGCCAGCCATGTAGTTTTTGGTCAGAGGATAGGCTCTGCAACCATATCTCTTGAGATGGCTAAGCGATGATAGTTCTGGGCGCTTTGTACCCTTGTTGGCATTCAGCCACGCATTCGTCTTTCCTTCTGGTGTCATCCAGTTGATCTTCCTTCTTGGAGTTCGGTTGCCAAGATAGACGGCTGCCGCTGTTGTCTCTGGCCAGAGTTGTGGGGGAAAGTTTGACTGTATACAGAGAGCTCTTGCTGCAGCAAATATAACTCCCCCAGCTCTCTCGGCTTGGCCGTTTTGTGCTGATGTGTATGGTGCTGTTCTCTCCAGAATGATCCCTTCCTCGGAGGTGTAGTCCTCTATGTTGGTCTGTAGAGACACATCCCCATCAAGCCGTAAAAATCGTACAACAATATCGTATTGCACTGAGAGAAACTTGACTAGTTGCTTGATAAATCGGAGGCCAAGAAGTCGTCGATGTGGAAGTGCTCTCTGGAGCTTCAGCTTGGTGTATGGGCATGTGGCGATAATACTGACTTTCGCCCCATTGTACGCTTCCTCCATCAGAAAGAAGTCAATGTTGATCCTCTCGAATGGGTAAGTGGTTTTGTAAATTGGTTGACGTCTTGAGATGCTCCTCATTGCTTTGGCCTGTCTACATGTCTCGCAGTCCTCTATCAGAAGACCCTCTATTCCTGCATCTGAGGATGCCTTGGATAGGTGTTGAAGAGCCGCCTTATTTGCGTGGCTGAGTCGTTCGTGCCACAGTTTGGCGTTCTCCTTGCTGGTTGCTCGAGGCTGAGAAGAGGATGAGAAATAGACTGCCCCTTGGCCGTCAGGAGGCTCGAGATGATACTGTGATTCTAGTATCCAGATTTGAAATTGAGGACTGCCCTGATTGTCTTCAAGGCATCGTTGCCTTGCCGAGAACCAAAGTCCTTGCTCCTCTAATCTGATGGTACTGATCAGGGTAGTTGGAGCGTCTGGTACTAAATATGCGCTGTTGATTCGCAATTGATGAGGTTGGCCCATTGCATCTACTGCATTGACTATCATGATCCCTTTTGCGGTTGCAATAATAGGCCCATTTGGGGTGTCAAAGGTCTTCTTGACAGGGTTTAGATCTTCAAAGCGAGATTTGTCCCATGTGAGGGTATCTGATGCCCCGCTGTCAACAAGTACAGCGTGTTTGTTATCGCTGGCTTGAGCGATGTGCTGACAGCTGCCATTTGGTTCTTCTGGCACTGAGCTGGTATCCGACCAGTCAGTATCTGAGTCTGATGGACTGGATGCCCGTATGTAGTTGGCCTTGCTGGCCTTCTGTTCTGCCAATTGGTCTGGAGAGACGCTCTTGGTCCTGCTTTGCTCTATCTTTTCCTTTAGCCTAGGGTTGTTGGCAAGGAAATCTTGAGCCATCTGGATCTTCGCTGTGTCTCCAGTCCAGCCGGATGGACGAATGTATGGGTTCAAATAGAAGCATTCCTGATAAAAGTGCTTCTTCCCATCTAATAGACAAAAGGGTTTCGGCCTGTTGTCCTTATCCTTTGGTTTTCGGCCAAAAGAAGCGTTGTTGGTGTTGCCCTTGGCTGAAACCCGTGGAGATTGGCCTTCTTCACGCTGTTGCCAAGTGGCATATGCACCGCCTGATTTGGAGTCTTCATCTCCATGCCCAGCCTCTAGCCAGGTTCTCAAATGCTGAAGGATTTTCTTGCCTGTCAGCCGTTCTGATGGATCAACGTCGTCAATTTCTTCCCTGGTTGTATCCCTAGCCATGGGAGCGACGAAGTCTGGATATACCCCTTTCAATGCGTTGAGAAGGGTGGTTTGTTGATGAGGTACACTCATCTCTTCACAGCCCAATCTGACTGCTTTGGAGAGATTGGTCTCACAAGATTGAATCCACTCTTGGGTGCCTGATCTCTTGATCCTCATGAGATGATCTCTATAGGTCTTGTAGGTAAGTCTTTTCTCCGCTTGAGGAGATCGTTGATACCTGTCCTTCAGGCTTCGCAGGGCTTCTCTTGGAGTATCAGCATCCACTAGCCAGGAGAGCATGGTTGGCTCGATAGTGGTGGTGATGTCTCTCATGGTTTTCTGAAGCGCCTGGGTTCTTCGCTCGTACTGCCTAAGCTCCTCGATATATACTCTGCTGTTGGCGTCAAACAGAGTAACTTGGTCGCTATTTGGGTCGACTGGCAGTTGTGGTCTGATAGGCGCAGTCAAGGCCTCATCAGAGTCAGGGTTGCAGAACTGCCATATCCCGTTAGATTTGGCATTCATCCTGATGAAGGTATACCAGTCTGGCCAGTCAGATTGGCTTTTAAGGCGAATAGTAGTCTGTACGGTAGACATCTTGTTCGATAGACAAATAGGTCGGTTGTGATACCCGTGGATTGACCAGGTGCCTGCCTGGGCTGCTAATAGACAAAGAGGTAGTTGACTGTGTGATGCTTATTCAGAGTATCCAGTGGTCAGAAAGACAACTGGGCTCATAACTGTTGGGCAGCGATTATCAGGTAGGGGGTCAATGGGATGTATTGATGAGTATGAAGAACGAGTGGCTATGGGAATATCCCGACTATCTATATAGTGAGTGGAAGACCCTTTATACTGGCATATCCTTGGCAAACTTAGTCATGCTTGTGTAAGACCATATTGTTTCATAGGCATGGTGTGACAATCGTTGTAACGAGTGTACTGGGATGGGCCTGACAATTATTAACGAAGAAGTGGTCGTCATGTAGACATTGAACGCATCTTGAAGTAGGCAGAATGATATATCAAGCAGCCTCGAACGTGAATATGCAATCTGGAGAGCACACCACCTTGCGCGACCCTCGAAAGCTAAATATCTCGGGGATTCATAAGTTCCACCTAATAGGTGATTCTCTTGTAGTATGATTTAGGCATATACGTAGAAGCTACCTGATGGATTATAGATTTCCAATCTTCCCGAGCGCTTCCGTTACATGTGCCCATCAGCTTGCCACAAGAATACTGCATGCTTGTGGTTCAGCATCATGCAATTGCGCCAAAGAAGTAAACGTAATTGATATACCAGATGAGGCAAACTTTCATCGAAGAGTGAGACTGCGTACGCTGTGGACCCGGGCCTCTTTCCTTTCAGCTTGTCACGTTGTTCGCAATATATGCCCACTCCACATCTTCCCAACCCGGCCTCCGCCGAATCCTCGCCATCATGTTCTCCTGGACACTTGTCAGGGGCTTTCCAACAGCCTCAGCCAAGTTGTTATTGATCGGCGGGACCTCAATCCTGCCACCAGCCGGAGTCTCAATCTCGAATCCCAGCACCAACGCGGCCATCGCCCCCAAGATTTCCGCGTCGGCAAAGAAACGTCCGGGACAAAGGTGTTTACCGCCACCAAAAGGATTGAAGGCGCGGCTTTGCGCCCGTTCCCTTTCTCTGTCCGCAGTCATGAACCGTCGCGGGTTGAATTCGTGTGCATTCTCGCCCCACGCGTCGGGGCCAAAGTTGGTTATAATGGCAGGGATTTGAATGTTTGCACCCTTCTTGAGAAGGTATGTCTTTGTGTCGCCGCCTTCTCCGGACGGGGTGTAGCTGATGAATGTGTCCTCCACGACCCGGCGTGTGCCAGTCGAACGATTTGTCAAGCGCATGACTTCTTTGTAGGTTGACACCAGCAAGGGGCACTCTGTCCGGAACTTGGCGACGGTCAAAGTACACTTTCGAGACAGGCGCCCCCCGGTGGCACCGTTGTCCTGCTGTTGTATCACGGCAAGGGCTTGAAGCTCTTTTTGCAATTCTGCAACGAGTTTGGCATCGCGGAACACATAACACATCATCCAGAAAAGTGTCGGGATAGCATTTGTGACGCTCACAAAAAGCATCCCGAACTCGTGGTCGGCGATGTCGTCAATGGGTAGGCCCCATTTCCGGTTCACCGCCACGCGCCGCTTGACGACACTGCTGGCATCGGTAATGTGATCATAATCTTCGCGAAAGTATTTCCGAAGAGCCTTTTGCACCTTAGCACGACCGTTGTAGGCCTTTGATACTGTGATGGAGGGTAGCGGTTTCATGAGTAGCTCGGCTTGGCCACCATCGTAATCCCTTCAAATTGGCGTTATAAGCAGTCGAACTCTGAAGAGTTGGGAGGTGCTATTACTTACCACAAATTCTTGCTCAACGTTGGGTCGTGCATCAGAGAGTTCTTGTCACCGAAAAGGGAGCCCACCGTGGCCATGGTGAAGGAATCCCTGAACCACATGTACAGTTTCTTGGTCTCATACTCAGGTCCGATACAATTGATGGTCTTCGAAATCTTGTTCAGGACATAGGTGTTCATCTCTTGTAGATCAGGACCAGGAGCCAGAGGGGCAAAAGATGGATGCTGGTCCTCAATCCATGAGATGGAGCCATCAGTCGGTGGATTGTGGAACAAGTCCATGACGTTTGGCCCTAGGCCGACCATCTTCTGCGCGAACTCCGCCATCACTGGGTAAAGATTCAGAGATTTGTTCTTCATTGCAACCTGGATCAGCTGCGGTGCTGTGATGATGTACATCTTCTCGGATCCTCCCATCGAGATGGAAAAGATGGGAAGTTTCGCATTTTCAAAGCTGTCACGCTGTCATTAGTCTAATTTCTGGCTCTTCGTTTAACATTGAAGTCGTCTCGTTGTTAGACATCACTGACTTGGCTTCCAACGTACCCGAGTTGACGATAGTATTTTTGCCTTGACCCAAGTAACCCGATGATATGGCCAACAAGCGGTATCCTGGGCTTCACTTCTTGTGGTTCTCTTGGATCCACAGACTTGGCTCGAACCTGACTTCTGCCGACAAGAAAGACAACACCTAGGAACAGGAACCACCACAGACCATAGCCGTCGCTGGCAAACAAAGTCTCTGACAATCTAGATGACGCCATGGTGATTACTGTGCTGAAGTGATAGTACAGAGCATCGAGCAATGCGCAAGGAGACGCGCCGTGCTGCTCTGCAATGACGGACGCGTTGATGATGCCACTGCCACAGTTAGAGTGGAGCAAGAGCGAACCCAGGTTTGTAATGCTGAAGCCACCGATGGCCGGAATAAGCGAATGTGACCCTGACTTCTAAGTTCGGACGAATTCCACATCTGGCTTGGTCCAGGCAGCAACGCGAGGTGGGTATCAGCTTCGGAGCCATCTTCGGAGGGATTCAGACGGTCAAACAGCCACAACCGTTGCCTCTTGGTTTGCGCGAAGGATCGCACTACCGTCACTAGACTAGCGTAGGTACTACGACGCACATGCAACGAGATATCTGTCGTGTCTTCCCGTGCTTCATCCGTGTCTCTGAACTGTTGCCCCGTACGGTGGATGTGCAGATCGCGGACACGGTGGCCCAATTTGAACACAGTGCGCCGCTTTCCAGTAGCGTCTCAACTCAGATGCAGAATGACATGAACTTGCTCAGAGACAATGTCCAGGGCCCAGAGTATCAAAAATGCATGTGTCCTGGAGAACATGAATCATGGCTTAATACAGCCTACGCCCTGTTTTGTAAGTGTCAGCACTAAGAACCGGGTCTCGGCGACTCGGTCTGCTCACTGAGCATTGCCATCTTTGGACATCGTGAAGATTGATGTGTTATCAGTGGTGAGAAGCCTTGAACCTTGATTGGAGGCGGTAGTCTTCCTCTCTCATTCTCTCGACTTTGTAAATTCAATATGGTTCAATCAGAGAAAATGCCTTTCGCGGAAATCTTTCCATGGGCCACTTTTCGCCGACAGGCAAAGGCAGACCTTGCACCACCTACCGCAAGCTTCGAAGGAAAGACAGTCCTCCTTGTTGGCGCTACCGGCGCGATTCTCTCAGATGCGGCTCGGATCATCACCAGCCTCAATGTCGCGACTCTCATTTTAGCGGTCCGAAATGTTGCTAAGGGCGAGTTGTTGGCCGGTGAACTGAGGAAAGTGCACGTTGATGATGAAAGCCAGCAGTCGACTATCACTGTGATGGAAGTAGACCTCTTGTCTTTTGATAATGTCAAGGCTTTTGCAGCCGAGATCAATCAAGTTCAGACTCGCATTGATGTGTTGGTCATGGGCTCTGCTATAATGAACGATGCGACAAGAGTAACTCCAGACGGATGGGAAGAGAGTGAGTTTCCTATGAAAATATTCCGCTCTTCAAAATGCACATCACCATTGTCTCCATCGACCCAAATTTTCTAACAGAAACAATATTGATCTAGCTCTGCAGTTAACCCATCTCTCATCGGCACTCCTGATTGTCCTCTTGTTTCCCAAGATGCTGGCCGACGGAGATAATCAACCAGTGGTGCTCTGCAGTCTTACCAGCGCGGCAATCCGCTCCGCAGCCCCGATGGTCGAGCTTCCAGACGACGCAAAAGACTCCTACCTGAAGCAGGTCAGCAATGTCAAAGATGCCGCTACGCAGAAGAGTTACCAATACGGTCTTGCAAAGATCATCCACGCATGCTGGATCAGGGAGCTCTGCGCCCGTCATCTACCCGGCAGTAAACCGAGGATTCACTTCCACCAGCTGGATCCGGGCGCCTGTTTCACACCGCTCAGCTCACAAGTGCTCATCGGGAGACTGCTGCTTTGGTTCATTGGTCGACCTGTAGAGATGTGTGCCCGAACCGTGGTGAACTCGTGCCTACCACTGCTAGGATCGCATGGAAAGATGTTGATCGATTACGATGTTGCTCCGTGAGTTCAGTTCTCCGTCTTTGTTCCTCGAAACATCACATCACCGAATGTGACTCAAGCCGTGGTGGTAGCAATGCTGCATCTTTACTAACGGCCGGTTTTCGATTTAGGTATCCTGAGTTCATGGATAGGTATGTTAACGGTTGATGAAACAACTCCTTCCTTATCCGGCATGAACATTGACATTCATCGGTTTCGAAATTGGGCGATACTTACCTTATGCTAACACTTATTTGTAATAACAGGACACTCGGATTAGAACTCCAGCGAAGGGTTTGGCAAGAGACAAGCCAGGTATTAAAGAGCTTAGTCACCCCTCAGGCGAAAAGTTACCTTTTTGGTCCAAGTTCGTGATTGAGTTTGCCTGTTAAATGAAAGTCCGACGGAGTTTTGCATCTTGGAAGGGGCTGGCTTCGTAATGAAGAAACTCGATCAGATTTGCAAATGTGCCAGAGCAAATAATCTTATGTACACTCTATCGACTCTGAAGGTATAGTTATTTGTCATCTGACACCTTCAGCCCTTGCCCTTTTCCATCCACCGAACTGAAATTATCTTTTCAGAATGTATCACAAAGCGAGGTAGCAAGTGGAAGACTTGTATGGTAGAAAGTGGCTTGATTCCTCTAAGTGGAAGACCCGTATGAGGGTCCTATCTATATACCGTACAAGACGGGTAATCGGCTTGTGGAAAGCGGTATCGTACGGCAGTAACCGGCAGCGCCACGTGTGGCGCTGCGACAGAATGCACAGATGTCTATGCTCCAGTGGGTTCCGTCTTTGGCGCAGAGGTAGTAGCAGTCACAGGAGGGTCATCCGGAGTATCAACCTTAGATGGTCGGTCTTCCACCGGGTCGCAATCCGCCACCTCTGGAATGCCCGCAAAGAACCTCTCCTGATACGCAGCGTCCATCTGAGCTTGAAAGTTGGCGTCGTTAAAAGGAACCTGGGTCTTCTCATACTGAACGTCTGTAAGGGCATCCTTTGCCAAAGTTGGCAGTGACTCCCAGCTGATCAGGGTTCGCTCAAAGATATTCTCGTCATCGGCGCCCTTGAAGGCTGAGATGGCGTTGTCGTGAATTTGCATCTTGGCATGCGTTGCCATAGCGAGGCCAACACTTGCGCCCCGGAATGAGATCTCGCTAATTGTGGATGGCGTGCCCCAGTTCAGATGGTCAGCCGTGTAAGAAACACCGACTGGCCAAATGCCTGTGATATCTTCCTCTTCACAGCCCCATCAGTTGACCCAGACCACCACACTGGCCCAGTAATGACGATGTCCGTTATTCTTTCCGTCGGCCCAGCGAACCTTGGGAGTGTAATAACTGTACATGATGCCATTACGACCTTGGCCATTACCGCCAGCTCCACAGCCACTCCTTCCACCGCCTGTGGGCTTCAAGCCAGCTCTGCGACTTTCAGTTAGCCTTTTTTTGATTCATGTACGCTGCTCGATGGATTCCCTCGAGGCGCTGATGTTCAAGACAACTTCAAGTGGATTGTAGATGCTCTTTACCCAAGATTACCGTTCTCGTCCACGGCTGGGTAGTGGGTACGGATCGCAGCCACCAGAAACCCAGAGATAGGGGTTGAACCGCAGCTCCAAACTTCCGCCTATCTCATCGGCTGCATTCTGGGTGAAAGGGACTATGGCGTCGTGGTTGATCCATTGGTGTCCGTTCGCATTATCGCCGCCACGTGGTAGGAGTGAGCCATAGGATGACGCCGTGCATCCCAGCAAGAGGCCAAGAGTTTTCAGCATGATTGCAAAGAGTAGACTGGGAGTGCAACAGCCTAAGGAGAGTTCTGTCTTCTCTGACCAAAAGTGCTTGATGAGGCCTTGTTTCCACCAAGAAGAATACAAGTTCAGTGACCGGTTTGTGTATGTTGGCTGTCTTTATCTAGACAGAATGAGAGCTTTAGAATACCTTCGGGACGCTTTTTATATAGCTTTTCAGTCAATCAGGTCGAACAGAAAGATTCTTGAGCCAAGTCCGATACCAACATCTTAACGCAGTCCAATGTCGGACTCTTCGGCCCCCGTCATTTCATCATGTCATGCTAAACAGCTAGCGACTCAAGAAGACCGAGCTTGTTGCGGCGTTGCCCATCGACAACTCTTAAAGTTTGAACAATCTATAAGTCATGTCGCTCAGTTGAACACGAGAAATATGTGTTGGGTCGCCTTGGGCAGAATCAGCCTCAGTGTTGATGTCCAGAATCGACGTACTCAATCCCAGGCTCATTTACTTGACTCATCTTCAGCAATTGTCATTCACCGAGTGACGTAAGTTGAACTACTGCATCAACATACCTTACACAGGTATGGCCACTTCAGTAAAGTATGATTAACGTGTTAACTCAGAAAGGGTCCAGTTCGTAGTCCGGCTTCTCCACTGGATCAGTGGATGACCATAAATAAGAATAGTTTTCCGGAGCTATCCTGTTCAGCGCTAAATGGCGTCAGTACATAGAAACAACATGTTATTCAGAGTGAGGTAAGTTAGTAATGAATGGCATAATGACCCGTTCCGTTCTCCCCTGCATCCTTGAATACTATGTAAGGAAGAATTACATAAGAGTAGAGCTGTTGGAAACTGGGGATGCTGCACCAGAACGGATGTAACTCCATATACCTGCCATAGAAGCGTGATATGGGTTGATTTGAGTCTGCCCGCTTGTTTGGCACTTGAGCAAGTTCATTAATCAACGGGTTCTCCAAGACTGAGTGCTCGTCTTCGGTCTTGGCCAGAGCGGAGAAGGGTGGAGAGTGTTGCCGCGAGTCCCGGACTTAGCGAGTGTCATATAGTAGCTTCGACTAGAGAGATAATTAACGAGGAATCTTCCGTTGAAGGCTTGAGAGTCAGACAGTGTAACATGCTTAGCAACCTGACTCAGTCAGAACATCTCAATTGTAGCAATGCAAACAAATCCAGCAACTTGACTCAGTCACAAGAACCCATCAGCTCCTCGCGAGAAGAGTTCCAGCAACCTGACTCGATTGAAATTCAGTCGCAACAACTCGATTATAGCGATCTCGAGGAAAAAAGAAAAATAGCTTGGCCACGGCAAGTCCGGCTCTCCAAGAATCGATCATAGGGAAACCCAGGTCTGCGAAATACTCATAAGAATCGTCGACTCTTCGTCACATCCTTGAGGCTAAATCAATTTGAATCTCAAGATCTCTTGGGTTGCGACAATCGGGATTCAAGCCATCATCATGACTTTGTCCAGTCGTCTTTCTCTGTTGTTGGCCCTGGGATACCTATTCGTTGGGATCCAGGGTAGAATGGTGATTGGGTATCGCACAGCCGCCGAGGTAAGTCACGCTTTATCGGGCTGAGTGAACGATCGTGTCTATGTCACTAACAACCTTGCGAACCTGTAGGAAGAAGCTGTGCAAAGCAATGAGAAGAACACGCCCTTCAGAGACCCGGCTTTTGACAACTTGCCGGGCGGCAGTCAAATCGGAAATGGAATTTACCTAGGTAAGCACAACCAAAGCTCCCAAAACTCGAAATCCCCTATTGTTGGAATAGGCCTACATTAGGCCGCAGGAGGTTGCTGCCGCGGTCCGTTCCAGCCACGGTGGTCCGTGTGGCTCAGCCACACGAGGGTGGTATACCCCAGACTTCCTGCCGCCGCTGGCACCTGGTTAGACTTCCACTGAAGAACAACAAGAACAAGCAATATCACCACTACAGTCGGTGATCGTTGCTACCCACGATACTCGAGTATTTTCCTTTTCCACCTGTGAATCCAACACCTATATCTACATTTGAGCTGACTAAGTCGTAGGCTCCGAACCTGCGGGATGGCGAGGCTCTCCAATCAAGAAGAACTGGTACTGCGTATTCAAAGCAGACGAAGCCCGCTTTAACGCAGCTGCCAAATTCTGGATCCCTCAATTCTACACAAGCAAGAGCTTCTGGGGAAGCTCAAAGTCCAAGGAGCTTTGGGGCTATGGCGAGAAACTAATCGCCAAGTATATCGCCAAATTCGGCTCAAGCGCTAGTTCAACACTTCGCTTCTCGTACATTGAGGCACATGGGCGTACCCTGTAAATGGTCATTCCCACCAGAATGGCAAACGCAGACACTCTAGACATTTACGCCAAGTGCTTTGCAACCAAGTCGGAATTAATTGCCTATGAAAGCGAATCCGTCAACTTCTGGGATTGGACCATCAAGGGAGATCCTGGAAACCCTGGCTAATGTACCCGAAATTGTTCTGAGAGTTTATTCTGGGTAAGGAAGAAACCTTCGACAGAATGCCGAATCTGGAAGCACATGGCGACGTTGCAAGTCATATCAAATGTAGTTATTCTAAGAATACGCATAATTCATAATCCAGCGCTACTCGGAGAATCCCATTATTGATGTGTCCTTGGTCTGTTGATGATTTTGAATTAGACCCTGCATCTTTGGAGAAGCACCTACTTCTGGCCAAGGGCGGTCTCGATTTTAGCCCAATACTTCTTCCTCAGCATCCCCTGAATCCAGTAATCTCCGTTGGCATCGCGGCCCAAGATGGTGAAGATGCTCATCAAGAACGCAGGAGTACCTGCCGTTATCAAGTGCATGTGAACACCGGTCGGCTTCGCCTCTACGCGAGGGACTGCAGGAGCATCAGTGCGAAGAGCGGCAGACGAACGTGACGCATGTTCATCCTCCCAAAGCCCATCACAACCCATGGCGCTCTTCCCTCCGGTGCCACTGCTGGCACCAGTATCGCTAGATGACGTCTCAGGTAGCCGAAGTCGCTCGTTTTCAAAGAGCCCGTCACAGCCGATCTCCTCTACTTCTGCAGCAGAGAAATCGACGTTGAAGAACTCGGCTTTGGTCCAGTTGGTACACACAACCATGTGCATGCCCGCATCGCCGAAAAGGGCGGGCAATCCAGCTTTTCCGTTACCCGACTTCTTCTTGTTGACGTTTTCATTAACCTCGTCTCCATTTGCACGCCGTTGCAGTGCCAGTAGAGCCTCAACCTGCGGTCTTGTGCTGAGTTGCCCAATAGCCTCTCTCAGTGCCCTTGCAACACGGCCAAAGCCCAGAGGACCTTTTTTGACAAGATCTTGCGTAGGTAATAGGGTAGGAATGGGCAAGATGGCGTTACCAACCAGCGCACCTTTCTCGGGCAATCGTCCTGCTTGTGCCAGGACGCCGCGCAGACCCATCATGTTCAGGATGGCAATGGTTTTGCGGCTCTTAGTAGGATTGCGGATGCGTGAGGTAATAATGTTACGAGTCCACCACGAACACAGAATATCACCATCACTCAAAAAAATGGCTTTCGGAGTCGGTTGAGACTGACGACCCTTCTCTGATTCTTGAAGGCTGAGCGAACTGCCATTCTCGGCTTCGAGAGCTTGGAGTGCGTCCTTGCGCAAAGACTTGACATACGCGGCAGGCACACACACTGTCCTAAACTCTTCCACCGCATTTTTGTTCAACAGTTTGTCAAGTGCTTGTCGAAGACCGAGAGTAACGAGTTGCACAACTCCAAGCTGTTTGTTGATGTGCTGGTATTGTTCAGGAGGGAAGGTGGATGCTGCTGGCTTTCTGGCATCGTCCTTTGGCATCACCTTGGTCGACTCAGGGGAGGCACCCAAGGATCCAAGAGGATCAGTTCCAATCAACGGGATGACCTCCCCATGGCGTCCCTGTAGAGTGAGGGACCACGCATCAAAGAGGTCCTTTAGCCCCATACAGTCCCACATGATGTGCGAGAAGCCTAACGATACTAATGTCGCGTCGTTGAATGTTGTGACTTGCAATCCTATCATCGGCTTGTCATGATAAACATAGTCTTCGAAAGAGGTAGGATCACTTGGGTGTCGCATCAACGGAGAGAAGTCCACACCACTGCCTGACTCCACCACCCAAGGAGTAGAGCCATCATTGGAAACACCAGAAGCTGGTGGACCACGGCTCCTAAGTCGAGATGCCAGTGGGTGCTGCTTGATGCTGATGTTGGTGTGGCGGTTGTGATGAAAAGTAATTGCTGGCCGCTGTTCAGTGTATTTTTCAGGCAAATGCCACTGTAACTGGTTCGAAGACTATGGACTCAAGTTAGTCAAGCACACTATGAGATGGAACTTGTGTCATTGTAGGGTACTTACGCCCAGCCGTACTCTCGCACCTAGCCTTCGCCAGCCATCTCGACGGTCAAGCAATTGCTCCAGAGCCCTGCGTAATTTGGCTGCATCGAGTTGGCGGTCAAACCGCAGCATTACGTTGAGGACAGCATCGCGAGAGTGATGGTCCCAGTAGTCGACCGGGATAACCTTATCGGTCAAGACTACAGGCGGAGCCAATCTCGTCACTTTGCGTCGCAGAACAGACATCTTTGGGCACACTGACTGCCAATGGAAGCCGCATACTTCAAGTGAGAGAGCGTCACAGACGAAGAAGTCACACGAATGGAGCGTCGTCTTCTAGATCTTCTCATTTTGGAAAGCCACGGCCGAGGTGAAGAGCACAGTTGCAATTGGAATCAAATTACTGTACATTGGACAGGGGTTACGCGAAATGCCTTCCGAGGGGTCCAATCGGCGCGTACCTGTTGGGTTGGGAGATCTAGATAGAGACGAAGGATCTAGTTGCATCAACAGCGGCTCGGGCTCATTCTTCATTCAAGGTGAGGTAGGATCGGTGAACCCCCACAACCTTGTTGATCACTGACTTGCCGTGTAAGCGGACAGTGCGAATCCATCAAAGCCCAGAGAAGGGCGAAGGATCCTACCCTTACAGCTTGGCGGATAGGGCTTATGGAGATCCTGGTCAATTTCCGAATGTCGTAACCCCACACCGAGCTCGTGGTTCAGACGAACACGACCCGAGCCGAGACGGAGACGACCTCCGTGGGCTGTGGACTAGATCATACATGGAGATAAGCCGACCAATTGAGTGAATTGAAAAACTAGGAACATAGCGCTAAGAATTGGATGCTCTGACTGGCTAGATGCTGAGTCCGTAATCAAGTCTCCGTTCCATTAGGCTTACGATAGTGAAACCAGGCCCAAACAAGAATGTGAGAGCAATATTCCATGTCGCCTCTCTACCAGCCAACCAAGTATCACCCTTTACCCGCAGTGAAGGCTGAAGAAATACGACCCACGCGAAAGCCGCGGCGGTGCCGATGTAGTAGTCATAACGGAGAAAGTTGAATGCGCCTTCTGCCATCCCGCTAATCTGGGTCTCACTATCCCACCTCTGCGGTAGAAAGAAGGTCGCGGGTCGCAGCTGCGCATATGGCGAACTTCCGGAAGTCTCCAGCTTGCCAATCGCAGCGGAGACAATGGGTATGAGACCCAAGACATGGATCAAGGCCGAGACTATTGCAGTAGCTTTGTACAAGTTACGAAGCGCTGACGTGCAACGGCCGAGCTCGCCATCCTTAGCCTTGTGTTCCTTCGTTTCTTGTGCTGGGTTGGCTCGCATCAAAGACATGGTGACAACCTGTACTAGGGCCATCCACGCAGGGAAGTTTTGCCAGACAGCTACAGCGATTTGTCTTGACTGGCCAGAAAGATAGTTGCTCGGCAGACACATGATAGCCGACGGGATCGCAAATCCAATGAGGACTGAGGCCGAAACGGCTTGAATGGCAGCAACGGTCGGTAGCCTTGAATGACTTTGAGGTGGTTGAGAGAGCAGGGATACATAACAGTACAGAGGCATGATGATGAAGTACCCGGCATACTGTATGGCGAGGCCCCAGAGTGCGAAAGGAATCAGATCCCTCGCGCGCCGTGTTCGTAGGCTTTCGACTAGCATGACGGTGAAGACGGCCAATATAAGCCCCGTCCAGTGCCATCCCAGGAGAGATAAAGCCGGGAACGAGCCATCGACTGTTGGAATAATGCTGAATTGCAGGTTGGCGAGATACGAGTCCAGGGGCGGGACCCCGGTGTAGAATGTGAGCAGGGGTGTTTTGTTGTCTGGAAGCAAGGGCGGTGCCGACGCTCGCCTATCGGTGAACATTTGAGCGTGACCAGAGTTCATCATCAAGTTTGAGACAGCGTAGAGTCCAGCCAGTGTGATGAACGGGAACATGACGTGTATCAAGGGTCGCGCCATGATGACTGTATCGATTGCCGGTCAAGTCCTAAGCTGAGGGAATTTGTTGTGAGCAGGAGCCTGGGCGGTGATGTGATGTTGATGCAAATGCTTCGAGATAGCTAAGCATTGGACACACGAATCAAGGTTTATGTAGTAAGAGAATCAGCTTACTACTTGAGACATTGTTCAGTAATTGGTCTAGTCTAACAACATCCCCTTCTAAGACAAATGTGTGGCTTGCTTGATCCTGCAAGGATACCCGTTGTTAGGTTTAGTGCTCCCATGGATAATCTGATAGGCACGATCCCCTGCCACTTCGGTGGGACCTGTCCGACCTGTCTTCTTGTTGTACTCGACGTAAGCATCCGCAAAGTCGAAATCCCTCAGCACCATGGCCAGAATGACCTTCACCTCCAATAGTGCGAGTTCCTGGCCGATGCAGTTTCGCGGGCCCCGCTCGAACGGCCGCCATGCCTCCTTGTCCGCGGGGTACAGCTCATCACCCGGAGAGGCCAGCCAGCGTTCCGGGACAAAATCGTCTGGTCTCACCCAGTGCTCCGGTGCTCGGTGTATAGCGTGGTGCACGCCCCAGAGCATGAATCCTTCAAGTTGCGTCTTGTCGGTTTCCGATACTGTGAAGCCTGGCCCAGATGCACGCGTGCTTGACACGGGCGGATATAGCCGGAGAGCCTCTTTGATGACGGCGGATGTGTACGCCAGTCGATTGAGAAGTTGAGGGGCTTCCGCGATGCGACTTCCAGTGTCTTCGACAGTGCTGCCGGCTCCAAAAACATCATTGTGCTCTTGGCGCGCTCTTGACAGGGCAGACGGATGAAGCGAAAGAAGGTGGATGGAGTAGACCACCGCAGCAGCTGTCGTGTCATAGCCGGCGAAAAGGAAGAGCTTCATCTGCGAGACAGCATATTGCTTGAACGTTGGATCCATGGTCATCTTCTGACCAGAATATTCGTTGTTCTTCTCCGAAAGGAGATATGTTTCCAGTGCAAGGTCGACCACCGCCTTGCTTCTTCTCGGGGTCGCTGTTGTTTTTTCGGATTCCGAAGCTCCAAGCTGAGCCTGGGAGCGCATTGCAGCGAAGTGCGTCTCGAGTTCGCTCGAGACGTATCTGTCCATCCTCCACCGATTATAGCGGTAGACCAAGTGTCTTATTGGGTTGAATTTCCTGAAGAGATTTGTCTCATTGGGAGATGGTATCCAGTCAGCTTGGCTGCGAAACGCTGATACAAGATCGCAGCCCTGTCTCTGAGCATTCAAACGAGAACCTCTGCAAGGCCAAGTTAGTATTATGGATCGATCGGGTGTGAAGTCTTGCTTCGGCTATTTTTGAGTGAACTTACAGTGTTGCAAGACAACTCATGTCCATGGTCAACCGCGACATAGTCTCAAACAATGAGAAGACTTCGCCTGCGGCAGCTCTCTCTCGCAGAATCACATGCAACACCAGCGTATTTTCAACGAGGCCCGGTACCAGCGTCACGAGATGCGCAGCGTTGAACCCAGGATTGAACACGCCCCGCCAATACCGCCACTCGTCTCCTTCCATTGTGACGAGACCATGGCTCCCGATGAGCGGCTTCAGGAATCCCAACACGCCCTCATGTTTGGGGAGTTGCGGCTCGTGCGCTGTAACTCGTGCCTGGTCGTGACTTGTCGTCATAACCATCAATGGCGGGCCAGTCGGCCACAAGTCCAAGTAGAAAACAGCCGGGAGGTCAGGGTAGGCTCGCCTGATCTCGCCTGCCAAGTAGTGCCCATGGAAATCGCTCGGAAGAGTCTTAGCGATCGTAGCCGCAAGCTTGAGGTGACCGAGCAGGAAGTCGTGAGGGGGCATCGGTAGGCCTTGTCTTTGGAGTCGCTGAAACATGCGGCGGTGATTGATGAGCTTCACGAGGAAGCGTGCTATCAGGATGACCACGAGCAAGCCGGTAGCCTGCGCAACGGTCCAGGCACGAAGCCTTGACAGCCCCGCGATGCCATACTGATGTTTCCAATGCTCGACAGTTGAATTCATCATAGATATCGCACAAATTGACACGGGTTCCGAAACCGCTGCATCGATTGTCGACGCCATTCAGAAGTTTCTGTCTTCGACGTGATTGTCACACTTCCATTGCCAGTGACAGAAGAGAAAGAAATCACATGCCAAAGCCCCTCTCCCCAATATCGGATTGCAAAGATTCCCATACCCCGTGCAGGGTTACGAGCTTCACGAAAGTCTTACCATAATCAACTAGCTAAATGTCACACAGTGTCTGACAAAACCGAAAGTTTGATCCTTTCGGTCAGTTGTGAGCACTAAGCTAGAATTGGGTCTTCCGTAGGATTCCCGTTGGCCCGCTGGGAAGGATTTCCCGCCGCTGACTACGTTGCAACCCTCTCGCTAGTGGCGGATCCTTCAACCCTGCAGGGGTGACAAGGATGATGCAGAATTGCCAACCTCACTTCTTGGCGCTTAGCTTCAATGCTCACATCATCCTGCCGTAGTGGGTTTCTCTTGTGCTCACCATACGACTTTTCCGAGTCTAGAATTATGGACAATTCGCCCCGGCAGCGGGGCATTGTTGCTATTGACTCTTGCAGGATCGTCTAAGACAGGGCTGCAGAGTCTCTACCTCGGTAAGCAATTGGCTAAGGAAATCTTAGGCAGAAACGTTCCACCCGGAGGAATAGGGAATCTTTGCGGGGCGGATACGATATCGCAGCAAGACATACTGTGTAGGCTCATTGGAGAAATGTGACAGGTATGGCAAGCGTCTTCAGGAGCGCACACAGAGTTTTCTGTCCGTGTGAACGAGGTGCAAGTGGGAATCAGCCGCAGCGTAGCTTTGACTCCGGGGTCTAGTTCTGGAAATCAGAAGATTAGGGGCCATTCTTTCGTATGTGTAATAGTAAAAATTCCCAAAGCGAATACAGTTCTTTATTGACATGAGTCTTGTGGATGGGTATCTAGATAATTCCATCGCTTAGTGTAAGCTCCCAGAGTACGCAAGAAGAAGAGCAAGCAAGGCCAGGGACGAAGCTATCATCCACGCCGTTTTACGGCGGATAGAAGCTCTCTTGTTATTCTCTTGAGTTCCAATTCCCGTGTATGCGATGTTCCAATGCTGCCAGTTCGGATGCCTGCACATCCACACAAAATGGATTTGGTTGAAGCTGTCCAGGGACCGGATCATTAGCACTTTTCTTCGAAACATTGAGGCAATGGGGATGAGAGTACGATTGAACGCAAGACTTACGGACATATGGAGCTATTCCAGCCTCCGTTCTGTATGTAACCATTGTGGCAAGTCTGCCAGACTTTGTCTAGTGACCTTCTCTGCACATCGGCCGTGTAACTTTGCTCGGCTTCCATATGGACTTCAACAGTGCGAGCCTGTCCACTTAGAACTAGCTTGATAAAGTTGAGGGCATATCCTGCCACATTTTCGCTAGCCAGAATGGCTGATGAATGGCCGCTGACGGAGTTTGGTCCTAGGACCATGAAGAAGTTCGGGAACCCATAGACAGCTGTGCTGAGGTACGCTCCAGGGCCTCCGTTTGCCTTCCAGACGTCGTGAAGGAATGCCCCGTCTCTTCCTTGGACCTTTAAGCGATGGAGATACGTCGATGTCTCAAAGCCATTGGCTAGGATGATGATATCCGCAGGCTTCCTGATGAGTTCACTGTTGCGTTTCTCGTTATTGTGTTCTAGGTGCTGTTCTTTTGGCTGAGGTCCCAAGACAACGCCCTGTGGCTCGATTGAGACCAGAGGTCTGTTTGTGAGCTCCATATTGGGGAGACTGAGGCTTTCCAACCACCCACCATCGACGATGATCCGCCGACACCCAACACCAAAGCGCGGTGTCAGCATGTTGTGATATCTGGGTGGGACTGTCTTACGGAGTTGAATCAAGAGTCTTTTCTCAAACCACTCCCGCCGTTTCTTGCCAAACCAGCCCATGCCGACATTGAGCCATGTAGACTCAGCGTACAGGAAGAGACAGAGTCGGAGAAACAAGCCCAGGCCAGGTATGGTCCTAAGCAAGGTGGAAACAATCTCCATCAACCGTGGAGGAGGTTTCTCAGGTCGAGCCATAACCCATGGTGGTCCCCTCATGAGCTGCGTGATTGACTTCGCCGCAATTTCTGGGCTTGCCAACGCCGGAACGAGCTGCGCTGCAGTACAGCCCGTCCCGATCACAGTGACATCTTTTCCCGTCAAGGAAACATCATCGTTCCATTTCGCTGTGTGGAATACCTGTCCTTGGAAAGACTCAATCCCTGGAACATGCTGTGGCCAAATATTGGGCTCGACAAGTTCGCCGGCGCAAGTGACCAGGACCTTACAACGAAGGGTAACCTCTTCTGGTGTCTTGTTCTGAGGGCTCAGGTTGGTCACCTTTACTTCCCACTCGGCGTCTTCATCTATCCATCGAGCACTTGACACCTCGGTATCGAGCTGGATGTTGCTCCGGATATCAAATTTGTCGCACACACCGTCCAAGTACTGCTGAATTTCCTGGCCGGGAGGGAACAGCGTCGTCCACTCATAGTTCGGGGCGAAAGAATAAGAGTAGAAAATCGCCGGTCTGTATCAACAGTCAGATCCGACGTCATAATCAGAGAAGGCAATCATTCCTCGCTACTGGCACACTGATTTCACTTACATATCGCAGGCTACGCCTGGGTACCTATTGGCATACCAAGCTCCCCCAACACCGGCTTGTCTGTCGAATATCCGAAAGTCGTCGGTGCCCAGTTTGGTCTTGAGCATACAACCCACGGCAATTCCAGATTCCCCTGCACCAATGACAATGACTGAGTAGCGGTTTGGCATGTTAACTGAGTCTGGGCTGTCCCTCTTCGCCAGCAGAACTTTCCTTAGAATTGCCCTGCAAATTATGGCAGCAATGTGATGTTGGTCTCTCCGCCCACTTCGGAGGTGGTCTCCGTTGATCCAGCTTTGTGTTATCTGGGCCTATCGATCATCGACAGTCATCATCACCCCGAATCAGTCCTAGGCCCTGCATCCCTAGGCTGACACAGTGTAACACAACATCTATACTGCGCGACTGTCTTTGCGGGTCCAGCTCGTCTGTGCTTACAGTGCTTATGCCAAGTATCGTGATTCTGAATGCAGGGTTGCAGACTAGTCTCGTTGTCTTAGGCAGCAGAACTACTAGCATAGCCGCTGACACTAGCTAGCAATTGCGGACTCATCCACATGTGAACCCATGTCAACTAATACTATCTTCGTACTCCGTAGACATCGATACATCGACAAAATTCAAGGGTTTTTTGCACCGTGCAAGTCTCGCCCCCTTCTCTACCAGGATTACGAAGTCCAGAGCCACGCACACGGTTCATCTCAAGTACGTATGAAAGATGTGGATCGGATATGCGGCAAGTCACCTTCCAATACCTGATTGGTAAGGCTGATAGCATCGTCGTACTCCCGAATCCTTCGAGAGAAGTGTACCACGTATGACATCTAGTGCTACTCGGGGTAATTCGGTCACTTTGGAAGTGATTGATCCAAATCCGGTACACCAATATTGTCTCTGACAGGGGATACGCTCCTCTTAGAGGCGGAGGACAGTGCTTCTTACTCAACAGCAAATGGCCACCATCACATGCAGCCAGGGTGCCACTATGAAGCATCCTTCAGCAGAGTCCGGGCAGCATGCGTCTAAGTTGTCAAGTTCGAAACGCTGCGCTGTAGCAGTGTAGAACGGCGACGGAATCCACTGAAGTATTGTAAAATTACTGGAAATGGAGCTGGCTCGGATTTTCGAGGAAGCTCGGCAACCTGCCAACATCACCAGATTTTCAATTTCCACCATGGGCTATCAGGAGATTTCAGCAACGCACCAAATCAAACCCATTCTGTCGAGGTTCGGTTCCTGGCCGGTGGTTCAAGCTTTCAACTATCTTGTACTGGCCATCTTTGGCGTATGCATTTGCACCTACATCTTCACAACATGCCGCTTCTACCTGAGCAGCAAGAAAAACCGCCAATTTCGAGGAAATGAGCCGCCTACTTTGGCATATTGGTTGCCATGGGTTGGCAACGGCATCCAGATGATTCGGGATCCTCACAAATTCTACGAGGAAACACTGTGAGTTTCTGTTTTGATTAACCGGCGTTGACTTCATGGCCAACATGCTAACCAAGGTTACCGTAACAAAAGTGCCAAAAGACCAACAAAGGGACCAGTGACTATGCGCCTAGGCCCTATCTCCATGTATCTAGTCATGGGAGCGTCGAACATCCAGGCGATATTCCGACAGTCGAGCAGCCTGTCGTTCGAGTTTATGCAACTGCGTATCGCACACAAGGTCAAAGGTCTTCCAGCGAGCGATGCCGCGCTCCTAGGGATGGACGACTCAGGGGCTGGCACCCTCAACCAGTCTGAGACTGGAGTCGCAGGAAAAGGACGCATCTGGCATATACTCCATGGGATTTACCTCAAGAACCTTACAGAAAAGTCTGCCGTGGACTTTCTGACGGCCAAGTTTGTCTTCGAGTTTTCCGAACAGCTCAAGACTTGTCCAGAGGGTGCTTCAGCTCCCGCAGTTGTCGGTTTATACGACTTCCTCCAGACGTACCAGTTCGCCGCGTCAACAATTACACTAGTCGGTCCACGGATTCTCCAAAAGGGCTCGCTGGAAGCAAAGACCTTCTGGGACTACGATGCCGCCTTCATGACATTGATGCAGGGGCTGCCAAAACTAGTGTGCCGCAAAGGCTGGGCAGCGCGCGACCGCACTCTGGAGGCTACCAAGGACTGGCTCGCAGCAGCAACTGCTGGTTGTCCTAGAGATAGCGATGCTGATTGGGAAGAGAATTTTGGTCATCGGCTTGTGCGGGAGAGGAATGCTGCTCTCGTTGACTATGGGATCAGCTTCGAGGGGCGTGCGGCAATGCACATGGGTCTGATTTGGGCGTGAGTGATGTTTATATCCCTCTTGTCAAACCCTGAAGACTCACCTGTCCCCTCCTCTCGTATAATAACTAAGTACCTATGCTAATATCGATTGTTGAACAGCATCAATGCGAACGCCGTTCCCATGACCGCCTACATGTTGTTCGAGATGGTCCGAGACCCGCAGCTCCTTTCACGAATCCGCGCCGAAGTCAAAACCGCCATGGTCGTCGGTACGAATACGGCATCAGTACTCGATATCGATATCACAAAGCTGGCGGCTCTTCCACTGCTGAACTCCGTATACAACGAGTGCCTTCGTCTCCGCTCGAGCATCCCCATCTCGCGGCGTCTGCGACAGGACATCGAGATCGATGGATACACGCTCAAGAAGGACAACTTTATCCTAGCACCTAGTTGGCTATCGCACATTGACGAGGCAGTATGGGCGTTTCCAGGCCACCCGGCACGCGACTTCTGGGCCGAGCGTTTCTTGCAGCCGGAAATGCGCAAAGTCAAGCTAGGCGACTACTGTCCGTATGGGGGTGGTGGCGTTATCTGTCCCGGGCGATTCTTTGCCAAGCATGAGATTCTAGCGGCGGTTGCGATGATGGTTACGACATTCGATATGGAGTTTGTGCGCTGGTCGCATTTGGATGGGTCACCGGCGGACAGAGGTCCGGGCATGGAGGGTGCGGAATGTCGAGGTGTTGTGAGTCTCGATAGAGATGCCATGGTGAAGATGCAGAAGCGGAAGCTGGTATGAGAGGCATGCTGTACTACCTTGCTTGAAATCCGTTTGGTCGGCCGTCTGATTTTCAAATGTGTCCTCCTGATTTACTCTGAAATACTACTTAAGAATGAGAGTAATCTTTTCTGTCGCAGGCAGCTTGATCGGGAATGCATCATCTGATTATATGTCTCCAAGAATATGAGACGGAAGACTAGACAATGTGGTCAACACAGACACAGGGTTCCCCCTTGTTATCGTGACTTCCAAGTTTCAATTTTCTTTGTACCTGTATCATCTTCCATTCTATTGTGAGAAAACGACACATCAAACAAACCCTGGATACCCCGAACATTTAAGGTTACGGCAGTCCTAGCGTCCGGCCGTCTCAGCTTTTGACACGAATGTGGTAGCTACAGGTGATCAACCCCATAAGCTTAAAAGCTTAAAAGCTAGCATGCCCCCAGCTTCCATTCTACGGACGAATTGATGAGGTTGGTGTGGTACATCATTCGTTTTAGTTTCGACATTCTTTACGTGAAATTCGCGACAAAATGGTGCGAAACGTCTTCAATCGTGGCGCCAAACACGCTCAGGCGCAAGCGGCTCAAATTGAAGCCCCTGAGTTCGAAGTCGTCACTTGGTGGAAGGACCTTGGTCTGAGAAAGCTGTACTTTTGGTGCGGTATTCTGATGATGATGTCTGCATCGACAGGCTTTGACGCGTAAGCTCCGTCATATGTTCCTGCAACCCAGATATCAGGGGCTAACGGTAGAGACGCAGGAAACTTATGAACACTTCGCAGGTCATGGATCAGTGGCAGAGCTCCTTCAACCATCCGGCAGGGGGAAGACTTGGACTCATCGTCGCTATTCTCGACATCGGATCTCTTTCGAGTTTCTGGATGGTGTGAGTATGGCCGTGTGATCGGACTGGCATCTGGTGTGAGAATCTTGCTGAATCGTTTGGATGCACACAGCCCATATTGTGCAGACAAGTACGGCCGAAAGATGCCTATAATCATTGGCTGCGTCATTGAAACCATCGGCGCCTTCATAGGAGCTTTGTCCAACAGTGAAGGAAGTGCGTCTGCTTTATGCGTCTACCTCGATCAGTCTCGTTAATACTGACCTGCGCAACAAGTGTAAATGGCCGGACGCTTCATCCTTGGCTTCGGAAGCTCTTTCAACGGCGCCGGCCTTCTCATCGCCGAGATCGCACACCCCCAACACTGGACCAAGATCTCCGCCATCGTCAACTGAATGTACGGTTTTGGTTCCACGAGCTGCTCCTGGCTGGCCTTGGCAACCATCCGAATCATAGGCGACTGGTCGTGGAGGTCCCTCACCATACTCCAGGCGTTCCCCGGTATCTTGGTCCTCTCACTCATCTACTGGATCCCGGAGTCGCCGCGATGGCTAGTTGCCAAGGAGCGTTATGAAGATGCCGAGAACATGCTATCCACTTACCATGGAAATGGGGATAAGACGAATGCGACGGTCGTGTTTGAGTTTCGTGAGATGAAGCAGACTTTGGCTCTTGAGTTCCAGGATAAGAAGTCTAGCAGCTATCTCGACTTTGCGAGGACGGCAGGCAATAGGTATCGAGTTATTCTGTTGATCTCACTGGCGATGGTGTCTCATTACAGCGGTACGAACCTCTTTTCCAACTACGCCAACAAGATTTACGAAGGCGCTGGTATTCGCGAACAGACGAACAAAGTTCTTGTGAGTGCCACAATAGGGGTCTGGTACCTACCTATGAGGGATAGCAGCAGCTGACAGCGGTGTTCGGATTGTCAATAGCTCAGTGGTGGACAGACTCTCCTCTCACTTATCGTATCAGTTTCCTTCTCGTTAGGCATAGACCGATTCGGCCGAAGACCATTATTCCTCACAGCAACCACAGGGATGGTTCTCATGTACATGGGATGGACTATCATCAGTTCCCAGTACGAGCGGACCCACGACCTCGCACGATTTGGCTATCCGCAAATCGCCTTCATCTGGCTCTTCAGTCTGTCGTATCAGATTGCGTGGACCGGGGTCATGGCGGCCTACGCGTGGGAGATCATGCCGTATAGTCTGAGGGCAAAGGCCGGGGTCATATCAACCATTTTTGTCAAGGGCTTGATTGTTCTCGGAAGGTGAGATTACACAGCGTTCCGGGTTCTTGCGCCTAAGTCCAAAGCTAACACGATGCATTGTCCAGCTATACCAACCCTATTGCATGGGATAACTTCACAGCAGCCGGTCATGCATGGACACTCGCGATGTTTTACACGGTAAGTGATCCACGCCCATGATCTGCTTCATAGCTTCGACTAACTCATTTATCAGATCTTGGACTTTTGCTACGTCTTGTTCGTGTACTTCTTCTACGCCGAGACAAAGAATCTCACCCTCGAAGAGGTTGCCAAGGTCTTTGACGGCGATGAGGCAAAGGTTGCAAGAATGGACATGGAAGACGTCTGGAACCAAATAGAAGAGGAAAAGAAGAAGCAGAGTCACGTCGAAGTCATCGCCCTCTCATGATGTTTAACAAAGTTGGGCTATGCGGCTGATCAAAATCAGAAAGCACGCGCGGGCGGGCTTCGGGTCCTAAAAACTCCAAAATGGTGATCGATAGTTGAGCAATATAAGGTGAATCAGCGAGAGGTGGTGATAAGTAGGTATAAGTAAAGTAGAAAGAATCGGTTGTTAGTTATTCAAAGGCGGAGGGACAGCAATCTTCTTGAGCACCACGGCCCGCGACAGACCCCGAGATCTCCGGGACTCGAGGAGACTTGACAAAGAGCCAGACTACCTAAGTTAGCTCAAGGGTAGATAGGACCATCACACTACGGCCATAAGAACAAGAAGTCACTAAGAGCTCGCAACGGGCATTACATCCCTTGCTAGCAACATTCCTCGACCCGGCCCAGGCCTGCCTGTGCCCATTCGGGCCGTGGCCTGGACCACAGCAAGATGGATTACATTTACAACCCGAGGAATTCCCCGTCCTCTGCAAGGTGACAAAGGACCCTTGCTCAGAGTAACGCAAAAGGAAAAGACGGGTTTCTTAGCCCCGATCCTGAATAAACCGCCCGGGAACCCGATAGCCGACGATCCATGCTTCCGTCACACAACAATCGTCCTAACGCAAACGGCCATACGAATACCTCTCTCGCATTCATACACAATACCCAAACGTCCACAGGCGTACGAGGCAACAAGCCTCTGGAGATCCCGTGTGGAAACCAGCCGTGCCAGCTGTCCGCCCGTACGAAATACCTACCACTACCGTCCACATCTCAAGCCTCAAAACCACCATCACGCTTCACTCTCACCCTGCTCACATTGGTCACCTGCAGTCAGTGTGGTCGCACACTAACGCTGAACCAAACTTGCAGGTGGCCCCGCATTATAAGCATAGCTTCTTTGACGACGCCGTCCGAATGCGGCCCCGCGTCCGTCCCTCCGCCCCGTCACACCCGGAAACGGCGCTGCACTCACGGCGCTGCACTCAAGGCGCTGCACTCTCGACTGCAAGGGCTGGTGGTTCCAGCCCGCCTCTTTCGTAGCAGACCAATCATTTCCCCGTTCTCGCCGGACTGTTGCGATGCGGATTTAGCCCCGTGGCTTGAGGCTCCGGGGATTTGGGTTAGTGCGATGGTGAGAGTCTGCCTCTGGTCGAGATCTTCCCTTGGCGAAGGCGGCGGCGGTGAGACATTCTTTTTGCGAGTAGAGGATGTCTCGGATAGGCTTGTCTTGGGCGGGCCAGATTTCGTCAACGGAGGGTCGAGCTGAAGAAGAGAGGGGGGGTTCTGTGAAATGGCGAGCGCGTCACTGAGATTAGATGGGAATAAATACACACGTTGCATCCTCCTCCAGCCTAAGAAGAATTCTCACCACTCAAACACTTCAGTAACGGTCTTGGAAAAGCACCAACAAAGACAGCCTCGCCTTGTGCCCAGTGTTCTTTGCAAATCACATCAGGCCAATAACAACCTCACTCACCCTACCTCAACCTCAAAACCACATCAATATGCGTTTCTCCACCATCCTCGCTGGCTTCGCCGCCCTCACAGCAACCTCAGCAGCCCCCATGCCAGGCAGCTTCCTCCCCTTCGGCAACCTCCCCTCGCAATCAAGCACAGGCGCAAGCATCCTCGGCAGCCTAGACACCCTCCTAACCTCCATCCAATCGCTCACCGCAACCCTCAACGGCCTCGACTACACCACCGGCAACGCCCTCAGCATCGCCAACCTCCTCAAAGCCCCTCAGGTCCTCCTCAACACAATCGGCCTCAACTCGGCCTCCTCATCCACCCTACTCGACGTCAAGGCCCTGACTCTATCTCTCAACTCGTCCGACTCGTCCGCCATCGTGAGCAAGCTCACAAACGACATCCAGCCTGCGCTCAAGACGGTCACGGATCTGTTGACCAAGGCAAAGACGTCCGGCATCGTCGCGCCTCTTACGCCGCTTGGTCAGACTGATTATCTCAAGCTGATCTCGACGAACCTCTCTGGTCTCGGGGGTGCTTTGACGCCTTATATCGATTCTTCCTCGCAGGCTGGTTTGACCGGTATTACTGCTACCCTCAGCAACCTCTTGAAAGCCACCGTCAACGTCTACACTACCTGAGTTGGTTCGACATGTGGGGGCAACGGCTGGTGTGTAAAGAGATATAAATGAACGTTGGAGGTAATGGATAATGCTTGGACACGGCTGGGAAAAATGAGATTGAACCATGTAGGACTTAGCCATCATCTTTAGTATTGTTTATGCTTCGACCACCTTGATGACCAGGTTTACAATTCGTCCGGTACACTTTTAATTCAATCATCTTCGCTTCACCTCCGAGTACCATCATCTAGACCTTAAAGTCATATGTATAACATGCATGTACATGTATTAGGAAAAAGGGTGAATGCTGGGGATCTCTGTTCCTTTTGTTATTAATCGGTGGATGCTAGGGATCTCTTTCCTACGCATCCCTCCTTCTGTCATTGTCATTAAGCCTTTTGTTTTATTTCACAACCTATTTGGCTTGCTCTTTTTGCCTTTTGTAGTATGCCTTTGCCCGTCAACTTGTGCCCTCCCTTGTTACACATATATGCCCCTCCCCCCACCTAATTAACATGAAGAGGTGAGTTTCTTAAGCTCAGCTAGGAAGTATCGGGGTGGCGCAGTGCCCCTATTATACATGCTTGTTACACGTACCTTTGCCTCTGTTCAACCGCTGTGAGACGGTACTACAAGGGAGCAACAAATTGATGCGGACTGGAGGGTAAAGTACCATGAAACCTTGGCTGAGGTCATCGTATTCGATACCACCATTGACAACACGTAATTGTGAAATAACGCCCAATTTGAATTCACACCAGATTGTGGAGATTTAGAACATAAAGGCACACGACCCGGTAGATACAGAGAAAGATCAATCATCACAATAGATGGATCTTAAGCACGTTGAAATTTCATCGTCTTCTGAGATGTAGGATCTACCAACTGCAAATGAAATTCACGTAAGGCCAGCAGTATCAAATGCGCTGTCAAGTACCCAGCTTGCCCACATAATTTCCATCTCTCACCTAGAATCATCAAGCTCAAAATAACAAGTGGTCTAGTAAGGGTGCTTCCATTACACTATCCAGCTCTACAATACCAGACATCACGCTCTTCCTGCTACGTTCCACTCCACAAGCCACAGCGTCCAGTCCACTCAGCTCATCAACACCCAATCTTACGCCACGGTCGACCAGTCACCCCACGGGTGCCCTACCAAAGGAAGGACGAGGTCCTGAACCAAGGCCAGAACGGCATTGCGGCCCTGCGAACAACTTCAAGCCATCTATAAATCTGATTTCGCTCAGAACCGACGTAGTCAAGGACCAGGCAAAGAATCCACGCTGCGGTCGAGTCGTGAAATCATATTTGTCAACTCCTCCAAGACTGGATCAAAGGCAGTTCCCATGAGTTGCTCCTGTAGTCTATCGCCGTTCATCGGCCGAGATATTCGGAACAGCCCCATCGCCACCGTCACTATCACTATCACATCACGGATCATGCAATATCAAAGTCTATGCCAATCTGCCGGGCCCCCTAGGATGGAAGTCTCTGCATACCACCGAGAAAGGTAGGTACGTAAAGCTCGTTCGACGTTGGGGACCACGGGATGCAGTTAGATCTCACCATCCGGATCTGCAACTCAAGTACAAGCACGATTCAGGCATCAATCAGCACGCGTAGGAGTCCGCATGTACTTCGTACTCTCTTACTTACTTTCTGCAGCCTGCAGGTTCATTTCTTGATCTTCGTTGGCGATCTGGCATGTTTTCACACCTGCCTTAGTCCTATACCTAATCTCAGTTAGGAGACTAGGACGTACAATAAGATTGAAGTGAAGCGGACCGTACTGGAGGACAGGAGCGGAGGGCCTTCATCTCGGAACCATTCCGTGCCCAGCAGCCCAACAAAGTTGATGCGTTGCGCCCTGTAGGGCTGGCAGTTGAACGAATTTTCAGACAGAATGGTTAGTGGAATGTATGTACTCGGCTCTCCCACATCCCGCGACAATTGCGAGGCATGACGGAGTGAAGAACAGAGACTGAGTCAAGCCCACACTCATCGACATCAACGCCGTGTCTGGTTTGATACATCATAACAACAGGGATTATCAGGCTTCGCACTATGATGATCCGTTGTACTTTGTATAACTGTACAGGCTAATCATTGAATAAAGAAAATTGGCGCGATGGTTGCCAAAGGACTCAATTCTGCAAGCTCCGGGCGATTACACTCCGATATCTCGGCGGGACTAATCACTGCGTGCCAAGACTTGCGGTGGGTGTCTGAACAAGGCACATGATTCGACTTCCGGGAGCCATACATGATGACAAATTTCGGGCAGCAACTCTGCTCAGCTTCTCACGTAAACGCTCAACAAAAGCCAAACGACTGATCCTATCTGTACACTGTGGCGCTGTACCTCAGGCTCAGGCTGTGGCAAACAAGCTGAGGTCGTCAAAGATGTTCAAGACAACAACGCGCATCCGGTTCGGCTTATACGATGAGACAATGGTGAGTATATAAACCGAAAACGAAGCAGGCAATACGGCGGCACGGAGGACAAAGCCAAATTATTGTGCCCAATTACCTGAGATCAAGTACGGACGATTAGAGCACTTCGGAAGCTCGGGATCACTCCGCGACGAAAGCGAGGGGTTGGGAAAATGCTTGCTGTTGCCAGCGCCGGATGTTCCTGGTCGAGACCTTAAGCTTAATCGAGTGAGCCGGGCTATCTCGGGGGTATTGATCCATGGTCCGGTTAACTCCTACAACAAGCACCATTGCTGACGAGCAAGGCATCGAACTAAATCAGATTAGGGTTGAGTCGGCAGCTGGGCAATAGGAAGATAAGGAGCACTTGCGCGCGCACAAGGCTCGTTCTGATTCTGGCAAATCGCTCGGAAGTGGACTGTGAAAAGTGATCAAGTGCCGGTGTGGTGCCCGGGTTTCTGTGCGTTGCGCTGGTCACAGTATTTCTTGGCGCGCGGGGCAGTGGTATGTTTAGTTCTGCACTGCTGCAAAAAGGTTGCAATAGTCGTCGTTGGCGGTGGAATGGTGTTTGCCTGCTGAATCGTTTCACCAAAAGTCCCAAGACTTTTTGATGACTTCTTTCTCGCCGGCCGCAGGGAGCTTGAAGCCTAAGCTTGCTGGCCTGCTTGCGGTCGCTGTTGGCTCTGCTTGGATAACGGGCCAGAAATGAACCATTTCGTCATTGTGGCAGGGGGACGTGCTCCGAACCGACTACTCCGTACGGAGGCGGTAAATTCGACGGGCGGATTGTGGGAAATAAGATTGGGTGTTCCGCCAAAGCTATCATCATGGCAGCTTCGCTAGCGAAGTCGGGATGCCGTTGGGTGCCATGCCCAGGCCCGTTAGATCGGCAGGTGCCTATGATCAGGAAGCGCGAGCTTGTGCCTGTGAAACTGCTGACAGGGCCGGCCTCATTTGAACGTCGACCGGAGCCGTGGGGGGGTACTCGGAGGCCCGAGTCAGGGGAGGGCATGGGGCCCCGATATCGAGCACCTGGAGCCTTTCGAGGTAGCGAGACGGAACGACAAGACGGTCAAGACGGTGGCCAGAAGGGGCCCATCGGAGGACAAGACCAGCAGAGCTTGGCTCAAACGCCCAGAGAAAGAGAGAGCCTGGCACTCTGGCTCGATGTATCCGTATGGAATGCGTGGAGATATTGGGAAGAGTGCCACAGTGCTGGGCAGAAGTCTTGGCCTTTGGAGGAGACGGCGTGCCCGAGAGAGGAGTGACCTTTGAAGCGGAGGCCTCTGGCGGAGACGCAGGAAGATCTTGCACGCTTCCTGGAGGACCCAACCCCCGCTTTTCCTTTCCGTCCGGTGGCTCTCTTGCGATCTTGGCGGAATGTTGACCTTGGACCTTGGCGGAGAGTCGCAGACTGGCCCAGTTGCACACCACTGCAACCTGTGACCCGCGTCTGCGTCGGACCTGCTGCATCTTGCTGCAGCGCTTTGTTCCGTTTTCGACAATGGTCCTGCCCAGGATTCCTTGGGCCAATTCGGTGCATCTTCTCATCCCTTGCCTGGCTCGACACAGGACCGGCCGGAAGGTTTGCAGCGAATGGCCTGTCCGTTCTCGCTGGCCCGGCGGCACAACCTCTGATTTTATGGATTGAAGGGTCCACCGAAACATGACCGGAACGAAGAGTCTGAGGGGTCGTGGGGAAGAGACATACTCCGCGCTCCAAGGCGAGAGACTCCGATAGACGGCCGGGTAAAGACCGACCTGCTGGTATTTGCCGCTCCTCTCAGGCGTGGGCAATGGAACCAACGGAATTTTGAGGTCCAAAGCTTATGAGCGAGAAGTCGATTCTTTGCAAAGAAGCGAAATAGCCCATATGTCGGCTTTGATACAAGACCAATAGTCGTGTCCCAAGTCAGCCGGCGCGCTAAAAGGCCAAGATGTTGGCGTTTGAGCTGCAAAAGGAACAGAACGATTTTATCAATAAATCTGTGGCAGGCGATGCAGCAGAGCGGCCAGGCCCTCATCAACAAAAAGTTCTTCTTCTCCGCTTGGCAGGCATGTCTCAGACGTTGAGTGAAGGTGCTGATGATGGGCACCACCCCAACCTCTCGTGCCTCTCTGGTGCCACACACACGCTATCTACCTTAGTGTACGGATAGTGTGTGTGTGTGTGTGTGTGTGTGTGTGTGCCTGGCTGACTCTCCACCGCTTTGTGAGGTGTTAGGTAGGTAGTCACAGAAGGATTTGCAAGAATGCATCGTGCCATGGGACAGGGCGTGTTTCGATTGTAGTGGTATTGCCAGGTAGTTTCCGTGCTGGTGCGTATGTCTTGGTGTTTGTGTGTGGTATCTGAAGGAGCCGCAAGAGCCTGAATGGACGTCTCCAAGGGCGGGCGCTCTAAGCGCATGCGCGATGGCTCTTGTGTCTGGCGGCGTTTCTTGGGCGAGCCAAGGCCATCCGTATTGAATATGTACCTTATGCGTATCCGTACACCGCGCTAGAAAAGGTCGTATAGGATACGATGGGAGGAGGGTTCGTAGAGTTGTGAATCCGAGGAACATTGACAGCAATTTGGGTCCGTCCGCAAAAACGCCGTGACAAAGGCTCTCTCTCTGAGTCTGTGGCGGCGAACCAGTTGAAGCAACGGGTCTTTCGCAGGGGAGACGAAGTTGACAACAGGTGGATGGAAAGCCTGGAGGCGCGATATGGTACTGCGTGACGGCGTATCCATCGATCCATGATGCGTCGGTGGTTGTCCCACGGGTGCATGGCTCTGCCACACTGGGGCGGTGATCAGTGGCCGGGACAAAAAGCGATGCCGTTTGGGGCGGCGCTGGGTGGACGAGGTTGAGGGTGATTGGACGGGGAGAGGTCTTGGAAGCACACGACCGGGGACCCTATCGAGCGGCCCACCCCTCCATCCATGGCCTATGGGCATTTCCTCTGCAGAGATGGGCTTGGGTGGTGAGCGGATTTGATGACAGACCGGGATGGAGAGCATCCTGAAGCTTCTTCTGGATGTTGGGGGCAGTGCTTGGCCCTTGAAGTGGAGCGTAGAAGATGGTGTTGTTGGAGCCACTGGCATCAAAAATAGTGGTGGAAGTTGGATGCTGATGATACGAAGTATTGTGCCGGGAAATATCTGTATGCGTGCCTGTTCTGAGATACTGAGGAATTGAAGCTGAAAAGATGGAAAAAGGTGCAAATTGACGGTGACAGCGGCAGAGAAGATCATACGCTCAGACGGCTGAAGCTTGCCAGGTACGTACCTGAAGTGGACGGTCGAATGCCGGGTGTTCCTAGCCCCGGAAAGATACGTACTCCCGAGGAAGCGTCCGTCTGGTGATTGGACGGCGGTCACTGGACTATGAGCCGTTCGTTGGATTTTCCCGAAAGTCTAAGGTAAGGCAGGAACGGAAGGTCAGAGGTATTTAGTGACGCAAACTACAAACAAAAGATACTTACGTAGATAGGCACTTAGGATAAAAAGTGGGAAGGTCTGCTATCGAATCATGACGTCCGAATTCAGCCAGCCACTTGGCGTTGCGGGGCATTTGGTCACGCTAGTCCAATGACAACAGCCGCCTTTCCTCCTCCCCGCCGTGTGTCCCATCCTTCCTTCCACAATGTGTTTTGTTTCTTTGGTTTTTTTGGGCAGTTGCATTTCTCGTTTCTTGCCATTCGAGACACCACGCATCACGATATTCTTTCCAAGATACCTGGCACGTGCCGACCACCTTACCTAAGAGAAGATACTTCACTACCAATGTACAGGTATTCGTGACTACCTTACTTTCCTTGGACAAGAACATTGGGAAAGAGAGAGTAAGAGAGACGCAGAGAAAAAAAGAGAAAGAGGCACCAAGAAGCCCCCTCCTTCCTCTTGGCACGTTGGCCCTCGTGGAAGCTTGGCATTTGTTCTTGGCGCTGTGTCTGGAGCAGGTTGGTGGAACCCGCTTTATTGTCGATTGGTGGGTGATTGGATCATCTACTTCTCGTCATTGAGTCCTGTGGCTCCAGGTTTTTCTTTCCCCGGCCACTTTTTGAGTTGCTGTTGGATGCTACGCCCACCACGGCTACGATGAATGCTCCGTACGGATAGGTACTCGACAGTTAACAGGCATTGAGTCTACGGTACGGTACGAAGTATGGCCAACGGGCGGCAGCCGTGTTCCGTTTCATCCTACACTATTCCGTACACACAAAGTACGGTACGAATACAAGGTGACGGAACAAACAAGCAAGCCTCTCTACCTTAGTACCAGAAGCCCGGCCACTTCCAATTCGTCCAATTCGCCCAGAGCACAGCGAGTGGCAGCCGTTTTTCTCTTCCAAGTTCAGATCAGGTTTTTTCCTCGGCGCTTTTGTCTGCTGTCCCATGTCTATCCATCCATGCCCGTTCCTCTTCAGTATTCAGAATGGATTAGCTTGTTCCTGTCTCTGCCTCTCTCTCTATTCCGTACCGTACCGTGCCTCTGCTTCTACCATCTAGGTATCTCGAATCCTTGACTGACGAGGTTCCTGGTTCTTGGTCAATGATCCATCCATCATCCCCTTTCCTCCAATCCTATGCCGTCTTCTCATTTCCTATTACCCATTGACCATTTCCCCATCACATCCATCATCATCCCCATCCCCCATCCCCATTCCATCCGCCCACACACCCCTTTGCCGACCTCTTCCAGATCAGATCAACAAGGAGGATACAGGAAAACCTGCCGATACTCTCCGCCCTCTCCCATCACCCGGACGCCAGACCAGCAGCACACCACTCACAGACAACCCGACGTTGGCTATCATCCCAAAAGAACGGGCCCTAACAAACTCAACTCATCTCACCACCCGTCAACATCGAAGCCTCTAGACACAGAAAGGCGGAACAGACGAAGAAAAGCCACAGCCCAGCGCCCCTGGCCACCGGTGCCAACCTTCTTTCAAGCTCCAGCGACCATCACCCAGCTCTGCTCACATACCTGAACCACGGACGCCAGAGATTCCCAAGGTCCCCCAGCCTGCCAGCCAGCGAACCAGCCCAATTTCCTCTGATCGGACCGGGACCCCCCCCCCCTCCTACGGTCTGCTAGGCTCCCCTCCCCTCCATCCACACCCCCCCAAGCACTTTAACGACCCAAAAAGACGTTGCCGTTGCATTGGAGGAAGGGAACCGAAAAAAACATTTGCTCAGTGCGCTCAGCCCTTAGCCTCCGCCATTCCACCCTTTGTGACGTCGATTGGCGAAAGAAACACCACCGCTACTACCCAGCAAGCAAGCACCTCACCGAACACCGTCAATACCACCACAACCACCACCACCACCGCCGCCAGCTTTACCTCACCACCTCAACCCTGCCTTTTTACCTCTCGACAACCTTACGACCACCCGTGACAGTCGCCGCCAACTACGAAACGTCGAGACCGACAGGTCCAACTCTCCTCCAACGAAAACATTCCCTCAGGCGCCCAACATAGGTCCTCATACATCACCAGTTGCGCCGCCCCCGATATCGACCCATACCGAAAACCGTACTGTTCGCGACGAAAACGACGACAACCTTGATACAAACCTAGCCACAAACAACGTCCGTTCTCCCCATTTCACCACCACGACGTCGTCGCCATCACACCGCGATCCCTCCCCGTCGAGGGACGACGTCGCGACCGAAGATCCGGTCGACTCCAACTCGATTCCGCTCGCCAATCTCCAACCTGTCACCTCTAATCCGCCATCACGACGGCCCGATAACGCCCCGTCTCCTCGTGAGGCACCGGGTCAGCCGACGAGGACTCAGTCTCCCGAACCTGAACCCAAGGGGTCTGAACCCCTCGCATCCTCGTCCATGTCTTTTTTGACCAAGAACATTTGGCCCAAAGATGGGAGGAATCGCTCTCATGTTCCGGCCATGCCGGTTTGGATCGCAGGCGTCAGGATTCTCCAGCTCGTAAGGACACCACTTCCCGGCCCAGCTACACCAACAAGATCGGTTCCCGTGAACCGACTTGGGCGATAGCCTGCTGTACGAAATATCATGTTGACGGTTGTGGAATCTTAGGTCCTCGCCATTGCGACGCTGGGAATAACAGTCTTTGGGCTCACCACTATGCAGAAAGCCACGGGCTATCGCAGGATAACGGTATGCTGCAAATTCTCTTGACCTCTGATCTGGCTTTTGCTTGGATCCCGCCCTTTTGGTTTACTCTTACTGACTGTTTGCGTTTTACGATGCAGTCCTTTAGCGGTACAGAGGGTTTCCGTACGTAACACTGCCATCCCCGCCTCTTCCCACTCTTGTGTCTCATTACTAATGTTGCGCATAGCATTTTCATGGTTTGCTTTCGCCTGGACCTTCTCCTATCTGACATGGCTCGGCGTAGCCGTCATGTTCATTCCCGTCATGTACAACTGCTGGGTGCATCTGTAGGAAATCCCAGCACGAGCTTCGAGAAGCGCTCCGACTAACTTGTCTCCGTAGCGGCCTTGAGCTACTCACCGTCGTCTTCTGGTTGATCACTATGGCCCTGCTTGCCAGTCACGCAGATGATCTCGACTCCCTCGATGCCTTCATCGTGACGTTCGGTCCCAAGTATGAAGTGTACTATAAGATGAACGTCGAGCCGTTTGCGGATGGCTTCGTCGCCGCAACGTTTGCCGGGACAGCTACTTCCGTTGTCAACTTTGTGCTCTTTATCGTCACCATCAGTGTCTTTGGTACGTTGCGCTCTTAGTACTACTTAGCGAGTAGGGTACCCCCAACAAGTAGGACTATTGACTGATTATGGCAGGCCGCGCTCTTCATGCGCTACGTAAAGCGAACTTGGAAAAGGCACCCAGCACTACCGATTCGCAAAAGACTATTCAGGCCGAAGGGGACAAGATGGTCGCCTCTCCGCAAATGACTTCCGCCGTTCCGACGTACTTCCACTGGAACCACCAATACCCGCCTCCTCAACACCCCCACGCATACGCCTACTACGGTCAGCCGTACGCACAATCACCACACTCGCAAACGAACCCGTCTCCGCCGAACTCTGTGCCGCCGCATGGCTTCCAACCGGCGTACTTCCCCGGCAGCAATTGGCCACCACAGCCTCCTCAACAACAGCCACCCCCCGAAGGCGGCGTCTGGCCGGCCCAGAACTACGGAATGTACCAGCAGCAGGTGCCCATCGGACCTCAGCACACGGGTCAGTCTGGCAGCATGATGGGCTCCCCCCAGTTCCCCATGGTTCAACCCATGCCGGCCAGCAAGGCGGATCTACCAGGTGTTTACCCAACACCACCACCGGGCAGCGCAACTGTAGGACCCGGATACCCGCCACAGCAACCACCACCCCCGCTAGCACCGGTGCCCGGCACCATACACTCGCCGGTAGAGTTGAATGATGGACGAGGGGATGAGAACATGCCGGCAGAACTACCAAACAACCCTCCAAGGTCGCCCAGATGAGCGAGCCTGCCATTTACACCAAAAGGAAGAAAGCGGAATTCGCCTTTGGGAGATATACAGGGTATACGGCGTCATGATTTTCAAGGACAAATTTTTTCGGCGTTTTATTTTCGGATGCGACAAGACATATGCATAGAGAGTGGCGTTTTCGATGGTTCGGCGTGCCCGGCCCACATGCTCGGATAGCATGGCTGGGAATTTGATCGTATTTACTTCTCTGCCCACCATCATTCGGGCCAACTATCATGACGAACGGAACGGGGCAAACCGCCGCCAAAAAGCACTGAGACGGAAGGCTCCGGTTCTGGCGCATGGTTAATCATGGTTGTATTTCTAGCTAGATGGCCATCTCCTTGACGAGATGTGCGGTTCATGTTGCATAATTCATGACGCCCCGATGTATGAATCGATCGGGAAGACATTTTGAAGCATTTCAAGCAGACATTTGGTTCGCATCGTCATTTGATTCTTCATTAGCATTAGTGTGTGGGCTTTCTACTACATATCTATCAAGTGAGTTTGAGGACTCTATTACAATTCAAACAGGTGTTTAGAGGTAATCTCGGGAAATGCAAGATAGGATGTCAACTTCTCAGTACACGTGACGGAAGTAGGGATTCTCCTTATCCGTCAAATCCTGAAAGGCAAACTTAGCCCGCTCCTCGTCATCAACAGGAAGCGCATCGCGGCGCTTATTCTCCTTCCAGAGCACGTAGTACAACGCTGCGGACGCGAGGATGCAAATCACATAACAAATAATGAGTCCGAGCCACAGCTCCGGATAATGTGACGCCTTGCTCTGCGACTTTACGAGTTGCGGGCCGACAATGTTGCCGACGCAGTAGGCGGCGAAAATCGTCCCCGCCATGAAGCTCTTTTTCGTGTGGCCTGCCACGTTGGACATGCCGAGCGTGATGACGAGGCTCACCACACCGCCGAAGAAGCCCGTAATGGAGTAGCCTACCACTGGCGCGGCGGCGTGGTGCGTCCAGGAGGAGCGCCAGATGATGGCGCAGCCTGCTATCACGGGTAGGCAGCACGTTACGAGCATGAGGATGCGGATGTTGGCGTAGCGGGTGCCGAGGTAGCCCGTTGCCAGGATGACGATGAAACAGAGGCCGCCGAGGGGGAATTGGAAGAGGATTGATTCGAGCGAGGTCCAGCCGAATGTCGAGACGATGAGCGGGCCGAAACCGGAGACGGCGCCGTTCATTGTGTAGGCCGAGGCCATCATCAGGGCGATGAGCCAGGTTTTGGCGTCGAGGAGGGCTTCGCGGAGTTGGTAGGGTTTGAATTTCGTGCAGCGGATGCCGGTTTGGCCGTGCCGGAGGCGTTCTACGGCCGCGAAGCGCTCGTCGCGCGTGAGGAACCAAGCTGAGACGGGGGAGTCTGGGAGGAGGAAGCAGGCTAGGCCGAAGAGGAATGTGAGGCAGCCTGCGAGGAGGTAGATATACTGCCACGGGCGGAGGTCGCCTCCCTTCACCTGGGCGAAGGCGTAGTTTAGGGCGCCGCCGATGATGGTGAAGAGGCCCGTGGAGGAGAACCACCAGCTCTGGCGGAGTGATTGCTCTGCCTGGTTGTAGTTCCCCGAGACGATGCACATGAAGCCCGTGGGGATGACGGACTCGACGAAGCCTAGGAAGAAGCGTTGGGCGTAGAGGCCGGCGTGGGAGGTTACGGCTGCGGTGAGCATGCAGATTCCGGACCAGAGGATGACGATTGTGCCGAGGGTGCGGCCGGGGGGAAGGCGTTGGAGGGCGTAGGTCATTGGGTAGAGGCCTGCTAGCATGCCGAAGTAGAAGAGGGAGGTTGCCCAGGAGAGGCGGGATGTGTCAACTGTGCCGGAGGGGAGGGGGACGGAGAGGTCGAGGTCTGTTGTCATGCCGAAGAGGACTGCTGAGCCTAGGATTGCTTTGTCGTAGTAGACTAGGCCGTCTGTTGCATGTTAGAGACGGGTCGCGGGGAGTAGTGTGAGGGAAGGTGAGACTTCAAGTAAGGGAGTGTGACGAACATCCAAAAATCATGGCGGGGATGAGGAACCAGTCAATCTTCCGAACGGCGCGGGCGGCGACGGCGGGATCGTAGGGCTGGCTGTGTATCCCGACCATGGCGAGGGCATCGTCGTCGCCGGCGCGGTGGTGAGATTCATCGGGTACGGCGCCGGAAGCGGGATGAGAGGCTTCGACGTCGGGATCGGGACTGGGCGTTTGGGATCCCGGAGCGGGGCCGGCGGTGGTGGCGGGGGAGAGTTCCTTTTCGGGATTCATTTTGCGGGATCTAATCGCGTAGATGGTGTGCGGTAGGCGGTGGGCAAGAGGGGGGTCACCTTGCCCGTTGCTGTGGATGATGAGATGAGTTTCAGAGGGCTGCAAAAGGTTTACCTTCTGGAGTGTCTGATTTTGGTTCGAGGAAAAAAGTGATGGAGGGTGGTGCCGGATGAGTGAGCTGTGGGATGGAGGAATGTGTGAGGCTTTTTTGGATGAAGAAGATTGAATCGGGGTGTTCCATCCGATGCGGCTGAGAAGAGTGAGAGCTGAGTGAGACCCCTCTTCTGAGTAAAGACGAGAATGGAGTGAGACTCAAGATGACTTTGAATCTCAAACACCAATCCAACTTCATTTCTGTCATCAAGTATCTCATCTGAATACCTCTTTCGTCGCTTCGCATTTTCATCTATTGTAGTTTGTGGGCTGTACTGGAATAGCCTGGCTCACGATGAAACCGAGTATCTATAACCGTTTGATGCCATGAGTGAGCTGGAGATTCTGAGGTGAGGCGCATAACCGATTTTATGATTCTACCCGCTGTCAATGATCTGGCGGCATATCGTGGAGCGCGTAAGCATATTCATCCCCAACGCCAGCACAAGTGAATGAGAAGCTCAGCTCTATAGATTCTTGACGATGAGCATCTTATGCGAGAAGAAGCAATACATAAAATGCACAACTCACATTTGTGCAGCACCAACAAGAAACATTCACAACTCCGAGTATGTACCCGCTAATAGTTGCGAGATGATTTCCTCTTTCAATTATCTTCGCCTCATTCGAACAGGAGTCCAGAGCTTCCCCCAGAAAATCAGAAATAAGGACCCGACCGCCGTCCCGCGGGCCTCGAGCTGCCTCGACCACATCGCGACATCCCACGAGACACCACACCACCTCTTTCACACACATCCACAGAAACCCTTTCGCCTCCCGGACCCCAAAACTCTCTTCCGCTGTGCGCCTCGCGGCCCATGCTGCCACGAACTTGGGGAGCCTGGGCCAGGCTTGGCTTTCTAGGAAGGCCGCCCTTCGCTGTTTCGAGGTGGGAGAGGCGGTACCTTTACGATTCCGCTCGTTTTGCGGTTGGAATGAGCGCTGTGGGTGGACGAATGCCGCCCCTCCTGTTGGCAAAACGTTGACTCGATGCTATTCAGAAGAGTTATCAAGTAGTTTCGTGTTGAGATCTAATCAGATCATATTCACACACTACTGGTGAGACCACTGAACAACATCTAGAAGCAAGAAATGATTTACTTATTAATCGCAAAAATTCGCCCTCTCGGTATCTTCCTTTTCCTGGGTATCCAGGCTCTCATGCCTTTGTCTTGTCAGTCAGAACCCATGCGTCCTCCATAAGTACATGATCTTGGCAGTGCCATTATTAACACTAGGTTACAGTAATGAGCCACTCCCTCCACCCTTAGTGACGGCCTCTCTCTTCGTCGATCTCTCTTTCTGACTCTTTCTCTGTGTGTGTCTCTCTCTCTCACTCAAGGGAGGGCTCAACTGTGATTAAACACTAGGCTCATTGAAGCTTGGCCGCGTTTCTTTCGGCCTTGTTCTCTTTCCACCACTTTTGCTCGCGCTTGATCGCGTACTCGATCCAAAATCTCGCCGTGACACCCCAGATTATAATCCACCCAAACAAGACGCCCAACGTTGTGCCAAAAGCGCGTTCAAACTCCAGATTCCAAATGATGCCGGCCACGTAGCCAATGTACGCCGTGCAGCCGCCGATCCAGAAGAGCGTCAACTCAAGAATCATCTTGCGGAACATCATCGACTTGTCGTACCGCTCAACGTACTTTTTGCGGAATTCCCTGTTCTGCGCTCCATCGACGGCGAAGAAGTCCTCGGCGGCGTAGTAGACGATGGGCTTCAGACGCGTGCCTTTGGGGTCTGAGTTGATGCGGAACGGGATCTTGATCGGGATCAACGTCGCGAAGGCGATGACGTCCAGGACCATGAACATGAAGGCGGGAGAGTACAGGTACAGCCACTCGACGACGTCTGGCTCGTAGACGGTGGTCGAGCAGACAAAGGGGACCAAAGCGGCAATCAGACCAAGTGTGTATACCCAGGTCGTGGCATCCAGCTCCCACCGGGACTTGGACAGCAGCGGCGCGCACTCGTCGTGGCGGGTGAAGAGTCGATATACTCGCACGATGAGGATGTACACTTCGCCGAAACCGAAAGAAATAATGGCAAGCCCGAGAATTCTACTCTCGACCGTCTGGACAGGAGGAAGTCCGCACTCCACGCCCGCGTCGTAGGCAGGATGACACGCGGCGCGACGATCGTTTCGTCGTGCGCGGAGCCAACTGTAGTAGATGCAGACTGGCAGCGCGAGATCGAAGAAGAGAATGACAAACGGGCCGATGGAGATGGAGATGTGTTCCGTCCAGTCGACGTACTTTGTCAGGGGCTCGAGCTCGTCGTCGTCGCCGGGGGTCTCGCCCGTTCCCCCAAGGACTCCTGCGGCCGCCGGATCAGTCGTGGTCTTTGGCACGCCGTCTCGACCGAGCATCTGCGCCGTGCTCTCGCTGACGGCCGTGATCGTGGAGTCGCGGAATGCCTCACGGTTCTCGTCGCCGGGAGCGCGCTCCCTGGTGATCGCCGCATCCGACGCTGCGGTCGGGGCGTCGGCCGTACCGCCGCCGCCGGCCACAGCTGCCTCGTTGGAGCCCCTCCTGCTGCCCTGCTGGGACCCGGTTCGGCTTCCCTGTTGCGATGATGATCCTGCGGCGACTGCTGCCCGGCTTCCCTCGCCGCCTTCCACGGATGGTTGTCTGCTCGGTGCCTTTTGCGAAGCTGGTTTGCTGCCGTTCTTGACTCCTCCGGCGTCGTCACTTGGAGCTCTATCTTCGGACGGGTGGCTCTTGCCAGAGTTCGAGGTGCTAGGTGGCTGTTCTTGCGGTGCGTCCTCGAAGCTCGCCTTTGATGATGTTATTTGCTGGCCTTCGTTGTCGCCAGTGATATCAGCAGCCGCCGCCGCCGCAGCCACCGGCTCGTTGCTTCCTGACTGCATTGAGGCAGCACTGCTTATTGTCTGTCTCCAAGAGGAGGACTAGGTGAGTAAATTGAGGATTGGGGGACGGGAAGAGAAGAAAAAAGAACGAGTGAAAGAGAAGCTCGTTTTGCGCGCGCGCCGGAAAAGCAACAGCGACAGCAACAACAGTAACTTTCGATAAGCTTGATCTGAGTGACAAGCAGGAACCAGAGCTCTCTCGCCTTACCTCTCCCTCCCTCTCTCCAACCACACGAAGCGGCAGTCAACTACTTCATATGGAAAGGTGTTCACTGGACAAGCACAGAGGTGTGTGTGTGGTGGCGCGGATCCCAGGCGCACGTTCGCCCACCGTCGCAACACGAATCATGAGGGCAGCATGAAATGCATCGCGACATCAGACGGATGCCTGACCGGCCGGTCCCTGGTTTCGAAAACGTGCCCAGGTGGTATCTGAGCCATTCCATAGGATGTTCCTTTTCGGGCCCCGAGCAGCAGCGGTCAGCGGCGGGCTGCCAAGCAAGCAGTGACAGCCATAGCATCAACATCAGTGGCAGCAGCAGCAGCAGCAGCAGCAGCAGCATTAGCAGGCGTGCTCCTCGGATTCCCCTTTGACGGACTGGCGGAGCTTCCTTGGTCCTGGGAAGCCGTCCAAGTCGCCTGATTGGCACCGGTCACAATGTGGTGTTGGCTTCAAAGTGTTTGGCATCTTCCGTCCTTTGCAAACTTTGGCCGGCATTAACCCAGAGCTTCACCTCAATCAGCAACGCCAATGCTCTGGACTCTGTTCGCCCGGGTCTACCGCCTCCCACCCACCCCTCTTTGTGGGTTGTGTGTTGGGAAAGGCAAAATAAGTCACCGAATGAAAAAGGAAAGGAGTGGTGTTGAGCTGACAAGACAAGACACGATACTTGGCGCCGTGCGCCCCCAGTGCCTCCCCCAAGCCCCCCTTGGCCAGAACTTGCCAGGCCAAGACCTCTCAGTTCTGTGAGACATGAAGTATGTTTTCCGGGATCTAGCCAGACTCGGAACATGAACTTTCGGAGGATTTGGCACTCCACGGTCGGCGACGGACTCCGTTGCGGCGGAACATGTCGATTAGCTCCCGACACAGGGGCCGACCCTGGCGTCGGGTCTCCCTCCCACCACGCCGCCCACTTTACAGCTTCAGCGATCGACCTTTCGGCGCCCCTTGGTGAGAGCAAAAGGGCCTACTTGTAACTGGAGATTTGGGGAACAGCCGGTGTCCCCGGGGTTCCCATGCTCTTGACTGGAGCCAGAACCGTTGCTCGCTCAGTTGCGTTCAGTTCTAGCGTCAAACGCTAGTGCGGAGTCAAGTCCGGACATCAGAGCACATGGGAAGCGTTAGCAGAGAGTGTAAAGAGCATACAGAGAGAGAAGCATGGGAGAGCACAGAAGAAGCACAGCAGAGGAGCGCATGCACGCCGTGTTCAACTGATCAAGGGCATATTCAGCTGAGGTGTCATGAGAAAAGGAGGGAAGGGAGCTCTAGCAATGGGGGGGAAGGGCACAAGTTGCATATAGGCCCGACCTTTTCCTTTGCTAAAGCAGAGCTTCATCCCAGAGAGCTGGTCCAAGTCCTCCCTTTTTCTGCAACTTGCCGCAGAGACATAGGATCAAAGCGCAAGAAAAAGCTCTCCCAAAGTCCAGTTATCCAGTTTCTTTCCCCCAATTCTGCATTTCCCCATTTTGCGAGACTCTCCCATGTTTCCTGTTATTTAATGCAGGCATGCCATGCCTTGCGCCAAGGTTCTGCCCTGCACTAACTACCTTGTTTTACTGCGGCGCGTGTGGTCTGACCTTTGAAGGGTATATATGGCCTTTTCAACACCGTTTGGGAGTCGATGGATATCCCATGAACCCGGGACTCGTCTAGCATCTAGACCCCTTTCCCGCCCTGCTTGCCTCCCATCGTTCCCACGTTCCGGGCCCCCAAAATTGAAAGGAGTCGAGACTAACGCAGCCCAAAGCTACGCTTCGGCCTTGCAACTCGACCTTGTCAAACAGTGGCCGAATCAAAAGGTTTGCAAAGAAGCGGCGCTGGAACCGTCGGACAGAATTTCGGACAGGCAACATAGAGCTATATCCGAGTGCCCGGTCTGCCCGCGTACCTTTCCCCCCAAGTGTCCATTCGCACGATCAGGCCTGTCGGACCACGGGATGAGGGCAAACTAGCCGGTCTCCATTTGACACGCAGCATCAATGTCTCTCTCTTCCCCCCCTCCTTTTCGATCTGAACTGGGGATTGATGTCTTCATGATACAGGAGAAGCAGCATGACTCTCCTGCCATCCAAACGCAGCAGCCCACTCCCTCGCCTCCTTTCCCAAGCTTATGAGCTACCACATCATACATCGCCCTTCGCCGGTCAAGGGCGCCTAGACACCAAAACATATTCAAGGATACGCTGATCAACGCCGTCAATGGGATTTCCCGCGGCCTCCTACGACTCCACTTAATGGGTCCCTCGGGCAGTTTTAAACTCATGGTCAATGGCTCTCTCTGCCTTACGGGCGCCCGCTCGTGGCTGACGGGCATCCTTTCTCGCGGAGATCCTGATCCTGATCTGCCTTGTGCTGGGCGTGCTATGGATAACCCAGGCTAAAGGCCAGACACACGACCCCGTCCATCACTTCATGATTGACTTGCGCCACCTCCCGCGTGCCCACCACCCGTCCGTCTCCTTTAGCCGCCGGCGCCTACGACCTGTCAAAGAGTCAGTCCTGTCAGACTATCCATGTCATATCTGAAGCTCCCGTCGCTTTTGAGGTCGAGTCACATCGCTCGCTGCAAGATGCAGAGTGCCCTCCCTCCGGCTTGGTTAATCTCGCGTCGTGAGATGTGAGATCAGTCCTACGTACCAGTTTACCACATGCCTACCTAGATGTAAGGTACCTACTTTATCTCCTTCACTTTACCTACCTGCACATGACGGCCCGCCGGATCGCGACGTTGTACGCATTCCATAGCATCAGACGCCCCGCCCCGCTTGGTCGGCGGATGACGCAGTAGATGCTACTTCCGAACCTCCTGACCACTTCTCAGTGCTCACAGATTGGATCGAGAAAGATTCCAAACACGTTCCACGGAAACATCGGAGCGAGAGTTCTCGACGCAAAAGAAGAGCACTGGGGCCATCAACCGTGCCCTCGCCGAACCGTCTACCTCTTAGCCCTTGCCGTGCTATCGTTTCCTGTCCATCTTTTCCTTCTTTCTAGATCGCCGGTAGAACAAGCGGGCTGTGTCAGATCCTCACTTTTCTTGCCACGCGATTCATGGAAACATTACTGCCAGAGCACCCGGCGCGCTGGGTCCGTCGTTACATCGTCAAGGCTGAGAGGCTACAGCTAGCACGGCCGGATACGCTAGACTATTGGGGATTGGCGAGAACAGACTTGACTCGGATGAGGCAGCTACCGCGATTGAATCGTTGGCCAGGGACAAGATTAAGGTCATTCGTCAGGCGAACGTCCATGTCGTATTTCATATGTGAAGTGGATAAGAATGGCATTCTTTCGTTCATCTCTTGATGGGTTCGTCGCTTCACATGGCCTCCCGTAGCACGGAGCAGGCGATGCTCGCTAAGCACGTGTCGAGAGAATACACTAGTACGTGCACATCTGAGGCGTGCCATGTCTTGTTCTCAATTATGAGGTAGCTAATTAGAGAGGATTCAAGACACAAGACATAGAAGGAGGGGAGAGATCTATCGGCCGCCCCGACTGGGAACCGTTTCATGCCGGGGGCATCAGGGGCATGGCTGAATCTGAACGAGTCGCTTCTGCAGACGGGACATAACCTCCTGCTTCTTCAAGGAGAAGACTAACTTGCCATGATGATTCTAGAACATCTGCGTCGTACAGAAATAGCATATGCATCTCACCGACTTGACGATACGAAACGTTCTAGCCATTTTCAGTCACTCTTATGCAGCCTTGATGATCTTAGTTTACTGCAGGGTCTACAGAATCTTCCACTTTAATGTTGGATGACATGGAGATGACTGGAAAACCATTGGTGCTCTAATTGAAGTCCGGGAGTTGGCTTGTGAGACTCTCGAGGCATATTCTAGCTACATGCACAAAGTACTCACGTTTCTTCAATGTTACTAATGCCATTCTACTTAATCAATCCCTTAGATAAAAATAGATTCACGTATGAGCTATTGAGGTTTGTCCGTTGACCCAGGAACACTGTGCAAAAGGTTAGACGAATGCTTGAGGGTTGGACGAACACGAACTACACAAATAGGCTACATATATGATATGTCAAGGTTGAGAGAGTGGTCCCAATTCAATCAGACACCATGTGCTGACTGTCTCACAGGGGTGCTTCACGATCTGGCTTCATAAATCCGTAACATTCTCTTCGGCTAAGTAAGCGCACCGTGTGTAAATGTACTGTTGGAATAGGCCTACATTAGGCAGCAGGAGGTTGCTGCCGCGGTCCGTTCCAGCCACGGTGGTCCGTGTGGCTCAGCCACACGAGGGTGGTATACCCCAGACTTCCTGCCGCCGCTGGCACCTGGTTAGACTTCCACTCAAGAACAACAAGAACAAGCAATATCACCACTACAGTCGGTGATCGTTGCTACCCACGATACTCGAGTATTTTCCTTTTCCACCTGTGAATCCAACATGTACATATGCTGGTATTCTATCCCCTCACTGCTTCCTATCATGTAAGCTCAGGTCCTCCTCATGCGCAATCATAAATCCTCGCTACATTTCTTATGCCCAAGTAACCCTCTATTGCCTGCCTTTGCCAAGCCTGGCCTTGATCTCGGCCACAACAGCAGCAGTAACTTCCTTCGTCGTCGCCTTGCCACCGAGATCGGCAGTGACAACACCGTTGCCAGTGACGTTCTCGACACACTCCATGAGTTGCGTCGCCGCCTCCTTCTCGCCGAGCCACTCGAGCATCTCGGCGGCAGTCCAGAAGGTCGCTACGGGGTTGGCAACACCCTTGCCGGTGATGTCAAAGGCGGAGCCGTGGATGGGCTCGAACATGGAGGGGTTCTTGCGGCTGGGGTCCAAGTTGCTGGTAGGAGCAATACCGATGGAGCCGGCGAGGGCAGCAGCCAGATCGGAGAGAATGTCGGCGTGCTGCAGCCATTGTTAGTCTCTCATGAAAAAACTCAATTCAACAGATACCTACCAGGTTGGTGGCAACAATGGTGTCCAAGCTCTTGGGGTTCAGAACCATTCTTGTAGTCATGGCGTCGACGAGCATCTTGTCAAGAGAGACGTCGGGGAAGTCCTTGGCAACCTCGTAGACAACCTCATCCCAGAGAACCATGCCGTTACGCTGAGCATTGCTCTTGGTGACAAAAGTGAGGAGCTTGCGTGGGCGGCTGCGGGCAGTCTCGAAAGCGAAGCGGATCAAACGCTCAACACCGTGGCGGGTGAAGATGGAAACCTCGGTGGCGGTCTCCCAGGGGAAGCCGCGGTGCGAGCGACCACCCTGGCCGGCGTACTCACCCTCGCTGTTCTCACGGATGATGACCCAGTCCAAATCACCCTCACCGCAGTTGCGGAGGGGAGACTGAGTACCGCGGAGAACACGGGTGGGACGGACGTTGGCGTACTGCTGGAAGGGCTGGCAGATTGCCAAGCGGAGACCCCAGAGGGAGATGTGGTCGGGGACATCTTGCGTGAGTTAGTCATGAGCACGAGATTGAGTCTTGACTCGTGGGGGTAACGTACCGGGAGCACCGACGGCGCCGAAGAGGATGGCGTCGTGCTTCTTGAGCTGCTCGAGACCACCGTCCGGAATGTACTTTCCGGTCTTCTTGTAAGTCTCGGAGCTCCAGTCGTAGTCGGTGAAGTTGAGGTCGAATGTGCCAAGAGTCTCGGAAAGAGCCTTGAGGACCTCCACACCGGCCTCGATGACCTCCGGGCCGATGCCATCAGCCCCCATGGAGGCGATGCTGTAAGACTTTTGGGCGGGAAGGGCGCTGGGCGACATCTTGAATGACTGTGAGGGGTGAAGTGGGTGGATGTGCGGTGTTGCAGTCGTATGAGGGGCAGAAGGCGAGGGGTGTGATAGGTATCTTTTCCCTTTGATGATGAGATGAGATCTTGAAGTTGGTGATGATGGCTGTGCTGCAGGGTATGTCAGAGCGCAGTGAAGTTGTCTTCTTTTGTAATTGTCTGACTCCCGCCGACAACGGCTAGATCACCGTCTTCATCGCCCACCATCTTCGGGATTGCGCCGCAAGTGTCGGGAGTTTGTGGAGTTGGGGTTCGTGGTGGAGGCGGCGATCTGGGGTCCGGGGAGCGGTGTTGACTTTGTCCGCTGTCGAAGAAATGTCCGCGGACAAAGACAACCCCGCAGGACTATCATTCGACGGCGTTGAGTTGTTTTCCAATTGCCTCACAAGCAATACAGGATGAGCCTTTTAACGCAGCTACTCTGAATCTCAATTAGTCTCACGCAGAGTCATTCGCAAGCTTTCCCCGCGTTTGACAGCATATCAACACGTGCATTCCTCCAACGGTAGCGTACGCGCGCCCTCGGTTTCGGGCTTGAGAGGTGTTTTTCAACTGGCAAATTTCCCGTCGCCAGGTGGTTGAGTGTCAAGGTAATATCTCGCCATGATCGATACAACAGCCTTAGAGGCTGTCATTCAGCAACTTCTTCCCTCAATCAAAACACATAGAGCGGAGTCGGCGACCCCTTTCATTCTTGGCCTTTCGGGCCTGCAGGGGAGTGGAAAGTCAACATGGGCTGAGGCTCTTACCAACACACTCAACGCCAAGTATGGCATCAACACAAGGACGCTATCATTAGACGACCTTTACCACGATCATGAACAGCTGTTGTCATTACGAGATTCTAACCCTGTAAATGGCTTTCTCCGCACTCGTGGACAACCCGGAACACACGATGAAGATCTAGCGCGGCGCTTTTTCGACGATGTGTCCAAGTCACAGCCAAACCAGACAGATCTAGAGCCCATCAAGTGGCCGTCATTCGACAAAAGTCTGTTCAGCGGTGAGGGTGGCAGAGCCCCAGAATCGCAGTGGGACAACGTGCCTAGAAACCCACCTCTGGAGGTTCTTATCTTTGAGGGTTGGTGCCTTGGTTTCCAACCACTGTCACCCAAGGAAGTCGAAGAGAAGTGGAAAAGAGCAAAGGAATTATCAACAGCCAACTCGGAGAACATTCAGCTATCCACAACGACACTAGCCAGTCATAGCCTCGAGCACCTTCAGCTCATCAACAAAAACTTGGAAAGGTACTGCGAGAGCTTCATGGGCCCCTGGCGCTTCGACGCATTCCTTCACCTCGGCACAGACCAACTAGTCAATGTCTACGACTGGCGTCTAGACCAAGAGAGGGCATTGCGGGAGAAGAAAGGTGCGGGCATGACGGATGCGGAGGTTGTTCGTTTTGTTCAAGGGTATATGCCCGCGTATGAGCTGTGTCTAGAGAGGTTGACGAACGAGTCTTTTTTCCCGCAACAGGATGCTGGGAGGAAGGCTCATGTTCGCGTTATCTTAGACTCCAATCGAAAGGTCCTGGGCGTCTCCAAGGCGTAGAAGGCAGTCACAAGTAACCAAGTGTCCTCTCTGTTGTCTTATGCGAATTAGTGGTCTTGATCTGGCGTCGTATCAACACATTTTCATTCCCAATCTTGAGCCCATTTTGCATCTCGGAACTGGCTACTTGCCCAAATCTGGGGATCTAGACCTACTAGACTCATTTTCATGTCTCAATCTAGGAAGACTCTAATCCACATCATCTCAAGGATCAACAAAACCCCATGCGCAACCCTCAAGTAGGTTGTATTTTAGCTATCCGGGGTAAGTCAGTCCCACATCTCTGGGCCCGGTGCGCCCCCGCAAGCCCGTCCGACCGGATGGGTCAATACAAGAGGCCCGTCAGATAGCCTTAGCAACACCAATCCAGATGAACATGTGCCCCTAGCTCGTGGGTTCCCCCTCATCGCAACCCAGCTAAGCGTGGTGAAGAACCTGGCTTGCTATGCCATTTCCCCGCGTCCCCCGCAGATTTACTCCAAATGCCCCGGTAGTTTCTTTGTCCGCTTAAGCTAGTATGAGTCCGGGGAACCAGGGAGACTTTCCCTCGTTGTTTGCGAGGAAGCCTCTATGGAAAACGGACACCGAGCCAGTTTTCTGTTGGCGTAGAAGAAAAACATGGCATGATTAAACATAACCCCGTGGAGTTACCCCGGACTGAGCACAGATATTCTGGGGCAAAGACAGGTAGATCCAAAGTATAAGAGCCGATCTGACGCCTGTCAGTCTCATCTTTTGCAACTCACGGACTCTCAGCAGTCAATCTTCATCTCTTGCTGCCTACTGCTCACCACCCTCAATCCTTCCCGTCATCTCAACTCTACAAAGACAAAGACCATAATGGCTCATGAGAAGAAGCACGACTTGGACCTCGAGTCTAAGCCCAACGACAACTTTGTCGAGGTGTCGACTGAGGATGAGAAGGGCGGCGTGTTGCAGCCTGGAGCTGATTACTCTGGTGCTGTGGCAAAGACGAGCGCAGAGGAGATTGCTCTTGTTAGGAAGCTAGACTTTAGAATCATGCCGACGCTTTGGCAAGTTCCCATCTTTTACACTGGCGACTATGCTCAATGGCTTACAAAACCCTAGGGGCATGTATTCTTGAACTACGTACGTCGTATCTGTGTCGCCACGGTAAATCTGAGCGTGGAATTGACTTCGAATCGATGTACAGCTTGACAGAAATGCAATCGCCCAGGCTCGTCTAGATAGTCTCGAGAAAGATCTAGGTCTTCAGGGCTCGCAATACAACACTTGCATCTCAATTCTCTTCGTTGGGTAAGTCTCCCTTCCTCAACCCGAACACCCTCTAGACAACGCTGACGGTGCGGTCCACAGATACCTCCTCATGCAAATCCCCTCCAACATGCTCATGTCCTCCAAACACGTCCGGCCATCCGTCTACATGGCAATCTGCATGATGGCATGGGCCCTCGTCTCCGGCTGCACCGCTCTTGCAAAGAACTATACCCACCTCGTCGTCGTCCGCTTCTTCCTCGGTGTGACCGAAGCCCCATTCTACCCAGGCGCCATTTACATGCTCAGCATCTTCTACACCCGTAAAGAGATCGCCACTCGTCTTTCTATTCTCTACTCGGGAAACATTTTTGCCACGTCGTTCTCGGGCCTCATAGCCGCTGCTGTGTTCAACACCATTGATGGGGACTACGGGCTGAAGGGGTGGCAGTGGTTGTTCATCATCGAGGCGTGCCTTACCTTTGGCGTCGCCGTCATTGGCATTTTCACACTCGCCGATAGCCCTCTCACGACTCGCTGGCTGAAGCCTGAAGAGCGCCAGCTTTCTCACGACCGTATGCTAAGGGACACTGTCGGTCTTCAAGAGAGCAAGGGTGCCAAGGCGGGCTTCATGCAAGCCGTTCGCGACCCTCGTCTCTGGCTCCTCTGCTTCATCCAGAACATGCATCTCGTAAATTATCCCTTTGCTTTTGTGTCGAATGGACATATGCTAACTGTGACCCAAAGTCTGCCTGCAGCTTCAATAACTTCTTCCCTACCGTCGTCGGCTCCCTCGGCTTCAACGACACAATCACCCTTGTCCTCACCTGTCCGCCGTACCTGATCTCCGGCATCTTTGGCTACCTCGTCGGTCTCTCTTCCGGCAAATACAACGAGCGAACCTGGCACATCACCGCATGCATGGGCATGGCTATCGTCGGTTTCGTCATCTCGTGCGCCACTCTCAACACGCCGGCACGCTACATTTCCTGCTTTTTATTCGCGTCGGGAGCGTACGCTGTCAACTCGTGTATCTTGGGCTGGGTTTCGGCGACGCTGGGATCCACGCAGGAGAAGAAGGCTGTTAGTCTGTCAATTGTGAACGTTATTGCTAATGCGTCGTACATTTACACGGCTTACTTGGTACGTTGAACCCCCGCCTCGTCCGATCCCGGGAATGAAAACTAACAGTGGCTTTGCAGTACCCCAAGAGCGATGGACCTCGGTACCTGACGGCCATGTCGAGCAATGCTGCTTTCGCATTTGCTTGCATTGCTGGTACGTGGGCGTTGCGTTTCTGGTTGGTCTCTACGAACAAGAAGATGGGCGCCAGCGGCACCAAGTATGCCTATTAAAGGCTAGGAAATTGAAGATCCCATATTGGCGAGAGCTTGTTTCAGTGCAACTTTTTATTAACCAAAACATGACAAGGACGATTGTCCCTAAACGTATCATAGGAGAATGAAAAGGTATTGCACCTACACTGTGCTTCATCGGGCATGTCCTTTGTTTCATCTGTACCCTGGCTTGCCACATGTACCTCGACTTGTCAGCACGATACTATCAAGTTGATCAACCAGTCCGCCCCGCTTGTCTTGCGAGCGTTGCATCTTGTGGGACCATGAAATGTCCGTGGCCCACACTGGCGGGTTCATAGATCGTTGGTTCCAGACCGTCGGTACATGTACTTCCCCGCAACATATTGGTGGCGAGCCAGACTCTCGGGCCGGAGAGATAATCTACAATGGATGGATCGGCGCAAGGCAGGTATTGGGTTCTGCTTGATCAAGCTCTTTAAAAGTCTGATAGGCCAGATTGTGATAATTCCTGTTCAATTTCACATTGGCACGCCTTCATGCTAGAATCAGTTTGAGTCGAGAATCAGTAGACACATATCGAAATTTCACGCAAAAGGCCGACCTCCTTGGGAGTTCTGCTGGATCTCGTATTTGAAGTCGCTAAAGCGTTTTTGGTTCAGGTTGCCTGCCTTCTCTGTGTAACATGGGTATCAAGATCAATGAGACCTAATCCTTTGTCTTCTCGGCAGTAGCTATTGGCACAACCTCCACCTCTGAGAACTCCTGGTCGTGTCCACCGACGCTTTCAACATCAACTAGGCAATAATACTATCGTAAATACGACCACGTAGGATCCACAGACGGATCAAATTGCGCCGCCGCCAGAAACGGATAATCAATAGCGCCAAAAGAATTAGCAAACAACTGATCATACCAAACCATAGACTCCTGCCCTTCGCCAGGAGCATTTTCCGAGGTTCCCATCGCGGGAAACGACGTGGTAGCACCTAGCGATAGAGAAAACGGCTGGCTATCAAAGTTGGGAGAATCCTGTTGCGCAGTCGCCTGGAACCCAGACTGAGCCCCGGGTGTGCTCGCCGTCCACCCCGCGTTGACCGGCGGACCTGATGCTGGCGAGGCCTGCGTGGGCCATCTACCAGACTGGTCATCCGCCGGCCCTGAAAGTCCATCGCTTTGATTCTGTGACCAAATTGTATTGTCTGGCGCGACTATCCCTTGGTCATCCGGCCGGCCTGAGGACGCAGCGACAGACGGGGAGAAGCGGGCTCGGAGGCCGGATCCGGTTGGCTGGGTGTTTGTCGAGTCGGAGCGTAGCCCTCTGGGTCTGCTGGAACTGCTGTTCGGTCGAGCTTGTTGACCGAGGTCTGCTCGGAGATGGCTGTTCGGTGCCAAGTTACTTGTGCTCGGTTGTCGTCTGAGTGGATTGTTCGGGACAGATAATTCTCTCACGGCTGCCGTGAGCTCGTCGACTGCGGAGAGGCAGTATTCGGGCCACGACGTGTCGCGAGAGGCAATGTGGCGGAGAACTTCTTTCCCTGATTCCACGTGTCTACCAAAACTTAATTTAAATTCGCCTTCAAAATTGTGGTTTGTAGAAGCCAGCTGGCAGACTTACTTCAACGCACTTGCTAACGGCAGCTGTCGTTCAAAGCCAGCATATATGAGAATGAATGCGCTAATCCACACGGCCCAAGTGAACGACGGCTGAAGCAATGGTTCAAGCAGGCAAGCGCTCGTAGGGTCACCCGGGACTTTGTTCTGGCTGTGATGCCTCTTCAAAGCAATGAAGATGGATTTCGCTGCAAAAATGCAGTTTTGCAAACCCGCAGAGTACGCCGGGCTCGAAGGGTCGGACGTCATCATCGGTCGATTGAGGGAGATCATTGACTCGTACTTGAGCAGAAGCAAGAAAACCCGATGTCCTGCAGAGATTGGCGGTTGTGGTGTGTTTTCATCTTGCGTATGCTCGTCTTCGACCGCGTCGTGGATCTCGTTTGACCATTTTGCAAGCTCTGCTTGGACGTAACTGGACCGATCCGCGGTGTCGTCTCGCGAGTGTATTGATTTGTTTCGCAGCTCCAAAATCAACCCTCGTATCCGCGCGTGCTTGGCCAGGTATGTGAGCAATTGCAGCCTATTGTCTTCGGCATCGGCAAGTGTTCCGTGCTTTTCTTCGCCGGGATAGCACACATCGACGTCGTCGTCCCGGATGTCCAGTGGGAGGCCAAGCGCTTGGCAGAGGAATCTCTCCGTGCAGTATATGCACCAAAAGACGCGTCTGCGCATCTGTGCCTCCTCTTTGGTGAAGAACGGGTACCTCGAAGGGCACCGGTGTAAGCCGAGATGAAAAGCCATTCTGACTATTAAGCCGCCTAGTCTCGATGCCGAGTTTAGTCTAAGCATAGAGACGAGGAACAGTTGTATGGCGAGGGCGGCTTGTGTAGCTTGGATCGAGGCTGGTTGGTAGAGGGCGAATTGTGACGCCGACATTGCCTCCTCGACTGTGCGGAAGACGAGGGAGGCTGGAACTGGCTGAGTAAAGGGAGCCCTTTGGCGACTGTCAGCTAGAGAGATTGACAAAATTGACTTGACAATCGAGCCCTCGAGATGGCCGAGGGCAGCTACTCCGCCAGCACTGACTTCCTCGAAGAGGTTGAGTACATCTGGGGCGCTGAGGAAAGGGAGCGTCGGGTGCCATGCTTCAAAGTAGCTCCTTGACCAGTCAACCAGCTGCTCAAAGGAAGGGTTGAAGTCATCGCCTTCAGACTCTGGTATCAACTCTGAACTTCTCCAAAGATTCTGCTCGTCGCCATCACGGGAAGATGTCTCTCGCTGAAGCTGGTCGTCCTCTCCGGGGACGAGGTTGCTAATGTTGTTGGTGGACTGGGATGTCCTGAGCGCAGACTTACGGGCCAGCCTCACGTAGACGCCCCGGATAAAGTGAATGCCGCTGCCGCTGCCAACAAAGCGGGCGGTGTCATGCTTGCCCGTGTCCCGCATCAAGCCATACTCGCGTGTGGGACGGTCTGTTGAGCCCGAGTGTTTCCGCTTGCGTGAGTGGTTGAAGTGCGCCGGACTGAGGGTTCCTGACTCGGAGGTGGCATTGGGCGACTCTACGGCGTCCATTCGGAGGGAAGGGGGATGGTGAACGTAAATGCAGATCCGGGGTTTGATAGCCCGTCTTCAGTGGACGGTTCGAGGAACGGTGGGGACCCAAAGCATGATGTGATTGTGGAGAAGTGAAGACAGAGAGGACGGCCTTGAGAGGCAAGAGAGTTGTCCGCCGAGGTACAACGAGAGTGAACCTGTGAAGGAAGAAAGGAGAGAAAAGGGGGGAGGAAGGGCGGTCAACGGACGGTGTTGTGCGGAGGAGAAAGTGCCAGATGTGCCAAAAGTGACAAGGCTGGGGTTGGATCGGCCAACGATTAGCCTTTGGAATATGCGTTAGAGCGAGATTTGAGAGAAGTGAGACTATGAGGACGGAAAAAAAAGCATCGTTGTCCCAGAAAGGGAACCAGCGAGAGGCTGACGCGCCCGCGTCGGAGGCGACGTCGGTGAGGGTGGGGCCATGACACGGCACCTTCCGGTGGGTGGGGCACCGGCGGACAAAGAAAACCCCGCAGCGGCCATGGAGTTTTGTTCTTGAACTCCAGCTTTTGCGCCGGAGATCCTCGACTAGGGAGGACGACAAACGGCAATAGCGGTTCTCTGCAACAAATTCTACGTTGGAGTTAATTTGGCAAACGAAGGAGAAATTTTCCTAAATGTCCCGAAACAGCAGCGAGAGAGAAGGCAATGTCTCGCAGAGCCCCATTGCTTGTGAGTCTTGTCGACAGAGGAAACGACGGGTTAGTCCGACTATATGTCTTTTGGCGACTTTGACCACGGCAGTCGACTAACACCGTTCAAGTGTGATAGGAAGTTGTAGGTGGCCCCCCGGCACTCCGAGAGGACCCTTGTCTGGCCAAGTCCTGAGGCTGAATATTCTTCCCCGCAGACCATTTTGTCTACAGTGCAGCCACGAACCTGGACGATGTCAGTACCCAGAGCAGAGTAAGAGGTATGCAGCCATCTACAGTCTGTCGGATAGATATCATGAATACTAATCAGAAACTCTCAGGGGAATTCCTAATGGGTACCTCAATAAGCTAGAAACTCGACTCGCCGAGACTGAAGCTGCTCTCTTCCGCGTGCTCTCAGGGGCACTTGATACCCATGGCTTCGAATCGGCTTCTTCGCCTGCACTACTGCCACAGGCTGCTTGGACACCAAGACAGAATAAGGTCGACCGTGTCAAGGAATGGGATAACCTCCCATTGCAGACAACTGATGATATACAAGCCTGGTACCGATCAAAGGCTACAGAGCACAATGACCCTGCCATCGACCTCCCTGCCGCAAGCCCTCAATCGCTTATATCAACAGTCTCCGATCCTATGTTTGCGACTCCTCCTCCTCCTCCTCCTCCTCCTCCAAGAGATCCAGGCTCGGTACCTGTATCGGTGTTGTCAGGCCATCAAGGAATTCCAGACGCGGTCATTGAACCTCAGCTTCGAGCCATGACGCCAATGATCTCTACTCCCGTCAATAGATCATCGTCTGATAGCCTCAGCAAGGCCAAGGAGTTGTCCAAGTCGCAGCAGAATCTCTACTTCTAGAGCCAGGCTGGACTATTGATACCTTTGTGTGTCGGATACTATCACACTGAGAAAGAGGAAGGCGATAATCCGAACCGGGGCAACGCCCAATGGTCGGGATGGGCGAGAGACAATGCGACTTCAATCTCGGGTTACACCAGACCTTGGGAAGTTGAAGGATGGCAAGACGCGGAAATGGACAAACCGTCAACGCGTCGCCTACTCGCGGCTTTGAAGGGCAAAAAGACTTCCCCCGCCACGGCGCCGAGCTACCCCGCAGCGCCCATTTCATTCCGCGGCGGCCCGGTTCCCACACCTACCCGCTCGGCTTGCGGCGGAATTGCGGAATCGCCCAATTCCAAACAGCAATGACCTCACACTGAGACCCTGGGAGCTCAAAGCTTCATTATCTTTGAAGAACCAAGAGAGAGCTTCTTATTGTTGTCTGTTGAAGCATTGTTCATCATCATCTTGAGCAGATACTCTCTCCAAACAAACGCCATCATGTCAAACTCTCAGTCTTGGGTCTCTGTATCCCCCCAAAGCCACTTCTCGCTGGCAAACATCCCCTTCGGCATCATCTCCACAACCTCAGACCAAACTCATCGCCCCGCCATCGCCATTGGTGACAATGCTCTCGACCTCAAGGCCTTCGCAAAGGCCGGCGGCTTCCACGCCCTGCCCTCAGTTCAAGAACACGTCTCAGTCTTCTCGTCAACCACACTAAACGACTTCGCTGCCCTCGGCCGCAAAGTCCACAGAGAAGTCCGCACATATCTGCAGTCCATCCTCGCCGAGAACACCCCGCACGCAGGCCTCCTCAAAAACAACGCCGACCTGCGCAAAACGGCGCTGGTCCCCTTCTCCGAGATCCAGAACCACTTGCCCCTCGCCATTGGCGACTACACCGATTTCTACGCCGGCAAGAACCATGCCTACAACGTTGGTGTGCTCTTCCGCGGCCCGGATAATGCGCTACAGCCCAACTACGTGCATCTCCCCGTCGCATACCACGGTCGCGCGAGCAGCGTCGTCGTCTCCGGCACGCCCATCCGCAGACCGTGGGGTCAGATCCTCAAGGACCCAAAGGCCGAGCCCAAGGTGCCCGTGCTCGCACCGTGCCAGAGACTGGACATTGAGCTGGAGATGGGCATGTTCCTTTGCCGGGAGAATAAGCTTGGCGAGCCGGTTCCGGTCGACCAGGCGGAGGAGCACATCTTTGGTTACGTTCTCATGAATGATTGGAGTGCGCGCGACATTCAGGCTTGGGAGTATGTCCCTCTCGGCCCTTTCACGTCAAAGAACCTGGGCACGAGCATCAGCCCTTGGGTTGTTCTCGCAGATGCTTTGGACGGGTCCAAGACCGCTGGTATCGAGAACAAGACAGAGCTGCAGCCCTACTTGCGCGAGAGCAAGAAGAACAACGTCCTGGGCGTTGACCTGGAAGTTGACATTATCAGTACGTTCTCGTTCCGATCCATTGAAACCTTGCTTGATTGCAGATGCTAATTGGTGCCACTTCTACAGCTGCCAACGGAAACAAGACAACAATCAGCAAGACCAACTCCAAGAACCTGCTCTGGTCCTGGCCGCAAATGATTGCGCACCACACAATCACCGGCTGCAACCTGCGACCGGGCGATTTGCTTGGATCAGGCACGATTTCAGGCACGGAGCCCGGCACCGAGGGAAGTATCCTCGAGCAGACGCAGGGGGGCAAGCAGGCCGTGCAATTGAGTGGAGGCGAGGAACGCAAGTTCTTGCAGGACGGTGATACCCTCATCATCCGCGGCTGGACCGGCCAAGAGGGCGGGTTGGTTGGATTTGGTGAGGTTTCTGGCAAGATTGAGGCTGCGCTGAAGCTCTTCTGATTGCGTCTGTCGTAATCAGGAGATAGAAATGAGCATCAATCAATGAAAAGTCCTTCATTTCGTGAGCATCAAATGTGAGATACACGGCGTGGTATCTCTCGTCGTCTTAGTGTGTTAACGATCATGAAATCGGTGAGGCGAAACTGGGTGCATCTGTCCAACTGACTTATAAACTACGATCAATCTGTGATTTGCATCTACTTCGTCCTCAGCTCATCAGGGGTATCCGGCTGGTTAAAGTAATGCGCCTTCACGACAGCCGGATTCTCTTTCAACCCCTCCGCAATCTCCTTGATAGTCGGATACGGGCTCAAATCAACCCCAAACCTCTCAGCATTCCAATACGCAGGCAACAAACACACATCCGCCAACGAAATCTCATCACCAACGGAGCACTTCCCCGCCCACTCCTTCGCAGCAGCCTCATACGCCGCAAACCCATCCGCCATCAACTCGCGGTTCCACTGTTCCGCATTTCCGCCCATTGCCCTGATCCTCCTCATAATTCGCATATTCGTCACAGGCTGGATGTCGCATGCGACAATGTTGACCAAGCTCCGAACCACGGCGCGCGTCTTTGCGTCCTTGGGGAGGAGCGGCGTGGTTGAGGGGTGAGTTTCTTCGAGGTACTCGAGGGCGGCAACGGACTGTGTTACTTTGAAGTCTGCGTCGGAGCGGTTGACGAGGAGGGGCACGCTGGCGGAGGGGTTGAGGGCGCGGTGGGTTTCGGAGAGGTGTTCGTCTTTGAGGAGGTTGGTTGGGATTGTGGTGTAGGGGATGGATTTGAGGTTGAGGGCGATGCGGAGGCGGGCTGAGCAGGAGGAGCGGAAGTAGGAGTAGAGGATATAGTCTAAGTCGGACATCTTGAAGGTTGACTAACAATCTGAATCACTGAATACGGTTATCTTGGGATTCACAATGTAGCTTCAAGGTGAAAGGAGGCGGTCCGGCGGGACATCTGGACTCGGGCTGGGTCTTATTTCACTGAATCCATGGCTAATACACCAACTACAACACACGCGTAAGCATGGCAATTCCGCTTGCTTGAGGGATCTGCTCGACATGCGAAAGGCGTAGGAGAACCGCTCCTAGCCTTCCTATGCCGACGGGGATGTGCTCGGACGAGGAAGCGTACTGCAGGCACCCGGGAGGTTCCTGCGGGGAAGACGGATCCCAGCGGCACGCTGACTGCGGGGAACGATTATTGGCATCATATGAGAGAGCTGTGGAATTGAGTCCAGTGATTGGTTCGTCATTCTCGCTGGGGTTTCTGTTCACCAAGTCGAGGGCGGAATTGCGGAATGAGAACGGCTGACCAGGACGGCACAGAGCTAGTTCCGCAGTTCCCTTCATGTGGAGTCAACTTCTGCTTCTCTGGAGAATTTCATCATACATAAAGTCTTGGTTAACATTACGATTCGGGAGTTGAAAGATGTTACGGAACTATAGCCGGGGGGTGAGGCACAGTTGTAGCTGGAATGTCAGCGGAAGTGATCAGTGTGGGGTCGAGAACATGACATACCCAACCGGAGCCCACATCGTCTGGTGCATTGTGTCGTCTGATACCACGCCATGACCAAATCACGATTGAGTCAAAGTTGGAAAGATAACTTAAATTATCTCAATGAATTCTATACGTCTCTTGCACCCCGTCTAACTCTCCATCCCAAGAACTGTTCAAGCCCTCCCGCGTAGATCATCTAGCTCATGATTCAACTCTGAAATCTCATCATACTGTTCTTCAATTTTGTACACCTGCTCCACAATCTGGCTCCCAGTGTCTTCAATTATGAGCAATGTCGCAAGATTGGCACAAATCGCCGCAACGGCGCCGAGTGGGATGCTGGACTGAGGATAATACGGGTAGACGGGCGCGCTAGCCAAGAGAGTGATGAAAGCCAGGCTTACCAGGCAGTTGAAAGTGATGGGCCACTTTGTCTCTATGCCCTTGGGAGGCTTCTTTCCTTCCTCCTTGAACCAACCGAGAGCAGAGAACCATTGCATGAGTTGAGGTTTGACAATGGCGTAGAGCCCGCCGAAGCCCAAGAGTTGTTGGCTCAGCGTCGAGTAGAAGTTGCTGTCGTACATTGGAATGCCGTCTGGAGCTTCGCACAGAAAGGTCGAAAGGACTGTGAAGGGAAGAGAAACTACCACGAGACAAGTGACGAGAGAAAGGCAGAGAGTGCGCCAGAGTTTGGGATCCTTCGGGGCTGAGCGGTTTCTTGATGCCATATTGCGTCTGATGCCCGTCTGTGGGGATCTCTTTTGTAGCTTCTTGGGACCGGGACCTTTTGATTGTCCTGTTCGTGCCCGAAGTTTGTTTATATCGATAGAAACAACCTCAATGGCTGAGGACATGGAAGGAGTCTTGAAGATGCCCGGTTCGGGTACGAGTGAGAGCATTTCTGCATGTTCAGTCAGCCTGAGTAATCTTAGGAATAACAGAAGGAGGTAGGGTACACTCTGATATCACGTTCCATTACTTACTTTCCTCCTCCATTTCTAAGGTGGCAATGGCATTCCGGCACCCTTCGATCTCCTTGTCAAAGAGGTCAAACGTGATTTCCAAACTCTCACGTAGCTCTTCCATGACGGTAAGGGACACTTCCATTCGAAGACTTTCGATCATCTTTTGGAGCATCGTCCAGCTCTCTCGAGGCTTTTGAAGAGCCGTAGGAAGTTTTTCAACCCTGTCGCGGAGCTTTGAGAGATTCATAATTCTCCAAGTAGCGAATACACCCCATCTGTATTCGAATGGATGTCGGATCAGCGTCCGATCTCGCAGTAGGCGCAGTGGAGAGTCCCCTGCAGAATATAGGATATAGGTTTCGAAATTTGGGAATTCCTCATCCAAATCCTGCAAAGTCGTAAGGTCTCTGACCAGAACGTAAAGTTGAATTACAAGCTCAGGTTTGTATGCTGCCAAGAAGAGAATGGCAGAATCTAATCCTGTCGTCGTCCAAGCTAGATGCCGAGGATTCAAGAGCTTCAGGGAGGAGACTAGATCGATCTCGCTCTCCAATTGATAGTATTGTTGGATAGCCAATTTCGCACTACTCTGCAAAGCCTCCGCAGAAGCTTCGAGCGCCTCAGGCTGGTCTAAGTCATCGTATAGAAACGGAAAAGACTGTCGATTTGCCTCGACGTCGTTGTTGTGGACGCTGGTCCGGAAATTCGATCTGGCGCTGTCCCAACCCATCAAAGCGGGAAGAGGATTAAAGACTGCCTCACCCATTTCAGCAGCGTTTTACTTGATCCTTCGTTGTTCAAGACTGCCGGGAATTCCCTTGGCGCATTCTTTCGGGGATTTATGTGCTCCTCCAGTCGTCTAGGCGAACCATGAGGCATCCCAAGAGCTATCCGATGGCGTGCCCAGGCGGGGGCTTGCATGCGGCTAATGAACATAGCTCGATGAGCTGGAAATCATCGTCCAGTAACATCTCAATTCCGCTACTAGCGCCGCCGTTAATCCAGTGTCTTCAGGCACTCCAATATCTGCTGGCACAAGATAATTCGTATCTTTCGCAGGTGCCTACCAGCCACCAGAGCGAGGCGCCTCGCACTATCTGCCTTGGGAAGATGATGCGTCTCATAGGAATTAATCGTGCGAGAAAAGCGGGCTGCTCCGGATCCCGGCATCTTTGCACTCAATCTGAGAAAAGCGCTAACAATATGCATAGATTAATCTTTGTCTCTCAACTCCACCAAAGCTCGTTTATCGGACGGAATAATTACAATGTCACTCTCAAAAGGACGTTTGAGAACATTCTTCTGCGGAGCCACAGGTTCCAGGTGTCAGGAGACTGCTAGAACCACCATCCTAGAAATAGTCCCGAATAAACCTTTCTCGTCTGAATCTGTTCGTCCCAACATCATGTGCTAGATCCCGCCGGCTCTCAGGGGTTCCTCATCAAGGGGTATCAAGTTTGTTCATATAAGGTTGTTCTACTTTATCTTGTTGCCTTTCTGAGTCTTGTGTATCGCACAGAGACGAAACAACTTTTGCCTTGCAACCTTCTTGATATTTATCCGAGCTTCAGCCAGCCATCATGAAGGGAGTCAACACAGCCATCGGAGGCGTCATTGTGACACTCATTGGTCTGACACAGGCCAACTCCGATATTGTTCCCCTCTTTACCAATGGCGCAGCGTACATCCAAGAGGCTAGCGCAACTCTCGTTCTTCCCAAGCTTCCTAGCACTGTCTCGGGAGATGTTGCCATTTGGAGTGCCATCATGATGGAAAATGAGGCATCGTTCCTGCAAGGAGTAACGTCCAATTCTCCTAGTGGGTAAGAAGGAACTACTCAAGCACTTATTGTCTCATGACACATGACTGACCGACCTCTGAAGGTCATACTGTAACGACGGAGGAAAGAGTTGGTGCAACTTCGCCTACACTCTGGTTGGTGAGTGACTGGGCCGATTCCAATCTGATAATTCTGATTTGAACTCCCAAAAGACGCAATCTGACATGATACTACAACTTGATGGACTCAAACCCCACGGTTGGTGACCCTGTCACTGCTTCTCCCGGGTCCGCAATCAGGAGTCACTGTGAGTCAGCTCAGCTCGTAGTTGGGTATCGTTGTGACTAATGATATTGGCAGACAAGCTGAACTCGGCGACGAGCCTCTGGGACCAAGATGTCTACATAGACAACAAGCTTGCCTCCTCTGTCTCGACCAGTAAGTTAATTAGCATCGGCAAATTGATGCTTGTCAAATTTGATCAGAAGCTGATAAATTGTGCGCAGGCAAAGGACAGAAAGGAAATATCTTTTACATCTCTATTGAGTGCGCCTCCGGCGGCTGCGCTGAGCACCCCGCCCACAGTACGTAAACTAGGTAGTCTTCCTCGAGGGTATTGACAACTGACAATGAGATAGGCTGGAAGGACGTCTCCATTGTGCTTAGCCAGGCTGACCAAAGCTTCGGGCACACCGGAGGCTGGGAACATGGTGCTACTGGCGGCGACATGTCAACACCCGATGGCGGTAAGACTCGGAACTTCAGCACTCTTAACATTCCGGCACAGAAGGCCGAGTAATTGTTGGACGTCCAGCGCGCTATTATTGGTGACTTTCTGTCTTGTATAAACATATTTTTTTTCCACACGAGGAAATTGTAAATACATCACTGTTGTACATAAAATAACCTTGCAATGCCACACGTTCGTGGAGCTTCCATTTACAATAAGGGAGCAATGTACCTACCCTAGTCTCAAGCAACCCGAGGAAAGCGAACTTTGCTGGTCATTCGAGGTGTCACCCCTTCTCAAATATCTTCCAAGTTATTATCCAAAAGCCCCGGCACTGAGAATCCAGTCTCTCAATTCTCCTTGCAAAGTTCCTCCGACCTCAGACCCGTTATTCGGCTCGTGGCTTGTCCACCATTGACAGACGCCAGCTCTTCGCCAGATATCTAAACTCTCCGAGACCCCGTACTGGCTACTGAAAGGAATAAGTAAGAGACCTACTGGCATGCTCGAGCTTTTAGTAGATGCTTGCTTCTCTGCGAGGCCCAGAAGTAAGACGACTGCGTGTGGGTGCAGTTGACTGAACGCAATGGCTTCTTTACGGGCAAGGTCAGGCCCATGAACGGCAGTCCAATGTTCCGCGCCATCGAGGTCGATGATTCCGCCTCCCCATCCTTTGTCGCTGTCCCAAATCTCAACCAGCTTGCTGAACTTGCAAGCTTTGCCGCTGAACTGACCCCAATTCACGCCATTGAGAGCAACGGTTGATAGCTGAGCCTTTGCCAACATGCCTTCAAAGACTGACTTGCCCTCGCCATAGGTATGATTGACCAGATGGAGGCGCCTTGTGGGCTGAGAATCTTGAGAGATTCTCCAACCCTTCCCAACCTGCGGAAGATTCTCAAACACATGCATCTGGCTCATGATGGGCTCTTGAGTAAGTAGCTCTCGGCCAAGCTCATCCTCAAGCTCTTGGAGGGAGGGGTCAAGATTGGGGTCACAAACCGGCCTCGCCTTTCCCAGCCGGAAGTTGAAGACCTGCATGATCCCATAGACGCGGTCCTTTTCGCGACTTGTTGCCCTGTGGCGGGCAGCCCCAAGCAGAGTGATCGGGAGAGTTGATCGGAGGCCGATCATACCGCTGCGCTCGATCGAACTTTTCAACGCTAGCAGGCATTTGTCGTTTAGTTCGATGGTTTGTGGCTTCTTCTCATGCGACGTCACTATAGTCATCATGTGGTCGCAGTAGTCGATGAAGTAGCTCAGCAACATGGGATCTTTAGCGGGGTTGTCAATGTCGGACTGGCTTAAAAGCTCTCCCTGTCTGGTGATGAACATGGCCTGGGGACAGAGGTATGCTTCTTGCAACGTCCAGAGAGACGAGAACCATGGATCTAGACTGAGCTGTTCGATCTCTCGTCTGTTGATGTCTAAGCCACGCCGGACCTTATCAATGCCGCTCTTTGCCTCAGCTCGTGTTGGTGTGGCCTGCTCCTGGTGTCGCTCCGCTTGTGTTAAGTATTCCTGGCGGGAAAGCTTTGTCAACCACGCAAACGTCTGCGTGGCTCCCTTGAATATCTTCGCTTGACGGCCAACTTCCACCGCCATCTCCGCTGAGTTACGAGTCTGGTCAATGCAAGCAACATCTAGCCAGGCGTAGTTTATCGGGGAGAGCGGCTTGTTGGGGTTGTCAAAACCTACTCATCGTCAGCGCCAGCGTCATGCAGAGCTGTTTTCGCCCTCTCCTACACAAGTTCACTAATTAATACTTATCTTCGATCTCTACCGATAGCTTCAAAGTTGATCTCAACACATTCTCCATTTCGCTCATCGTGAAGTGATCTGGGTCTACTCGTGGCATTTCCCCAGGCAACGCCGTGGACCGCCAGTCCTTTCACGTCTGGATGCATCGCACCCTTCAATCGCCATCTGCCCCAGGTGTACGAGATAGCGATGTATCTGGGTTCGCGGTCCTTTCCGTAATAATTGCCGGGCTTCCATTGCACCGAAGTCATAGTAGGTAGGTGCAGTAGCCGGCGCGGCCAGACGCAGTCATTGTCGAAATCGGACATGGAGGTCGGCAGCGTTGAGGATGATGGTTCGGTACATGTATTTTGCACGTTGTGGCCTCCTCTGGAATATCTCGGCCTTCATACCCCTCTTTGTAACACTTTTTTTTTCGCCTTGAATGGACGCATGGTGGTCCGCAATACCCTTGGTCGTGGCGGACGCCTGTAATACAAACTACAGGTTTTGATTGGTAGCATCCTTCCAGCTGAGGCGCTGCCAGCTGCGAGGTGCAACGTATCTCTGATGAGTTTGGGCTCATCTCATTTCAACTGCTAGGTGGCGTCAGTACATAGGTACGTAATTCAATGGGGGGTAACTATAGCGAATAATCTAACAATCCGACCCCATTTCCTTTATATCTGCCTATAAGTAATGTCGAAGTAGAGCAAAACTAGAGAAAGATTAGAGACAGATGTGGTGACGCCATTCAGCAGTCAATTGGATAGCCGTTCATGTGTTCAAGGTTTCAAGGGCTAACATTGAATAGATACTTAATGGAGTAAGATAAAGTACTTGTTGGAAACGCCTGGCTCACTTTCAAAAGAGAGAGGTCGTCATGACTATGGGAAGATAGCGAGTTGTTGAACGAAAGTATTAACTTCAGTGAGGACCTGATTTTGCGAAGCTACTTCCACCTCAGTCATAGTGATTCTTGACTTCTAACCCCTTGTACTGGAACGAGGTTCCTTCGCGCTTATCAAGCACCTTCTTGTGGTGCACGTCTTTCACTCTTGCCCGCACGTACTCGGTCCCAGAAGGAACTGGTCTGCTCAAGTCTCTGTCTTCATCTCTAATCAGACCAAGCCGATCTAGAAGAGGAGATGGCAACGTCCTCATTGGCGTATGATCACCCGGCCGGCTGAAGTACAGAAGGCCCAGCCGGGGAATGTTAATCTGATCCTTGGGTGGCTTTACTACACGATGAATTGTTGACTTGATGAATCCTTCTCATAGTTAGTGAAGACCTCTCAACGTCGGAAGATGTGGAACAATGCAAACCATTTGTGAGAAAAGTCAAAGTATCTGCAGCATTGCATGTAATTCCACCCTCAACGGGCTTCACATACTTCCAGTCTCCCTCTGGCGTCCTGATTTGCAGTCCCGCAACATGCTGAGAAAAGAGCAGAGTTAAGCTGCCAAAGTCTGTATGTCCGCCCGTCGAAAAGGCTTGCGCTTTGTCCCATTCCTCCTCAGTCCGAACGTTGTAGATCATGTACCGTAAATGATCATCCGATAAATGGTCATAGGCATGAGCATCAGCGAGATAATTCTCTGGGAGCTCCAAGATGATGGCGATGAGAACAAAGAGCTTTCGCGCCACTTCCCAAACGTCGCGGTGGAAGTCTCGAATCTCATCCCAGTTCTCTTCGATGACCCGATGACGGCCGACGTCCTTCCAAGCTGGGATGTCCTTATGAATGTTGAGCTGCTCCTTCATTAGCATCTGTCCCTGCGACTTGCAACACCAACTTACCATTTCAATATTCTCCTTCACCCCTGTGTCTCCAAGCCACCTCTCATTCTCCCTGTATCCGAAGTATTCGCCTTCCGCAAAATTGCACGGGTAAATCCTCTTTTCCTCCAATGGCTCTTTGAAGAAAGTGTTTCCGATACTAAACTGGCGTAGCACTCGCTCATCATCGATGCAGGTGCCCGTCACGACCCAGAACCCGACTCGTGAGATGGCATCGTAGAGTTGCTTCGCCAGTTCCTGCTTCCCGCCTGGCTCGTCGAACCGCGAAAGATCAATTGTGGTTAAAGGTGCCCAGTACAAATCTTCCTTTGTTGGCTGTGGTCGGGACCAGGGCTTGACAAGCAGCTTGTTGGCGGTAAAGGGCGGCGGCGAAACTGCGGATGGCGCCATGCTGTTTTGCTTTTGTCAACGAAGCGAAGTCGAGAAGGACACTAGACAGGACGATTTTTGGATTCGTTTCAATCATCCCCAAGAGCCTTATAAGATGACTTCATCTCAACGTCTCAAGCTTATGGCTCAATAGCTTGCTGTTGCCCACGCGGGGTCGGCAGCACGATCGGCCATTGCGTGCTTGGGAACCCCAAGAACGTGCTCACTATCACCAGCCAACGATAGTACCAGACACTCGCCGCTACGACATCAGACTGTCATCCTCGACACGAATTCATCCAAGACGTGCTCAAATGCTGCAAAGCAAGACGGGGTAATGTTACCCGGAAGTTGGGCATAGTCCGAGAAATGTTGCTGCCCCGGTCAACATCAAGGGCCAGATTTGAAGGATGCCAGGCCTGTCTGTTTGAAAGGCGATTGGATGAAGATAAAAATCGCCATCATCGTTATCATGTCGTGACCAGTGCAAGGTTGAAAACATCATGGTAATTGTCCGGCATCGGGCGTTGGTGGTTTGATGGTGTGTCAATCTCAGGACTAAAGATTGGGAATTAAGCGAAAAAGTACTTTTATTATCTACAGGAGAGATGTCAGCCTCGTTTTGATCTAAGTTGATTGTTCTCTTCATTCGGCTTTCGGTGCTTCGAGACGACGTCTTAGATGGCGACACCAAGAGAGCCGATCAACGCATTGGCCTATGTTGCCGATCATGTACAGACTTTTCCCGAAAAGACGGCAAAGACAGAGAGCATAGATGTGTCTGATATCGAAACCCGCCCAAGAAGTAACCGCCGCGAATTCGAGAAGAAGCTCTTGAGGAAGATTGACCTCTGGCTCGTGGGCTTCTACTCTCTCGTCTACGTCTTTCGAGTCATCGACAGCGCAAATTACTCCAACGCCGCCATCATCAACCTCGAAGCCGGCACCGGCATCAAGAAGCAGCTCGGTCTCAGCCCATCACAGTGGGCCTGGACGCTTTCCATATTCTCATACAGCTACCTCATCTTTGAGCCGACAAACACGATCTTGCTAAAGCTGTTCAGGCCCTCGAGATGGATGTTCATCCTGATCATGGCGTGGGGTGTGTCTGCGTGCTGCTCCGCCGCGGCGACGAACTTCTCGGGCATGATGTGTGTTCGCTTCGCGATAGGCATGGCTGAGGCTGGCTTCTTCCCGTCAGTGTTGTATCACTACGCGTTCTGGTATAAACCGGAAGAGATGCCGCAGCGTATTGCCTTCTTCTACTCCGTGGGCCAGGTCTCTAGTGCGCTGTCTGGATTGTTGGCATACGCCATCTCATACATGGATCAGCTTGGCAATGTCTCTGGTTGGCGGTGGCTATTCATACTCGAAGGACTACCTGCTATATTCCTTGCATTCTTTGCTTTTTGGCTGCCTGACTATCCAGAATCAGCCATGTTGAATGAAGAGGAGCGGCTATACATGAAGCAGAGGCTTGCCAGGTCTGTGCCAAAGGGAGAAGCGCATTGGGACTTCAAGTCTCTCAAAGTCATGGCCCGGGATCCGACGCTCTACACTTTCAGCCTGTACTGGATCTGCCATGGTATTGGAGGGTTCGGGGTTGGGTTTGCCTTGCCGACTGTCATCTACCAGCTGGGTTTTACTACCACAGCATACTCCCAGTTGATGAACATTGTGAGAACAGGTCTGAGCTGGAATATCTCGAGGAACTTGCGCTGATAACACATAGCCTCCGTACGTGTCGGCTTTCTTGCTCTTAAACACCTTGGGCTTTATGCTTCAAAGAAAGTGGATCGGGCCATGGGTAACAGCCGTAGGAAGTAAGGTGTCCGAGGGACAATCCAGGCTGAGCACAGAGCTAACGGACACAGTTGAATCAACAATCATCGTATGCTACATCATCCTCTTATTTGTCGAAAACCCGGTGGTGCGCTACATCTGCCTGATCGTGTCTGTAGCCTGTGCCGGATGTGCATACCCGGTAATTTGGCCGGAGCGCATCAGGGCGCTTGAAGGAACTGTGGCATCTGGTATCGGGATTGGCCTGACAAATGCATGCGCTCAGTTCGGGTAGGTCCAACTAATTCCCTCATCGTCTGGCCTTTCGCTAATTCTTTTGTACAGTGGCATTGTCGGTCCACATGTCTTCAGTACGGTGTTTGGCCCTCGATATCGAATCTCGTACGCGGTCAACTTGTCAGTGCTTGTGGTTGGTATCTGCTCGATACTGACTAGCTGGCTACTCGTTGTCAGGAAAGACAGGAAGCGCCTGGCACAAGGTTGATAAGCAGCGCTGCACCCAACGTAATCAACTTAACTTTAGTTCTAAAGTTGGGTTGGCTGAGGGCGAATTCCTCAAAGCTGACTGAGCTGATTGTTGGAGTTGCGTTGGGACCACGGCGAGCTGAATGGAGCCATCTCACGGCTCGTTGCCTGGTAGTCTGGCATTGTCGATAGAAGTCCCTCCTGTCTCGGTTGTTAGTCGGAAGAATACCGCATGGCCGGTCAAAGGAGGCTCTTTCGAATTCTTGGCAATGATAACAAGGACCCAGGGATACGGGAAAAAGGGAGGGGCGTTGGCCGATTAGCATGATATATGGGATCAAAATCCAACCATCAAAGATCGAAAACGGAAAGAGCTCCTTTGCTAAATAGCCAACCAGAGGCAACTGAATAACGAATTGCAGAAGAAGCTTCCCACCATCAGGGATGTTCATTTGGTTTGTCTTCCGGAGAGATCCTCAATACGATGGTGTTGTGCCAAGTTCGAATATGAGGACCTTGATGGCCCGGCCCGCCTCTTCGCGCCTGGGCAAAGGCGGACCGGACATGGGTGCGGCATTACGAGCTCACGACAGGATCCAGCCACTCCTGGGCCATCTAGAACGGCGAGGGTACCCTTGGTAGACCAACTAACGGTAAACAGAACTGGGGATGTTTGGCATATGCCAAGTTGGAAGGGAGGGGGGGGAGCACGTTGTGACAGTCTCCCGAATAACCTGACTTGTGTAGTGTCTTGGCGGATTGGCCCGGCTGCACTGAGTCGCAAACATCAGAACATCCAACCAACGTCTTGGAAGGATCAATCAATTTTCGTAATTGTGTTTTTTTCTTGCCAAGAGCTGCTAGAAGATACCTGGATGCTCTTTCCGGGGCTGGGGTTCGGGCAGTACGTCTTGGCGGTTGAGAGTTGTAGCTTATTCCCTCGAATACAACACCACCTTTATAAATCTCGCATCATTGCGGCCGTTGCATAGTTCTTCATCTTCACGCCTCTGCCCGCATACAATCGTTGCTTATCTCCAAATCTTCGTCCTCGTTCTCCCGAAGCCACACCGAAGTTCTCCAAAACGTCACCCAAGATCCATCAACATGAAGGCTTCTCAGATTCTCTCCATGCTCGGCTTTGCCGCCTTCGCCCTGGCCCAAAGCGAGAGCCTGGCTCCTTCACCCACGGAGAGCGTGGGATGTGAGCCTCACGGCGACCACTGGTAAGCTTGGATCTCTTCGAATATTCCCTAACCCGCTTACCTTCTGTGACCGGAACGTGAAGGATGAAGCCACTTTGAGAATCATCAGATCATTCTGACCTTCCAACTCTTAGGCACTGCGAGGGCGCTCGCGCCACCACTGCCGCAGCAGTCAGCGGAACCACTCTCGTCACCAGCGTTGCCGCTGCGACCACAACCGCAACTGAGGACCACGATCACGACCACGATGATGACGACCACTCTTCCGGCACCGGCAGCCTTGCTCCCTCCCCCACTGAGTCTGTCGGCTGCGAGCCTCACGGTGACCACTGGTAAGTTACAAACACAGTCCATTTCATACCGCTTCAAATGACCTAACCACCAGATAGGCACTGCGATGCCGCTGCCACCGCCGTCTCCGGCACGGCTTCTGCCTCTGGCACGGCATCTGCTGCCGTCACCACCACCGCTGCGGCTACCACTGGAGCCGCTGGTACTACTGCGGCTGGCAGCGCTTCTCCCAGCTCTACTGCCGTTCCCGCCGGGGCTGCTCGTGCTGGTTTTGGTGCCGCTGCCATTGCTGCCGCCCTCATGGCCCTGTAAAACAAAGACGATACAACGACGGAATAATGGGCCTTGACTCGAGGTATTTAATGGGTACACGAATTGGGATTCATGAAAGGAAACATGGGGAATTTCTTGATTTGGCAGGTCGATAGTCAAATATGACGATGGACCTGTGAAGCCGAGGCGTTTTGCCTCCTTTCATCCACCTCGAGAATGGAGGCGGATTTAATTGTAGTATTAGAAGCAGAATTCACCGAGTTAAGCTTTACGTCTTTGTGCATTCTTGTCATGGTTAATTCAACCAGCTTGAATAATATTGCTTTAATACTGACCGTTGACATTGCACCACGGAAGCTCAGGCACAGACTCGAAGACAGACCCGACAGGCTGGTTTGAGTCTAGACAGCGGGAAGTCAAAATCAGCAACCATGCGCGAACCAGCGGCATGCTGTTAGCTGCTGCCAATCACTTACGTCGTCGTTGATCTTCAGCCGTTGCTTCATGCACTGATGCATGATGTCCATGTTTTGGTAGTGATTATGACTTCAATGAGGATGGTGTAGCTGACTACATCCCGAAATGGCCTGGAGACATCGTAGCAAACCGTGAGGCGACGTCCTTCTCACGCAGCCATGATTACAACCTCGGGGCATGGTCATACTACGGCGGTATTGGTAGCCACAAAAGTCTCGCCCGGCGTCAATCGACTCTCACCGGAAGGAACACCATGTGTCATGCAGACATTTCCACGCTTCCAACACGTGAGATCAGCCGAGGGAGGGCTCAAAAGAGCCTGCCGACAGTGACTCTTCTACTCAACGAAGGATCGGATACGATCCTATAGGCCTGCAGTAAGGCAATCCTGGCGTTGGTTTCCGGCGGTCGGTATGAGGAGCTGAAGTCGAGGAGTTCCGAGAACCCTGAGCTAGAGCAGAAAACCTCGAAAAGGCCTCACCGCGATGGGGGTTGGTCGACCGGTCTACTTTATAGAAGCCTTGGCATGCAGGCGTCGCCACTTATAACCATCAAGGTTAAGGGGAAGCTGAACAGTCAGGTCAGAATCTGTGCGTGGATGAGTGAGGTAAGTCGAGTGAGAGAGTGAGTGAGTGAGTGAGTGAGTCTAAGCAAGGAGGGACGTTAGAGGCCATCAAGGTTCTTATTTTGACGTGCATGTGGGGGACATGTGGGCGGTACGTACCAGTCGAAAAGAGGCATGTGGACCCGACTTTAAGCCACCCCAGCTGGTCTGTGCCCAATCAGGGCGGGTCCTTAGAGACAAGAGCAGGAAACAACCACTGGACATCGTGACTTCCTGTCTTGGCTTCTCCATCACCGTCGCTTCCCATCTCGCCAACTGCTGCCTTCCCTCTCTTGCCCATGGCTGGCCATCCGGGTGCTCAGCCTTGGCGATGGGTTTCTCAGCCTTGGCAAACAGACCGCGTCGTCTTATGCTTTTTTCGTCCCTTTTGTTTCCCGCTTTTCTCCCGACAAACACCATCGGTCCACTCACTTTTCACGACAGGGGCCTGTGATGCCCACGTTTCCATGGTTCCCTCGGGCTGCGGACGCCATATCAATCTGAATGCCCGTCTGAAAATGGGCCATCCTGCGGAAGTGGGCTGAAAAGGTGCCCTAAATTGCCTCGGTCGTCATTGGCGCGCAGTACTCCGCATGCTGCATCTAGCTACGATATCCACGGGGAAGAGCTCCCAATGTCATCCGACGAGGACAAGGTCAGCCGCCGCGACCGAGGGCCAAGACAATGAAAGACAAACTCGGGTCGTGGAGACACCCAAAAGAACCTGGGAATGACTGCTCGGAAGCTATAGCTTTGTTGCGTTAGAGGAAAAGTGAACGATCCGCCGAAGAGGGGAACCCGAAAAGTAGAACAATGGATGGCATATCCTGCGCATATTCGACACGACCAACTGGCAGGGATCCAATCCTCCGCATGTGGTCTTCACCAATCTTTCCACCTCCATCGAACCTGCGCATGTTTTCCTCGCAGCTTGCACCATCCTACGCCTGGTGATTCGCCTCTCGTCCTCCCGCCTCCCTAGCATCTCTTCCCCCGCGAGAAGTTCTCCCGCTGCAGAGACTTCCTCGTTTCTCCTCCACGCTTCGATTCGATATCTCATCACCCTGCAGGATTTCATCGGCCAGACTACCGGCTCGGCGGTTTGACTTTCTCACCAGGACACATTCTCTCAAGGTGCTCACTCTTGACCTCTCCCAACGGGTCATACTTCAGCCTGGTCTCCTCGACTGCAAATCCTCTTCCATAAAACACCCAGCCGAGAACCACCCTGTCAATAAGCGCAGCTTGACGCTTTCTGCAGCACCATCCTGTCTTGGAGTTCGCCCGAAAAAAAGTCAACCCTGTCCGCCCATCTCAGCGCAGACAAGGCCCAAGCTCGCTTTCTCCTATTTACTGGCAGCATTCTCAACGTCCAGACTCAGACGTTATGGTTAGGTTCACTCCCGCTGCCGCCGTTGCGGCTCTTCTGAGCACTACATCAGCCTCTCTTGTCGCACGGCAGACGGCTGCTAGCACCACCGCCTCTGCTGGGTCTGATCCCACGGCCATCTCACAGTGTTCCGTCGCCTCGTCTACTCAGTAAGAGCCCTCAGTAGCTTCATCAATATCCTTCATCATCGACTAGCTACTCACACATCATTTACTTCAGAATCTGCAAAGCTGGAACGACAGAGTTCACAGTCGTATCTACCCCGACTGGTTCGCTTCCCAGTTCATACACTGGATGCCACAAGCATGCCACTGACCTGTAAGCTGACTCACTTTGATCTTGGTCACTCAGTCTAACACTATTGTGACCAGGTACTGTTTCTATCCCGATGGCGAGGTTGAAGTCGTGGCCGCCAATGCGCCCGCAGCCACCGCTGTTTCGACGACTGCTGCTGCTGCCGTCACGGGCGCACCAACGGCCGTATCAAACTGCCATCTGCACGGAGTCACGGTGTAAGTGTTTCCATCCTCCCGGCAATGATCCTTACTAACAGAGATCCCAGCTTCTGTATGTGGGGTACTACCGAATACCAGGTCATGACGACGCCTACCAACACTGCCGCCGCCGTGATACCGACAGCCTTCACTGGCTGCCACGCCCACGGCACTGACACTTACTGCCTCGCTCCTAATGGAGATGACATCGAAATTGTTGCCGAGGGGGCCGAGTCGTCCGACCATGACGATACCAGCGGAGAAGAACCCCAGGGAGAGAACTGCCACTTCCACGCCGGTGTCGAGCATTGCGTTGGCGCAGGTGAGAGCGAGAGTAGCGGCACTAGAAGCTGCGAGAAAGTCAACCGCGACTATAACATTCCTCTGCGTGTCGGTCTTCTCTTCGTCATTCTCGTCACTAGTGCTTTCGGAGTCTACTTCCCCATCTTCATGATCAATTGGATGCCCGCCAAGACGCACACAATCTTCCTCATCCTCAAACAATTCGGCACGGGAATCATCATCTCCACCGCCTTCATCCATCTGTATACCCATGCCCAGCTCATGTTTGGTAATGAGTGCCTAGGCAGCCTTGGCTACGAAGGTACCACCTCTGCCATTGTCATGGCTGGTATCTTCCTGTCTTTCTTGGTTGAGTACATTGGAAAGCGCATGGTCATGGCAAAGATGGCCGCTAATCCGGGTGCGATGACCCGTTTCTCTCCAGAGACAGTCACTGTCTTGGTTCTTGAGTGCGGCATCATCTTTCACTCTATCCGTACGTTGCCCTTCCCGAGCATCCCCTCACTGTAGCGCACTAACAAAGGATTGAACAGTCATTGGTATCACCCTTGTCGTGGCTGGTGACACCTTCTTCATCACCCTCTTTGTTGTCATCCTCTTTCACCAAATGTTCGAGGGCATCGCTCTTGGAACTCGCATCGCCCAGCTTGGCCAGCCTACTCCGGCTGAAATGGCAGAGCGCCATACCCCGAGTGCGCCCGCCGAAGTCGAGCAAACCGCCTCCGCTGAGGGTAGCCTGAACTCTCTGAAAACGCCCAGCTTCTCCCTGGTCAAGAAGCTTATCCTCGCTTCTCCCTTTGCCCTCGTCACGCCCATCGGAATGGCAATTGGAATTGGTGTTCTCTCGCAGTTCAATGGAAACGACCGCGACACCATCATCGCCATCGGTACCCTCGACGCGCTTTCCGCTGGTATTCTCGTCTGGGTTGGTGTTGTGGAGATGTGGGCCGAGGACTGGATGCTTCCCGGCGCGGAGCTCCTAACCACTGGCCCAATCGTCACGGCCCTTGCTTTCTTCGGTCTCATCGCCGGCATGATTATCATGAGTGTGCTTGGAAAGTGGGCTTAAGATGTTGACCACCAAGGATAGAAAGAGAAGAATGCTCGATAATGAATGGTGGCGCAGACTCTTGTTACTGCGGCACGTCTAATGCGGAAACGGGAAAAGTTTGTAGATATCGGGCCGGTCCTTTTTCATGATAGATGTTATACCCTAAACGAGTGCAATGACAGTTTGCTTTCCAGTGCCGCCTGAAAACTCCCGTGCCTCCCCGTTCATGAGACCTTGGAGGTAAACCTCACCGATAAGCACATGACTTCCGTCGTCCGCAACAGGCCTGAAGATATAGAACATGTTCGCACCATGAACCAGCCAGACCTTGTCACCTTCGATAGCTTCAGCCGGAGCCAAGCCGACGAGTCCGTTTTCAGTGCGGATCAGTCTCCGGCGGTTGAAGCGACTCATCATGCCCTGGTTGCGATGCCAGTCCTCTTGGCGGTAAATTTCCACCTCGTCACCATATCCCGATCTTGGTTCGATCCCTGCCAGTTCATGGGAAGCTTCCAACACCGTCTGCCCTCCGATCGCATACTTCTCACTGGGGGTCTTCAGCTTATACGTCGGGTAGGACTTTGTTCGAGGCACACTCATCGCATCGAATGCCTCCCAGACCTCCGCCACGACATCAATCTGCATAGCCGTAATCTGCAACCGAGTCTCGTCTAGTATCCTCCACGGCTTCGCATCGACGGAATATCCTTTACTCGCACAGAGAACCTGCTCTCCTGTAGTGACGTCCCTCGAAAGTACCTTTCTCGGAAGGACTCGCCAATCAGGCACCCAGGAGGGTGAATCCGATCACCCGTAGCGGCAGATCTCGAGGACGCTCAGAGGCCAGTAGTCTCTGTCTCCTAACAGACATTTGGCAACGGAGGCGTAGAGTTGCTGAACGGTGAGGGAGTAGTCGACATGGATGCAGAGTTTTTCTCGCGGCCCGTGATCGAGCAGGTTCAAAGGCGCATAGATGCGGTCTCGGGGGTCTGTTGCTTGGAGATCGCGGAATCGTAAGAGGGGGCTGATGAGATTGAACTGCTGGACTATTGAGCTCCTCCCATTCTTTGATTCAATCTGATGGACCTGTTCGACTTTAGAAGAGGCGTTCATCCCATCCGGTGCTGTATCGATTTCGTTGGAAGCTGCCATCCGCGCATAGCTCATCTTGAGATCATGAGCAACCTTCTTCACCCGCGAGAGCGTCGCGTCCACAAACGAGGCATCTGCCCTCCGCTCCCGAAGGCCATCTCGAAGCCAGTGTAGTGCTTGTGTATAGAGTATCGTGACGGGTAAAAAGGCAGTACGATCTAACCACGCCGTACCGGAGAGGAAGACCCCGAGGTCGGTTGGGGCAGTGTACTCCTGTACCGTCCAAACGCGGTTCCAGTACGTAGATTGAAAGACTCTGACGGTTTCCCGGATGGTAGTATATCGGTCTTTCACGTGGCTGGGTAGAAGCTTCGGGGGTTCTTTGCTCTTTTGAGAGACGGCGAGGGCATGCTCGCCGAGTTCGCGGAGGTACGTTAGCCCCGGCCCGAATTCTGGTCCGAGCCATGTTAAGACTAGGTCTGCTAAAGTGTAAATCTCCCGCATGTGTGAGACCTGGTGGCTTCGTTCTGATATATCTGCCTGGTTTATCGAGATTGCGTCGATCCATAGCGGGACAAGCTGTGATGGCATCAGGAAGAGGCGGATGTGCTGGAGCGCGGAGTGGAGGTTCTTCGTGGCGTGGAAGAGGTGGTTGTCGACGTGGAGGGGGATGGTATCGGAGGGATCACCCCAGACGTAGGAGAGTGCTGTGTATTCTGTGGATGAGAGGGGAGTGGTTTCAGTTGTGAGGGTTATTGGGGTTGAGGGGGGTCCTGCGTGGAGGTTGACGAGGCGGATTTCATCTTCTTTGAGGGGGGCGTAGGGGAAGGGTGTGGTTTGAAGAGGTGAAGAGGGTTTGCGGGTGAAGAGGTTGCGGAGAGAGGACTTTTTGGTCTTGGTGAGGAGGGGAAGAGGGGGTGCTTGGGGGTCCAGAGCCAGATTTGAGAAGCTTTCGTCAATATCCTTGGTTCTTGACATTGTAGTCAGTAGCCTTGCTTCGATTGGCTTCGTGCTACTTGGGAGTATTCAGGATAGTATGTGACCTGAAGGTCGGAAAGACAAAAGTGAGGACTTGTAGATGTAAGATTGCCCAATCAGGCAGCAGCGTTGCAGTGCATCCTTCGATGTTGGAAGTGTGGCGTTGTAGTTGTGGCTGGACCCGAGCAAGGGCACAATAGAAAATGGCCGCTCCGCCCTCTCTTTCTTTAACGCAATTATTTATTTGATTCTTTAATATATCTTACCGCTATAATATTTAATAATCCGGTCGAAATAATCAAGGGAAACTTCACGGCCTCAGAGTTTTAGTGCGCGAAATTGTTGAGAATTCAGAACTTGGCAGTTAGTATCGGGATACCGATAACGTCTCTTTAGACAACGCGCTGAATACATAGCGTGAGTTTCACGTCTAAATCGATACGATTCGTAGTCTTCAAGCCTTCGCCACAACAGCCAGCATATGACAATGAGTAAGAATCCCTCTGAAGCCTCATAGCTACCCCATGGCTCATGATTCACAACGCAGATTTCCAGCCTCCCTCTGCCTCGAAGATCTTACCGACCGCCTTGGAGACTACCAAGAGATGACGGTCATGGTATCTCGGCGCTACTAGAGAAACACCAACGGGCATCCCATTCGAGCCCTTGAAGCCTGGAATGTTGACGACGGGAACATGGAGCGCCTACCGCCCTTGTTAGCGATCATCCTTCGGCATACTGACTCCGCGAGAGACTTACCGTCCAGGGGGCGTTGAAAGCAGCACTTCCAGTGCTCGAGGTCCCCTCAGGCGCTTCGTCAACAACACTAGGCACCAACACGGCATCATACTTTCCCAGCATCTTATCAACCTTTGGCCTCGCGATGGCGATGTTGTCGAATGCTTCCAGCTGCTCCGCCCTGCTGATCTTCTTGGTGTTGTCAACATGCGAGATCAGAAACTCGTGCAGTTGGTCCTTGGCAGCGCGGTATTCAGGTAGGAAAGCGGATCTCCCGTCGCTGTGTAACACGGTAGCATGCCACCGAGGTAGTTCCTGAAGCTCGGGAGCAAATTCAATCTCCTCGACCTCAGCTCCGTGAGCCTTGAGAAGTTCCGCTGCTTTCGCCATCGCGGCCTGCGTGCCGGGCCCGGCTTGAGGCCACACCATTGTCTTCAACAGAGCAAACTTGGCGCCCTTGACTGTGAAAGTGTCCTTGGGAGGCTCGTCGTCCTGGAGGTCAAAGACGTCGGCCATCAACTGCAGATCTTCGACGCTACGGGCGAAGAAACCCAGGGTATCTAGGATCAAGGAGTAGATCTTCTGGCCCTCGCGGGTGATGGAGTTCCACGTCGGCTTCAGGGCGTAGATGCCGTTGAAAGATCCTGGGCGGATGGTGCTTCCACCAGTCTGGGTGCCCAAGCCGATTGGCGCTTGGAAGTCGGCGATCGCGGCGCCTGAGCCGGATGAGGAGCCACCGGGCGTCCGGTTCGTGCCGTGCGGGTTCACCGTTTTGGGGCCTTGAACAGTGGCTGCGAATTCAGTCGTCGTTGTTTTGCCTGCGAGTGTCAGATTCACTTTGCCGAGGGTTGAATTGTTAGTATGGACTTACCGAGAAGTAGTGCACCGGCTTGGCGCAGAATGATAATGGACCCTGCATCAACTTTGGGCGCATCTCTGGCGTAGATTGGAGAACCGTGCTGCGTTGGCATATCTGAGTTTCTGTTAGTGCTCCGGTGGAAACCCCGAGAAATGTTCACTAACCCTTGGTGTAGATAACGTCCTTGACCGCGATCGCAACGCCGTGTAGGGGTCCTCGTTTCTCTGGAGGTATCGCGTCCATCTCCTTCGCTTGTGCGATGACCTGCTCGGGATTCAGATGTTCCCAAGCCTTGACGACGGGGTCTCGCTCCTCGATGTGAGACAAGAGCGAGCGCGCATACTGCTCCACAGTCAACTGTCCAGCCCGGATCTTGGCTGACGCCTGGGTTGCCGTAAGTCTGTACGGCTCAACTGCCATTATGGGAGATTATGTCGAGTCCCCTGCAGCTCGATCAAGGTTTAAACGCTTAGGTCTAAGTTGACAACGGCACAAACGCGTGTGCCAAAGCAAGATGCAATGTAGAACAAGAAGGCGGGGTATCTGGCAAGGTGTCGGCTAACAGAGTCAGAGCGCAGCGGTCTGTATCAATAGGCACTATCAGAGTCTCGTTAGTAGTTCTGGTAAGCCAGCTTTTCTGAACTTCAAAAGGCAACTCTCGAGTTCTCTGAAGTTCGCAGAAAGAGGACGAGAAACCAAGTTGTGGCGTTCTCGAGTGTTGGAGTAATCTGGAGGCATTTCGGCTATTTCAGAGACGATTTCCGGTGACTCCAACGGCCGTAAGAGGGGCCATCCTTGTTACTCCAACCCCGCAGGCCGTTATCGTCGGCTTCAGATCCGCCGCCGCGTTTGTTTCCCCCGCAATATTTCCGGCTACGCCTCCAGCAGCAGCGATTGCGACACATCCGATTCGGAACCAATCCACCGAATGAGGCGTTCTTACTCGACTTCTCTGTACAACGCCGGGTCAAAAGTCTGGTCACAGCTGACAGAATTGCACCAAGAGATCCCTCGCCAGGTCCACCTTGTATGTACCCGCGCAATGAGCTCATGATAAGCCGAGAGCGACCCGCTGAATTACGGAACGGATTGCCTTTGTTGGCCATTGTGGATGGCTTCTCCAGTCGTAGCAAGGCAATAATACCAAGTCTGGAGAATACCAAGTGGTTGACGCAATTTTCTGCCGCTCTATACCTACACCATAGTAACTTCTACTACGAGTATTGCTGCTGCAGCTATCATTACTACTGTCTCTGTCACTGACAAGGCTACTCTTCTTTCCTCAGATCCTCTCAAGCACATGTTCGAACAACGCGTAGAGTCTTAGCAAAGGGGTTAGAACTCAATAATTAATTACGGAATCTTCTCGCAAGTTATTGCCCGTTGGCCTCGACATTGCTAGGAATACAGCTAAGCCTCTAACTTCTGAACCTTCTCTCCCAAGTGTAATTCCTCGGCAACGTCAATCCGCGGAGACGGAGGTGCATAAATCTCACCCTCCCTTTCGCCCTCAAAGAACCCATCTCGGCCTTCTTTCGCCAGCCATTCGTATTTGATCGGGGCATTTCCAAAGCCTGGAGGGTACACCTTGGCCTTGAAGAACTGCACCAGCACCACATAAAGGATGGCTGATGTAAAGAACGTCAACACCCAGCCCATCATGTACATGTACTTGGCCGACTGGTTGACTCTTTGAGGCTGGTATTGCCCGACGAGGCCTGGCAAGCCCATTGCCGTGCCGCCAATCCAGGCGAAGACCCCGACCCAGTTGACTCCAGACTTGAACCAGTAGAGGCCTCCTTTGGAGCCATTGTACAGTGATGGCACATGGATGTTGCCTTTTCGAACCAAAATGTAGTCGAAGATAATGATCTGATGAACGTCAGCTACCCTTTTCAGGACTTGCTAGTGGGCTTATTACTTACGGCGCAGAGAGGGGCCATGAAGATGTTGTAACTTCCAAGGAATGAGATGAAAGCAGAGGCATTGGCAATAAGCTTCCACGGCAAGACGACGATACCGAGGATAGCACAGATGATCTGGCCTCGACGAATCGTCAAGTATCTAGGAAATAACCCGGTCATGTCAGCGCCAAAAGGAAGTGAATTCGCGCCAAAGTTCGTTGCCAGCACACTAAGAATGAAGCTGAACGACACAAAGAAAACACCAGCGCGGGCCGTAGGATTCCAATAGTGGTCAAGGATAGCATCGAGAAGATCCCACAGGTTCCAGTAAGCCTTGCCCCAGGCGCCTTGCAACGATGTCGTTGACGCTAAGCCGAGGAAGAAGACAAGAATCTTGGCAAAAAAGACACAGGCCCCCTGGAGCCAGCCGGCATCGCGTGGTTCTTTGCAGTAACGCGCGAGATCGGGTTGGTTCACAAGCATCGGCGAAAGGGACCCCATGATGACGTTGACACCGCTCATGATAGCCCATCCGACCGGGGTCTTTGTGGCTGCCGATGCGCCAGCAACAGATGCAGCGCCAATGTTTGAGATGCCGGTTCCGTAAGCCATACACCAGCCGAAGAGTCCGAAGCAGGCAAATGGCATGATGAAGCCTTTCACAGTGTAGATGTAATGAATATGAGTCGGGTGTACCCAAGTCTGCGATTGTTGTTAGAGACAAGTCTCATCAAAGGGCAGCAAACGACTCACGAATGGGAACTCAACCAGCCAAAGAAGGAAGAATGCCAAGAGCTGCTTTGAAGTGACATCGGCACCGGCAGGAAGCATATTGGGCCAGTTGTCCCAGCTGTTCCCAAAGATACAGCGGAAGCAGACGGACAACAGGTTCGCGCCGTAGTACGTCTGGATTCCATACCAAATGATGCAAACGATTGCGCGGATGAAGATGAAGAAGTATGAGCCGTACATGCCCATCACCGACCGCGCAAGAACAGGACTTGAATAAAGGTCAGCAGATGCCATAAGACGTTGAAGGTCTTCAACGCACTATCCAAGATGGTACATCACGCCTGGTCTTGCCATACCAGTAACGATGATGGCGGAGATGAGTGAGCCAAGTACGCATGATACGAAGGCTTGTTGCCATGTCTAATGATGTCAGCGCATCGGCTTGAAGAAACTTCACTAGGTCAACTTACCAAACCCACAGCGATGAGCGAAGAGGCGACGTTCCACCCGGTTGTCCCAAACATGTTTGAGAACCAATACAATGGCAAGTTGTACCATGTCCATGTTCTTTGTTCTGGCGGCGTCGGTTCGAGGTCCTTGTTCGACCATCTAGAGTCTCCGACTTGGGTTCGTCCTTCATGAGCCTCAGGAGCCTTGATCCATTCCCTGAAGGCGTCTTTCGATTGAAAGGGCGCGGTCATCTCGCTTTTCGTTGGCATACGGACGCGCACCATGGTTGCTCGAGTCTTTGTTGGTATGGCGACAATGTCCGAACCTCACCAAACATCAAAACGATGAGTTCGATGGAAACCAGCAACTGGATGTTTCCTTTCCACATGGTCACAGTGGTTTCGTTCATATTAGAAACCCCGTGTCCGCGCCTCAGCTCTGTTGCAACCCCGACACGCCTGATTGCAGTCCCTATTCGTCGGCGACTTTCCAACCGACAAACATCTCGTCGCCACGCGAGTCCATGGTAAGCTTGCACTACGGGACGATAAGACATTGACATGTCATATGAGGAGAGCGGTGCTTGGCATGTTGATGGATGGGCCGGGGACCTGGTCTCGGGGGTGATCCACCAAGATAAGGCGGTGGCCGGCCGTTGGTCTTATCTACGGTGGACGTCCGAATAGGTATCCCAATCCGGCAAAGACGTGGTCATCGGTAGGGCACTACCGACATTGACGTATCGCTCGAGGTCGAATGGAGGGTATGTTGCTAGAGGAGAGATTCCCAGCTGCTTTGTGCTTATTTCCGTGGACGAGCCAACAATAGTGAGAGTCACGAATGCGTTTCTGAATGATACGGGGATGCGTACGAGTATAGGGTAGCACGTGGGTAGATATGAGTTTGAGTTGAAGAACAACCAGATCATGACGCTTACCATCATCGCAAAACCAAAGCTTTGGGTCAAGAGCTCATGACGAGTAGGCCACGTGCTATCTGTGGGGTCCTATTTCTCAATCCTCCGATGTTCCCAACGATGTATACGTCTCATACTTTTGTCTGTATGAGTGCATCCAATAATACTCCCGGTTGACGTTGCGGAGGATCCTTGCAGGTGTTGTCCCGATCCATTCTAAATCGGCTCAAAGCCTTCCTACTTCTCGTTCTCACGGCAGTTCTCACCCATACATACACGCCGAGTCAGGAGAATACTCGAAATGACTGCCCACGTTCGGGCTGGAAACATGCGAGATGAGACATCCCCCGTCGACCTGGTTGACAGCGCGTCGGCAATCTTCAACGCGGAGGGCCCCGTGAGCCCCCGCACCGCTCCACCGGCCACGTTGCCGCAGACACGGAAGTCGAGGGTAGCCTTGGCTTGCAAGCGATGCAAGAGAAGAAAGCAACGTGCAAGTTGTCAAACTCGAAATCTAGATCATCTATGTTCAGTTGCTGATACGAGTCAAAATGGTAGTGTAACGGCGCACATCCGAGTTGCAGGTCTTGCGAGAAGTCTAATTCGGCGTGCATCTACGAGCGAGCACTGAGACCACACTATCCTGGGGGCAAATCACTGCAAGTTTTTCACTTCGCGCTCTTCAACTTTGAATCTTACAGCATGCCCAGATATATCAGCGCACTAGAGGAAAGAATCGCATTCCTCGAAGCACGTTTGCCAGATTTTGCCGAAGACCACTTCGCGGTGACATCTTCCGCAGCAACACCTCCGGAACCCAAGACGAGAGGTTCGCGGAGAGACTCAAGAGACTCACCTTCGGACGATGAGCCATCATCATTAGTTGATGGCGTTGCCTACCTGTCGTTATGCGCATCTGGCACAATAGACACCGCCCCAGAGCCCTTTTACCTAGGGTCGAGCTCCGGCGCCACGATTGCGCGGATGATTCAGTCTTTCATCTTTCACAGCTCGGGTAATAAAGCTGGAGTTGATGTTATGGCAACGAGTCAAACTGTACCGTCATCTTCGATGCACTCGCGAGGGAATCCTTCGGTATCCTCTAGCCCGGAGGAGCCCCAGTCTGAGTTCCCGTTCCCCGAGCAGGCGAAGATGCTCTTCGATGTCTTCTTTGATCGGCTTCATACGCGATGGCCTATCCTGGATCGTAAGCTGTATACAAAGCTATTCGAAAAGCAGTATGACCAAGGAGCGCTTACGATCCAGAATCGAAGCATTATGCACCTGGTGTACGCCATTTCGGCAAAATTCCTGCAGTTGATGAAGAAGCCTTGCTACGTGGACCCTCAGGTGAGGGGTTCCCCCATGGAAAACTTGCATTCACAGAGCTAACATAGACACTGTTAGAAACACCTCATGGCTGCCATCGAGCCGATGGATTATATCCTGGAACAACACAACCTAGCCACCGTCCAGCTTCTCCTTCTGCTCGCAGTTCATGGGACGAGAAGTCCCTACGGTGCCGGCGCATGGTCTCAGGTGCGGTACGCTGTTACGCTCTGCATAGAACTAGGTCTCCATCGAAAGCAGTCAGGCACCTCTACTCACAATCCACGCGATCTCGAGATTCGAAGGCGCGTCTTCTGGTCTTGTTACTGTTTGGACCGCATGACGAGTGTAGTGCTTGGACGGACTTTCGCCATCGCCGACAGAGACATCAACGTGGAGGTAAGTGATGCGAGTGACTGATGTAGATTACAGTTCTTGCTGACAGTCAATCAGATGCCAAGTGACCATTTGGAGTTTTGGGATTTGACAGCTCTAAATCACCCGTCAAGCACATCAGAACTGCCCTGGTCAAACATGAAACCGTTCATCCACATTATCAAGCTCCGGAGAATACAATCCAAGATCCACCGCCGAGTATACCGAGTTGATAAAGACGTCTTCTCAGGTTCCTTGGAAGAACGAGTTAAACTCGATTCCAAAATGGGAGAAGTCAGGGCCGAGCTCGATGAGTGGGCGAGAACAGTCCCTCATCCGCCAAAAGACGCTGGAAGCATAAGTTGGATGTATGATCCGGAAAGCGCATATCACGACTCTAGAGATTTCTTCGATCTGTAAGTTTGCATCATTTCTTCTACATCATATTGTTGAAAACTAACAGAGAACATAGGCAATACCACAAGTCAGTTTTATCGCTCTTTACCGTACTCCTCCCCACTCTCAAAACCTCCGACTCGCGGTTCATCACCACCGCCCGGTCCGCCGCCCGCGTCTGCACGGCATACAAGCGTCTCAACCAGCAAAAGACGCTCAGCTACACCATGATGGCACTCCACTCGTGCTTTATCGCCGGGCTAACACTGGTATACTGCCTATGGCGGGACCGCTCTCTCTTCTCGTACGACACGCTCGAAGCTACGAGAGCATGTTCTCAGTCTTTGACCATCTTTGGCGAGAAGTTTCATGGCGCGATTAAGTACCGCGATATCTTTGATGCTCTCTCGGGGAGCCTGTTAAAGACAATTGTTGATCCGACAACGGGCCCAGACGAAGGATCAAAGTCGCTCGATGTGGACTTGGGAGTGAATCCGGGGGTGTATCCGGCGATGGCGCCCGCAAGGACTTCTGGGAGCTTGGCCATGGAACGGAGCAGTGGGGTCGAGGAAAAGCCAACCGTTACTCATGCGATCTCTGATGCCGTGAAAGAGGCGTTTATGGAGGTGGACGAAGAAGCACCGGGCGGTTGGCAGGGTTGGAGGATGTTTAACGAAATGGTGCAGCCCGATCTCGCCTGTGAATCTGGAAAGGCCCAGAAAAATGATTACGAAGGAGACCGGCCGGACGGCAAGTGGAATAGTCTTAGGCATGAGCTGGGCTTCACGGAGGAGCTTCAACTAGGGATAGATCAGGACGTCATGGAATCAGACTGGGATTTCGAGGGGTATGGAAAAGTGAGCTGAAGACAACTTTCAATGAGGGAACTTCAAAAGCTATTCGCGCCGGTTTATTGCGAAATGGTAGATCGCAAATAATTTGTTGGGTCGGTTGTATCTTTATGTAACTCAGAGACGGTGCAAGTACAAACAGCATGGCACTGAACGTCTAGGCGGCGCCGATGAGAGTCGAACACTTAAAAAGGTACTAGTCCAGTCCCATTTACTTCAATCCTGTAGTCACGCTTCCGGTCTGGAAGGCACTGATTGGAGGTCTTCTTAAAAACTTGAGATCCTTTTAACCTGACTAAGTCTTGTCCTAGGCCCTATTAAACATAATGTAGAGTGGCTGGTCTTGGCCTCTGGGGCGCCGTGTCCATGTAGTAATCTCATCTGAATACACGTGAAGAGAGCAGAGGTTTACAAGACTTGCTTGGGAGACAGGATTTTAACATGGAGTTTTGGGAAGACCAAAAGCCTTCCGCAACGGATTCCGCATACGCTAAACCAAATCATGGATACGTCCTCTTCAATCTGGAAGTGGATCTTTTGCCTCCCCGTTTCCGGCTACGGCCACTTGATGACTTTCTTACCGGCTTCTTTAACAAGACCTTCTTCGAACAAGCCTGGCTTGACGGGCAAGGACCGGTTGCTAGTCATCTCGGTCCCCACCAATGTTGATTCAAGAGCCCTATTTGTGTGAGCAAAGACAACAACTGATTAGTCATCATTGAATAGGTCGGTTAGCTCAGTTGGTTAGAGCGTGGTACTAATATTTCATCAGAAATGCTGAGTAATGCCAAGGCCGGGAGTTCAAGCCTCCCACTGATCATTCTTTTGCTTTTCTCGCCATATTTTCTTATTTTTAGGGTTGCCCGATCCTAGTGTCATCATTTTCTTCTCTTTTTTTAGAGGACTTTGGAGTACTTCAGGCCGTGGGGACAGTTGGGGGGGGGGGGGGGGGGGGGGTTGTGAAGCGAATCTGGAGACAACATTGAGTTCAGTGAGTGAAGGGAGCGAACAGCGTTAAAGAAGCTTTCATGAAACATCACAATACAAACATCTTATCGACAACTCCCATTCCCTCATGCCAACTGGCCCTTCTTGTACGGATACTTCGCCTTGAACGCCTCTGCAATCTCAGTCCTCGTAGCCACCCAAACGCCCTCCTTCTTCGCAATATAATCCACAAAGTCCCTCAACGCAGCCAATCTTCCTGGACGTCCAACAATGCGACAGTGCAACCCAATTGTCATCATCTTGGGCATCCCCTCCTGTCCCTCCTCGTATAACACATCAAATGCGTTCTTCAAATGTGTATAGAACCCCTGCGGATCGCGGAACCCAGACCCTGTGACGTGGAACTTAAAGTCATTACAGTCATAGCTGTACGGCACCATCAGACACCCCTTTGGATCAGCCTTCTCCCGCTCCGTAGGTAGATCAATCCAGTACGGCACATCGTCGGCGTATGTATCACTCGCCCACACTAAATCCTCCCCCATCTCCTCATACACCTGCGGCACAAGTGTCCTCGAATGCGGCGAGTTACGACCGTAGTACCACCCCTTGGGCGCATATCCCGTCAGACTCTTGAGCGAAGTGATACACTTGCGGATATATTCCTTCTCCGTCTCGATCGGCACATCGTGGTAATCGATCCAGCGGTAGGCGTGCGAGGCGACGTCGTGGCCCTCCTCCACGCACCGCGTCGCAACCTCGGGCTGCTCTTCGACAGCCTGGGCAACGGCGTAGAGGGTGAACTTCATCTTGCGGGAGTTGAAGAGGCGGAAGAGGCGCCAGAAGCCTGCGCGGGAGCCGTATTCGTATTCTGACTCGACGCTGTAGTTGCGCTCGTTGTACTTTGCGGGGCCCATGGGGTTCTCGCGGAGGTTGGTTTCTGAGACCCCGTCGCCAGCTAGGACTGAGCGTTCGCCGCCCTGGTGTGGGAGTAGGTCAGTACAGCCGTGCTTCAATAGGTTTGTTCTTCTTCGTTTCCAGAGGGGCCGGGGGGGCTGTAAAGACGAACCTCTTCATAGTTGATGACGAAGGAGACTGCGATTTTGGCGTCGTTGGGCCATGGACAGGCGAGGCCTTTCTCGCCATGGCCCTTGAAATCGCGGGCGTAGCCGTAGTCTGGATGGGCGTGGTAGGCTTCAGGCATGATGAAGGATTGATGGCTTGTTGGTCAGGTAAGACAACTGGAGCTTTGTTGTTCAGTAATGCGCCCAGAAGCAGTCAACGGAGGAAACACAGAGTGTAGATAACAGGCAGCACCTCGTATACGTCGCGAAGACACTCCCCGACTTGACATAGAAATAGTAGTACCAAGACTGCGATCGGCCAGAATCAACCGGCCAACCCCCCATCGGGCGACGCAGCCCGCCCTTCGTCGCGCATTATCATGGCTATCTACACCAGACAGCAATGCGCACACCCTTCTCTCCCCTATCGGATCCGATGTCTTCATCATCCAACTCATTGCAGCGTGCAGCGCGTTATCACGTTGCCGTCGCACACACATCTCGGGGTCTGGAGGGGCAAGGATACAAGCTGTTGGAGGCGTTACATTTAACAGGGGGGTGGCCCCCATCGGATGACATCGAACCGTTGGAGTATTTCGGAGATTTTCGTCGACCCAGGGGTGGTGATAAGGCGCGGGGTTTTCCACGGGGTATCGTTGGTAGTGGGGGGCATGGTCTTGATAACAAGATGCATCGAGGGGCATGAGGGGATGCATGTTGATGTAATGCCCAGGCCTATCTCTGACCGGAGTCTTGACCGGGAATAGCTTGGACGGGAGCTCAGCATTGAGTTGCGGGATGAGAGTCAGGCTGGCTTCCGCTGCTCCGCGATGCGATGCTCGGCAAGTTAATCGGACATCCGCGTTCTAAGAAACTCTCTGAGAAACCTTGAGTTTACTGTAAAGCAAGGAATTTGTTCAACACGGTTCTTTGTGTGAGATCGAACATGCCTCAATTGTATTGAATGCCGCTGATGCTATGCTTGACCACTGCCATGTCCTTTTGAAATCATGCTGTATGCAAATGTATCTTCGTCAACCTTTCCGCGTCCTAGTTCTCGTCGACCTTCTCACGATTCCTAGTCGGAGCATCCCCCGACACCCCTTTCGGACCCTCCGAAGCCTCCTCAGACGGCACCGCTTTCTTCGCCTTCAACCCCGTATTCCCAACCCCAAGCGTCAACACCAAGCTCAACCCAGTGCAAATAACATAGTAAACAAAGATATAATGCAACCCCTTCATATACGCTTCCAAAATCACTGCCTTCTCCGCATCCGAGAACCCCTTCTGGTCCAAGGTATACGTCGACGAAGTAAGCTCCGCAATCACCGCATCGGAAACAAATTCTTTTCCGTGAAGATCCCGCCGCAGCGTGTTGGATAGTATCACACCCGACACCACGAGCCCGAACGCGCCGCCGATGGTACGAATGAAGTTCCGCAACCCCGTCGTGACGGCGCGGTCTTCAGAGCGGGAGTTGGCATACATGCCCACCAGCGTAGGCTGCAGCGTCAACCCGATCCCCGCGCCTACAATAATCAAGATCGGAATCAACTTTCCTAATGCCGTATCCCGATCAAAAAGAATAGTGAGACCGTTTCCCAGCGTCCAGAGGAAGAAGCCCGCGAGGATACAGGGCATATACCGTCCCACTCGCAGCATATACTGCCCCGAAAGAATAGACAGCGCCGAAGTCGTGATGATGACGGGTAGAATAAGCGCTCCTGAAACGAGCGGCTCGTAGTTCAGTATAGACTGGAAGTAGATCGGCAGATAAAACAAATTCCCAAAATACGCCTGGCCCATGAGGAACGTCTGCCCAAATAACGCACTGCAATGTGGTGCTTGGTACAAGCGCAAAGGCATGATAGGCAGCTTCGCCAGCTTCCACTCGTAGAGCACGAACAAAACCGCAAGCACGGCGCCAACAACGACGCCGGCGACGACAAACGGTGAAGACCAGGGGTACGTCACGCCGCCTCCGGATAGCGGGACGAGGAGCAGCAGCGTCGAGGCCATGTTGAGCGCGATGCCGCCGTAGTCAATTTTTTTGACCTTTTCGCCGTAATTACCCGGGCGGTGCTTTAGCGGGAGACAGAAGAGAATTGTGACGGCGGCTGGGGCGCTGATGATAGGGACCATCCAGAAGACCCATCGCCAGGTTGATTCCTGGACGACTGCGCCGCCGACGAAGGGGCCGACGCCGTTTGCGAGGGCGAGGACGGCGCCGAGAACGCCTGGTATGAGCGTCAGTTCTCAGATATCCGTAGAAGGGGATCACTTCGGATCCAAGCTTCAACTTACCCTGGTATTTCCCCCGATTCTCCAGGGTCGTGATATCGCTCACAATAATCATGACGATACTATTAATCCCACCACCACCAATACCAGCAACAGCCCGAAACGCAAAAAGCTGCTCCTTCGTCTTCGAAAACCCACAGAGAACATCCCCAACAGCCATGAGCACAAGACAAATCATCAGCAGATTCTTCCTCCCAAAAATATCCGATAGCCGCCCGTTGATGAGCTGAAAGGCCGTCGAAGCAATCAGAAAGGACGTCCCGATCCACGAGGTGGCCGTGCCGGTGTCGAGGTCCTCCGCGATGGCCGGGACGGCGGTCGAGACGCTGGTCTGGTCGATAAAGGAGACGAAGAGGCAGACGGAGAGGGCGGAGAAGGCGAGGAGCATGCGTCTGCGGGACATTGTGTTGCGTTGGCCGCCTATGCTTTCCGCGTCGGTGTCGTCTTTGGGTTGTGGGCGGTGCCCGGCTGGGGATGGGAGGTTGGTGGCATCTTCGTCGCTGGAGGGTGAAACTGAGCGTAGGACCTGTTGTGATGCTGGCGCAGGATGGGTCGGCTTGGCTTCGGTGATGGGTGCATCTTTCTTCATCTTGACAACCTCAACCTGAACCTCTTGGTTGTAAGATTCCCAGAAAAAGGGCTTGGCTCAGGGAACAGTCCAAGACTTGTTGACAAAGTAGCAAATCTAGATGAATCTCGCAGGGTTCGGTGTCGAATCGCCGGTTCTCATTGCCCCGGGATGATCTGGGGTTGGCATCGGACACACCCGATGAAAATGGCTTGCTTGCCGGGAGTCCATTGCGTCAATTGCAATTGAGCCGTTCACCAGAATCCTCAACGACTCTCCCATTCTGGCTCAAACGTGGGCGATCCACCATGGATATGTCGGCATTGGGACAGCGCGAGGATTGGTGGCCGTCGTCGCCGATCGCACGTCCGACTTTCTTTGTCGGCACGTTTTGTGCCGATACGCATCCGCAATGTTCGCTGTGGTTTGTTTCTGAAAGACGTCCCAGTCTTCCAGGTCCCGGGTGCCCTCCCGGGTTTGCGACGGGCTTATGTGGGCCAGTGTAGGGCCATCACCAGCTCGGACAATACCTTTGTGATGATGTCGATACAAACTAAAATCTGCTGAAAGCGAGGATTACCTTAGGTTGGTGATTGTGACTGACCAGCAAGGAGCGGAAGCCGATGCGGCTTTTATCGGCATGGGTGTCAGAGAGAATGGACCAGGATCAATGGCGCTAGCGAAGCTGTCGATGACGGGATGCTACATCTTTGAATTTAACACTGTCGTCGCATCTACCTTATTTCGACCTGTCATGATGCCTTCAGAACTCTAACTGTGTCTGCTTTGAACGCATCTTTTGCGAGTCATGTCGAAGCTGCTCACGCCCTTGGCCATAGGGCCTCTCCAGCTCTCCAATAGACTAGCACTGGCGCCATTGACAAGGTACCGCGCAGACGATGAATGGACTCCAACTCCAATGATGGAGGGTTAGCACACATTTCCCGTCGTCTTTCAACTCGTTCACTGTCTGACGCTTCACAACAGAGTATTACGCCCAGAGGGGCTGCGTACCGGGGACTCTGCTCATCTCCGAGGGAACCCTTATCTCATACCGCACCGCCGGGCGTCGAAACGTCCCTGGCATCTGGAACGACGCGCACATCGCAGGCTGGAAGAAGGTCACGGAAGCCGTGCATGCCAAGGGCTCCTTCATCTACTGTCAACTCTGGCACCTCGGTCGCGGCGGCAGAGCCGACGTACTAGAATCTCTTGGATTACATCTCGAATCCTCGAGCGCGGTGCCTGTTGCTGAAGGCGCTGCCACCCCTGTAGAAATGAGCGAACGTGACATCATGCAAGTCATCGAGGACTACGCGACAGCCGCGCGCAACGCTCTCAAGGCCGGCTTCGACGGCGTGGAGATCCACGGAGCCAACGGGTACCTTCCAGACCAGTTTCTCCAGGACACCTGCAACAAGCGAACCGACGGTTGGGGCGGCAGCGTCGAGAAGCGCGCGCGATTTCATCTCGAGGTGACGAAAGCTGTCATCAATGCCATCGGCGCCGATAGGACGGCCGTCCGTCTGAGTCCGTACAGCGATTTCCAGGGCATGCTCATGGACGACCCGGACCCGACGTTTGAGCACTTGGTTGAGCAACTGAAGCCTTTAGGGCTCGCTTATCTCCATCTGATCGAAGCGCGGATCAGCGGTAATGATGACACCGATTGCGGCGGACAACGGACGGTGCGCTGGTTGATTGAGCGTTGGCAGAATACGAGCCCAGTCTTGCTTGCTGGCGGGTTGAATGCCAGTTCTGCAAAGACAGCTGTGGACGAAATATATGAAAAGTACGATGTCGTCGTGGTCTTTGGGCGGTACTTCATCTCGAATCCCGATCTCGTCTTCCGCATCAAGGAGGGTATCGAGCTGGACAAGTACGAACGAACGTACTTCTACACCCCAAAGCTGCCAATTGGATACATCGACTATCCTTTCTGCCCCCAGTTCCAGTTGGCGGCCAATAGTTGACGCTGCGATATGGCTTGAGGCAGACACAGCAGGTGTGAATAGAATATGAACTGGGTATCTTTGCCTAGATATGAATAAACGTGAAATATTTGTACAAATTACATTGCTCCATCAAAGAGCTGTCATATCTCGTCCACATTAATCGTACACAATGCAGACGCCCTCCAGTACTGTCTCCGTAGAGGACGTCAGTCCCGGATGACTAGGTTTATGGCGTCTGAGACCGACTTGGGTCTTCATCGTCACTCATTCTTCGCTTACGGTCCCGAGTCGGTGCTGCGAGCCAAGCCTGTTCCTCGTTCGCAGTAGCAGGCTCTTGCTGGAACGATTCTTCAAGCTATCGTCATCACTGAGCCCTGAACCGTCGCTCCTTGCTGATCGAAGTTCGAAGGAGCTGGCTACTCTTCTAAGCTTGTCTTTGAGCATGCGCAACGAGCCTCGCTTTTTGAGGGCAACGGGTTGCGGTGTGGTATCAAGGACAGACAGGGCGTTGCCAAGCGACTGGCTTCGAGCGTGACCTGTTTGATGGGCCGTGGCTATCGGGTCTAATTCCAGTGGCTTTGACGACAGGACAGACACGGACGCTGCGCGACGAACATGTTTTTTGGGATAGAACATGCTCAGACTTGATTTGGATCTTTGAGGCTGAGATGATAATGACGAGACTGTCGTAGTCGTGCCCAAGTTGGCATGGGTTATCGCGGGGTTCGGACGCTGTTGCGCAGCTTGCAAGAAGAGGTTCGGCTGGCTTTTCGTCTGCTGAGTGGCTAACCTCTGATTAGGAACCATAGCTTTCCCTGAAGTATTCCTCGCTATGGGACTTCCGAGTGTAGTCCTGCGGCTGCCAGATGTTGACAGCCCATTCGTGTTCGCTGTCGGCGTTGACTTTGTGCGGGCATGTGTTCGTTGCCGGTCAGGGCCTGTCGAAATCTTGAACTCTCGCTGTGAAGGTAGCGGCTCCTCGCCGATTTCGACCGCGGCAGGTGTGTTGTCGATCTCGAATCGTCTCCCCGGGCGCCGTTTGGCTCGTAGTTTCTTGAGATACTCCTCCGAGGTCACTTCGCGGAAGTTCATTTCGGCTGCGGCTCGTTCGGCTCGTCGTTTTGCTTGCCTGTGAAGGTGGGCAGCCTCTTCTGAAGACAAAGCCATCGTGAGGGTCGGACGGTAGGATGTCGGGTTATAGGATATCTACGTCGGGGTGAGTCGTGGCCTCCGCAGGCTGCGTCCAGGGGGCTGTCGAGGTCGTGCTGCAGGGTATCATGAACTGGTGATGTTTCTTTCTTTGTTGTGTCGAAGCCCTCGGTTTCGAAAAAAGCGATCTTGTTTTTTGCGTCTCCAACCCTCCCGTCCGTGTTAAGCGGCCGTTTTCTGGAGCGTGACAGATATCACCACCATTTACTCGAGGCTGGGCGCATTCCAGAGGTAAGAACTGCGAGTGGATCTGGAGTGGAATGTCTCGCTTCGAGGCACGCAGACCTGGCGGGGGTGGCCGGCACGGTCAGTACGTTGCAGGAGGTGAACGTGAGAAGTAGAGCTTTTCTAAAGCCTGAAACTCGTAATCGGCCGTCTCTGTTCGTCTAGGAATCGTACGAAGAGGGTTCGCTTCTCGCCGCTAGGGAATGCGCAAGCCTCCCGAAAAGGAATTTTACCTGCGACGCCGTGGTGCTGGGGTGTCCTCCCCGTGTGCCTCCGAGCGAGCCGCGCCGATAAGATCCTAAAAAAGAGGTGGTGCCCTGCAGGTCAGAGAAGGAAATTGCAATGTGCCATGTCGACGCAGCGAGGCATGCAAACGTTTGGAGTTCAAACAGGTGCTGAAAAGGTGCTTCGAAGATCTGTCTGCGTGTGTTTGCAGCTGTGTCCAGGGCAACGTCGAGAAAGTCGATTATTGAAGATGGGATGGCCCTGGTAGAAACGAGGAGCTTGGGGCAGGCTGATGATGGTGGGCATTACCTTGGTGGACTGGCACCGCTTTACATGCATAGCTGGGTTTATGGTCATATCGGGTATTGGCATGGTCCTCGGCACAACGATCCCAGCCCATAACTCGATGATTCACCAACACCAACGACATCGCAAACGAGGTGTTCAGGGTGATGAAGGGCGGGGCCACATCTCATCCGCCATAGTCAGTTCTTCGTCATAGTAGGTGCGAAAGGGCAAGGTCAGTTTGACGGCGTGCTACTTCCACCGGCGCTAGACTGATGGCACCAAGTGCGAACAGAAGATATTTGTAATGTTTTTTCCAATTTGTTTGGCATGCCTTTCTATATGTGCCAGTATCTGGTCATTATGCATAAAATTACAGTGTCATTAAATCATTCCTCAGAGACCATGTCTGGGGTTCTTTACAACTTGGCCGCATCCTTGGGGTTCTTGATCTCGACAATCAGCTTGCCCGTGTTGATGCCCTTGTACAGGTCGACAAGGCCCTGCTCCGCCGCCTTGAGACCGCCCTTGACGACCGTCTCCTTGCGCTTAATCTTGCCCTCCTCAAGCCACTGCGCAAGTTCCTTGCGCGCCTGGCCGTAGTCCTGGACAAAGTCGAAGACGATGAAACCCTGCATCTTGATGCGCATCGTGATGATGTTGGCGTAGTTCTTGGGGCCCTGCGGCGTCGCAGAGTTGTACTGGCTGATACCGCCGCACATGACGAAGCGCGAAAACTCCTTGGCACGCGCCAGCGCCATATCAAGAATCTCGCCACCGACGTTGTCAAAGTACACATTGATGAAGTCGGGCGTGGCCTCCTTGAACTTTTGCTTGAACTCGGGGTCCTTGTAGTTGAGCGCGACGTCGAAGCCGAGCTCCTCCGTCAACCACTTGCACTTATCGTCAGAGCCGGCGAGACCGACGACGCGCGCACCCTTGAGCTTGGCAATCTGGCCGGCGACGCTGCCGGTGGCGCCCGCGGCGCCTGAGACGACGACGGTTTCGCCGGGCTTGGGGTCGCCGACGCGGAGCATGCCAAAGTAGGCCGTCAGGGCGGTCATGCCGATGCCGGAGAGGTAGTCGATGGGCTGGGAGACCGCGGGGAAGGAGGAGACGGGCTCGACGCGGCTGTCGTGGACGACGCTGTACTCGGCCCAGCCGCCGAAGGAGGGGAGGACGTCGCCTTCCTTGGCCTTGAAGGACTTGGAAGCGAGGACGCGGCCGACGGTTGCGCCGCGCATGATTTCGCCGATTTGGACTGGGGGAAGGTAGGAGCGGCGGTCTATCATGGGGGAAGGGGGGGGGGTTTGTTAGTATCTATCGAGGAGGGTTGTTGTCTGTGTGATTTTACATACCGTTCAACCAGCCGCGCATGGCGGGGTCAAGGGAGAGATACCAGTTCTCAATGAGGATCTCGCCATCCTTGAGGTCCTCGGCCTTGGGGATAGGCTTCTGCTCAGTCTTGAAGGTCTTGCCGGGGATGATCTCAGCCGTGGGACGCTCGGCCAGCACGACGGAGAGGTTTTGTTGCGACATTTTGGATATGATGTTGTGTGAAGAGGGAAATGGGTATCAAGGAAGACGAATGGTATGTATTTGAGATTATAAGCAAACACCACAATATTCAAGACACAGCTGAACACAAAGCCTTTCCAAGTTGAGAAAGCTTGGGGAGCAGAGGGAGCTTTAGTACTCGGGGACATCCAGCCTATTTCGCAAACTCTAAAATCACCCGTTTGCTTTCGTGTCCCACGTTTCCTCCGCCGCTTTCGCGTATTACACTTACCCCTCCAAGCTTCATGACCGCGGTCAAGCGTGTGCGGTGGACGGTGGTGCGTGAGTCGCTTGCACCGAGTTTTTTGCCTTTGGCTCATGTCATGACTTCATGCCCCGCGCCGGAGCAGGATGACCAAGACGGGACAATGGCCCGCACGAGCTCCGAAGGACTCGACGAGCTGGCGAACGATCGAGGAATGTTCTCCGGCGCACGGAGCACGGGCTAGTAGGGATGAGGCCTGAAGGCTTTTTTTTTCCTTTCCCTTCTCTGTATGTCTGTCCCCTTTCTGAACAGTCAACGCACACACGGTGACACGGTACCATGGGCACACAGATTGTCTAGCAGAGTTTCGGATGGAGAGTGGTGGATGGCTAACAAAAATGGGTGTGTGGGTGTGGCGTGTAGCCGATTTCCCCGGAGTGGCCGCCCGAACAACGAATGGAGTCGGAGGCTCTTTTTCCACCGGTTTTCTTCATATGGGTTAAGGAGGGGCTGGCGGGCTGCGGGCAACGCGCGACCCTAGCTAGACTGCTTCTGCTCCGAGGGGCAGGGACGCGAAGTCGATACTCGATATGAAGGTGGCAGGCCGCAGGCCGCAGAATCCAGGAGTCAAGGAGGATATCCGTACCAAAAGGCGGCGGATTACTGTGTCTGCAATGTCTGCACCTGCGTCCGCGTCTGCCTCTGCGTCTCGTCTCGTTCCCGTGGTGGGGCTGGGTTGAATCGGACATGACGACATGCCGAGGCTTGAGACAATGGCGCCTCAGCTTGTCATCTCTTGCTCAGCTGTCTGCATTGGGCCTATCAGGGCTCTCAGCTTGTCGGAGGCTCTGAAGAGATGGCGGGACATTATCTCCCTTGGAGCCTTGGATGTCGGAGGATTCGAGTAGCCACTGACAGTCCGGCACGCCGCACCAGGCAGGCGTTGTCATCAGCCCCTCGCGCAATCGCTCGGTAGTGCAACTGACAGCTCTCAGGGTCCCCCGGAAGCGAAGCTGCAATACTTGCGATTGCGGCCGATGCGACCATGCGGGAACGGGTACGTCGGGAACGGAGATGTGCTGGGGTGCTGGCCGTTGACCGTTTCATTGATGATCCCAAAAGGAGGGTCGCGGGGTGGGTTGAGTGTTCGAGAAGCGGGTTTGGGGCGGGCCAAGGATGTGCAATGCCGTCCAGGCTTAGAAATGCTATAACTCAAAGATCCAGAGATAATCGGGAATGTCATCCACCTCGTGTCGGGCTGTCGGGGTTGAACCCTCGTTCCTGGATTCTCGCAGCTATCTGTATTCGTAATACTCCGTACGTGCAGATACTGGCATGGCTGATGAGCTGTCTGTTTGGCCGGCACCGGATGCGCGACTAATCATCGCCAATCGCAAAGGGCAGTGCGAGTGCGAGATGGATGGGACACGGTGAGGTTGGGCGAACCTCGATTGGACGCCGTCGCCATCGTCCAAGGAGGCTTTGAAATGGAGTGGGTGAGCCGAGGCAATTCGTGAGGAACGGTTTCTTTCTTGCCCTTTGCTTTTTTTGGCTTCACCGACGGTCGAAGCTCCCGATTCGGCCCCGTCCGGACCTGCAGTTCGGCCGGCCGGCGAACATTCCTTCCATGCATTTCCAGATCGGCCAATCATGCTGATGTGTCAGCGCCCCACCTGTACCTCGGGACCCACCATTTTTCTGACCGAAGTTTACCGAAGAGGACCCACCATTGCAACCTTGATGGCTCGGTCATCCTCGGTGAGTGTCGGTCAGGCATGATACTCAGGTGATTCTCGTTGTTGTTGCGATCAGCCACCAAGGCGGAGTGAATTAATGATCAACATGAATGAACATTCTCTGAGTACTGATATTCTTCGTAGCTTCGGTTTCAAGTGGTGGCTTGCGCAAGGAAGTCCGCAAGGAAGTTGGAGTTTCAATAAAAGATCTGTTCAATTGACCACCTACTGATTGTATTACGAAAAACTCTATTCCCCTGGTCTGCACAACTGGTTACCAACGTCCCAATCGAATACTCTTCTGACATACTTCTCTAGATTACACACAAAGTCACACTCTGCTCTTTGAAGCCCTGTGAGAGAGAAACCAGATCGTTCTCGTCAATACCGGGCCAATCACTCACCAAACTCTGCTTCTCTTCAACGGTGTCAAGTTGATCCAGAAGCGGGTTTGTGCAGCTCAAACAGATCTCGCGTAGGTTTTTCATCCGTGTCGCTTTCGACTCGAGTAGCTTTGCTAAGCAAGGTGTGAGGTATTTATTCGCCCCCGAGATTTTCAGCTTTTCGATGGTGGGAGGCAACATGTTCAGCAACAGGTGGCCATTGTGATCGGGGATCATGCACTGCGGGGGTTCAAGTATAACATGTTGGCTTAGATGAACATTTTCAAGGTTCTTGAAATGCCGAAGCGATCTGATCACAATCCCTCTTACCCTCTTCTCCTGGATAAACTCATTACGATTACAGCAGTATACATTTGTCGGTGCGTATTGACCCTCCCATCCAAACCATGGCCCGATTTCCAAGCATCTCAAAGTGTTAGGTATCTGTCTGCTAAGCAAGTCGACGATCTCACGAGGGGTAATTTCGGGGATGAGGTTGCAGTTGTTCCAACTGAGCTCTCGGATGATACTACCGTTGGGAGACTCGCCCCGACTGAAGATGAAGACCTCCAGCAATCTGTAGTGCTCGAGCAGGAGGTGGAAGCTAGTTTTGGAGATGAATCTACAGTTCGTCAGCTTAAGATATCTGAGACGAGCCAAGGCTGGGTAACCGTGACAGGGCACACGGTCCCCATAGAACTGGAGTCTCGTGATGCTGTGAATATGAAGGCAAGTGAGATTGGGAAGCTTGGCAATCAGTTGGGTACCGCCCCAGGTGAGAGCGAGGTCGACTGATATCTCTCGGCCTCTTGGGGAGCGAGCACAGAGAATCCGGAGACTTCTGATCGAATTGTAGACTCCCCAGCCTAGGAATCGAGGGACGGGAGTTTGGCGTCTATTAGACCAGTAGGGCCCGTCGACGATGATGTCCAGCTTCTCGAGATTGTTCAACGAAGCCAGTGCTCTCGGAATCGAGGGGTGTAAGTCTTTGGGGCAGTCACAGTGGCGTTGCCCTGCATGAAGCCTGGTACAGTGAAGAGACAGCTTGGCTTCAACGTATCGAATGTCGGCCAAGGAGCCACCCCTGCTGATTAACTGGTTTGTTTGCTGACGAACCGCGGCATCGTACTTGGTGGGATGCGAGTGCTTGATGGAGTATAAGTTGAAGGTGTGTCGCAAGTGTCGCGTGGCCAGGTATCGAAACGCCTTGCATGTCAAGCTGAAGTTTTCGAGGGCATCACGCCCGGCAGCCGTGGGCTCGTAGTCGTGATCGCAGTACTGACAAGACTGGCATAGAGCGTAGATTATTTGATCCACGATTTCTTTTGGCAGGCTGGAGAGAGCTGGATGAGTACTTTTCGAAAGCTTCGGTAGTGACAGAGTCTGGGCCCCTTTGGCTATTGCGTTGCAGGCACAGAGCCTGTGCGTCGTGTGAGAGTTCGCCCATCTTCATTAAATTTGACTGGTTGTGATGATTCTCTGTATCAGGAATTCCAAGGTGTTGTGGGATGTGTGAAAGAGAACGCTGGTGGTTACCTACAGTATGATCAAGTATAAAATGCTTTTCTTGGTTCGATGGGAGGTGCTGCGGAGTAAGATCATGGCAGAAGGTCGGCATCGTATCATGAATCAGGAAGTCAGCCTACCTTTATGGACAAACAAAAGCGCCACAGCTGTCTCCGAACCAAGTGGCGAGACTCAATACTCGAGATCATGTTTTTTCGGGCATCTACAAGGTAAAAATGGCTTGAAGGCTCATACAAGCATACCTACAGGGAGATGCTTACCGCAAATTCTACTCCATCAAAAACTCCATGGGAATACTCGCAACATGTACCTGAGCTTGCCGCCGTGGGCAATGAACCCCCTTTCGCCGTTTAATACCTTTACTACCATAGCTGCCGATACATTGGATCATCGAAGCAAGAGATCCGCGGCGTCGAAAGACCGATCCCTCTTGGATCGAACAAGACAAGGTCAAAGACCTTCCCATTGGTATCGTTTCCATTAATAGTTGATACTAGTTGGTCATTTGACGAGCCTCTGAGGAAGCTTACTCCCGAGACACCAGGGCCACCTGCATTGTGGGTGAGCCCGAGTTCAGCTACAAGATATGCGAGATGGAGTACCTGGATTAAAATAGACTTCGCCGCCGTATCGAGGGTCAAGAACCGAGACGTTGGCTGGCTGCTTTGTCATCGCGATGGCCACCTCGTAATCTCGCCATTGCTCTTCTGGAGCCGTCCAGTCCATTGGGAGAAGGATTTTCGCGCATTGGAATCTCTCGAAACAGGGCACGTAGGCCAAGTCTCGTGTTGGCTCAAGGGCATCCCAATCGAATCCGTTAATGTTGGAATATTGACGGCAGAAAAGGGTGGATTTGGAAGGTGGTCTGGGCCGTTGCAAACGGCCCTTCCACCTACTTACACCCAACGGAGGAATCGTGGGCTACGCCCACCAACTTCCTCCTTACACAGATATACGTAGTTCAATACCAAGATTATTGAGCTTTGTACCGGCCCACAGGCCCCTGCTGACGTGTATACCAACAGTTAATGCTGGAGCCTTGATGAGGAATTTGGGGAGGCCTTGAGGTCGTCGACATTGGCAGAGATCCACCCAGCAAGCCGCGCTCATTCAGAAACACGGCGCTGCCAAACACGGCGACAACAGCTGTTGCCCATTTTCGCCCGATATTTGACGGACCTTTCCGCAAACTAGGCGCTGATTTGAGCCCGTTCTTGCCACTCATTGCATTTCAACAATTTTGTTCTTCTTCGACATGGACAAAACAAACATGAAGATTGAGATGCGCAGCCACACCAAGCGGATGTTGAATTCCTTCCGCATTTGCAGATTGGCAATTCCAAGGCACTATCATCTCGCAGGGGACTTTTGGCAGGATCCGTATCAGTGACGCGGGCTGACATCGGGTTTATTGCAGGGATGTTTGCCCCACTGGTCCCAGCTAGGCAACTGCCCTGTGTGACACAGTAGTTTGCCGCGCAATATTCTATGTTACCTTTGTTTCTCCTTTATATTTCTCTTTCTACTTATATCATCACTGCTATTACTGCTATGGTTACTTTTGTTATCAGTACTACTACTCTAACTGTTGCTATCACTGTTGACATTACTGCTGATGCTAGTGCTTCTATAATTGTTGATACTATCGCTACTACTGCTGTCCTTACTTTCTAGCATCTATTATCACAAAGCGAGGTAGCAAGTGGAAGACATATATAATAGAAAGTGGCTTGATTCCTCTAAGTGGAAGATCCGTATGAGGGTCATATCTATACCGTACAAGACGGGTAAGCGGCTTGCGGAAAGCGGTATCGTACGGCAGTAACCAGCAGCGCCACGTGTGGCGCTGCGACATCTATGTATTCCTCTTAGAGTACGTAAGCTTTCGAGAGGTTAATGCTGTAGCGGTGGTCTGAGATGATGGCTCGTTGTGTGCTGGTAGGCATTCTATTTGTTACCTACCTGTTAGGGGACTTAGGATAAAAGCGAGTGTGCCTTATCGAGTTATTCATCTTTGTAAATTCCAGTTCGTAAAGATTAAAAGCTTTAGTAATGCGTAAGGTAGGTATGAAGTATGTATAGGCGCTATAGAGCAGCGTAAATGTACAATTCCGCGCCTTGCGAAGCTCAACTCCAGGCCTTAGGGAAGTAGAGTACTTGCAGCCCGGCTGCGCTGCGACCTAACATACCGCTGTCTAGACGTTGGTCTCCTAGTCATCTGCTACCATCCTCGTCTTCAATTTATCTAAAGCCGTCCCCAAGTCTGCATATATGACTTGGTCTGAACGTGGTTCTTGGTTTACTGGCACTGCTGGCTGAGCAAATGTTTCCATCCCCATACCCCTTGAGCGGTAGAAGACTACATGTCAGAAGTTAAACAAAACCATCCGGGTGTTAAATTCCTTGAACCCCTATAGCTCATCCCCGAGATTTGGCTACGTCGTGCCTCAAGACCCAGCCGGTTGCTTAGTTAACACGTGACCGCCATCGTCTCGACTACACCCAATTGGGCTGATTCACCTACAATTTTCCATCCACGTCTATGAGGAAGCTCATTTCCTCATCACCTTCAGTTCCCTTGCCACCCTCAACACCCGTAAACCTTCATTCATCGACCACACGGCTCGTGGGTCAGTATTTAGACTCTCTCATGGTCGTTTTTTAGCACTCGCGCTGCCCACCTTCCACTTCCCTCATTCCTCTTTTCCACCTAGACCTTTCTCAACCAGGCTCTCTGTGCTTTACCATATTTATGTTATCCAGCTGTTTGAAAATGGTTTGGGGTTTCCCTAACTTCCATTTCGGCCATCTTGTTCGAAATTCCCTCACGCTATCCACTTAGGTACATTAGTTGTTACCGACACTATAGCAGGCCTTAGATATAGCTGGTATGATGCATTGATTCCGCAGTTCACCCTCCTTCATTGAGTTACCAAATTATCTACTGACCCATACTAGCCTTCGTAAGATCCTCGCGACGAGAAAACCCACGAAGATGCCTGAAACTCAAATTCGAGACGTCCAATTTATCGATGGACTCCCATACGAGATCTTGAACGAGATTGGCGTTCAACTTCCCGCAAAGGATGCCCTATCGCTCATTCGGTGCTCCCGTAGATGTGCAGCGATTGTCGGATGGAGTCTTTACCACCAAGACTCGCTCAATGGACACTGGGCCATATGCTGGGGCGCTAGATCCGGCCAACTGAGTGCCGTGAAAATGGCTGTCGCCCACGGAGCAGGTCCCCTTAGTCCAGTCATTGATCCTGGCTTTGACTTTGGAGAAACTCTCACCAGAGAGACTGCCTTAAGCATTGCGATCGAGAACAACAAGATCGATGTTGTACAATACCTCCTTCAGGGCTGCCATGCAGTGGACGGCTTGTGGGCGCAGAAAAGCTATCTTCTTCACTCGGTCAAGTGTCCCAAGCTCATGGAGGTCCTGCTCACTGGGGGGTTTTCCAGCGTCGTCAATACTTTGGGAACGGCAGGTTGGGACGATGACGTGACCCCGCTGGTTGCGGCTATTGAAGGAAATCACCCTGAATGCGTAATTCGCACACTGTTGAAGTTTGGGGCTAAGCCCAACTCGCAGAACGTATCTTCTATGCGCCCCCATATGTCTGCTTTCCACATATGCCTGAAGAGCGACCGACCTTCAGTGGCAAACATACTGATCGACCACAACGCCGATGTCAACGAGGCAGAGGGACCGGAGCTCTGGTCGAATACTCCTCTAGGTGCCGTACTACGACAGTGTCAACCAGGAGTGCCTTGCAACGATGAACTAGTTGCCTCACTTTTACGCCATGGAGCCGATCCGAATTCTTCCACACGAGGAGCCGGCGCTGGACCAAGGCCCATCATACTTGCTACCTCCCCGGACGTCCTACCTAAGACATTCGAGCGTCTTATCGCCAAAGGTGCTCGCGTGAATAACGGGGTGAAAGTCCAACTGGAGGACGTTCTTCTGTCGACGAAGAGCGACAGGATGTGGTGGGACTCTACGCCTCAGCGGCAGATTGTGCGGAATACTGATAAGAAGCTTCAAGTGCTTCGTCAACTCGGTAACAGAACGATACCAGAAGAGACTATTTAGTTCAGTTTAGATTCATGTCACGACAAGCTGTAGGACTTTCACTAATTAAGTCCATGTACTTAAGGTCGTAGTTAAGATACTTAGTGATATTACCTAGCCGAGAGGCTGGAAATCTAAGGTCAAGTTCATAAATATCCTGCCTGAGGATACAAATGTACTTATGAGAGATCCTCCGGGGCATAACAGCCCGCTGCTGCCCAGCAGCCCGAAATCCTGCATCTGCCATCCGAGACTAAATAGTGAGTTATCTCTACTGCCTTGTTAGAAGCCCCACGTCTCCTTTCTAGGTGGAAGTTTCATAACGCTTCCCGCCTCTCTGCTCTTCCTGTTCGATCTTCATTCCTCTCTTGTGACCAATGTATTCGCACTGGATGTGATGAGAGACAGTCTCATGTGCTGATGACGTAGCCCCCTATTCTACCCAAAGCCTCGACCTTTTTCCTTACGGGTACCGATTCAGATCTGTCAGGGTGGGATGCTCAGGACACGGAAATGACTGTTAGATGAAGTGAGGCAAGGCTGAGAGTGAAAGGTAATAGGTCGACGAGTACCTGAAGTTTGGAGCCATCAGGGTTTCTCTACCTTCTAGTAGTTTTTGGGAAAGTAAAACTTTGATTTCAACTCCAAAAGATTTTGTGTTCCTGATTTTGAGCTGCAGCCGCTGCAATCCTCGCAACTCCGAGACGCTGCACTTACTTAGGTCTGTAAATTGTTCAAGCGCTGCCCACGAAGAAATGTTGTGTAGGCTACATATCCCTTCTTGTCTCTCTCTATCATTCTTCATGTTAGACCTCCTTGCCCACCGTTAAGTCTCTTGGTGCACCTACATAAGACTTTCTCGCCTACCTTACTTACTTACGATAAACAAATTACATACAAATTTTGGCACGCAATAGTTCTCGGCACGTACTCATCTCCGCAATCTTCCATATCAATATCTGAGACATCAAAATTCATTTGAGGATCCGAAAAGATGAAACTCAATATACAAAACGTTCTGCTCTCTCTTCTCGTCTTCGGAAGCGTCACCACGGCGAAAGATCCCAAGACGCACCCCGGCTGGAAGATTCCAGACGAGAACGAAGTCCTCCCCATTCACGAGCTTCCCGACTGCTACCAAGAGTGCTTCGGATGGAATCACAACAAGATTATAGGCGTCGGCGACGTTTTCAAAATGTCTCGCAGGCAGTGGTGCGACGATGATTGGGGTACGGTCGGAACATGGTGGACATATCACATGAACTTCTGCACTGCAGACAGGTGTACTGATGAGAAGGATGGGATCAAGGGATTCGCGTGGAACTACAAGTTGTGCGGTTTTCTGACGAGAGGCGAAGTTGATGAAAAAGATGACTGAAAGAAGTTGCTCCCTGGAATGATCAAAAGACGACATCGAGTGGATATACATCAAAGGCCTAAGAACGTCTAAAACAACGCCACTGCGGCACGATCAACAATACATTCCTTTAATCCAGCTCCAGGAGTCTCATGAGGATTGAGAACCGCGTATGTCAATCACGGGACATCCTCCGGCAAGGGGTTTACCGTGCATTCATGTCAAAGAGCACGCTTCGACTAGAGTCTACCTTACATAACACGGGTGGAGTTACGATTGTATGGCACTACTGATATCTTGACAACTGTGGCCTCGTTCGTTGACGATACATCTTCCCTTTGCCTGAATGCAGAATAGACTTAATCAATAATCAATAAACAACGTTGCAAGTTAATGACCTTTGTCCGCTTCTTCCAGTATCTGCAGTGGAGGAACGTTTTAAGATAAGGCAGCACTTTGACACGTTCAATCAAGTACCTTGTATTTCGTCGATAGACATAGTTATCTTATTTGAAAAAGGTTTGCCGCCAACTTTCCTTGTCTTTTTCCTAGAGGCAACCTAGTCATAGACCGCGAAATATGGGTTATTGAGGGCCTCTCGTTTACCCTGACCTGTGCTTCCTCGCGAGATTATAAGCCTCACACGGCATGTCCGTTCACAAAGTGCAGGTTTTACAGGCACTGAGAGTACCACTGGTTCGAGGCTTGGCACGTGGACCCAGATTGGCAGCAAGTCGGTCCGGTAAAGCCGGAGCCTCCGCATTGAGTCCACTTTGCAGCACACTACATGTAGCGAAGAGAAGATTCATTAGTCAATGAAGTCCTAGAGTGAAGAATTGAGGTCTCACAGTTCCATCGCCGCCGCTGCTGGGCGGAGGGCTAGTCGTGGGCGGGCTGGTGCCGCCACCACCAGCATCAGAAGCGCCAACGGTAATTGTGGAAGATCCGCTGCTAAAGTATCCTTCCGTGGCAACAATCATGTAGTCGTGAGTACCGAGGTTGAGGCCCACCTGAGCCCAGGCTTTGAAGTGGTTACCGGTCGTGACGGTTCCGCCGACGCGTTTGGTCTGGCGGACGGACCAGTACTGCTGAAAGGTCTTTGTGCCATCGATGGAGGGGGCGTTGGTTCGCGTGCTGACGTAGATGTCGTAGGTACCGCCATCACTGGTAACAGTGCCCTTCTTGGTGGCGCCGCTGGACGGGTTGTAGGTGCCGAAGGACTCGACGATATAATACTGTGCGAGAAGGTTAGGGGATTTTCCGTACATGTAAGGTGAGAAGGCACGAAGCGAACCTCGATCAGGGGATTCCTAGTCCAGCCATAGATGGCGAGGTAGCTGTTACCGTTAGGGTTATAGCTGCCAGAGTACGTGATCGTCCTAGAAGGGCGCTGTCAGAGGAGTAATCAAAACTTTTCTATACGTAGGGCAATCATACCTCGGACCACCGGGGTTCCAGCCTTTCCCTCCGACAAAGTTACCACCGGTTTTCCAGACAACGCTGTACTGGCCACCAGCACCATTTGTGTAAGTGACTTGAGATCCACCGTCAGTCCACCATGAATAGTAGTAGCCGTTGTTTGTTCCAGTGGACGAAGGAGTTGACTGGCGCTTCATCAGCTCTCCAGGAGCAGAGAGAACACCAGCCACGGAGGCGAGAGCCAGGAGAAGCGAGTTGAGAGTAACCATGGTGATCTGATTGCTGATGTATTGTCTCTCATCTCCGTTGTTTACTGTCTAGGCAAAGGGAAAGTCTGTAGCTTTATATCTGCAGGATGTTGCGCTCAGTCTCATCCTCGCTCTACCAACGCAACTGAAGAACGCCGAATGTAACACAAACTTCTCTTTCAGAGATTGGTACTAGTACCACCGCGCCATCAAGCTAAAATGCTGTGCCTCTGACAACCAATCGTACCTCGTCCTTGGGTTTAGGACGGGTGTAATGTCACTTCGTCCATCTCAAATTACCCAAGACTTCATCCGGAACCAAGTCCTTGGCATCGGTTCAACGTTCATCTAATCGGCTTGGTTTAACACCTTCAACTTCTCGATGCTTGTCCCAAGATCTTGACACTTGATCTGTATGCTTAAAATTGAGGCATGCATATTTCTCAACGCTTCACATCTCTGGGATATGATACAGTTTCTTGTGAGTTATAGATTTGGGGTGATGAATGTTCGGAATCCCAGCATCCAAAATGTACGTACCGAATTTCCATACATCAAATGCTGCGGTGTCGTACCTACTAGTGTCTCTAAGGGGTTGAAAAAGGAAGTCGGAATATCTCAGCCGTGTCTGAATGATAACATTGTTAAGGTCTTTAGGGCGGCTGAGTTGATTAATATGGGAACATCGATTTATCCGGCGGCAAAAGAATGAGAGAGGGCGTCTGGTCGACATTTGCCGGCGAGCCTCCCGATCTGTAGGGGGGGTGAAAATAGCCGGGCGGAGGCCAGGCGACGTGGAGTAGCACTGATATAGCTTCAGTTTCTCAAGTCTGGGCCATTAAGAAGTCTTGATTCCGAAAATCAAGCACCCTTGACGATGATATTACTGGGCATGTACTACGGAGCATTGGTGTCAGCTTCCGCTTCTGTTTTCGGCTAGCGATGTGTTGGGGTTTGAGGAAGTCTTGCGTTTCGTCAGGTTGTCCGGTTGTCCGGCAGCATCAAGAGAAACTCGGTAGGTCTCGATAAAGACTGAAAACTTGAACACCTCGGCCCATTATTATCCCCTTTGCTACTAAGCAGGTCTTAATTAGAGGCCGGTCTTACGGGCCCGAGACCGTGCGAGGCCGAAGTGGATCTTCGGCGATTATCCCGGTAGAACCGGGGCTACACTCCGCTCCGGGGAAACCCCGAAGACAAAGGCTTTCTGATGATGACCACTCCTATGTTAGGCCCACCTTCCCTCCCGGGCAAATGCTACGAAGTGATATTTCGAAGCTTCAAAGTCGCGTGAAAGTCTTCTCTTTGCTTGTATCGGCATACCTATTGTCAATTTTACATTGAACTTCACAAAAAAGGTCAACTCACGCGCCCTTCTTCTCTAGGAAAGAGGTCCCGCTCAGTTTCTTGACCAATTTGGAATGATCGATTGAATCAACTGGAGGCATATCAACAGACGTCAGCACTGTCCATGGGTAAGACCCCGAGTTAGGTACCTTGAATGATAGATACATCCCATGGTGCGATCTACCACTTGGACCATCCGGTCAAGGTGTGCCCACCCATTCCATGATGATTCAAATTGACCAAATGCCCGAAGGCGCCCACCCACTCCACATCGCCACAACGATATGCCATTTGTCTTTTCAGGCCGGCTTCTCCACGTGACCCAAGCCGGTCTAATGGGTCTGGTTGTGGGTCTGGTTGGATGCTCGTGCCTCGTTAGGTTGGAGATCAATAATTTAGCCTCTCCACAGTGCCTTTGCCGAGGGGTTGCTTTCACAAATGGTACACGGCCGGAAAGTGAGTTCCGAGCCTGGCAAGAACCATGCATCCTTCCTCTAACATTCAACAGTGTGCTCAATCTTTTACTCTACTGAAAGGCTCGGATGTCGCGTGCTGGATTGACTGTTCATTAGCGTGTTTCTTCTGGTACCTAGTAATAGTTTGGCTCTTAAGCAGTAGCACTACCCCGTTAATCCTTTTCTCGCGTCCTCACCTTACTACAACTTCTTAATTTGAGGAATGGAGTGTATCACAATACTTTTCCGTGATCAAATCATAGAAGTTCATCTATCCGTAGCAAACAGCTTTAGGCTCTCAACCATGAAGGCACTCTGTAAATGGTCCTAGATCATATCTCCCAGAATTCCAAATACCTCGATGTTTCCTTGTGTGACGTTGTAGAGGAAACGCCCTTACATGTCGTTATTTCGGGTGTTTGCCGGAGATTTTGACCCCTTGGTGAAACGATGCTTTATTCGTGCAGAGGAGGACTGTTCAGACTCTCCAGCGTCGGCCTCAAAAGGTGCGAAACGGCGGAAATGCCCATCTTCAATGAGATACTTCCGACATTACGTCAACGTTCGGGCTTTCGTAGAGGCCTTTTCCGTCAAGAATATCATACTGCGGAATGTTGCAGCGTATCCCAACTGTTTACTCATCCAAGAGAATGGTCAGCGGCCATAAAACCGAAGCATTCGGGATGACAGAAGTGCTGACTACCCTGTTAACGGCAATAGATCCAGCCCGCGGCTCGGGTTCGCTACGGAAACGCTTGCCTCATTGCGCGAAGAGAGTAAAAAGGGCGCGGCGCTAGGCAGGCCTGACTCGACGAGCTGGGCAATAGACTGTCGCACAATTGGTGGGGGCGCTCGCAATTGCTCCATTTCCCCAGATGAATCCTAGTCTACTACCCCGCGAATCCAGATTTCCCCCAAACTTCCCCGTGCTTCAGACCCGCTAGAGACCCAACGAATACGACGAACTAGAGTCAAGAAAGTGTTACTGACCTATAGAAACGAGGAGCTATGTCAGACGGCTGGAGTTTCCTTGGATGTTATCGAGATGAGGGCTCGGAGAGTGTTCACTTTGTCAGATAAGGAACAACCCCGCAGCAGCATCGCCATAGGACGATTTAGACCTGCCGGAAACCATCCCATACGCTAGTCCGAAGCGTCGTATCCTTGCCTTTGATACTCTGGAACTTGGGACTTTGCGTTCATCTGGTACATTTGCCCAAGCAAATGGTGAAGTTGCAAAGTCTATAAAGCTCGGCCATCCCACCGGCCCCGAGTTCGTAAACATGAGTAATATCTTAGAGGACTCGTTTCTAATCTCAATCTTCATGCTTTGACAAGATCTTTATATTCAAAACCCCTCTTCTAGCCAGAAATCTGCCGATCTACGGTCCTCTTTATCATGGGCCTACCAGATGATTTCCACAAACAAGGCGTCCAGCACGTCGAGCAGAACAATGCAGTCAGCGATGCCATCAAAGCCGTAGAGAATCGTGACCTAGAGCGGATCGAAGAAACCAAACCAGGTACCTTTGTCTGGCTCTGCGTTGCAGCAAATGCGATTGGCGGCATGCTCTTCGGTTACGACACAGGTGTCATATCCGGTGTCCTTGTTGTCATCGGCAAAGACCTCGATAATAAAGAGCTCACTCACTCAGAAAAGGAGTTGATCACGGCAATCACCGCAGCTGGGGCCTTGATTGGTGCTGTCATTGCTGGCATAACTGCTGACAAGTACGGCAGGAAGCCTGATATTTGGTTCGCCTCTGTCGTCTTTACTATTGGAGCTCTGCTTCAGGCCACCTCTTTCACGATTGCGCAAATGACTGTTGGTCGACTTGTGATAGGATTTGGTGTCGGCTCTGCGACTATGGTCGTCTCCATATCGCTATGCTTTTCTCCCAGTGGACTCAGACTTGACCGGAGATCATATGCTAACATGAATTGTGATCTCAGATCGTACCATTATATATCGCGGAGCTTTCGCCTGCCAGGTTCCGAGGCCGAATGATCTCAATCCACATGATCTTCCTCGGTGCCGGATCCGTGCTCGCGTACGCCTTCGCCGCAGCCTTCAACACAACAGCGCATGGCTGGAGATACATGGTTGGGCTTGGTGGTGTTCCGTCGGTGATACTTGGTATCCCCCAACCTCCACGAAACATCTCTCCAGCTTGGCACGGGCTGTTAGTGCCATGCTAAGGAGGGGCCCCAGTCCCCGCGGTTTGCCGCTGCTCGCTGGGGTGGATTAGCTATACGCTAATCAAACCCTTAACAACGCACATTTTCCCCTCGAATCGAGTCGACGATTATTCAACCTAACGAGCCGCCGTCGACTCGAATTCGCCTCTGCAGGCTAGACGAAGTCTTCCTGGTAGGGCAGGGAGCAGAGGTTCCATCTAGCCTCCCGAAGGAGACGGGCGACTTTCTTTCCCGGCGCAAGTGGCGCTTCCGGGCCCAAAAGTGAACATCACCGACCGACTTTTCGACTTCGCTCTCTCAGCACCTTTGCCCCTTAAACGATCGAAGACTCCCTCGAAGAGACGAAACGACCATTAGGTAGCGATGTATAGCCACAGCTATATACAGCTATACTCGTTACAGAACCTAACAGCAAGCCCTACAACCTAATCTTACGAGGTTTTCCCCTTATGGTTTCCCTTATGGCGGTATTACCTATTACGATATACTCCGGACGGTTACTAGAACGTTGTGTAAACCAGAAGCCTACGGGCTCTGGGTTGAAGGATAGGAGATACTGGCGGAATTGCGTTCTAGGGACGACCATAGCACTGTCTCGGGCAAGCCAGCGGCACCCAGAGACAGGTTAAACACATAGTTGCCTTTGGGCACGATTTGGAGGACGAGCTGGACTGTATCTAGTGATAGCTATAGGCCTACGGCCCTCCACGCCATATACCCTTCGGGAGGTCTGCCGCAAGGGCGGCTGCGCCCTTGCCGCTACGGCGTTAAAATACAACAACAACAACAACAACAAGAATCGGCCGGCGAAGAATCCTGCTCTGGACGATGTGGGGCATGCCTGTCTGCCTCGCAATCGCCGCCATTGCGTTTCACTGGATCCCCCTGGACAACAACACTTTGGAGCTGACCACAAAAGAGGTGGGCTGGTCCGCAAACCTGGTTCTTGTTGCGATGATCATGTTCGTGGCGTTCTATGCTGCCGGCCTATGCTGTGTCCCATGGCAAGCGAACGAGTTTCTCCCAATGGAAGTCCGAGCTATGAGCACCATGATGATCAACATCTTCAACTGGGGTCCCAACATTATCGTCTCTTCGACATTCTTGTCAATGATGCGGGGTATGACGCCTTCAGGCACATTTGATCTATACGCTGGGTTGTCGTTCTTGGGCTGGGTGTTTGATCCTTTGCTTCCCGGAAGCGGCAAATATGACATTGGAGGAGATCAGAGTGGTTTTCGAGCACGGATTTGGCGTAAGATATGCCGAGGAGTGGCGAAAGCAGAAAAAGCTCGACGTTCAAGCCCGGAAGCAAGAGAACACTGTGTGAAATATGATCTGAGACTTCTGTTATGTTTATGAAGATAATGTATTCAGGCCTAGAGAATAAAACTGAGATCGAGGCTTGGAAAAGTTAATTTTCACAGAGTTGGAAAAGTGATGTTCAAACTGAGTTAGATTTGGCCAAAAGTATTCTTCCACGCAAGAAAGCCTCCTCAATTCTGAGTAAAGTAGCCATGCTTTTTGCCTGGGTCAGATAAGTGTGACACTAGCGTGTTAATACATGCCTCTCCAGGTCTTAACGTATGATTCTTCGTAGAAGGTATCATAGTACGTGCCCAAACGTCTATAGGTAGTGTTTCTCTGCGAACCATTGCCACTCGCTGCTAGGATCAGGCTAAAGTCAACGATAAAATCTTCGTTGTGACGGTAGCTTTGATCTGGTTCGATCAGGTCCAAATGAGCAAGAGATGCTCTGTGAGTTGAAACATGCTTGCTCTCTACTTTGTCCGGAAATAACTTGATTCCCGTCTCCCGTCTCGCCTGTTGATGATCTTTAATCTTATACAGATCTCCTTGTCGCCCGCGCTCACTCCACTCATCTACCTCGGTCTGAGATAACGAGCAAAGCAAACATGAGAGAGTGAATGATGCTGAGACTATGCGTCCAAATTGTCCGTCACTTTTCCAGTCAGCCGTCGTAAATGCTGCAGGTCGAAAAGGGACACAACGCCCAACCGCTTGGGCACTGTATAGGATCTTCCTCGGTTTCACTGTGAGCTGGTACTCGCTCAATGGCCAACATATCCTGCACGGTCCTCCAATTGAAGCCCACGAGAAAGCAATAGGTGCTCGATGGCCGTTGGGGGGGCCGACAGCTTCCGTATCGTACGCAAGAGGCTCTTTGATGCACCACAGCAGATCGTCTATCTGCCACTTTTCCCAGATGCCAGCATAGTATGCGCACTTCATGTCTGGATTTGCTGCAATGAGCCTCGCTAGACCAGATATGGCTGGGAGTCTATCGGACTCGAAGGAGAGTTCCGCAGCACAGTACTCCCTGATGAGCCCTCGCCAGCCCATATATCTGAGCGATACTCCTTTCGCTGTTATACCGGAGTACTTCAATCGCCAGGAGAATACCTTTTTCGAGTTCGTAGGTTCAGGGTCGCGAAAATGAGGCCCCCAGCCTAATGTGTCCGCCCACATCTCGGATCTCTCCTTTTCTCGGCAGTCCCAGAAAAGGCCAGCCTTTCCAAGATATAGTGTTCGAGGAGAGAGACCGCGTTCTTGAATGACTCATCCTCTTTTGTTAAGTGGCTCGTTTCTCAGGGAGATAATGTAGTCTAGGTCTCCCGCGTGATGTAACAAATGTTTGAAGTCCCAAGCATGATAATTTGGTGGCCTTATGACAGCCATAGCAAGATAGTGGTTGTTTGGCCATCCGGAATTACCAAGAGCGTCTCGAAGACAGCAATTCTTGAACATGAGGGGATTTCGAAATCTGAAAAAGCCATCGTTGCTCGATATACTTCCCAGAGCGGCAATGTTTAGGTGACAGTGCTCATAAACTTGGCCCATCAAGTCTGACTCAACTTCCCAGTCGCATAAAGAATCTTGAATAATGCACAAGGCGTCAATCCAGATGTATCGGTATCCGAGTGATCGTGTAAGACAGATAGCGTCTCGCCATGTCTTTGGTAACTCTTGAATTGAAAAGTGATCACATAACCGAGCGTAGTTTTGCGTCGTCAACTTGACGAACTCAGCTCCGCCCCAGGCATGACTAAACGTGACATAATCCAGATGAATTGGAGACTGGTGATCTCTTGGTTGCTGATCGGCCGTTCGAACTTTTCCGTGGGGGCGCTGCAAACGTGGACGAACTCTGTGCCAGAACTCACGTCGACAAGCCGAGTTGGTCGAGAGCCTGCATTCTTGTAGCTGCTTGAGGGTGCTCCACAAGCTACATGCTCTGTGGCACAGCTTTCAATCCATGATTTAGCGAGCTTGAGGCTAGTAGGAGAACCTGTCCATACGCTGAAGGCCTCTTTCGCTGGAATATGTCCATCCTGTTGTTCAGAAGATGTCTTCGACACAGCCTGTACGCCCAAGTTAAGATCAAGCACTGCGAACCCTGAGGAAAGTGCGTATTCTGTGCCAGCCTCTACAAGAGATAGGAGAAACTTTTGGCCTGTCAGTTCTGAAGTAAAACTTCTCGATTCGACCAGTATACTGAGTGATCGATCCCAATCAAAGCCTGTCGTAGGCTCCGCAAGAAGTTGCGCAGAGAGCACAGTGAGCCATAGGAGAGTGCAGAGGTGGCAATCTGCTTCGAGCGATGATTTCAGACTCCGGAGATTGTGATGAAAAGCAAAGGTTTTGGGCCATACGGCCTTTGCCCCAGGCGGATGATTTTGACCAGAGGAACTGTAGACGGAGCTGATGCCTTCGATGATGATCTCCTCGAGGTATTTGCGGAAGTCTTGTGCGAATTCAATGCATGCGACGCATAGTTGGCCGGGCGTCACAACATTGTACTCTTTGTAATGGCCTGTAATCGGATCTTCTGACATGGTTATTGTCAGCAGTAGGCGATGTTTTGAGGCAGTTCGGTTCAGGAGGGAGGAAAGTTTGAAGAATCAAAACGGCCCTCACCAGCCATGTTGCAACGGAAAATAATACGACGTAAAAGTCTTGTGGGTTTCGCATCAGATTGTTTGCTCCAGCCTCATATGGAATGACGCCACGTCACATTGAAGAGGAGAGGGCACCAATGAACAAGACCGATTGTGCCACAAGCTGACAGGCGGCAACTGTGTGTAGTAGGCAGATAAGCAAACATCACGGAAGGTGGGCCAGGTTAGCATTTTCATCCTCGATCATCGTGAAACCTCTCAGGTAAGAAAGAGAAAGTGTACAATGATCGACTCCAGCAAAGTAGGAATTCATGATTACGTTGTATTGAGCCTCGTCCGCGCAAATTCCCCCTGTGCCATCAGATATTCGAGGACCAGATCAGAGAGGTCTGCGATTGAGATTGGAACACCCCGGCCGATTGAATGGATCAGACGGAATCATAATCTACGAACAAATCCGGTCGCGAAAAAAAGAATGACTGCTAGTTAATAATCTATTGTGAGAGACAGCACTTAGTCATGTCTGACTCACCACACCGAGGCACAGTGACGGAAACTATATGTACCCACAACTACCTAAATGCAGTAGAGGGATCTCTCTTTTGTATATGGCGCAACGGTACAATTCCGAATTCTGTCACACAGTCAATCAGAAAAATGTCAAGCAACGGAAGTTACTGCGTAGTCAGTCGCCTAGCTCGGAGTATTCTACACATTGGGACGCCATAGAGCGCGCTTTGGAGCAGATCTACAACAAACAAACCGTCGAGGAAAACTTTGAAGCAACCTATAGGCGCATCTGGAAAGTTGTACTCATCTGCAGAGCAGATAAGCTCTTTGCTGACATAATGAAGTGGCACGATGAACGACTACGGGCAATCTGGTCCAAGCAGCTGATCAAACTTGCGGGAGCGGATGGTCAGCTCCTGGGGTCGCAAGTTAGTTTCTTCCACGGATTCATGGAGGTTTGGGAGAGTTACTGGCGAGCAATCAGTGTGCTGCCTGATTTGCTTTCATATCTGGTAAGTATCTGGGACAAGGCAAAGATTCATACTTCATTGGAGCTGCACGTCCTGTGTGCCGTTCATGGCGGTATTGGGGGAATATTCTATCATTCAATGTTCTGCAGTCCCAAGATATGTACTAACAAAACCTAATAGGAGCGCAGCACGAAACGCAGTCTTCTAAACGAGTGCATGAAAGTCTTCTTGACTTCCATCACAACTTCAGATCCATCATCGAGATCCATACTCCACACACTCACCCTTCTCACCTATTCGCACGAATACGCCGAACCCCTCCAGTCCAGTGATCCGACCGTCAGGGTCCATGATGCTGCCGGTTCCTGTTTTAGAGTCATCGATGGTCTTTGCGAGGTCGACGAGAAAGACGGCCAACAAAGGTTCAGAGATCTAATCAGTAAGGGCTACCTGGAAAGGGTCCGCGGCTACTACGAAACCTCGGCAAAAACCCTCACATCTCAGAGCTCAGTCGCTGAGTATTGTTCCACGGTTGGCCGCTGGCTGCTCGAAGAGGAGTGTCGCTGCCATACTATTCTCCCCCGTCATATGAACGAGGATTTGAAGACGCTGGTCATTGATGTCGCACTAGAACCCCACCTCTGCAAGAAAATCCGCGAGGATACGCAGTCAGTGTTCGCGCTGCTCGACGATGGCAACACCAGAGACATTGGACGGGCTCATAGGATAGGGAGGTTGGCTAGAGGAGGAACGGAAGCTTTGAACGAAGCCATAGAAGAATTGCTGGCTGCTGCTGCTCAAGCTGCATTAGGCTCGGACGCGAAACCAGAAGAGACGCTTTTGAATCTGATTCGATTGGATCTAAAGGCTCAAAATATCTATCATGAAGCTCTTGATTCGGACTCGGATATGAAGAGAACCATGGACAAGATCTTAGGTCATCAAATTAGGATTTGGTGTGGCAGCGGCGATGGAGTCGCAGCACGGAAGACTTTTGAAGCGGACAGTATCGTGTTGGCGAGAGACACAACAGAAACTCAGGTGATACGGGAGAGGGCTCAATTCTATTACGATTCTATCACGCAGATAGAATGAGACTGGAGTGAGGGCAGTTTGATACTCATGCATGAGTCCTGGAAGACCTTGAGGAATGTCTCAGTAAAATGGCTCATCCCGCGGAGTAAAAGGCGAAGGAAAGCACTTTGGAAGAGAGCTTAACCTTTTCATTTCCGTATTGTTAATATAGCTAGTTGTTTACGTCTAGCCGTGCACACGTCTCATTAACTCATAACTCATGCCGCTATAATGTACCTAGGTATCTGACCCGTCCCAAATCTCAAACATCAAGAAGCGCCTTCCTGGGCTTCTTTGCCCTGAACAACATCACCTGTCCAACAACCCACGTCTCGACCTCCTCAAACTCCTGATCCAGAGCCTCTTGGATATCCTCCTTCTTGTCGTCCCAGTTGTTGAAAACACCCCACCACTTGTTGTACCACTTGAGATAGAACTTGGTAAACCATCCAGTTGACTCATTTGGGCCCAGCACCGTGCAACCAGTCAACACACCATCGGGACTTAGCAACTCCTTGTACAGCCCAAAGGCACGAAGCTTGGCTTTGCCGCCAGGCATGCAATGGAACAGATTGAACATGGAAATGGAGTCGAATCGCTCGCCGAGAAGCTGTTTCGGCGGCGACTCCGTGACATCGGCCTCAACGCATTGGACCTCGGTATTCGTCGTGACAGACAGCACACGGGTCTTTGCCGCGTTCAAAGGCGGCGCGGTGAGGTCCAGCAGCGTGATGCGCTGCTTGCTGGTTGCGCGGAACGGCCGTGCCAGGGCGGCTGCCGGGAACCAGCCCGTAGCGACACCAATGTCGAGGTGGTTGCGGGTGAAATTCTCGCTGAAGAAGGGGAGGAGGAGTTTTTCTGTGCTGCAACCCCAGACTTTTGACATGTTGAAGTCCAGGACGTACTTGTCGTAGAAGATTGTGAGGAACGAGGGCGAGTAGACTGCGCCGTAGGCGGCAGTGCGGTCTGCGCCTAGATCGGCCATTGTTGGCGATAGCACTGAGTGATTGATGAATTGGGGTGAAGCGGAAAGATTGGCAACAAGGGGGTGGGAATGACGGCGACTCAATTAGTTGCGCTTCGTTGGGTTGTCGTGACTCGTGAGTAAGGTCTGGCAGAAACACAACACAAAGGACGCGGGAAAAGCCCTAGATCCTTCCGGGAGCTGGGTAATTATCACCTTGTCGGTAACAGCTCACCGACAGTATGCCACCGAGCGCTTACCGTGGCTATTCGGTTTACTTGCGCTTGAATCCTATTCCGAGCTTCCTTCATTATCAAGCATGGGTTGTTCCTTTATTCAACTCTGCGTTAACAAGAGTACATTGTGTCGGGATTGGCCAATTAGAACCTGCGTGACGGAGTCTGCTCCGTCCTGAACTCTGCAGCAACACCTACCGCATTCTTCGGTATCCGTACCCAGGACCAAGTGGTTCTGTCATATGCAAGGTGGTGGGTTAATTGCCGGCTTCCCTTCTGCTTCTGGCAAATGCCCAAAGTCTTCTACGTATGTCATGACAGTCTTGTTGGCGCTAGGGTAGTTGGCAAGAGGAACTATTATCTTCGTGCTCGTTAATGTTCATGTCGGATTACCTATCCATTGGCTCCGGCCTGCAGAGTAAGGGTTTAAATCCCTCAGATGACCCCCGTAAGAGCCGGATGGCCCATATCATATCAGCTCATTCTTCCCCACGCAGGCGAATATGCATGTGACATGTAGCAATGCCGGTCTGGATCAATTGAGGGGGGTTTGAATGGTCTGAATGGCCTCAATTGGCACCACTGATCTGCGGGACTACCAGTGCTTGAAGAAGATAGGATCATAGGAAATACGAACAGGAACTTTTTGCCCCTCCTCGTAATCCTTCTTCCTGCGGTGCCACAGTGCCTGCGTGCGTCGAGTCGCCTGACTGCGCCGCAATCCTGCATAAGACGCCCTGGAAATCCCGTAGCAGTCTATTGATCCTGGCATGCGGGCACAGCGGGGGTGGCTGTGCCGATGAAAAACGCAGCTTCTTATCGCTTAATCGAAGAGAAAACAGGTCCCGCCCAAAGCAGAAAATTGCCCGTCGGTGAAGAGGAAGTCGCTTGCGTTCATGGAAAGATGCGGCATTTGCCTCGATTCAACGACCTACATGTACGGATACACGTACCCACATGCACATACGGGACTGTTCCTGCTGGAACCCGAGATTATGGAATGGCTGGAAACCTCAACTACATTGATAATGGAACCGGAAGATTCCTTTGATAATAAAATCGCTCGCTTGCTTTGCAAACGCTTCGTGGTGGTATGATATCCCCAAACCCCTTGTAAACACATCATCCATTTTTAGACGCCTTTTGCTACTACCCATGTGAACTGACATTGGACACCGACATTTGAGCTGCCGAGCGTGATGAGCTCGCCAATGATACGGACGATGATGCACCGCTACGTGGCTTCCGGCAGTATATCGTAAGCCTGATATCAAAAATATGATTGTCAGTTATGATCCGGGACCTCCTCCAACCTCACCTGACTTCCAGAGATAACTTACAGCGTCATAAACGAATGGTAGTTCGTATCGTCAATCTCCTTACGGACCTTCTTGACCAATGCAAGAACCTGGGCCTCGGACCAGCCTAGACCAATAGTGAAAACAGGGACGCTTAGCGGCTCGATAATGGCATTCCAGTTGTTGGACATCATGGTGCCGAACCGCTGACACTTCTTACCCGGGTAGCACGCGTTCGTAGGTGCAGCGTGCTTTGTCAACTTCATCCTCTCGAACCCAGACTTTTCCAAGATGGGCTGATATTGCGAGACATAGTGCATGGAGCGGCCCATGTTGTGAAGACCCTGTTGAAGAAGCATATTCCACTTGTGGAATGCTGTTCCCTCCAGCGAGTGATCCGGGGACACGAGGATCGCGATCCATTCGCTGAACTCGACCCAGCCCCCAGGGTTGAGGTGGCGATAGATGGACTCGACGAACTTTTCCTTCTCCGCGATATCGCCCAGCATACGAACATGGATGAAGTCGAACTGTCTGCCGAGGTTCCAGTCGGTAGATATGTCCATAACCTTGAACTGACAGTTGGATACGTTATATGGAGGGCGCACTTTCTCAATATCGACGCCCATCACGGCACAGTTTGGATTCTTTTTGGCTGTTACGGCAGTCAACAGGTGTTAGCGTCAATGTCCCGGCGTTATGAGATCCCGTAAGAATTAATAGGAGCGACTTGCCATATTCCTAAGTACACGAAGAGGCTAGTTAGCGAGTCATTCCGTGATATCAGACTAGTTACATCATTTATGCGGGAAAGGTGAGGGGAGGGGGGGTTGCGAAGTGACTGATGATGGGAAGGTAACGCACTAATGCCCATAGCCCTGGCCCCGTGCCAACGTCGAGGGCGGCCCTGGCCTTGACGACTGGGGCCAAGTGGAGTCTGTGGTCGAAGAGTTCGGCAATGATCTGGTGTTGGAGGGCTGCGATTCCTGGTCAGTGACAGTCTGGGTCTTGGTCTAGACGTTCCAGATCCTGCGGCAAGCGCAGCATACATGTGGAGGTGAAGAGGTTGGCGGCCATGGACTCATAGACCGACCGGTGGACCACGGTGAAGGATGCTTTGCTGACCATTTCTATCTTGTTCCTCCTAGAGGATTGGTAAAGTGGGTTAGCTTGGGAGCGCCTGCAGGAAAGGATGATTGGGTAGAACGTACCTTGCTATGTGGCACGAAGCCGAAGCGTTTTCCGGTTTTGGCAAACTTGCTGAAGATGGACTGGAAGATGGACGATTTGCCCGACTTGATCTTTGATTTGCTGGAACCGCTACTGCACGGATGGTAAGGATGGTCAGATTGTCGCAGGAAAATAAAAGTGGCCGATGAAGTGGCGAGATAAAGTGAGAATGAAAATAAACGTGAAACATGAATAAACCAAAAAACAATGAAAGACATCATCATCGGGTCAGAATGAGAGACTCACTGTGTTACCGCCCGGAGACTCTGACCCGGCGTCGGGTCGCTGTCCGATCCGTCGTCAGAATCGGACCCTCCAGCCCAGACGGTCTCATTCACTTCATCGGAGGTCGGACTCGGATGATCTTCGGGGTACTCCTATAAGCGGCATGAGATTCAAAGAGTTCTGGTTCAGCTTGTACCCCGTATCCGTAGGCGCCAGCAGCAACATGACAGTTGCCACGGTTCACGGAGGGGTCAATGTCTCATAGACCGAGTACGTACGTCTTGTTCGCCTGACTGCATCGATGGTCTCGTCGAGGGCGGCGTGCGCGGCCTGCTGTCTGTGGAAAAGTTGCGGGTACGTTCGGACGACGAACTAGCGGTGAGCAGCGTCGATGTGGAGGCGGCCGAGATGCTGTTGGCGGCCGTTGGAGGACGCGGCGGCTGGTGCCGTCCCACGGGCGAGCCAGGACCGAGTGAGCTCAAGCTGCTACCACCGCTTTTGCGAAGCCGCTGTTGGTTGTAGAACCTGTCCATCAACATGCGGTCCGCTCCGAGCGAGACCGTGGTGGGCAAGGGGGAAGGGTAGAAGGGAGCGGTGCGCGCTTCGGGACTGGAGGAGGGGGAATTCGGGAAACTGGGGGGGGGGTCCAAGTTAAATGCCGGGCCAAAGACGCAATGCACAAACCAAGAGAGTTGCAGGTCAGCAAGGCTCGACGATAGGCGGACTTTGTCTCTGGTCTCCGTATAACGCAAGGGGGAAGAAAGAATGTTACTAGTAGCATGAGTGTAGGAAGAAAGTGATAGACAAGCAACCAGCAAGAAAGAGGGTGCGGCGGGATGGGATAGACAAGGTCGTCCCATGAACCAGAAGCGGTTCGTCTTGTTTTTTCATTTCTGGGGGAAACCGAATAAAAACGGGCTAGGGCAACAGTTTATTTTTTGGGCAAAAGGTCCCAACCCGAGGTCCCAAGGTGGCCATGCCATGCCATCATCTCCCGGACACTGCCGTGTTTGAACGGCCCCTGTCTTGTGTCGCTTCTCCCTTTTCCATCCCTTGCCGCTAAAACAGAAAAACCTTGTACGGATGGCGAGCTGGTTTGGTAAGCCTCGTACTGCGCGTAGCCGCGTCGCTGCTAAGTGCTAATATCTGCGGGGCTTTTGTCGGCGCTTTATCAGAATCAGTGGTAATGTGCCCGGATGGGCAGACAACTCTGACTCTCTGAGTTTGCACCGGGCCTGTCACTGTCCAGGGAAGCGATGCGGAAATCCTCGCCTCTGCGCAACCCAGTCTATAGTCGTCATGTCAGGAGACGTTGGGAATGGTGGGAAAGAAACGAAGCAATTTTGGCATGGGCTGCTTCTGTGCTATCGGTGAGAAAGGGGAAGCAAACATTGTATATCAAGACGCATTTATCAATTTTGTCAGAAATCCCCTTATCAAAGCGCAACTTCTGCCTCGCATTCACAGCCATCACACACTTTCCAACGTTCCAATGCGGCCCAACGCCTTGGACCGGCAGCTAAAACCTGTCACCCTCCTAGTCATGACCTTGCATTTCTTATGGAGCAGCAGCCGAGAGTCCCAGGGGAGCCACTGGCCAGCAACCAGCACAACCCCTGTCGCTAAACAGTCCAGGGTTCGGCAGCTGGGACGCCATCGTGTGGGATCGACCCTGACGCCTGAGCCTGCCTGCTTACACGGCACTGAGTCAAGGTCTCTGCCATGATGCCGCCTTCCAGAATCCAGAAGCAGTGATTGGGCCAAGCGTATCCTGGCAGACTATCGCAACGATCGTCATCGGATCTCCGGGATCCGGCTCCCGATCCAGGCCATCACTGCAGAAGTGCAGCGAGGTTGTTGACGAAAAGGGGGAAGACCAAGCCAAGAGGAACAGCTCGCCATTTGCTCGACTATGCACTGATGCAGCCTATGCTGAGCATACGACTATTGGATTTGGGGAGTTGGCAAACTTGGCTTCACGTGGTGCCGAAGAATTGCAACCGAAACAAAATGGGAAAACCAACACTAATCTCCCGCGGCCCCCACACACCTCTAAGCGCCTTAAACTGCAAAATATGTGCGACACCCTGTGTGCCTCGAGTCTTGACTTGGTCATCATTGTCGCCGTACTTTCCAAGAGGGGTCAGACCGATCCCGAGTCGAGCGAGCTTGGGAGAGGGAACGAGAGACAGGGGCGCATGCACACTGCGGGCCAACACACAAGAGGCCCGGTCGAAACCAGCCCGAGGAATCTTGTGTAATTTGTGTTCCACCGGTCCCCTGTATCTGGGCCCGATGGATGTCTCGCCTGCACTAACAAGTCTACTTGAACTGCTCCGGGGTCTAAAGTACGGCATGCCAAGGCGGAGCAACAAATGAACTCTGTGGAATGCGGAACGCAAAGCTTCGCAGTTACCTACGAAAACCGTAGACGTAGCCACCCCTTCTCGTCCGCATGTCCCTTAATCAACCACGTATCTATTATATCTCCCCCCTTCTATCCGGGACCCTTGTCTTATTCTTCATGCACCATGTTTTGTTGGAAGATAAACTCCAGTCGAAGTGCGAAGGTTGTTGGAGCCATCTCCGTGCTTGGTGCATCGCAATATGACGCGTTTGGCCTTTTCTACCGACCAGGGTGGGAGTAAATTTACTTGTCGAGTTTGACGCCAGAAATACCTGATAGCTAGCAGTTACGGAGTAGTCCACATGAAGAGGGGAAACCAAGTGGTGGATTCTATCTAATAATGCTACTATCTCGCTGGAGACTTGATCCAGGTTCCAGTCTTGTCCTAAGGATTTCGTTCCATGTCTCAATTCACTTCCCCGACTCCCACCATCCCACAAACTCTCACCGTAGCTCACCGCACGGACCTGAGCAGATCAATAGTATCGAAACACTAGACGAGAAAGCCCCTTTACGGTATACACCATGGGAGATCCCATTGCCATTGTTGGGCTCAGCGCGAGGCTCCCCGGGGACGGCGATACACCAGAGCGGTTCTACGAGTCGTTGCTCGCCGGGAGGTCAGCCCGGACGGAAGTGCCGCGGGAGAGATACAATGCAGAGGCCTTTTGGCATCCGGATGCCGACAGGAGCGGCGCCGTGCGTGTTCCCGCCCCCCGTGTTATGCAAAAGTTTATGAGACGAAAACTAACTTGCAGCGCTTTAATTAGACACGAGTTCGCCATGGCCACTTTCTCAAGGGCAGCATATCGGCATTTGACGCGCCGTTTTTTTCCATCACACCCACAGAAGCACGGAGTATTGATCCTCAACAGCGAGGAATGTTGGAGAGTGTATACAAGGCCATCGAAAATGGTATGGAGAGACTTTTGATTTCCGAAACTATGAAACTTCAAGTTAGTCTCAATACTGACTTTGCACGAAGCCGGAATTCCTCTCGATACAGTTGCCGGAACCCAGACCGGCGTATACGTCGGCTGCTTCACGGCCGATTACAATGATCACATAGCGAAAGACTTGGATATCCCGAACAAATACTCAGCCCTGGGCACAGTAGCAAGTATGCTCAGCAACAGAGTCTCGTGGTTCTTCGACTTCCGGGGCCCGAGTGTAACAGTAGACACGGCCTGCTCAAGTAGTCTGGTGGCTGTGCACGAAGCATGCATGAGTCTCAAGCTTCGTGAGGTCAACATGGTGAGGCTCTTTTTCTCTTACATGCAATTTTACCAAAGTCCCTTTCATCTCAAGGGGCGGTGACACTGAAGCCAACCAAACCACGCCCCTCCTCCCCTCCCCCGCTGTCTGCAAGCCGGGCTCTTGGCTAACCACCCCGTCATCGTGTACTAGGCCGTCGTGGGCGGGTGCAACCTTATCCTGACTCCCGAGATGACACTAAAGCTAGACGCGGCGGGCGTTCTGGGTCCGGAGGGCAAGTCATACAGCTTTGACCACCGGGCCAACGGATACTCCCGCGGCGAAGGGTTCGGGGCCCTGGTCTTAAAGCGGGTATCGGATGCCATTCGGGACGGGGACGTCATCCGCGCCGTCATCCGGAACTCGTCTACGAACCAAGACGGCCGATCTCCCGGCATCACGCAGCCGACGAAAGCGGGCCAGGTCGCGCTCATCAAGCACGTCTACGACCGGGCCAATTTGGACCCTTCGCTCACGCGGTTCGCCGAGGCCCATGGCACGGGTACACCCGTGGGCGATCCCATCGAGGCGAGTGCCCTTGCCGAGATCTTTGCACCTCTTCGATCTGCGGATGAGCCGTTGTACGTGGGCGCGCTCAAGAGCAATGTCGGACACCTGGAGGGCGCTGCGGGAGTAGCGGCCGTAATCAAGGGTGTCTTGACGCTAGAGAGCGGTGTTATTCCCGGGAACATCTGGTTTGAGAAGCGCAACCCCAAGATCCAAGACGCGTGGAATCTGAGGTTTCCCACAAAACCCACGGCTTGGCCGCAACGTGGCCTGCGTCGCATGTCCGTGAACTCGTTTGGCGTCGGTGGTAGCAACGCCCACGTGGTGATGGACGACGCGCTCCATTTCCTCAAGAGCTTCCGCTTAGTCGGGAACCATCGCACAGAGACGATCCCCAAGATCCCGAGACAACTAGACGCACCTTTGGTGAATGGGACCGGTAAGTCATTCTTCTTGTTCCGCGCAATGGAGGGCACAACTGACGTTTCTTCACAACTGCTCAGGTCGCGTCAATGGATTCCACCGCCCATCGGATAGCGGGATCCATCTTGACGACTTTGAAAATGAAGATGCCCCACGTCTCTTCGTTCTGTCGGCAAACGACCAGGATGCCGTTTCTCGGTTACGGGACGGGTACAGGGACTATCTTGCAACGAAAGCGGCCCAGATCGTCGGAGAATCCGCCCAGCTGCGGTTTTTGAGGGACCTGAGCTACACACTGGCCTGCAGGCGGACCTGTCACTCTTGGAGGACGTTCAATATCGCTAGCTCGCCGGTCCAGTTACAAAAGTCTCTCGAGAGTAACTCTACGACTGCCATACGAGCAAAGGCCAACCCGCGGCTTGCGTTTGTCTTTACCGGCCAAGGAGCGCAATGGGCGACGATGGGCATGGACCTATTGGCGTACCGCGCCTTTCAAGAGAGTCTTTTGGCGGCTGATCGGTATCTCAATGATCTCGGTTGTAATTGGTCGTTGACGTGTAAGTGCCATCTTGAGCCGTGTTATGTGACCTCTTACTGACCATTGTCGGAACTACAGTCGAACTGTCAAAGTCAAAGACATCCTCTCGAATCAACGACCCCGAATTCTGCCAGCCCATATGCACTGCTTTACAAGTTGCCATGGTGGACCTCCTCTCCACCTGGGACGTCTACCCGCATGCCATCACGGGACATTCATCCGGCGAGGTGGCCGCAGCCTACGCCGCGGGTGCAATCTCACGACAGGCGGCCTGGAAAATCGCCTACTACCGCGGGAAATTAAGCGCCAAGCTCACGCGCTCTGTTTCTCGACCTAGCACAGGCATGGCCGCCGTCGGTCTGAGCAAAGCCGCTACGCAGGACGCTATCGATCGCGTGAACCAGCAACTTGGCGGCGACGGTACCCTCGAGATCGCTTGCATGAACAGCGCGGATAGCCATACAGTCAGCGGTGATGCGGAAAAGATTGACGCGCTAGTCCAGCTACTTAGTGCCGAGAAGGTGTTTGCGAGGAAGCTCAACGTCGAGATTGCGTACCACTCTCAGTACATGAAGGCCATGGCTGATGAGTATCTTGTGGCCATGGGAGAGCTTCAGCAGGGTACTTTGAGGAGCCCTGTGAAGCCTCGGTTCTACTCTTCGACTATGGGAGTGCCGATACTGCCCTCGCAACTTCGACGGCCAGAGTACTGGGTCAAAAACTTGGTATCACCTGTCCGGTTTACCGAATCTGTCACTGAGATGCTCAAGGGTTCCGAAACACCCAAGGTCAATGGACATGTTAACGGAAATGTCAATGGTCTCGTCAACGGGAACGTCAACGGACATGTCAATGGTGTTATGAATGGAGACATCGACGAAGAACCTGCATTCGAGCCTATCACGGACTTCCTGGAGATTGGCCCTCACAGTGCCCTTAAGGGACCGCTCTTCAGTACCGTCAAACAAGTTCGCGGCAATGCAAAGGTTGACTATCACTCTATTCTCATCCGACAGAAGCCGGGTGTCGAGACCGCCCTGAGATCTGTCGGAACTCTCTTCTGCCACGGCTACAACGTCAACCTGGCACAGGTCAACGACGCAGACGAGCCTCACGGGCCCAGGCCACTCATGCTCACCAATCTTCCGTCCTATCCCTTTGATCACTCAAAAGAGTACTGGGTACAGAGCACGCTGAGCGACGACTTCCGTAAGAGACCTGTGGGCCGACACGAGCTGCTCGGAGCTCCCATGCCGGGTTTCAATGAGAACAACGCAGTGTGGCGCAATTACATCCGGCTTTCAGAGAATCCTTGGATCGAAGATCACAAGGTATCTGGGGACATATTGTATCCTGCAGCCGGGATGCTCATCATGGCTATCGAGGCGAGCCGGCAGATCGCCGACAAGGGCAAGGTCTTGAAGGCGTTCAGACTGAGAGACGTGTCATTTAAGCTGGCCTTGCGAGTTCCCGATGACACCAATGGTGTGGAGTCCCAATTCTACCTTCGCCAGCACCGGGAGAACAGCCTTTCCACCCTTTCAACATGGCGAGAGTTCCAGCTCTGGACCATGCAAGATGGCACGTGGAGGGAGCATTGTCACGGTTTCGTGCAGACGGAGTACGAGTCAGAGGATCAACTCGCACCCAGGGCGCTCGAGGAGAGCGTTGATGACACCTGCGTGACGGAAGTGTCTGTCGACAAGTTATACCGCAACTTCGCAGACTCCGGATTGAACTTTGGCCCAACCTTCCAGACGCTGAGCGGCGTGCGCCTTAGCCAGGACCTCAAAATGACAGCAACGCTTCGTCCCCCAGTGGATAAGATCAAGAAGTCGATGCCGCACCAGTATGTACAGCCGCACTTGGTGCACCCGGCTACCCTCGACGGCCTCGTGCATGCCAACCTCGCCGCCCTGGTCTCGAGCTCCGAGTACGCTGGAGCGACCAGAGTGCCGACGTACCTGGCTGATGGTTGGATCTCGGCGCAATCGAGCCTGTCTCACAACTCCTACAATGTTTCCGCGGAGTCTCGAGTCAAGGGGCGCAGCGAGGTGGTCTCGGACGTGAAGGCCACGCACCTCGAACTGGGCCAGGATATGGTGCAGATGTCGGGTATCGTCTTCAAGACTATCTCGAGTGATTCGTCAAAGGAGACCTCTGAGGCGGTGGTTCATCCGGCTTTCAATATATCTTGGAAACCTGATCCGAGTTTCTTGACGAAGCAGCAGAATTCACAATTGTTCCAGCTGCCGCTGACACAGGAGGATGATCCTTCTACCTGGATGCTGGACTGCGAGGCGCTCTGCCTGGCTTACATGCGTCGTTGCACAGAATCTCTTACCCAGGAGTCCATTGGCAAGATGACTTGGTACCACCAACGATATGTCAAGTGGTTCCAACACGTCGCCCGCCAGCACTCAGAAGGTCCCGTAAGCGAGAGCATCGAGGTGCTCGAGGCCAAGGTCCTCGCCGGCAGCGCTTCAGAAGGCAAGCTCATCATCGCCGTCGGCCAAGCCCTATCAGGTATCCTCACTGGAGAACGCGACCCCTTGGACGTCATCTTCAAAGACAAGCTCGCAGAGGATGTCTACAGCCACGGCCTCGGCTCCAAGAGATGCTATGCCCAGCTATGCAGTTACCTCAACATCCTGGCGCACAAGAACCCCAACATGGAAATCCTCGAGATCGGCGCCGGAACAGGCGGCGCCACGCGTCCCGCAGTGGCGACGTTGACACAGGACAGCAGTCGTCGGTACGGACACTACGACTTCACCGACATCTCGCCCTCGTTCTTTGAGCAGGCCAAGGAGAACTTCAAGGACGAGGTTGGGCGGATGGGATTCCGAGTCCTTAATGTCGAAAATGATCCCCTCAGCCAGGGCTTCGAGGCTGGCAAGTACGATCTCATCATCGCGGCGAACGTCTTGCATGCCACGAAGAAGATTGACGACACGCTCGTCAATGCCAGGAAACTGCTCAAGCCTGGCGGAAAGCTTCTCCTCTTTGAGATCACCAACACTGAGATCCTTCTGGGCAGCTTCTGCTTCGGTACGCTGCATGGGTGGTGGCTTTCGGAGGACAAGGACCGTATCTGGGGTCCGTTGATGTCTCCCAACTCATGGGATACTCATCTTCGGGCTTCGGGGTTCAATGGGCTCGATGCCGTCTTTGAGGATTTCGCTTCATCGCCGCATCAGATGAGTTCGATCCTTGTGTCTAGTAACCTTGCATCGGAGTCGTCAACTCACTCGGCTTCCTCGCACTATATTCTGACGAGTGAGACGCCCGCTCAGCTCGAGTTGGCCGCGAAAATCTCGCAGGCCATCGGTCAAGGAGTAGACTGCCGAACTGCCGCCCTCACGTCCGTGGCTGACAAGGATCTGACCTCTGCCACCTGTGTGGTACTCTCCGAGCTGGATCATTCTGCTTTGAAGGATATGAACGATGAGATCTTCAATAGCTTCAAGCGAGTACTCACTCAAAGCAAGAACATTCTTTGGGTGACCCGAGGCGGCACCTCAACTGCACCCAACCCTGATTCAGAACTGGTGACTGGACTGGCTAGGGTGGTTCGCTCAGAGAGACCAGACGTCAACTTCCTCACTCTCTCATTCGAACAAGACGCCACCGAAGAGCTCATTGCCGAAAAGTGCGCCCAAGTTCTGGAGGCAGCACAAGCTAGCGTCGAGAACTCATTCAGGGTGATCGACAGTGTGGTACACGTGTCTCGACTCGTTCAGGCAGAGTACATGACCGACCACATTCAGAACCAGACTGGCCTCGTGAGCGTCGAGAACAAGCTTCTGAAAGATGAAACCTCCCGGTCGCTATCCCTTCAGGTCGGGAACGTTGGTCAACTTGACTCGCTGCGCTTCGAGGAAGACACCCTGACTGAGACATCTCTGGGAGACCACGATGTTGAGTTCAAGACCATGGCTTGTGGAGTGAGCACCAGCGATGTCTCTTCAGTCCTCGGTAAAGCGGAAGAGTCACCTCTGGGTCTGGAGGCCTCTGGCATAGTCACGAAGACTGGACCTACTTCCAGGTTCCAGGTTGGGGACAGGGTCTTTGGACTCGCGGTCTCGGGCACCATCAAAACTCATGTTCGATCTACGGACGGCTTGCTCGCGAAGCTGCCTGATGGAGTGTCTTGGACCGATGGCGCGGTCCTGCCCGTCGACTACACGACGGCCTACGCCGTTCTCTGCGAGTTTGGCTCGATCCGTAAGGGGGACTCTGTTATGGTGCACGGAGGGTGCTCCAGCATCGGAAAGGCATTCATCCAAATTGCCCAGCTTCAAGGAGCTGAAGTCTACACAACTGTGACGAATCAGTCAGAGCGAGACGTCCTGGTCAAGGAGTACAGTGTCCCAGAAGACCACGTCTTCAGCAGCCGTGACTTGTCAATGCGATCGGCCCAGCAGAAGCTGGTCAAGGAGCGTGGCATTAACGTTCTCGTCACGGCGAACGACGGACTTGTCGACGGCGTTATCGACTGCATTGCACCATTCGGGCGCATCGTTCACATCGGCTCAGGTGCCGGCATTTCCAACACACGGGTCCCAAGAGGCCGTAACGTCCGTCTTGAGTCCTTTGATCTTACGTCTTGCCTCGCGTTCGACCTCACTCGCACCGAGACCATATTCCAGCACATGGTCGACATCGTTTTCGCAAACTGGAAGAAAATTAGCCGCCCGTCGCCTACCGCGCTCTACAGCTTCTCTCAAGTCGGCGACGCGTTCCGCCGGATACAGTCCGAAGGTCAGGGTACCGTCAAGATCGTGCTTGAACCTCGTGATGACGATGTGGTACCCGTCGTACCGAGCCGGAAGCCTCTCAGTAGCTTCGATCCCGAGGCGTCGTATGTGATTGCTGGTGGTCTCGGTGGTCTTGGGAGGTCTGTCGCACGATGGATGGCCTCTCGAGGGGCAAAGAACCTCATCCTACTTTCAAGACGTGGCGCCGTGGAGAAAGCTGCGATTGAGCTGATTTCCGAGCTCGAATCTGTATGCGATAATGTGGTCACTCCGGCCTGCGATGTGACGGATGCCGGTGCTCTGCAAGGTGTTATGGCTGAGCTTGCTACGACTCTTCCTCCTATCAAGGGATGCATCCAAGGGTCCATGGTGCTCCAAGTAAGTTGAATATCATACCAGAATCCATTTTTGAAAATGCATCAATGCTAATCCACATCAAGGACAACCTTCTCGAAAACATGTCGCTCGAGAATTGGAAGGCAGCCGTGCAGCCCAAGGTGCACGCTTCCTGGAACCTGTACAACGCCCTCGGCGATAAGGCAGACTTCTTCGTCTTCCTGTCTTCCACTGTGGGAGTGACAGGAAGTCCCGAGCAGGTCAACTATGCGGCAGGAGGAACGTTCCAAGACGCCTTTGCGCACCACCTCGTCTCCAAGGGTATCAACGCCGTTTCCATCGACCTTCCAATCATCCGCGGCGTAGGCTACGTCGCAGAGAAGCCAGAACTTTGGGACTACCTCTCGTCTGCAGGATGGACTCACATCACCGCGGACGAGCTTTACGCCGTGCTAGACTACCACTGCCGTCCGGTCAGCGCTAGTTCAACCCAGGCAGAGGCGAGGGCGCAAGTCATCCCCCGCCTCTGGCTGCCGCAGGAGACAGCCGTGGAGGGGTATCAGACGCAGACGTGGGGAGAGGATCCCCTGTTCAGCCACCTGCGCTTGACAGAGACAGACGATGCAGACAATGGGGACGACGCGAACAAGACAGTCAATCACAAAGCGAACCTGCAATGCGCGTCCTCGCTGGAGGAAGCCGAGAACATTATTCTCGACGCTTTGCTTCTCAAGATTGCGCGGATGCTCAGCATCGACGCGCTTAACCTCGAGACATCCAAGCCGCTTCACGCGTACGGTATCGACTCCCTGACGGCGGTCGAGCTCCGGTCGTGGCTCATGAAGGAGCTTGGGGCCGAGGTGTCTGTCTTCGATATTACGAATAACTCGAGTATCGCACATTTGGCGGTGCTTGCTACGAAGAAGAGTAGTCTCAGGCAGCAATTTGCTAATTAGTAACCGAGACCGAGTTGCTTTAGTTTATCTTTCCTCATCTTTCGCGTTTTTAGCGCCGCTATTTGGGGTTTCCTTTAGGCGTTTTCTTTATGCGCGCTGCGCAGCTAAGTGTCGTCGGGTTTTTGATAATAAGGGGGCGGTTTCTCTCGTCTTTTACTGGTTTTTTTTTATTCTTTTTTCTTTTTTCTTTTTCGGTTTTCGGATGTCTGTTTTTTTTTTGGCTACGGAGTAACTACTTGTTTTTCTGCCTGCAATGATTGATGAGACATGATAAAGTTTGCATGGTAATATCACGGCCTCTGGGGAGTGTGGTTGTTGTGATCATTAGTATCTCGATTAGCATCTCGAATAGGCTAAATAACTCAATTGACTTTGACGTTTGCTCGGTTTCCAGGGGCTCGGCGCTTAACAAAAAATGTGTAAAAAGTGCATGTGTGTTTTGGTACCGATCAGAAGTGCAGCTAGCCACCACCTTGGACAACAAATTGGCGCTGAAAACCTGAAAGCTGCATCGAAGAGCGGCAAGCCCGGTGGCACAATCGCCGAACATCCCGGGCCAGCCGGAGGATGTGTTGCGGTGTTTTCCGAGTTCAAGGCCCGGATTTTCGTCCACGAAAATGGCCCCGAGCTGGCTGGAATTGGCTGGTCACGAGCGGGCAAAGGGAACGGAAACTTCTCAAGGACTGAACGGAGTCTCGGTGAATTGGTCTATGAGGACGGGGGACGGACCCCTGATGTGCCCGATCTGCGGCATGGGTTACCTACAATAGCCCAGCCAGAGGTGCCGAGGATTGTCGCCCGAGCACTCCGTTCAGGCCTGGAACCCGAGGAACAATCCGGTTGTTGCGTCTTTGGAGTCTGGAAAACTCTGGATTCCTGGAATAGGTCACTTGAGTTGTCACGGTTGCCAAGGCATATGACAGGCTTTGTGAGAGACAAAAGATGTTGAGTGAATGGAGACCCTGGAGGGCGGGAATAATGGCAATCCCCTTGGACCCCAGAAAAGACATTGAACCGAACCGGGATCTCTGAAACGAGAATGGCATTTGTTCCATTCTGCCTCGCCCCCAAAGGAACCTGAATGCGCGTAACAGGCCACCAGGCCAACCACTATACGCGCGACTACAGTACCACCAAGGGGCCCAAACAGGCAGCCAGACGTGCCCGGAGCAGTCAGATAAGAGGAGAGAAATGTGACAGAAAGGCGAGAACGAAGGGGCACCACGGCACAAGAAAACGGAGTTCCACAGAAAAAGGGCGAGCCAAGGGGACTAACTGCAAACGGCGTAAACCTAAAGGTCCATTCGTAAATCTGCATAGTAACCTCATTTCCATTCGACGCTAATCTGCAAAACAACAGCCCCTCTATGACGTTTTGGGGATAAACAACGCCGATGAAAGCAGCGGGCAATGGGGGATTCTGCCATTCTGGTGGCACTGGTGGGTGGGAAGTCTCGGAGAGCGGGAATGACACACGTGATTGTTCCCCGAGTCAGCGGCACTGCGGCAAGAGATGGAATTTGCTAGTTCATCTCATCACTTCAGAGCTCATACAAACTCTTATATGCTTATATAGGCTCGTTTTCTCATCTCATCGGACGTCGCTTTAGAAGGTCTGGATTAATTGATCAAAGCATCGACTCCATTGCGGAACTGGATCCATCCATCACATAACCAGCCTAGCTCACTGGGGTCTGGGGAGGGCTCGTTGAAGTCTTTTTTTTTTTTGGATTTCCTCCAACATGGCGGCACTCACACGCGTAAAGTCAAAGGGACTGGGCCACATTACGTTGGGGGACGGCGGTCGCTCAGAGACGGCCACATCCGGCAACGTCGGCAACGATGGACGCGTACGAGTGAGATTTCACGCGAATCCGCAAAAGCTCGCACACTGGCTTCGCGACTTTGAAGGGGCATTCAGACCGCACTCTGGCGACTACGATGAAGAATTCGAACAGGCACGGCTACGGCGACGCAGCAGCGTCATTTTGGAAAATTCGCAGCAACATCCGCGGTCAAAGAGCCCGCGGCTCAACATCGCGATACACATTGTCGGATCCCGCGGCGATGTCCAACCTTTCATCCCCATCGCACAGCTTCTCATGAAGGAGCCCTACGGTCATCGAGTCCGCATCTGCACGCACCCCGTTTTCAAGGATTTTGTAGAGTCCAATGGCGTCGAATTCTTCAGTATCGGCGGCGACCCGGAGGCGCTCATGGCTTACATGGTCAAGAACCCCGGACTGCTTCCCAGCCGAGAGAGCGTCAAGGCCGGAGACATTAAGCACCGGAGGAAAGAGATGGCTGAGATTATCAACGGGGCATGGAGGAGTTGTATAGAGGCGGGAGACGGCATGGGCGAACGAACTACGGCTGCTACTGTGCCAAATGTGGACGACCTTTTTGTCGCTGATGCGATTATCGCCAACCCGCCGTCGATGGCTCACATTCATTGTGCTGAGAAGCTTGGTATCCCGCTTCACATGATTTTCACGATGCCGTGGTGCCCAACACAGGCCTTTCATCACCCGCTGGCCTCGATGAGTTATGGTGAGGCCGACACGAGCGCCGCCAACTATTTGTCGTTTATCATGATGGAGCTTTTGACGTGGCAAGGGTCAGTCGCTCACTCTTATTCTCAGTCTTTGCTTCCTTTCACTCATTACTGACATGCAACTAGACTCGGTGACTTGATCAATAAGTTCCGCACACAGACGTTAGGCCTCGATCATATTAGTCCGTTGTGGGGATGTCAACTCCTCCCCAGACTCCGCGTTCCATATACCTTCCTCTGGTCCGAGTCTCTCATCCCTAAACCCGCCGACTGGGACTCCCACATCAACATCACCAGCTTCTCCTTTCTCTCCCTCGCCGACAAGTACACGCCACCCGCAGACCTCATCGCATTTCTCGAGGCCGGTCCACCGCCAATCTACATCGGCTTCGGCTCCATCGTCGTCGACGACCCCAAAGCCCTCACCCAACTCGTCTTCAAAGCCGTCGAGCAAGCCGGTGTCCGCGCCATCGTCTCCAAGGGATGGGGCGGCGTCGGCGGCGGCGACGATGTCCCGGACAACGTCTATCTTATCGGCAACTGCCCGCACGACTGGCTCTTCAAGCGCGTCTCGGCTGTTGTGCACCACGGCGGCGCCGGCACGTCCGCGGCAGGAATTGCATGCGGACGCCCTACTGTCGTTGTACCCTTCTTTGGAGACCAGCCTTTCTGGGGCCAGATGATTGCCCGTGCCGGCGCCGGCCCAGCTCCCGTGCCCTTCAAGGAGATGACGGCCGAGACACTGGCAGCGAGCATCACTTTCGCGCTCAAGCCTGAGGTCCAGGTGGCGGTGCAGCAGATGGCGGAGCGGATCGCGGAAGAGGACGGCGCGGGGGATACGGCGAGGGATATCCAGGAACGACTGGCTCTCGACACGATGCGATGCGACATCTGCCCAGAGAGGCTAGCCAACTGGCAACACAGGAAGACAGGTGCGTATCTGAGTAACTTTGCGGTCGGATGTCTCGTCGATAAGGGGTATATGAAGCTGCACGACTACAAGCTGCTGAAGCACAAGCACTGGTACGTCGACGAAGGCGCCGAACACCCTTTCATCGGCCTCGTGGCCGCGGTTTCTGGCTTCTTTACGAATATCGGCGTGGCGACGTCGGATTACTCGCAGCGGTTGAAGCACCCGCCCCAAGCCGCTCAGGCGCGGATGCACGCCGTCGACCTCGAAGCTCAGCGTCCTGCGCACGAGAAGCAGCCCGAGGAGGAGAGTAACACGACGCGTGAACCCTCGGCGGAACCTAGCGAGGGACCAGACGTCCAGCCGGGCCCAGAGTGCGGAGCAGAGGACGCGGAAGATGGCCACTTGAAGCGCGTGGCGAAGGCGCACATCATGACGCCGAAGCAGATGAATGCCATCGCCATTAAGATGGCCACCAAATCCCTCCAGTGCGCTGACCCGGCTGCCGAAATCGCCATGATAGACGCCAGCGCCGTCGACGAACGCGGTAGACGCAAGTCCTCCGTGGCAACCCTCGTCAAGAAACCCAATAGGCCGACGGAATTCGCGCGCGCGACGGGGCGATACGGTATTGAGCTCGTCAAGGCTGGTCTAAAGGCTCCCGTGGCAGTGTGCTATAATGTCGCCAACGGGTTCCACAACTACCCTTCCTACGGCTTTATCGGGCACGAGGTGCGACGGCGGGACCAGATCACCGGTCTCGGGAGCGGGCTGCGGACGTCAGGCAAGGAGTTTGTTTTGGGAACGTGGGAGGCGTTTAGCGGTGTTGTTGTGAAGCCGTATGAGGGTGCCAAGAGGGAGGGTGTCAAGGGTTTCGGAAAGGGTGTTTATCAGGCCGGTCGCGGGTTTACGTTTAATCTCTTTGCTGGTAAGTCTCTTGTGTTCCCATCTTCTTTTCTACGCAATGGTTGGGAGTTGAGGCCTCGCCACTCTAGAGGAAAAGATGCTAACAGTCATGCAGCTATTTTTGGTCTCCCTGGATACACATTAAAGGGCATAGAAAAGGAACTCTCAAAACACAGGCTTACGGCGCTCAAGGCCGAGGTATTGCTTATTCGATTACGACAGGGCATCGACGATTTCAGGAGGTCGACGGAGGCTGAGAGGGACGAGGTAATAGAGCGGTGGAAGAAGTTCTTGTCAGGTCACCAGTGAACCTGGTCGCACACATTGTATCTAAGATTTTCTTTGTTGTAAAACTTCACAGGCTAGCAGCAATTTTCCATTGTAATAGTAGCTAATGATGCATCGCGCTCGATGTCAACCACCAATATCCTCTGCAAGTTGAACATAGGCCAAGTGCTCAACTTCGTACGAGGCAGATCACGCTGTCCTTGTCGTTTTCATGAGTGCTCTTGATTGTATAGATAGACCCATCTACTCACACTTGCCATGGTCGAATGACTGGACTTTTTCAACCTAGAATTGAAGTTATCCTGAGCATACTCCGATAACGTCTCATGAAGCTTCTTATTATCGGTCAGCGGTCTCGAGTAAGTTCAATACCACGCCTTCGTACGTCTTGACTAAAGATAAGGCACCTTGATCTCATTCCCATGCAGAGCCTCTGTAAAGCGTTTGCATGTCATTTGACGAACTTGGACCACATCGACACTTGACTTGCCTCGCGTGAAGCACCCGAGTTGAATGGATCATCGGATGCAAGGATGAGCTGCCGAAGCTACCAGATCTTAGCCCGGACACGGCGGAAAACCAATGTGAGGGGCTGGCAAAACACCGGCGATTCTTCGAGTCTCAATGTTCCTATTTTGGACTTTGGAGGCTTTACTTCGGAGTAGGGAAGACGTTTGATTGGTGATTCTCATAAGTCTGCGGAAACGCCCCTCTTCTGCCCAGGATCAAGCTCCAGAAAAGCGGCCATCCACACCTCATCACCAGACAAACCTCAGACAACTTTTCGGTCTCTTCTTGTCCGTTCGTTACAACATCGTACCGATGGCGTCCATTCAGATGGTTAAAATATTGAGCCATGGCACTTACGATTGATCTGGAAACATACGACAACTTCTTGAGACTCTTCTCTCTAAAAACCCAGCAATCTAGCAAGTCCTAGTGTCGGATTGGAAGCACAATTCGGCTGCGAGTAAGGGCAGAGCATAGGCCACCTCGAGCGAGTACAATTAGACCTCGACTACCCAACCAACCTCCGGTTGGAATCTCCCTTTTACTCCTTACGCAGAATCAATCAATACAGAGATATTGATACTTCGTCACCCCCAGGACCCTACGGTTCGAACCAACTTCCCTGTGAAAGGAATACCAACACCTAGCCTTCAGATACAACTACAGCTGTGCGAACCGAATCTGAGACGCAGACGCAGGCGTACGGCAATGACAGGACTCCATGTGGTTGACGTACGCGTCGATCATTATCGACAGCCGTACACACTCGGTATCCACTTAAAAAGACCTCGGATCTCCTGGCGATTCAGCAACGCGCCCTCAAAATTCAATATTGGCGGTTGGGAAGTCAAGATCCAGAACCCCGACGGGTCTCATTCAGTCATCCAGAACAAGTCCGGCAGTCACGAGAACAGCTCAACGTCAGCCGAATGGCCCGAAGACATTCCTATACAATCTCGGCAAACGTACTCAATAGAGGTGAGGGCCAAAGGCGAAAAAGAAAACGACTTCTCGCCATGGAGCGAACCCTTCGACTTTGAAACAGGACTTTTAGCCCGCAGCGACTGGAACAGCAACCTGATCTCGGCGCCGTGGGCGGAAGTTAGCAAGAGTGGTCCCCAACCGGAGGACTTATTCCGAAAGGTCTTTGAAGCGAAGGGCAAAGTCCGCTCTGCACGACTTTACGCTACGGCACAGGGTGTCTACGAAGCCGAGATCAATGGCCAGAGAGTGGGCGATTACTTCCTGGCCCCTGGTTGGACGGCGTACGACGGGAGACTGCAGTACCAGACTTACGACGTCACGTCACAGATTGCATCGAATGCGTCGAATTGCGTCGGCATCCGCGTGGCTGAAGGCTGGTTTAACGGTCGTATTGGTTTCGAAGGTGGTAAACGGAGCATTTGGGGTACGCGGACTGCGGCTCTTGCCCAGCTTGAAGTCACATACGAGGATGGTTCCATGGAGACCGTGGCTACTGATGGTAGCTGGGCGACTACTCAAGGGCCCATCAAGCTTGCAGAGATCTACGACGGCGAAAAGTACAATGCTACCGCGGATATACCGGGATGGTCGAGCAGTGGTACACCTTCCGGAACATGGAATACAGTACAGATACTCCCTCAGATCCCTGAATCGACGGACCTCATATGCGGCTACGGGGAACCAGTCAAGAGACTCGAATATGTGAAGCCTGTGGAGTTGATCACGACCCCTTCAGGCAAGACAATTCTAGACTTCGGCCAGAACCTCATCGGGTTCATTCGTCTCAACAATGTCAGAGGTCAGCGAGGTAGTAAAATCACTCTACTCCACGCGGAAGTCTTAGAAAAAGATGAACTAGGAACTAGACCTCTGCGAGACTGCAAAGCCGAGGACATTTACACTCTCAGAGGAGACGAGAACGGCGAAACATGGGAACCGCGATTCAGCTTCCACGGCTTCCGTTACGTCCAAGTCGAGGGTTGGCCTTCGACCGCGCCCATTCTCAATGACTCAATTGAGGCCTGCGTGTGCCACACAGACATGGAAGAGGTCGGTAACTTTTCGTGCTCCGACATCGATTTGAACAAGCTCTACAGCAACGTCCGGTGGTCGATGCGCGGCAACTTCCTGTCTGTGCCGACTGATTGCCCTCAGAGAGATGAAAGACTGGGGTGGACGGGAGATCTGGCGTTGTTTGCGCCGACTGCTACTTTCATCTACAACTGCTTCGGGATTCTGAAGAGTTGGCTGGCCGATGTTGCCCACGATCAAAAGGTTCTGGATGGCGTTCCGCCGATGGTGTCCCCGAACGTGCTCATCGGACAGAAGAACTGGAGCAAAATTGGCGCCAACGCGATCTGGCATGATGTGGTGATACTTGCACCGTGGGCACTTTACGAAGAGTCTGCCGATCTTGGTATCTTGAGAGACCAATATCAGTCCATGAAGACTTGGATTGACGTGATTCCCCGGAACAAGACCGGCTCTACCCATCTCTGGGACTTTGGTCTCTTCCAGCTTGGTGTAAGTTATAGGACAATTTGCAGAGATCGAATGTTTTCACTTACGTTTCAAGGACTGGCTGGACCCCAACGCCCCTCCCGACGAGCCCATGAAGGCAGTGACTGACCCGCCCCTGGTCGCCAACGCCTTTCTCGTCAGGTCCCTTGACCTAATCACCAAGATCGCCGCGCTCTTATCTCAACCCGAAGACGCTGAACGCTATCAGGAAGAAGCCGATGCTGCCCGCCAGGAGTTCCAAGACGAATACGTCAGCAGCAATGGGCGTCTCACGTCAGACTCACAGACCGCATATGCCCTAGCAATCTGCTTCGACCTCATTTCTGAGAAACAGGCAGTCAGAGCAGGTAGCCGACTCGCAGAGATTGTCCGCCGCAACGGCTTCAGGATCGGCACCGGCTTCGCGGGAACACCGTACATCTGCGAAGCTCTCACTCGTACTGGCCATAGCGATGTAGCCTACGCGATGCTCCTCAACCGTAAGTGTCCTTCGTGGCTGTACCCCGTCACAATGGGGGCGACGACGGTCTGGGAGCGCTGGGATAGCATGTTGCCCAACGGTACGATCAACCCAGGCGACATGACTTCTTTCAATCACTACGCCTTTGGAGCGGTTGCCAAGTTCCTCGTTGAAAGGCTTGCGGGCTTGCAGCGCTTGGAGCCTGGATGGAGGCGTTCGAAAGCGGAGCCGTGTTTGGGCGCTGAGTTTACGCATGCCTCTGCCGAGCATATCACGCCATATGGAAAGGTTTCTTGCGCATGGAAACTGGTTGATGGGGGAGAGGGGCGTCTGCGACTCAAGGTGGATGTGGCTGTGCCACCTCTCACAGAGATGGAAGTAGTTTTGCCGACCAAAGATGGCAAGAGGATGGAGGTGGTAGGATCAGGTGAATGGTCATTTGAAACTGAATTTGAGCGCAAGTACGAATGGCCGGTCAAAGAACTGTCTCTCTTTCCGCAGTAGCCTCACAAGTTCTTGGGCTGGCGGAGAAGAGTTTGTTTGGAAGTAGGGACTTTGGTAACTTAATTTCGACGACGCATCACTCCGAGTTTCTTTACTCACACGAAGATGGTGAGGAGGACGAAGTAAACATGAGTACAAGTACTAGTTTTAAGGACAACGATATGAATGATTGAGATCGAAGTTGTGCATTAAAGAGTGTCATAATGTCGATTTTAGCTCGCAAGCCATAGAGCATGTCCAGTATTCCATCGCATACCAAGCCTCTGCATCTACCATCCACACGGTGCTATGTCGATGACCATAATATCCTTTGCCAACTTCGCTTACCCCTCGACACGCTATCTTAGTATGTGTTGACGGCCTTGATCTTGATGGAGTCCTTGGCCAGCTGCTCGTAATCGGCCTCACGCTTCTCCTCATCTCGCTTGTAGGTTCCAGCAGACTTGATGATGATGTTGGCCTTGGCGGCGTCCGCGTAGCTGGGTTCACGCTTCTCCTCATCCCGCTTGTACGTATTGACGGCCTTGATCTGAATGGAGTCCTTCGCCAGCTGCTCGTAATCGGCCTCACGCTTTTCATCATCTCTTGTAGGTTCCAGCAGACTTGATGATGATGTTGGCCTTTGCAGCATCAGCATAGCTAGCCTCGCGCTTCTCCTCGTCTCGCTTGTAGGTTCCAGCAGACTTGATGATGATGTTGGCCTTGGCGGCGTCCGCGTAGCTGGGTTCACGCTTCTCCTCATCCCGCTTGTACGTATTGACGGCCTTGATCTGAATGGAGTCCTTCGCCAGCTGCTCGTAATCGGCCTCACGCTTTTCATCATCTCTCTTGTAGGTTCCAGCAGACTTGATGATGATGTTGGCCTTTGCAGCATCAGCATAGCTAGCCTCGCGCTTTTCTTCCTCGACACCCTTGTACGTGCTGACGGACTTGATGTAGATTGAGTCCTTGGCAAGATCAGCGTAGTCGGCGGCCGGGGCGGCAACGGGAGCGGCGACGGCGCCGATGGCCTGGAGGGCGAGGACGGTGATAATAGACAGCTGCATGATAGCGGTGGACTCAAAATTATTGCAAGAGATGAGAAGATAAACGGCTTGGAGAGAAGGTCAAGAAAGTGATCGATTTAGCTCAACTACCTTAAGGTAGGTAGGTTATATACTGCCCCTTTACCCTTGTCTTCCACGATGTAACGAGAGAAACATGTCCTCCTTGGGCCTCTCGTATGGCGAATCTCTCTAACCCATTGCACCTCATCGGATCCTGCAGCCCTTCTTTCAAAGGTTCCCTTCAGTTCTCTCCTACTCATCTGGCCAAACAGTCGGGTTCGTAAGTCCTAGAAGGGAAGGTGAATAGACACGGAGCATGATGGATAAGATATAACCTATCAAGGCAGTCCCTTCACGATTAGACATCTGCAACTAAGACGTATAACCTTTGGGTTTGACGGTTGCCTGGGAGCTCCCGAACCTTCTATCCGCGCATGTGGCCATACAAAGATGCAAGAGCCCAAGTAAGCGACAGGCCTTGGCCGGGAATCCGATCCCACGGTGGCGGGGTTGCGCTTCCAATTGTTTTGCACTCTCGGACTTCCACGACTTGGTGTGCCCTGTCCTCTAGATGTGCATCTCATTCCGCCGCTCTGAATGGACGGGCTTGGCTGCGAAGCTTATGTTGACGTGGTCCACAATATGGTGACCTGGGATTTTTGAAGCGGCTCCCATGCGGAAACTAGGCCTGAATAAGAAGCTCACAAGTTAAAGGATCGCACTATGCAGAAGCAGGCTGGAGAGAGTGTTATCGGCCCATACAAGGCGTAATGGGGCAGGCCGATTGCCACATAGACATGCCGACGATTGTGCCGGAGGTGGGTGGCAGAGTATTATCGTACGTGATGGTGCATGGAAGCTAAGTTGGGGCTGTTGTTTCCCGTTCTCTCTATCCCATTCTCGTTCTCACCAACACCATCCGCAGGTAATCTTTCCATTCCCCGAACTGTCTGGTGGTATCACTCGCAGAGATGTGGTGGAAGTTCAAACCATCGTACGAAAGTTTGCCGCAGTCAGAGAGCATAGCAAGCGGGACATCGGCCTCCACGTCATGGCTTTCACATCGTTGGCCACGATCTACGGTTTGGCTTGGTTTAACGAACTTAATCACACTTGCTGTCCTGTTTTATAATCTCAGCCCACGTCAGTCTCAAATAGTCTTTCTCCAACAATGCACTGAGAGCCTATCGACGATATGTGAGTACGGAGTCTGTCTTTCGCCCGTGAAAGCTGTGACTGACTGAATAATGACTGCAGCGCCTGCATTTGAGGTGGTCAAGTACAAAGCACCGGAACATTACAACGCTGAGTTCAGGCAGACAAACAAATGGCGCGGTCCTCCCGGGACGCATTCGAACGATGTCGATATTGCATGGCACGAGATTGAACTTGGGGCTGGTGGCATCCGGGTCACTGATGAGGAACTAAAGTTGCTCAACATGACCGACTCGCCGGAAATGCCATTCCACAAAGTTCCCGATGAGCATGGAGGCGGCTACTTGGCGATGCTTGAAGTCTTCCATTTGCTTCACTGCTTGGTAGGCCCATCACCTACCTTCAATGGATCACTGTTTAGTATTGACACTTAGGCGTTCTAAGAACTCTTTGAGGATGGGTCTCTTCTACAATTATGAGCACTACAAGTTCTTGGACGAGGGTGTCCCTGATGAAAATATCTACAGTCATTTTGGTGAGTCTGATGTTCTTGAAAAGTCTGGACCAAGAGAACCGAATCTGACAACACAGACCACTGCATCGACATGCTGAGGATGAACCTGCAATGCCAGGGAGATGTCACGCCGGCCTTGTTCGTGGATCCCCTCGATAACCCTAAGCGACGAGATGCTTTGCCCAACTGGTCATCTATGCACACTTGCAGAGACTTTGATGCCATTCTAGATTGGAACAAGCATGGACCAAGATCGGTGCGGTGGCGCGATGCCGGGTCCAACCCATCTTGGGACCCTAATGTTGAGGGTGCCGAGCCGCCCTTCCCGCCAGAAGGGAAGAAGGAAGAGCATCATCACTCATAGCCGGTCGGAAAAGCGGGATAATGCCAGTTATGAATAATTACATTGAGAGTATTCTCGGGAGCCGAACACCATGATCAACCAATTCCCCCTAAGTATGGCCCTCTAGCACAGTTGTGGGAATTGTGAACATCCGCTGTATGGTATAGTTTATATCTGCCATCGGACGACCCTCAATCGCAAAGCTGATCTTGCCCCCGGGCCTTTTCGAAAGTAGTTGGAATGTGCCGACATCTCCGACACCAGCCAGTGCATCGGTGTAGTGACGTCCGAAGGCTTCTAAATCGTTGATCTCCACAATCAAATGCTGGAAGAGGCTCTTGTCGGATCCCATAAGCTTGAGATCCCAGAACGTAGCCTGGATCGTATCAATGTTGAAATCAACCCAGACATATCGCGGCTTCAAGCCACCGGTGAAGGCTCTGGCATACAGACCGAGGTTGCGCGATTCTCGACAAGTCTGCTGTCGCAAAAACGACGCCGTTAATTACGGGCAGCAATTAACGCCATATATATCCTACGACATCTGCAAAATTGCTGGCACAGAAATTGGCGAATGGCAGTGGATCAAGGCAGACTCGAGTGGTTGACGGCGGTATTTTGCGGGCTCATCACAGGTTCGAATGACTAGGGTCCGCGGCTCTTTCGCAAGATGCCATATTTGAATGCGTAGCTCGAACGGGAGCTCCGAGAATAAGTGAAAGGATGCCATTACTGAAGTTTTGATATCAACGCGGGTTCAAGCGCAGCTTTGGAAAGAATCTCATTCAAGGCAAGTAAGCTGAAATTGGAAATGTAGATTGATAAATCGCCTGCTCGTTATCTGGCACCGGGCAGGATGGCGCCGGCAATCTGAGGTCTGTGATTGTCGTGCTTGCGCAGACTCTATTGCGAGTCAACATTTTCAAGTTTTACTCTCGAGGAAATCGTGCATCACGTCATTGCTTGCCTTACCGGGCATCGTGCATGTGAGACATCTCAACAATCCCTATGAGGCTAGACATCATGTGATGAACTTGCGAACGTCCAATCCCGAAAGACCAACTCTTGTTGGATAATTGAGGGCAAAGTGCCTTATCCCAGTTAGTTAAGGCAAAGAAGACAAAATAGGATTGGAGATGATGATGATACGCTCTCGATTAAAACATGTGAGCCATACCAAGGCTGAGATATTGGGCGAAGTCATTTGTGTTCATTCATGTATGATGTTGATGAAGTAGAGTCAAGATCCAACTTTGCAACGTACTTGGGTCAACTCTGTTTCCAGAGTGCGTGACGTCATTGCTGGATATCACAACTGCACTCACTAAAACTGCGAGTGAGGTTCTGTTACTTGTGTGCCTGGAGTCGTCGTCCATGATCGCGAACGAGGTCAGCAACCTTCTAGACAAATTCGCCAAAGATCGGCCGGAACCAAAAATCACGCGCGAACCTTGGGTTAGTCGCGGCACACCAAGGGACATCGCACGGAACTTAAGTAATTACCGCGCACGCGATGCGCACATGTCGGCCGAATGATGCCACGGAGCAGGCCGAGTGAAAGGCGTGGACTCCCCCGCACTGTTGCATGCCAAGCTTCCCGTTGCCCGAGGTCGTCCAGATTGGCAGTGCGATCAGCGGAAGCAAGATCTCATCTCCGCAGCAATTGTGCCGCTCCATGAGTTGAACCTTGACTATTCCAGGAGGTGCGCAAGGCTTCACTATAGAGGAGTTAAAGTTATTGGTGGGATTGGCGTGGAGACATCGCGGCATTGGTGCCCTGCTTGCCGTGATCGCTTCTTTCGGCTCAGTCTCCGCCGAGATGCGACGATGCGACTTTGACAGTTTGTTAGAAGGGGCAAGGTAGATTAAAGACTCAATTCTCATGGCAATAAATCAGGCTCATAAGCCCAGGTGTGAAGACAGCTCCAGTCTTTCCGATCACGTTCTAGTCTTTTGAGGTTGTTCAGCATTTATTAGCGATATCCCCTGTCATTCCAGTCAGAACCTACCAAAGCTCCAAAATGAGAGTTAACCAAACTTTAACAATAGTCGCCGCGGCATTGACGGCCGTCTCCGCTGTTCCGTTCAGTTCACTTGGCGCGCTTCAGACGCGCGATGACAAGCCGCCATACTTTCTCTTGACCGGCGATTCCACCGTTGCCATCGGCGGAGGCTGGGGAAATGGCTTCCTCTCGTTTGTTGAGTCGCCGGCCGACGGAAAGAACTACGGCAAGAGCGGAGCGACGACCGTGTCTTTCCGGGCTCAGGGTATCTGGGACACCGTGATTGGCGAAGTTGAAGCGAACAAAGATGCGTTTAGCCCGATTGTCACGATTCAGTTTGGCCACAACGACCAAAAGGCTGCGGCGAACATCTCTGCCGACCAGTTCCAAGCAAATTTGGAAAAGTTGGCTAACGAAGTCACTGCTGCTGGCGGAACCCCCGTGAGTAAACACTTGATGGAAGTATAAGGAAATCCATCAGTACAGCATACTGACGTCCAACGCAGATTTTGATCACGTCACTTACACGCCGCACCTTCAGCGGCGGCAAGGTTATCCAGAACTTGGAAAATGAGCGCCTCAGAGCCATCGCTGCCGCGGAAGCCGTGGGTGCGACGTACCTTGACCTCAACACCGCCAGCACCAACTACATCAACGCCATCGGAAACGAGAACGGGCACAAGTACGACCTTGCTTCGGGCGACTCCACGCACCTGAACACCGCTGGAGAAGTCGTCTTTGGTCGCCTTGTTGCAGACCTTCTTCTCGAGAAGCGGACTGATCTTGCCGTTTATATTAGAGAGAACAAGGCTCTTAGCGACAAAATCAAGGCTGGAGAGTTTGCGACGGGCGATGAGACTGATTAAGTCTTGCGAGCGTCTATCTCCATCAGGGACAGGGCATTTGAGTATTGGTGAACAAAGCCCAGCATATGGTCGAGCACGTGTATATACATGGGGAAAAGTGGTAAATCTAGCTAGTATATACAAGTCAAGGTTGATATCAATTTCGGGAGATACTGTTTCAAGTAACAATCCTAAACCGTGTAAAGGTGTATCGAAGACAGCACTCTAGAGATAGAAACCATGTAAAGGCTACAGCGGAACAGGTAGTTGGTGAGTTTGCCGCCAGCCCTCGCCAAGTCGAACGGTCAGGTATCCAAGCCCAGCACAGATGAACTGTATTCCAGCTGACATTGTTGAAACCCAGCCGACACCGATAGCTTCTATCAGAGGAAGACACACCGCAGTTGCGAGGCCAGCGAATATGTATCGCATGAGGTAGTGACTGTCTGCAAGAATTTGAGCATCAATATCATGCGCGGGATCACAGAAAGCGGGTATTTCAACTTACCTGAAGCTTCTCCATTTTGATGTTGCATGACATCCAGAATGTAAGCATTCAAGCTCGGAAACGCAGCCAACTGCGCGATACCCTGCAGGAACATGCAGATAATAGGCAGAGAGATACCGCCGAACCTTTTGTCTAGCGTCCAGCCATACAGAACCATCGATCCTGGCAACATCAAGCCAAGGAAGACCAGACTGCTTCGGAGTCTGTCCTCAGACAAGCGGATACCGCGCTTCCGGATCCATGAGCTAACGGTGTAATCAGCCCATCGCCCACCAATCTGGCAGCCTACTACATATCCCAATCCAGGTGCAATGTAGAGCAGCCCTGATTGCAGTGGCGTAGTGAGGTGGAATCTGGGGTTTAGCACGTATCTGATTGGGGTGAGTAAAGAGTACATGTTCCAAACCAGAGACGAGGAAGCGAGGTACTGTTTAACTGATTAGTATCTTGATAACATTATGAATTATCAGTACGACATGAAAGGAGCAGGGAATCTTACGATGAGAAGCATGTTCCTATTGCCGTAGATCTTGACGACTCTGATTGTGTCGGATTGGAAGTCCAATTCGGCCGCGAGTAGGGGCAGAGCATGGGCCACCTCGAGGGGGTACACTTAGACCTCGACTACCCACCCAACCTCCGGTTGGAATCTCCCTTCTACTCCTTACGCAGAATCAATCAATACAGAGATATTGATACTTCGTCACCCCCAGGACCCTACGGTTCGAACCAAATTCCCTGTGAAAGGAATACCAACAGATTGGGTTTTCCCATTGCCAAAGCTTGACGCATTTTTGGACTGGTCCAAGCCCTGCCCTCGCCCTCGCGAGACCGGTGAAGTGTCTCAGGGAGGCAGAAGAAGACAAGAACTAGTGCGATGGCGGCAAGTGAAGCTTGGATCCAGAAGATGACACGCCATGAAGTGAAGGTCACGACTATTACCCCGAGAAGCGGTCCGAAAGCTGGACCAATGGTAGTGCCGCTCAAGAACTAGCCCAAAGATGTGGCTCGCTCGGTCTGCAGCCGGGAAAGGTAGATGTAAGCTTAAGTAGTTACGCGATCAAAGGCATGGTCGTTGTGAATAATTTTACGGGATGGTAGATGTCAGAAATGCAACTAGATCCAAGAATGAGAAATGATGTTCCCTGAAATGCCGTGAAAGCCCTGAAAAGGAAGAACAGCTCTAGTTGAGGCGCCAAAGCCGTTCCAATTGTGAAAACAAGAAATAATGTGAGGCTGTAGAGATAGGCCTATGACTCAGTCAGAAGTGCCCAGTCCTGTCTAGTAATCTTGGAATATAACATACGGAGCGACGGCCGAAAATGTCGGCCCAAGGTCCCCAAATGAACGACGAAAGGCCCATGAACGCAAGGTAGACTGCATTGCTGATGCTAACGACATTCGCTGTGGTGTTGTATGTTGCGACGATCTCTGGAACTGCGGCTAACACGCTGGTCGTTGAAACTTGAGCGAGAAAGCCACAGAATGCAGCAATGGCGGTGATCGTGCGCTTCTGCAAGGGCCTGAAGCGAGAGTACACCGGAACTTGAACGCGACCTTGGCCCTCGAGGGGGGCCTCCGGATTAATTGACGCCATGGTTGTCCACGATAAATATGCTGTAGCTGTGTAAAAGCAACAATTTGAGACTTATGAACGCAAGAGACCATCCCTTCATTACGACTGTGACTTTTTGCAACAGGAAACTTTCCGGCTCAATTGTAGGGCAAGCCGATGTCGGGCGGTCCATTGGGAACTCAATACAGGCTACGGTAGCTTAGTCCCTGAAGCCAATTCGGAGACTGCTGGGCGACTGAGTAAAGGACCCTACTAATAGGGAAATTGCTGCGATGAGTCAGGCTCGATAACATGGACCGGCCCTCATCGGTGGCTGCCGGCTACCGGATTTACGGCACATCGGTCAAAGCCATTCCTCCCGGCCGATGAACGCGCTCTATAGTGGAGACTTACCTCCGTCCACCGTGTTGTTTACCTGCCTTTCATAGTACGGCAATTGCTTGCTCTTACTTCTTGTTAACGAAATCAAAGTCAAACCAACCTGCGTATGTTTAAAAGCATCGAGCAAAAGGGAGAGGCCAGGACCGACCGACGTTGCCGAAGAGGATTGAGAATCCCCAGTAATTCGGCAAGCAACATGTGTAGAACGTTTAGCAATTGAGCACCAACAGGGTGAAGAAATTCTTGATTCATCACCATCCATGTCTACACTCAGATTATTCCAGAATCCGCCTCCGACCGAATGCAAAACGTCCAAACAGCCGAGCACATCGCAGGTTTGCGACTAAAACACCGCGTCTGAGCGCTCCAGAAGCAACAGTCCCCGGACTTCCGCCAAGATCCGGGAGCCAACAGCCAGCACATGACCAGAAAGAAGGTGACTTTGAGCCACCCTGGCTCTTCCACAAATGAATACGCAAGAGCGATTTTTGTTGTATGGTATCATTGGTAATTACATGATGCAAATTCCTCGGTTGCATTCCTGTGTAGTGGTTAGCCGTAGGCTTAGACTCTGAATACCTAGTTGACAGTTGACAAACCCCTTTGTCGCGAGCGACGCAGATCTTCACATTGATCAGTTAGCCACAAAAGATCGAGAACCCATACTACACCTAGAAGACGACCTACGCAGTTTTCGGCCCGGTCATGTCTGCAGCATACTTGGCCTTCTTGAGGATAAACGGCGCGCTTTGTCAGGAGAGCAGGGCTTGCGGCAGTCGCAGCGGCAGCAAAAAGGACGAGAGAAAAAAAGAACTTCATCTTGGCGATGCGGCTTAGCAGGGCCGTTGAATTACTGGGTGAGTAGTCGTAAAGTCAAGATCGAAGGGCAAGAAAAAGCAGTGTGCAGAAATAGGCTGCTTTTAACATCTCATCACAGAGCTGTGGTCTCAACTTTTTGCACAGACTTTGCATGCGTTTTCAAGCAATTGAAACCTGGACCGCAACGCATTGTTCTACGCTCTGACGAAACATCACGTTGTCGGCTATCAGCCGAACGCTATTCATCGCGAGTCCATGCACATACAACTCTTTGATGGAAATCGTCTTCTGCATGTTTTGAGGATCTGAATAAGTCCCGCAGCACATGGCCAGGCGCACAGTCAGCGACTTTATTGCTCCAGTCAGCGGGAATTGTACCTCTAACCATTCTGTACAGGATCGTTGAGTTGCTTATGTCAATGACGTCAAGACTTGGTGGTGTAAGGTACTTTACCAGGACATCAGACTGGGTGACTACTTTATGGGCATTTCATTATTGGCCTCCTTCAGGCCTTTGGCGGTAGGTGGCATTTAGCAATAGTTTCGATGACTTTGTGTCGAGGGACCTGTAGACATAATTCCACGGTGATACAAGGGGCCTTTTTTGTTCACATCTTCTGGTAAAATGATGGCATGATCTCGGGCTTGCCTCATTCTTGGCAAAGCTAGAGACCATGGTAGGTTGATGGAAGAGCAACATTGGCTGAGATGAAGGCCATATCATTGAGAGTATTCTCCGCACATTATGTCATATTCACCCGTCTATACAAGATCTTTAGGGCTCTTCTGCTGCTCGTCGTCTACAAAGATAGACACCTGCATCGTCTTTGTTATTCCTTCGCTTCCGCTACCGTGGTCCGGGATAATGCTTTCCTCTGAACCCATCTTGGAGCGAAATCCTGAGCGAATAGCAGCTGTGTTTCGAGGCTGCCCAAACATCTCGAAGTTTCCTTCTGCGGTGTGCGCTCCTCTAGATTTGCTTGCATTCTTGTTCCGCATGTACCCGTCGTTGTTGTACTTTGACGAGTTGTACTGTTCAGCTGACGACCCAGCAAGTATGGCTTTGAATAGAGGCTTGAGGCATGGTATCGAGGCTGCAATAATCGCAGTGCATATTTCGACAGTCGTCCTAGGAAACGCAGATGTTAGGAAGCGGACACTCAAAGTACAAAGTCACCAAGATAGTCGAGGACTCACCAAATGGTTATATCAGTGCTGTTAAACAGGAAGTCACCGTGTTTTCCGTAACCCGATAGGAATGATATCTTGATAACTGCCGCTATAGTCGCACTTAAAAGTAGTTGTCAGCGTTCCTTACTTTCACAGCTCGTGCAGAAGACTTACAAAATTCCGAGAGACAGCACTCCGATGACGGCAGATTTGACTTTCCAGTTTAGTTGCACCTTCCACATTATTGGTACTGGCAAGAGAGCGAAAAGAAGATCGGTCAAAACAGATACGCCTTACAGCTGTTAGCTTACAGAGAGACATACTCTTCGGGAAGAGGGACATCGTGTAACTCACTCGAGTTGAAGAAGGCAGCGAATTTGAGATCTGTTTGTGGGATACACTTTCCTCCTTCAATAGAGAAATCCCACGTGAATGCTAACGGCTGACATTGGAAGAAGACGGTCACTAAAGTGATATCAGCACGAGATCGCTTTCGACCGCTCATCCCGGAGCTTTGGGCGTAGATCAACCCACAGAAGTTTCCAATTGCTGAAAACACCGTGAAGACGATTATTCCCCAAATGACATGCCGGTATCTTCCAGATGGTGTGATTCTCAACAGAAACATGCCCACACTAACTTTGGCCAAACACAGCGCAATTAGGCACAAAGGCTGCGTGACGAAATTCAGATGAAGGCCTTTGACGATGTTGCTCTTCGGTTCGATGTATTGGATATGTCGACCTGCGCCGTAGTTGACCTCGGGAATGATGACCATCATTTCTGCAAAGATAGTGACCTTGACGAAAACGTTGTTTTAGCTTCAGCCTTCCTGCAATCCGGCCCGTACCTTCACCGACAATACATGAGAAGAGATCTTACCGTAGCTGCGATCATGAAGTAGTCATCGAGGCCGACAAGCCGGACGAGTCTCGCCCTGACCCAAATTCTCAAGATGACAACGGCCACGGAAAGGCCAACCAGAGTCCCGCATACTATCAGGATCTCGCTGCCTCTGTTAATGTCGGATGGAAAGGGGACTGAGTCGCCCATGACGGGCTGGGCTGCATGGACAACCTGAAAAGCAATGATGCGAGAGACTGCAGTCCAAACTCCTCGGTGATCAAGAATTGTCTTTATTCCCATCCCCAGTGAAAGAGGGCCCGCAAGGATTCGGCCACGCTATCGCTTTGTGGCTCATGGCTGACGTTGCCCTCTCCCTCATCCTTCCGAATCATCTCTTTCAGGTTGAAGGCCTATACATTACTCCGTACTAAGTAGGAACATGACGATAAATGCCCACTCTCGGCGATTGACTCAGCTCAGTATCTTGCGAAGAATTTGGCACCATATTTCAGGGGTACTAGTAGATCAATCAAAGTTATGGAGTACGGAGTATCTCTCGTCGAAGTTGGTCAAAGTTTCCAACACGGTTAATTTTGATGCCCCGCTTGATGAACATCACGAACATGTTGGCAAGCGGGCCATCCTTCAGTGGGTCCACCATATCCAACAACCCTGCATGCTAGCGTACTTTATGAGTCTGTCTTTGGAGTCGGAAAGCTTGGATCAGCAATACCGGATCTACGCTCTTGATAAACGCGTTGCTCACGATCGGATCCGGTGAGGTGTTACATCATTAGATGATCAGACTGCATCTGTATAGTTACGTGCCAAGATCCCAGTGCAGCAGTTGGTGCCGCCGGCTCACGGACCGTCGAACTGGGTCAGGGGTGAGCCATCTGCAACGAACAATCACCATGATTTTTGACGGGAACATCCACATCTCGTGCGAGCTACCTCTTTGCGACAGCCAACCGACCTGCTTATGATCTTGGCCAGGCCTTCACAGTGGCACGTATCGACTAGACCTTGTCACCTGTGCTGTGCATGATTGAAACTTTGGTCAGGCTGAGATTGCCTCTTCTGTGATGCTTGCAGTACGTTTGCACAATGCACTTCTGTAGCTCGAAATAAAGCCTGCTTGTCTGCAACGCAAGGGTTGAACCCACGAAAGATTTGAATGGTCAATGCGTCCCATCGTATTCATGTTGGCATGACTTGTATTTTTAATTAGTCCCACACTAAGAGGCATACAATTGGCGGGATGATGTGGCAGCAAGAGGCAATTCACCCTCGGATTCGAAGCCTTGCAGCGAGTATAGACAGAATTTGGGCTTCCAGACGGCTAGGCGAGTACATGTATTCTTGATGGTTATCCGTTCAGACTCAAAGCCATAATTAGTTGGAAGCCGAGCTCAGCGAACCGCCCAAGTAGACGGTTCAGATGTTCCTTTCGTGCCGCCGCCCAAGTAACACCGCTTGGCGGCACGAAAAACTTTAGGTCTGGGTCTACTTGCAACTCAAGGAGGCAGGCCGAAAAAAGACCACGCCATGGGGATTTCGGAGACGTTTATGTCGCAAGATGATACTTTATCGTGCGAATACGACAAGAAGAACTCGAACAAATTGGTCTTTGACGGTGTGCCGGCGGCAACCTAAAGACCCTTGAGCAAGCGCCGAGCCTCTGCCGACCCCGGCGCCCCGGTCTTCGTATCGATAGATCGCACGGTGTACGGATAGGCAACCGGGACGAAGCGGCGGCCACTCTTCCGTTGACTCCTTTCCCGTACAGGGGTACCATGATAATGGACTGCCAGGACTGGTACATGGCCACAGTTACTGAGACCCGCTAAGAGAATTGTGTGCGGGCACGACAGGGCGGCACAGGCGGGAAGTGAGGTCAGCATGCGATGTGCTTGGTGAGTTCTTCGAAATAAGTAAGGTAGTTGAAAATTGTCACGAATCAGCATATAGAGTAGCTGTGGGACTGTGGATACCTGAGGCAGTGGCTGGTGCCCCAGACACCAGCTGCCTGATCCACCTCCTGGTTGATCCAGCCCACCGCAGCCACCTTCACCACAACATCACCAACCAACCGTCAATACCAGTCGTATTGCCTCATTGCTTGCCTCGTTGGTCCAGATGAGCAGTGTGTACTGCCCACAGTAGCTCATGGAAATCGGGATCTCAATTGTGGTCTAATCAACTATGAAAAGAGGAAAAGGGAAGCCCTCGAGGGAGCCCCTTTTGTATGCCCATACCCCTGTCTACACCTTACCTCTACCCCTGAGGTATCCACTGCTATACCTCTTTCGTGACAAAGATTGAGTTGGTTGGTTCGGATGCAGCCAGACTTCCTGTCTTGCCACTCCACCGCAACATCACAGGCATCTTGCATACAGCACCGCAAGCCTGCATCGGTTGCCGGCTCAAAATGATTTAGCAAGTTTTCCATCGAGCCACTGAAGCTTCTATTGATATGACTGTGGAAATTCTCCAACCTACCGGCATGATGGTTCGCAAACCCCTGCTGCGAACGCTGCTACGCTCGCCTTTATTAGTCTCGGTAACTGCTGGTCAGTGCAGTTGTTTCTCCCAACCTTTGCCTTTGTGTTCAGAGAGACATACACTTTCTTGTGATCTGCACCTCATTTCAATTTGACAGAGCCGTGCAGCATGAAGGTTTCGTCTGTCGTCTCGTCAGCCATCCTGGCTTCGGTCGCGCTCGCTGCACCCTCGGTCAAGCCACGCGGCGACGCAACCACAGACCAGGCGCAGTTTGCCGATCTCACTGCCGGCATCCAAGCCGATGTGCTCGAGGCACTGGATGAGCGGGAGGCTAGGTTGAAAAAGAGTGGTGAATCTGCCAACTGCACCACAAGCAACATTGTATTCCGTAAGGAGTAGTAAGTGCTGAGATTTGTGTCCAAAATCATTGTTGAAGACTGGAGACTGACGAGCAAATAGTGGCGCTCTCTCTTTGAGCGAGAGGCTTTCTTATGTGAACGCCGTCAAGTGTCTTCAACGCCTGCCACCACGAACACCGGCCAATGTCTCTGCTGGCGCTCGATCTCGGGTATGCAATAATATCCACGGCTTTATCCGAGCTTTTTTAGCGCGGCAACCCGGGCTTGACTGACTCGTTGAATAGTTTGATGACTTTGTCGTGACCCATATTCAGCAGACCATGACGATCCACTACACAGGTAACTTTATGCCGTGGCATCGGTGGTTCGTCTATCTCTATGAGAAGGCCTTGCGCGATGAATGTGGCTACACCGGCTATCAACCCGTGAGTTCTTTCGAACTACGTGATTTTTTCACCTTTTCTAACACTTAGATATCAGTACTGGGACTGGCCCAAGTATGCTTCCGCACCTGAAAAGTCCCCTATTTTCAATGGAGACCCTTACAGTCTCGGCGGAAACGGCGAGTACACCCCCCATGACGGGCCTGTCATTGAGCCGCCCGAAGGGATTGGCGGCTCAAGCATCCAATTGCCTGCTGGTGTCGGCGGAGGATTCGTGACTACCGGACCGTTTGCGAACATGACTGTACATCTTGGCCCGGTCGGCGGTCTTGAGGGCACGGCGCCCGGGCCGGACGGTGGTTTAGGTTACAACCCTCGCGGCCTGAAGCGTGACGTCGGCCCGGCCATGAACCAAAGATACGCCAACTACACAACGGTATTGAGTGAGTATCTCTCCATGTGCCTATCAAGTGACTACATGTAATATCGAGGCTGACAAACTTCCCAGACTTGTTGCTCAAGCCCAACATCTCAGAGTACAGGCTTTTGAGCGAGGGAGTTCCCTATACCCCTGAGATTGGACCGCACGGAGGAATGCATTACGCCATCTCCGGTGATCCAGGTGCGGACCTGTTCACGTCACCTGGCGACCCTGCATTTTGGGTTCATCACGGTATGATGGACCGCATGTGGACTTTTTGGTAAGAATTTCAGGATTCAATCGTATTCGATGACATCTAATTTTTGGACTAATAGGCAAGCGCTTGATCCTATCGCACGCCAACAAGAGCTGAACGGAGGTGACTACGGCCACATCACTTGGGCCAACAGCCCGCCATCCGTGAAGACCCAGCTCACGGACGTTATCGACATGGGATACACGGGACCCTCAATCAAGGTTGAAGATGTGATGGACACCATGTCGGGACCATTCTGCTACTTCTACCTTTGACGCTCTGACTGAGCTGGCGAGTCTCATCCCGCTCACAGTCCGGATAGACATCGACAGATCTTTTCGAACCACGGAAATATGGAGCTTAGATGTAGTAAGGTACTTAGTGTCTAATGAATTATGTATGAAGGTATGTAAGTATGAAGTCACGCGATGAAGGGCGGCGGTCTTGATGTTGCTACATGAAGATGACCGGGTACTACAGAACAATAATAATACTTGACGCATGTCCCATTGCCTCTTTGTCTTGAATATGACATGTACGAGATTCACGTGAACAAATAATTGCGACCTAACTCATCATAGACTTCAGCCAAGTTCGGGGCCCCTTCTCGGAGTTACGCCCCTCAACACCCTTGTGAGAGCCCTCGATAATCTCGGTGTCCAGCGGCAACACTCCCAGCTTCCTTGCCTCTTCATCAGTTAAAGTCGCATAGTAGTCCACCTCATCAATAACACCAGCTTCCGGAGGGGGCCAGATGGTGTTGATACCCAGATGAAGCAAGAATGATATAGCGAAGCCTAGTGGGAACGCCAAGTAGTAGAGATTGATCCAACCCTCGGCAACCTTGACGCTGTTAGGGGTAACGCTCGCAGCAAAACCTGGGAGCTGCGTCGCAAAACCACACACCCAGGCGATAAAGGTTCTGGGGTTGAAGCCCTTGTAGTAGTAAAAAGAGCCATCTGGACGAGGGTGGTAGAGATCCGACAACTTGATTCTGCGTCTGCGGATGATGAAGTAGTCGCAGATCTGGATGCCGATAATGGGACCAAGGAAGACGCTGTAAGCAGATAGGATGCTGATGAAGACAGCTGCCGATGACAGGAGCTCCCACGGGCAAAGTGCGATGCTCAGCACGAGACCGATGTAAGCCCCGCGTCTGATGTTGATGTATCGACAGAACAGACCAGACAGATCCATGCCAGCGGAGAAAGCATTGTCAACAGAGTTGATGCTCAGTTGGATACACAAGAGACCAAGTCCAGCAAAGAAGGCCCCTGCACGGCTTTTGGCATTGTAGTCTGTATCTAACCATGATTGAACGATCAAGGGCGGGTTCCAGATCGGTTCACCGTAGATGACACCAGTTGCTGAGGCAGCCAAGCAGCCAAAGGTAGGGAAGATGGCCCCAAAGAAGATGATGCTGAACCATTGTCCGAAGATCTGGTCTCCAGGTTTCCGAGCAAAGCGACAGTAGTCCGGTTGGTTGGTCAATCCGACAGCAATGCTGCCGATGACCGTGGTGATGCCGTGGACGATTTGCCAGCCGAGTTCGCTTGAGGACATTTGCTTTGACCCTTGGCGGACCAGAGACCCTGCTTCGCCGGCTGTGGCTAAAGCCCATATCATGATGGATATCAGAGTAATCGAAGAGATGATGTTGAAAGCAAGAATGATTTTCTGAATCCTCTCAGGCCGAACGTAGAGGATAGGAATGAGGAGAACGTTGAAGATGATCCAACCGATGAAGTCTTTGGTGGTAAGGTGCGAAGATTCGGGGAACACGTTGCCTAGCGATTCGAATGAAGGGAAGATTGCCGAAAGACTGAAGTCTGTGAGTAATAGGTCACGCGGAGGGAATTCGTGTCTTTATTACTGACCAGTTGACAACTGTCAAACCTCCAGTCCATGACTGCACAGCGAACCACACCAAACTAAGGATGATTCTCTGGATCAGAATGATGTACTGCCCGTACACACCCCAGATATATCGTGAAACAACCGGAAATCCAATGTGCCAATGAGCGCCTACATGTCCGTTGAAGATGGCAACAAGGGCGATGATAATCTTGCCGATGACAATGGCAATCACGCTCTGCCAGACGGATAGTCCAGTAGCAACAAGGGATGCGCCGAGCTGCCAATTAGAAACTATCACAGTGTTAGTTGAGCCAACAAACTTATTAACACCAATGATTCACTGACTGGCAACCTGGTTAGTTAACCAGAATGAGATGAAAGTCGATGTTGTCCATCTTCGACGGCTTGGAGGCAAAGGCCTGATGTCTTCGTTGATCCACAGGTTGGACTCGGCCACATCAGTGTCGGGTAGCCGTGCCCATCTCAAAAGCCCGCTGAGACTCATATTAACAACTACGAATCTGAGATATTGAGAGTCTCTGAAGGGTTCGTAGGCCAGGACGAGGGACATTAACTTGGTTTAATGGACCCGGGCCCGAAGAGAGTCAACGCTCACGCGAATGTCGGATGAAGTTCCTCCATGTCGGTAATGCCCCTGATACGTTGCATCGGCGCCCGCTTGGCAGACTTTCACGTCATCTAAAGCCTCTATCGATAACCCAAACACGAGCATTATGTACGTGTAGATATCGACTTAGGCTATTTCTTATCGTTGGAGAATGCCTCCAAACACTCCGTAGGTGTGAAGCTCTTATCATAGTTCAAGCGAGTGTGGAGCATGGACGGTGATAAGCACGGCATTGGGCAAAGTCTGGAGATCAACAACCCAGGGGATCCAAGTTTACCCTGCAACCTCATCGTTCGGCATCTGGTCTCCGGACCTTTAAGCGCATGTTTTCACGGAGGGGACACGCGGTTGTACCTGCCCGATTATCTATCATTATCTATCCTTTGCGCCGTCCTAAAGACTAGTGGCATACGGTATCTGACCGTGGCCGTGGTGTTGGGAACTCATTCAACCGCTTTATCCGCTTCGACCACATGCCTGTGGGATGATCTGCGACGACACGAGCTTTGGCCAAGGACCAGCGACATTGCCATTCGGGGTCTGTTGGCGCGAATTGCTTGGAGCAAAAGAGATGGGCGCAACTTATATGAGACTCTGACAACAAAATTCGTATTGCTGAGAAAGTCGTGGAGCGGAAACAAGAAAACACCAACACTGTGAGGAGCCAAGCTGTGATCTGACTACCAAAATGGGAGAGATGCCACCAGCACGGCGGACTGTACGGATTGGTGTTGACGTTGGAGGTGAGTCTACGAGCTCCATCCGTCAGCTCAGACACGAGGAGGATTGACATCCTGGTGTGCCGCTCGTCTTGTCGAATAGAGACTTTACTGAAGAGCAATCCGGCTGACAGCTTGACTTCGAAGGAACAAACACGGATGCCGTCGCAATCGACTTGAGTCTCCAAAATACCGCGGACCGCGGGGTCCTGGCACATTTCAAAACTCCAACGACCCCAGACGCCAGTGCAGGCATTGAGACCGCCGTAAGCACCGTTCTCGCCGCCGCCGGTCTGACCAACTCGCCAGAACGCATCGCGAGCGTCACCATCGGGACAACGCACTTTATCAACGCAGTAATTGAGCGCGATGTTCGTCGCCTGCAGCGCGTCGGCGTCCTCCGACTGAGTAAATCCTTCCTACGTGAAGTACCTGCTTTCGCCGAATTTCCTCCGGACCTGGCAGCCGTGATCCAGTCTTACGTGGGCATCGTCGACGGCGGATTACACATTGACGGCTCGCAGGAGGCGCCGGTAGTGGAATCTCAGGTCGTTGCTGAGTGCGTCAAGATTCGCGAGAGTGGCGTCGGCGCCGTTGTTGTGTCTGGTGTATACTCGCCCATCGACGAAGTGTTTGGGCAAGAGGAAAAGGTTCGCAACATCCTTCTCCGCGAAGTCCCTGGCGTGGATGTCGTGTGCAGCAAAGAGGCTAGTGCGAGCATCGGCTTCATTGAGCGAGAGAATGCCGCCATCCTGAACGGTGCTATCCTGCGCTATGCAAGGAAGACTGTGAGCAGATTCCGTCTTGCAATGAAGAGGCTTAATCTCTCTTGCCCTCTCTTCTTGACTCAGAACGATGGCACAATTCTGGACGCAGCGTCTGCGGCAAAGATTCCGATTAGGACCTTTTCGAGCGGTCCCACAAACTCGATGCGCGGCGCGGCATACCTCGCGGGCCTAGACACCGGCGGTGACAGCTCTGCAATTGTGGTTGACATTGGTGGAACTACATCTGATGTTGGCGTCCTACTTCCCTCAGGCATGCCTCGACAAGCATCGGCCTACGTTACGGTAGCTGGGGTGAGAGTCAACTACTCCATGCCTCATCTTCACTCTGTCGGTCTCGGCGGAGGTTCCATCGTCAGACACGTTGATGGCAAGGTCAAAGTTGGTCCCGAGTCTGTCGGACTCGAGCTGACCACACGTGCGCTTGTCTTTGGCGGAGACGTTTGCACGACAACAGATATTGCAGTCGCAGCTGGCAAAGCAGTCGTAGGTGCAACCGAGCACGCCGAGAGTCTCGACGCCACCTTTGTGGAAGAAGCAATCCTCCGCATCAAAGCACTGTTGGAAGGTGCCGTTGACGTTATCAAGACTTCACCAGACCCCGTCCCGGTACTCCTCGTCGGTGGAGGCGCCATTCTATCACCAGAGAGCCTGAAAGGTGCCTCAAAGCTTGTTCGACCGCCGTTCCACGATGTCGCCAACGCAGTTGGTGCTGCCATTGCACGTGTCTGCGGCGCTGTTGATATCGTGCAGGGTACCACTCACCAGACAGAAGGGCAAGCCATCGAGAACGCCAAGAAGATGGCCGTTGAGCGCGCCATTGCTGCTGGTGCGATTCCGGAAAGTATCAAGATCGCCGAGATCGAGACGATGCCGCTACAATACGTCGCCAACCAGATCCGAACACTCGTCAAAGCCGTTGGCGACATTGACCTCCACGCCAAACTGGAAGAGGTGGTCGAGGAGAACGAAGAAGAAGATGGCGAGGAACAGGTTGAAGCGACCAAAGACTTGACGCGGGCTACCGTAGAAGAAGAGAAGATTGATCCAGCTAAGTATAAGCCAGCCGTTCTTCGAAATACGAGCGGCATTTCAGAATGGCACATTACCGAAACTGACTTGGAGTACCTTGCCGATGGCTGTTACGTGCTCGGGTGCGCAGGCGGCGGGAGCCCGGCAGCGTCGAAGATCCAGCTCCGAAATATGCTCAGAGCAGGACACAAGATGCGTGTTATCGAGCCATCCTCGCTGAAGGATTCAGATGTCATCTACTGGGGTGGTAAGTGATCCCACCTTGTCAAATCAAGGGGCTCTAGTGATCAACTAACTTCGACTAGGCCACATGGGCTCGCCGGCTGTCTCCATCGAACGACTGCAGTCGATCGAGACGGTAGATGCCTTCAAGGGCTTGATGGAATACCTTCGCCATGACAAGTTCGACGCCGTGATGGGTCTCGAGATTGGTGGTGCCAACGGCCTCGAACCCTTCCTCATTGGTTCATCCCGGTTCTATGACAGTCCAATCATTGACGGCGACTGGATGGGCAGGGCATACCCAACATACTGGCAGACGACGCTGGCCGTGCATGCTCCGCTAGAGTTGGTTCCGTGTGCGATAGACTCTGGGGACGGCAAGACAATCGTCATGACCAGAGCGCCCAACGATGAAATTGTCGACCGTGCTCTGCGCGCTTCATGCTCCGAGATGGGTTCGCGCGTAGGCATGGCAGCCAAGCCGACGACAAGCGACAGGGTCAAGAAATTCGGCGTTCTCAACACTGTTTCTCTTGCATGGCGGATCGGGCGCTGTATTGCGCTCTGCCAAGTGATGAACACGATGAGCACGGTCGCTGAGTCGATCATCAAAGAGGCAGGTGGCCTCGAGGCTGCCAAGGTCTTGTTCAGGGGCAAAGTTATGAAGGTTGAGAGGCGCCTTTTCAAAGGCCACTCATACGGTGAAGTACATATTGCCGCCTTTGAAAGTGGAGATGAAGATGAAGCTGCGAACAACAAGGAGAGGGTCGCTGCCGTTGCGCAAGGAGGCACGATGAAGATCCCTTTCAAGAACGAGAACATTTTGGCAGAGCACACTGATGAGGGCGGCAAGACTAGCATAGTAGCTGCTGTGCCAGATCTAATTTCGATCTTGGACAATGAGTCGGGCAGAGCTCTCGGAGTGCCTGAGTTCAAGTATGGATATAGAGTTACAGTCATTGGCATTACTTGCTCGCCGCGGTGGACGGAGACGCAAGCTGGTCTGGACATTGGCGGACCAAGTGCTTTTGGTTACGACATCGAGTACAAGCCGCTGGGAAAGTATGTAGAGCCACGAAGTGTGCTGGAAGAATACTCCAATTAGGGTCGGGACGGGTACATGTCAAAGATATCGAGATCGTCTTTAAGCAGACAAATAGAATTAGATTTGTGAGATTGCGCTTGAACCCGCGCAGTAGGTAAATATCTGGACAACACCTCTAAGTGATGAAAGAAGCGAATGAAAATAAGTAGAGGTAAAAAGGGGGTATAAGATGAACCGAAGCAAGACAGAAGGAAAAGAAATCATCGTCCTCTCATCAATACAACCGAAGTAACCCACAACAAAAGAAACACTTCATCCTCTCATTCCTGGTCCGGCTCTGACTTGGCACTGGAAGGCTTCTCGAACGTAACTTCCTGAGTCACCACAGTCGTGGTCCGAATGTGTCCCCTGACATGCTGACCATCCATCACGCTGTCCCTCTTGCTCTTCACCGGAGACATTTTGTCCAGGCTTTCGGGTGCTCCCGTGCTAACGCTGACGGTGTACTCAGCCGACGTCTCACTCTCCTGTCCGGACAACTCAACTCCGTCTTGGCAATTCAACCCTTCCGTGCTGCTCAAGGGGCGATGAATCCCCAGCCCGCGCATGAAACTGGCTCTGTTGTTGCCTTCGCTAGCCTGAGCGTAAGGGTTTCCATATTTCGATGGTCTGCCACTGCTCATGAACTGCAGTGAGGACGCGTTGAAGAGGCGTGGCAGTAGAGTGACGAAGATTGGTCGGAGGGTGGGGAGACAGGCCGCCAAAATACCTATGGCGACCTCGAGGAAGGACCATGTCGCAGCGTCCACGTTATCCCAGTACGGGTCTTTGGTGTCTGCTGCAACGCGGAGGGTTCGGATTCGGAGTGCGGAGATGATGCAAGTACTGGTGAAGGACAAGTCAGACAAGTGAATCGTAAGAGTGCATGTGAGAGTAAAGTTGAGCTTACAAGAAACCAAGACAGAATACTACGAGTAACATTCGCTTCTGCTTGCGAGGGAGTTGCAACGAGTTTATGACAGGAATCGGCATGCTGAAAATGGCAAAGTCGGCTATGAGGTTGACTCCGGCCATGGTGTACCAAATGGCAAGAAAGTCTATGCATCGACCTTCGATGGTCGGGTCCCAGAAGGCGGCAACGGGAAGACACATCATAGGGAGAAGGAAGGAGAGCATGGCGGTCCACGAGATCATGAAAGCAAGACCCCATAGTGTCAACTTCTGCATAATGTCGATGGCGAAAATACGACGGTACTGTAATAGGATGGAGACCTTGACAACGCAGGTCGCGATGTTGTACACGATGATCGAAGAGTAAAAGGACTGACGATGTTGTAAGTAAAGGCTCCGAGTACGAGTGGACCCAATAGTGGTTTACCTTCATGTAAGGAACGTAGTCCTCAGGGGGAGGAACCCAAGAATGAAAGCCAAGACCCCACTTGCTTTCTTCAGAGCCATTAGTCGATATTCACAGGTTGCAGTATCATCTGAACTTACCAAGCCCAATGGCAACAGCCGATCCGATGAGGAACATCTGCAAAAGCAATAGTGTGAGCCGCCAAGTCCAAGCCTCAAAAAGGTGCTGTTATGGCTTACCTGGGCAACCACCATCACCGAATCGTCCAGGCCGAAAGTTCGCAGCATCTTGACCCTAGTGTAGACCCGAAGACTAACCGCTGCAGTCGAAAGAACGGATCCGACAGCCAGAATGGCAACTATCTCTCCAAATCGGGATTGGCCATCGAGGGCATGGTCGATGGTGCTGACGGATGCCTGTTGCTGAGTCTCTTGTATCGCGTTGAGGTTTCTGACGAGGACGTTTGCCGCCATCTCTGACAGACCTCCAGATGACGTGCGTTAGTGGCGTAATTTTAGTCGATTTGTGAAGACCAAAAAGTAGAAGCCTTCGTCTGTGATCGAAGAGCAGAGGTCTTCAGTCATCCTTATTGTACTCTCACCTCGCCAGGGAAATTTGCCCGCATCAGATCGAGACCCCAGCAGACGCAAGCCATGTTTCCACCTGCACCGGTGCAATTTTCGAATTATCGGGTCATCTCTGCGGACATGGATACTCCCACGCGGTTGAACGTCGTAATAGAGGCTGAGTGGGAAAAGAGAGCGCACTAGTCACCTAGTCGATGGCCCAAGATCTTCCGTGGGGTAGCATTGGTGCCCTTGAGGCAACTCTGGCAGGGATCGGCCATCATGAAGCCGTGAGAAACCAATCCGGGGAAGGGGATGAGATTCCGCCAAGCGTCGCGATGCAAGGGCCAACCTCCCATGTATACGATATCTATCCCGATTTCCAACAGACTCGACACACCAGGCCGACATGGCCGCAACTTCGCAAAGAGGGGGGAAGGTGCTCAAGATGCACTCGCTAGCCAATTACGAGTGCAGTCTCGACTGGGTTACAGATCGAGAGATACCTGTCTGAAGGATTGCTGCAGAACATAGGGCCCGAACTTGCCCCTGAATCCAGCAGTAATGGATTGCGTAGCGCGGTATGTGGAATTTACCAATCGGTGACCAGACTGCTTGTCGCGAATTCTGCGCGTAACCGAGTCTCGGAACTTTATTCGACGCAACGCTGGAGTGAAGGACGGACTGTCGCCAGTTCGGGTGGCCTTTGCATGTTCGGATGAAGACACCCGCGAGATCCGGTGGCTTGAGAAGATGGCCCTTGGTCTCGTTTGTGTGTAGCCGCCGAGTGAGCAGAATATCGAGGCCGTTGAAGTCGGCACCAGGGAGCTGTCACAGATCGCGGCCGACAGTGCAACCATTAACGTCGGCACTAGAGACAGTGTGTATCATCGATCTCAAACCGACTCCTTCTTTCGCTGTGTTCATTTCCTGCGTGGAACCTTGGCGCCCGCCCGACGGCACGCTTTGAGTTGCGCCTTTGGTCAAATGTCTGTGAGTTGGTCTCGTTGCTAGCGTCAACGGTTGGTTGCTCTTGGAGGCCTGCCTCGGGCACGCGCACGTCCCGGGCAGCTCTGTAGCTCGGCGATGGCGGACACGCGAAGTCCACGTGGTAACAGACAAGATTGATCAGCAAATGCAGAGACATCAAGAGCTTTCTGATAGTTGAGACATTTTCGCTACTTCGTACATCAGTTACAGCTATCATGTGTGAGTTTGTGATCTTGGCAGAGTTCAGTTAGTGAGCAATAACCCTTTGAAATCGCAATTCTAGTGCCGATCAACTGCAGTTTGAGACCAGACGACAGGCATTTTTTCTCCACGCCGGAAAGAACGGCTGACACGGAGGCGGGGGAAGATCATTGTGCCAAACCCATCCATGAGCCCTATCAAGACAGAGGATCAGCTCGGATTTCGTCATTTGCAAGACACGGAAGTCTAAATGTGAAATTTATCGAAATCTTCGGGTGCAGGGTAGTGAATAGGAAGTGACAGGGTAAATTGCCGACGACCCAAACCCATGTGTGAACCGATGAAGGATGCATTTAACTGTGAGTATGGTATGTTATATCAGATGAAGACAGATCAACATATGAGCCCGCAGCAGTGGCCCAGCTGTGTCCTGAAGGAGACGGCAATGCTTTGGTAAGTACTAATTGGTCTGCGAAACTCTCCAGTCAGTCCAGAATAGGAATGCGGCAACTCTCAGCGGTTCCATCAGAACGATGATCTCTTCCCGTTAGTCGTGAGAACTAGGGCCTGACGGGAGAAACAAAAAAACTTTACTCCACAGTCGGGGGCCTTTTGGGGGCCAAGGTCGTAGCTGGGGATAAATATTGACCAGGGCTGGGCGAAGATATCCACAAATGCCGTCCAAAACCATGCCGCAAATCGCAGATCACCACTCTGCCGATGTTTTGCTGATTGCAATCGCAAATTTTCAAGAGAGCCCCACGAGCCATGTGAGCATATCAACTATGAACCTAGAAACCGCTTTACTTTGATCAGAACTCAGGTGATTCGGACAGAAGAGCATCGATGATCCGGGAGTAGCGCTCTCGTCAAACTGAAATGACCGGGGTCCAATTGCTGAAAGAGCTGAGAATTCTGACCCTAGATCCGATTTGAGCTGTCAAGATTGAGGTCCGCAACACAGACCAAGTGGGCAGCAATTTTATCAACACAGGCTAGGCATAATTACCAACAATGTAACCAAGATAAGATTTTAGCCCATCGCGTCAGGCAGAAGACATCTCGAGTCTCAAGTGCGTAAGAACATTGTGTACGGAATCTTCAAAGCGGCTACACTCGGATCTGTCTGTCCCCGGGGCTAAGCGGGCGCGGACGGTAGTGTGGGGCCGAAAGTCACGGTAAGAACTGGAGGCGGGGAAATTGAGGCAATGCGAGCTCAAGCAAGGTAGAAGCGAACAGGCTAACGTTTCGAAGAAAATCACATTACATCTGGATTAGACACAGCAAACCATACATATCCCTCACAGCTTAGGAATACCTCCCGCCGTCCCCAAAGTTTTGGTGTGGCCTTTGTTCTGATCGATCCCCTCCTCCACCGCTTTGATCTGCAATGCCAGAATCTTTGAGAAGTACCGACAAATTGCAAGATTGCCGCCCATGAACCAGAAGCCGGGGTGCCCGGTCGGCCGCCACATGGTCCTGAACTCACCCTCCTCGTCCCAACCCCACACATCGCCGACGCGATCGGCGAGCTCGTCGCCAAAGATGTTGCGCGCCTCCGTACGCATGTTCAGGTATCCCGTCGCAAAGATGATTTCGTCGCCCGGCAGCTCCGAACCGTCCGCAAACCGGAGGCCGTTGGGGAGAACCTCTGTGATTTCCTGCCCGCTCTTGATCTTGATTTCGCCGTCAATGATGAGCTGGCTGCATCCGACGTCGATGTAATAGCCACCACCGCGCTGGAAGTACTTGACGAAGAAGCCGCCTCCGCTGGGTCCCATGTCTAGGTTGAATCCGGCTTTTTGGAGACCTGAGAGGAGCTCGGCATCGTTGGCGTTTTGGACTTTCGTGGTGCCGACTTGCAGCGATTTGAAGAGCTCGGCCGGCAAACTCCATAGCCAGAGGTCTGCGTCGTCGACTGGGGGTGAGTCTTCGTCGTAAAGACCTTTCAAGCCAATGTCTGTGATTGAGCTTGAGGAGACCACGGATGTTGAGCTGCGCTGTACCATGGTGACATCGTACCCTTGCTCGTAGAAATCTTGCGCGATATCGTGACCCGAGTTGCATGAGCCAACA